AGAGACAACCATGAGCTACGAGAGAGCATGATGCCCACATTTGTAATAATTCCACCCTTTTCCTCACGTTGCCAGTCTCTCTCCTCGCATACGCACATTGTGGAGAAAAAGGCTCTCCGCGGCATCTTCCCCGAAGTTTGAACCCACCGCCCGAGCACTTCCGAGGGTATGCCGCATCCGCGAAATTTTCTCCTCCGTTCCACCGCTATTCCTTCCCCCATACCGGACGATTTTCCTTTGCATCTCTATCTGGGGTCCGGGGTTATTGGCTTAACTGATTCAATTGCCCTGATCCTTTTGTACTATAGCGACTTTTTATTTCTTTTCAATCCCTGCAATCCCCGCAGGATTCTCGCTTCTTCCCTTTTTGATCGATTCGTCTCAAAACTTCACTCCGCAGCTGTGAGGTAGCTAACCCGTCGCAATTTGAAGTTGTCAAAGTTATCTATACAACGATTGGACACCATGGCACAAACCAATGGAGAGCTAGAGCACTCGAAAGGTCCGTCCTATCCCTAAGGTTCAGTCCGGCAACGGTCACACGAGACCCCAGACTGCAATATCCAGCTGCGACAAGAATTGCTTCAACAACGGCATACTGATCCTCAAATAGAGGTTGCTCAGGCTTCGCAAGAACCCACCAACGGCACTCAGCCCGAGGGTGTTACCGAGGACGACAATGCGGGTGGTATGTGGCATCATTGAAGCTAGGGCGCTACGGCGGTTTTCTGATTTGTTTCCAGGCCTCTTCCAGATCTCCGTGAAGCTTCCTCATGAGCCGCACAAGATCCAGGTGATGGTATGCACTCTAACAAAGCATGTTCCCTTGAAGATATGTCTGTCTGACTCGGTCGTCTTCCCCCCTCTCCACAGGTCTCTAGCCAAGAACAGGTGCAAGATGTCCGCCAATCGATCGTCGAGCTGCCCGGTACCTTCCAGTACACATGCTTCCACCTCGAGTTCAATGGAACCCGCATCAACGATTTCGTCGAGCTGTCTGAGGTCCCCGACTTGAAGGCGAACTCCGAGATTGTTCTGGTGGAGGACCCCTACACCGAGAAGGAGGCCCGCATGCATGTTGTGCGAACCCGGGAGCTGGTTGGTGCTGCTGGTGACCGTGTGGATAACCTTCACGGTATTTCTGCTGGCCTTTCGCTGCACGATGCCATCTCGGCTGAGGCTGCTCAGGCAGGCGAGTCTGAAAAGGACCACTCGCTCGCCAAGTACAACCTGACCGGCGAGTCCTCGCTCCAGACTATCCTGCCCAAGGAACAAACCCCCCTCCCGAAGACTGTCAAGTCAATTTCACTATCACCGTGGAACCCGGTGCCCTATAACCTTCGTCAGAAGGGCCACCTCCTCTACCTCCAGGTCATCACCAACGAGGGTGAACAGTTCCCCATCACATCCCACGTCTCGGGCTTCTTTGTGAACAAGTGCTCGAACACCAAGTTCGATCCTTTCCCCAGAACCATCATGCCCAAGAATGTGAAGGGCAACGCCCACTCTCTCCTCACTTTGATCTCTCAGTTGTCGCCCTCCTTCAACACTGCCTTTGAGGCTCTGCAGGAGTCTAACAACCAGAAGGATCTCCTGACCACCTTCCCCTTCCAAAACGCCATCCCTAACAACCCGTGGCTCGTTGCGCCCGCTACTTCGAGCCAGAACGCCCACCAGGCGGACATCACTCGCTCTCAGGAGAGCTATCTGATCTCCGGTGTTGATAATGCCGAGACTCTGCGGGACTGGAACGAGGAGTTCCAGACCACCCGTGAGCTGCCTCGGGAGACTGTCCAGGATCGCGTGTTCCGCGAGCGCTTGACCTCCAAGCTGTTCGCTGACTATAACGAGGCTGCTGCTCGTGGCGCTGTGTTGGTCGCCCGCGGCGAGGTTGCTCCTCTGAACCCCACTGAGGCTCGTGACGCCCAGATCTTCGTCTATAACAACATCTTCTACTCCTTCGGAGCTGATGGCGTTGGTACCTTCACCTCTGAGGGTGGTGATGAGGCTGCCCGTGTTGCTGTTGGCAAGGACGTTCTGGGCATCAAGGCTGTGAACCAGCTTGATATCCAGGGTCTGTTCACTCCCGGTACCGTCGTCGTCGACTACCTCGGCAAGCGTATTGTTGGTCAGAGCATCGTTCCTGGTATCTTCAAGCAGCGAGAGCCTGGCGAACACCAGATTGACTATGGTGGTGTTGAGGGCAAGGAGGTTGTGGCAACTCACCCTGACTTCCAACCTGTTTTCGAAAAGCTTTCCAAGGCCCTTCGCATTAAGCAGCACCCTGTCTGGGACAAGGATGGCAAGCGTCATGATCTTGAGGGCAGTGTTGAGACCAAGGGTCTGCTCGGTACTGATGGACGCAAGTACGTTCTCGATCTCTACCGTGTGGCTCCTCTGGATGCTTTGTGGCAGGAAGAGGATGGCAGCGATGCCTACCCCCACCGCATGTCGGTTCTGCGACTTGAGCTCGTTGAGTCGTACTGGCGTTCCAAGATGAGCGCGTACGTCAAGGCCGAGGTTGAGCGTCGCAAGGCTGCCAAGGCTGAGGAGGCCGCCACGGAGGCTAAGCCCGAGGAGGGTTCTGAGGAGAAGACCGAGGATCAAGACCGTGTTGACATCTCTGGATTCAAGTTGGCCCTCAACCCTGATGTTTTTAGCGGCCAGGTTCCCCAGACTGAGGAAGAGAAGGAGCAGTGGGCCCAGGACGAGAAGGAAGTCCGGGAAGCTTGCGAGCACCTGCGGTCCACTATCATGCCCGCCCTGGTTCAGGACTTGCATGATGGCGACGTTGGCTTCCCCATGGACGGCCAATCGCTCACCCAGCTGCTGCACAAGCGTGGTATCAACGTCCGCTACCTTGGCAAGCTGGCCCAGCTCTCTACCGAGAAGGGTCCCCGTCTTCAGGCTCTGTCTACTCTCCTGATCCAGGAGATGATCGCCCGTGCCTTCAAGCACGTTGCCAACCACTACCTCCGCAATGTTCCCGCTCCCTTCGTTGCTCCCTGTATTACCCACCTCCTGAACTGCCTGCTGGGCACTGATGTCAACGCTGCTCCTCGCCCTGAGATCGACCAATCTCTGCGTGATGTTTACCCTGAGGGTGACTTCTCCTTTGAGAAGATCACTCCCGAGTCGCTTCGCGCCGAGATCGAGAAGCAGGTTTCGATCCGCTACCGCTTCTCTCTTGCGGAGGGATGGGCTAGCTCTCTGCGCCACCTGCAGCTCCTGCGTGATATCTCTATCAAGCTGGGTCTTCAGCTCGGTGCTCGCGAGTTTGCTTTCACCAAGGACCAGGTCAAGGAGCCGGCTCCCGTCACCAACAGCTCCAATGGCAGTGGCCAGGAGGATAATAGCAACAAGAAGAAGAAAAAGAAGGGCGGCGACAACAAGTCCCCCGCCCACGCCCCCGCCCACGCCCCCGTCCAGACCAAGCCGGCCGTGGCTGTCACTTTCACCACTGATGATATTCTGAATATCGTCCCGCTGGTCAAGGATGCCTCCCCGCGCAGCGCTTTAGCTGAGGAGGCCCTGGAGGCTGGCCGCATCTCGCTCATGCAGAACCAGAAGCAATTGGGCCAGGAGCTCATTCTGGAGTCTTTGTCTCTCCACGAGCAGATCTACGGCATTCTTCACCCTGAGGTCGCCAAGCTCTATCACCAGCTTTCCATGCTGTACTACCAGACCGATGAAAAGGAGGCCGCCGTGGAGCTGGCTCGCAAGGCTGTCATTGTCACTGAGCGCACTCTTGGTGTGGATTCCGCTGATACCATTCTGGCGTACCTGAACCTGAGCTTGTTCGAGCACGCTTCTGGCAACACCAAGACTGCTCTGGTGTACATCAAGCACGCCATGGATCTCTGGAAGATTATCTATGGCCCTAACCACCCCGACTCGATTACTACCATGAACAACGCTGCCGTCATGCTGCAGCACCTTAAGCAGTACGCTGACTCTCGCAAGTGGTTCGAGGCTTCCCTGTCCGTGTGTGAGAACCTGTTTGGCCCGCAGTCCATCAACACTGCCACTATCCTCTTCCAGCTTGCCCAGGCTCTGGCTCTGGATCAGGACTCCAAGGCTGCTGTTGGCAAGATGCGCGAAGCCTACAACATCTTCCTTGCCCAGCTCGGTCCCGAGGACCGCAACACCAAGGAGGCCGAGACCTGGCTCGAGCAGCTCACTCAGAACGCAGTGTCCATTGCGAAGCACGCCAAGGATATCCAGGCCCGTCGCCTGCGCCGCATCAACATCAACCCCCGTGTTTCCACCATGGGAACTCGGGTTCAGCCTCAGGTCGGGGAGACCGCTCCTGAGACTGTTGGCACGGCCAGCACCTCCGCATCTGGCCTGGACTCCCGCAACATTGACGACTTGCTGAAGTTCATCGAGGGCACTGACCAGACCTCGCGCTCCAAGAAGAAGCGCACTGCCGCCAACCCTAAGCTCCGCGGATCTAAGCAGTCCAAAGCTTAAAATTATCTTCCGAGCGAATGACTATTTCTCAATTTGACTCGTTTCTGTTCCCTCCGACACTGTCGTTTCTCATTTCTCATCTTCTTTTCTTGGCCTTCTCTTGTCTTAACAATAAAATACTCCATGATCGTGTTTCTGAGGGGGACCTGGTTTGGCTTGATGAGCGATTAAATATTGTATTATTCTAGATCTCTCTCCTCTCTTTTTTTTTTTTTTTTTTTTTTGTGTTCTGGGTCTGTTGATCTTGTTCCTGGGCAGTGCATGGGAAGGTTCATGGATTTGGTTGTACTTATATGGCCCTATATTCGATGTGCATTGACGATGCGACGGCCCTGTGTACCTAAGAATTTTGCATTTAGCATTGTGACATGATGACGGAGCAAAACTATATTGCCTATTTCTTCCATTCACCTTAAGAGGGAAAAGGAGTTCGTATATCACGCTCTGGACTGTGGCGGCGTCGGCCCTTCACCCTTGACCGCATTCGGGACCCACTTTTGTTTACTTTGTTTTGCCGGCCGCAGACTCGATAATTTGCCCGACGTGCGCTTTGTTGATTTTACCTGCATTCTACCTTGCTACGCATCTCTTATTCTCGAGTTGTAGTACATACATACCGCCTTTGTCACTTTCTGATTTTGGTGCGCACTGGCGACTGGCAATGCCTGGACGCTGGGTTTGATCATTGCTATGTGTGCATCATGACGAGTCGGTGTTGCTGAGCCTCGTCATATGAGTACGTCTCAGACACCTTGAAAGGGTCGGATTGAGACTGACGCTTTCATATACAGCTGTATGGCTATATTTCGCAGAATTATTTCGAATCGCCCGTAATGGACGACGTGAAGCCCACCGCAAGATGGGCCAACCGCATGTTGCGCCCCTTGGCCTCCATCTACCGCCGACTCGAGAAACACAATGAGACATTAGCGATTATTGCAGCCGATTCGCGCATACGTGAACATAATACAAACATTCATACGCAAAAACAAGGGACCGGTGACGCTGTGAAGGCACAAGACAATGACTCGGGGTCAGACGCGGATGAGGATGACCCAGTCTGGGTGCCAGGGAAGAAGCCCGATCAGCGGCGCGTGCGGCATAAATACTCGTCCCGGGGAGAAGGTAGAGGGGGAAAAAGGCGAAGCCGACTGTCCATACAGAGCCCAGAAGCAAGTCGTACTCTGCCCGGTGCGATTGAGCTGGCAACCCCGGTGATCACTGGAAAGCGATGGGAGGCGCCAACAAGTGCTCAATCACAATTCTCGGTGGAACAGAAGAGGAAAACGAAACCGCATGGACAATTACAGGCCTTCCGTGACAAGTACCCTCTTCACAAGAGCCCTTGGCAAGAAATCCTCGGGCAGTCTGGCGACGCGGGATTCGCCAGCATAGTACATAATCTCGACCGCATCCTTCAGAACTTTCTGTGCAATACCCGCATTAGAATACGTGAGAACAAGGACTCGGTCCAGCCCGTCCGTGGAACTCGATCTTTAATGTCGACAGTGGTACGACGATTGCCCGAATTCATTGCAAACGAGCAGGCTGCCCATGACGAGTTGGAAGACGATGGAGACGAAGACATGTGTGACGCATATTTCACTGAATTGGAAAGTTATTACGCGCCCCATGGTCAAGGGTGGAAGCCGCTTCGCGAGGCTGTTCGAGCGCAGGGTATTTACCTGGTTTCGACCATGATCGTGAACGGGTGGTTGACGGATTCGATTGCGTGTGCGCTGATTGAGATGTGTCGATATCACGAGCCAGACGCTTGTGAATCATTGCTATCGATATTTCTATCTACACGCACAGGCTATCATCACCCCGTCGCCCTCAAGCCTCCTACCGACTCGAATGAGCCGGGTGATCCTATCAGACTACTCCGCAAATACGCGCATCACGGCCCGGCTCATCGCTCGTACATTTTTGATGAGCTTTCCAAGCTTCTTACGCGTGGTGTTCTGCCTCCAGAGTGGATGGCGACCAAGTCATGGACTAGTTGGATGACACGGGCAACGATATCATTTTCGAGAGGGGATCATGACTGTGCCTCTGCCTCACGGCTGATCGAAGCCGTTCTCGTATCAGCTGCCGATATCATACCGAGTGTTGTAGCCCCAGGATCAGAACAAGACGATAAAGGTGACCGCGGTTGTGTACATGAGAGGCAAACGCGGACCTCTTCTCTCTCAACTACGGACAAACTTGATCTCTCTCGGAAGTGCCCTGTTCCAGTGGAAGATGCGCTGAGCAACCATGTGACGAGTCTTCTGGCAGCGCTGTGCGGCATGCACATCTCGCGATCCCGTGAGCTTGATGATCTGAACGACTTCGAAGGAACAAAAGCTGGCCATGTCATCAACTATCTCTGCTCTACCCTGGAGAAAGACATGGAATGGCAGCCGCTTTCTCATATTACCACTTTAACATTCCATCAGCTACTGAGGCGCGGTTGCATCATACTAGCGGATTGTCTGTTGCAATGTAACGATGCAGTCTTAAAGACTGACCATCGACCTATTGTTGGCTCTACGGCCATTCTTGAACGATATTGTGAGACATTGGCATCTCGCTCTGCCCTAGTCAAAGAGTTGGCCTTGTTTGTGCGGCAAGCCTTTCGATGTTTTGGCAGTAGCACGGATGATGAACGCCTCTACATGGGCCGCGAAGTGCGCCGAATGGTGTCTCGGCTTCCTAGAATGTCTGACGCGCCATCTTTGTCTACTTTTCTAGGCCGGGTGGCCGTCGAGGTTGCTATGGAATTTGCAGAAAGCACCGGCGAACCAGATGATCATGTGTGGGCTGTTGAGGTTCAAGAGACGGTCATATCTCTCGTGGGTAAGAAGGAGACTAGTCCGGTCTCCTTGGAGGAATCGGAGGACCAGAGACCTCGGGGTGGCTGTTTTCGCTGGGAGGAGAGCATTGGTGAGTGGGTTGCTCGTACTCCGGAAGTCAAGTTAAACGCACCACCGACCAGGGTTCGTCCTTCTTTGACTCCAAGGCCAATGCCCTGCATTCCATGTTCCACAGATAGCAGCTCGCCCGAGTCAGACCCCGAATCTGATCGCTTCATGGAAACCTCTTCGTTGACCTCTTCTCCCCCATCGGCTGGGTTGAAACGAACCATTGAGTGCACAGATTCTTCGCCCCTGCAGTCAGCTAAACGCCGACGGCCAGCCCCTGTCATCGTGGAACAACAAGGGAAGAACGTCAGGAGAAGGAGTGGGCTCTCGTCTGCTGCTGCTGCCCCTAGATATCCATCTCTAGAGCCTGTGCCCTCACAGCGTCGGGCTCTACGTGAGCTATCTTGTCGCATTAAAAATATGGAGGCAGCCCCGACGTCAGAAAAACCCGCCACCAAGGTCGAGGTAGTGATTATCAACAAGAAGGTCCCTGAGACCCCTCCTCTCGAGACTGGTTCCGAGTCAGAGCCGGATTTGTTTGAGAAGCAGATTCATCGACCTGTGGAGCGGCGCAGGTCTGGGCGATCTCGTATCTCGATTCTCCCCAGCCGAGGCCCACTAGTGGTGGCCCGGCGCAAGTCGATGGTGATACCTTGCTCAGAAGACGACAGCGATGACGAGCTTAGCTTCTTCTGAACGAGCTACCGATTGAGATGAAGGACTCTTTGCCAATTAGGGTCTGGTGGTCTATCCTTGGTTCAGGGTGTACTCTATCGCAGTTTTACATTGCGATCGGGTCGTCTTTGATAGATTGCTGCACGCGTGAGAGTGTAATGCGCCCGAGCGTGTCCCGGCGCCTACACGGCCTCGAGCCGGACAGTTCATTTTCATGCCTTCCCATGAGTGGATGTGAGCGGTTAGGAGATGAGGTAGTGTTTTGAGGCCCCCCTCTTGTTTAGATTTTGGGAGATTTGGTGTTTGGGACCTACTGTATTATGCTTTGATACCCCGGGCTTTGGACTGGTTTTGCTCTTCATTTTAGGGGTTTTGCCTTGTACTGATTACATTTAACATCCTTTCCTTGCTGTCTATTCATTTACGTATTTGATTACCCGGTTATGGGTCGAGAGAGATACCCATAACTCAGCCTGGATGTGCATTCCTCCACCTTCCGCATTTGTTAAAACTGGTACTTGAAAGCTTAGCATGGTCGGATCTGGAATGCTAGTGTATTGTAGAGAGGAAGGTATACCAAGTATTGAGTTTGAGTCTATAGTGTTATTCATAGTTGAGTAATGGCGTGACACCTGTCAGTTGAGGGTCTGAAACATTTACCGTCGAAGACCTAGACCACTTCACTGCAGGCCATTGACAAGCTCACTCTATCTGGAGGACTCGGGAAAATTGACCGTCCACCAAAGAGGATAGACGGCCGATGCGTTCACTAGGCTCGGAGCATCGGAGCATAGTGCTAATTACCGCCTCTGTAAAAGATGGGCGTGACTCCAATTCCTTCTATGAGTCTAGCTATGTGCTATTCCTGTCTCGGCCGCCTGCACTAACGATACGCAGATTTTTATCTGTGGACGCTAGTCTGTACGTTTGGGGAATCTTGTTAATATCTGGGTAATTACTCTCTCGGTTCTTATAGGCCTTGGAGGTGGACTCGACGGGAGATACTCCATCTTCAGGGGAGATTAAGGTCTGACATAAATGAAGGCCCCGGCGTGCCAAGCATTATGAACCAAGACATCGAAAAGCAGTAAGAGTAATAGCCTAGTAAAAGGAGAATTTCGACGGTTAATTACTAGCTGGAAATTGTAGAGTACTCCGTGGAGACATGAAGAAAGTACCGAGTGCGGCAGGCAGCGGATAGGGAGAGAATGCAAGCAGCAAGATTGCTTCGATCAAGCGTTTCAAGGATGAGAGATGTGCTGCATGCCCGTAGCCATTCACGATGGAATTTGCTGTCTATTGCTCTCGCGGAGATGTAGAAGATGATCTTGATTCAATCACACCATCAAAGCATGACCTTGGGATCCTACCAGTCATAGTAATAGGGTGTGGGAATAACTAGTGTGCGGGACTTGAGCTTCTTGTATTCCGTCAGTATTCTTGTTAGTGGTGTTTCGTTAATATCAAGTCCGAAACTCGTGACTCGTTAGCGAGGCCGAGAGTGTTGCGGAGTTTCCACCAAACTTCCATCCGCAAAACACCACCCTTGACCCCTTTGGTTACTTCCCGTCTCCACCCTCCATTCACCCATTGGCTGATCACTTAAGCAAGGTCCAATCTCAAACGGCCAGTCGTCCGCCAAACCTGGCAATGACGAGGATCGGCGCCATCAGCGCTCGGCTCCTGGCTGGCTGGCTGGCGCTTGTTGCTTCATGGCTGGTGCTGGGATGTTTCATCGCGAGCCAGTCACATTCTCCGACCGCAATCCCGCCACTCGCGGGCGCCAAGTGTGCCTGACCCTCGACCTGTCGCATGTCGCATGTCAGGTCACTGTTTACAGCATAAGTCGAGATCTGCTACGATGGATCTCTCCAGGTACCCGATTCGATCCATGGAAACCATGGAGGGTTCGACTCCGGACGCCATACTACGTACTCCCCCATCCTGGGCTCCTCCAAACAAGCTTGACGGCTCGATTCGATCCTTCAATCCGTGTCAGGGCACTCCCATGCCTTTTCTTGCCCCTCCTGCTGATCGATGATGGGATGAACATTCCCTGCCGAAGTCTTGGTAGCTCGGCGCCAAACAATCTCCCCTTTCCCCTCGATCCCCGACGAGAGTTCGGAGTAGATAGGCCGAACAAGATGGAGATGATACACAGTTCGTCCGCATGATTACTAGGGTCTGTATTCGTCGGTCCAGCCTTACTCTATTCTACATGTTCTCCTAGTTGACCCTAGGCAGACTTGGCCTGTCTCATCTATCCCCACCCTTCAGGAAAGGCGTGGAACGCTCCAAGGGAAAAAAGTGGTCCTTTCGATTCAAGCCCCCCCTTTGTAGACAGCCTTTTATTGTTCCCCTCTCTTCAATTTCTTTCTTCGTTTCTCCGTCTCGACAACAGGCTATTGTCGTTCTTTGCTCCTTTATTTTCTTTGCCTTTGTCGCCTCCTTTCGTTTCTCGGACAATCGTCTATCAACGTGGTGGACAAGCTCCATTCGCGGATTTTTGCCCTTCTCGCCAGTGACTGGATCACCAGCATTCCTTTCGTTGCCCACCGACAAAAATACATAGCCTCTGCTAGCTATTCGTCAGGCTCTGTCATTCTTGTCGTTCCCGTGCTGTGCACACAATTGACCAACGGAACTTTCCATCAATTGAGGCCTTCGGTTCCCATTTCTCTTCAATTCTTGCCCTATTCACCCATTCAATCTAGGCAGGCCCTATCGTCGTCTCCAGCCGCTCAACGGCTTTTTGATAGACCCCTTGGACCTACTTGAGCAACCACCGACTCTTCGTTCTCGTGCCCTCTGAAACGGCCTGGTGTTGTTTTGGTTTGCTTCATCCAGACTACTTCTAACTGGGAGAAAAGACAACGCTTCTAGAAAAGTTTGTCGAAGTGGGCCTTGCCTTCTAACTCTCTCACCTCTGCAGCAAGCCGGTCTTGCTCAAACTCGAGTAGAACTCTCTCATCTTCCCCAGGCTACGATCTTAACTAGTGGCATCATGCAATCCCTGCTCTTGGCTCTATCCCTCGTGGGACAGAGCCGTGCCCAAGAGATTATTGTCGAGAAGCGAGAAGGCTATAGTGCCATGTCGATGTGGTACGAAGCATACAATGATGCCCTAGTACGCTACACCATCCTCTCACTTGGCTGCGCTGCTGCCGCATACTATGTCTGGTCTCTCGCCTTCCGATTCTCTGGTCACCTGCGACGACTGGCCACTTTCACCGATGACAAGCAGAAGTACTTTGTACCAGCGCACGACAAGTTCTGCTGGCTCAAGGAGCACTTGATCTATGCCCCGCTGTTTGGTACCCGTCACAACCGCGAGTTCCAGCTCTCGTCGGCTATCAACATGGGTAACCTGCCAAGCCGATTCCATGGCCTCCTTGTCGTCAGCATTGTTGCCATGAATGTCGTTCTCTGCACAGTGACTACTCCTTATAACTCTGAGGAGGACACTTTGGCAGGTATCGTGCGTAACCGTACCGGCACCATGGCTACCGTCAACCTGATTCCTCTGATCATCATGGCTGGTCGCAATAACCCCTTGATTGCTATGCTGCATGTTCCCTTCGACACATGGAACCTCCTCCACCGCTGGCTGGGTCGTATCGTGGTGCTCGAGGCTCTTGCTCACACTTTTGCCTGGGCAATTCCCAAGAGCCAGAAATTGGGATGGAGTATCGTTGGAAAGGCCCTAGTGTCCAGCAGCTTCCTCTTTGCCGGCCTGATTGCTACCGCTGCATTCACGGCCCTGCTGCTCCATTCGCCATCCGCTATCCGGCACGCTTTCTACGAGACATTCCTTCACCTCCACATCGCCATCGCCGCCGTATCATTCGGTTTCCTGTGGGTGCATCTGAATGGCCTGGTTGCTCAAAAGTATCTGCTTGCTGCCATCATTCTCTGGGCTCTGGAGCGTGCCACTCGCCTCTTTATCATCGTGTACCGCAACTTCGGCCGTCAGTCCACCAGTGCGACTATTGAGGCTATGCCTGGTGACTGCATGCGCATCAGTCTCCGCATGGCTCGGCCCTGGACTTTCAAGCCTGGTCAGCACATCTACCTCTACATTCCAGCCGTGGGCTGGTGGACCGCCCACCCATTCTCCGTTGGCTGGAGCGAAGTCGAGGAGACCATCTCCGATGAGAAGTCTCTCCCGGTCGCCAGACAAGATCTTCTCGGTGGACCGAAGAAGACAACCCTATCCCTGCTCGTTCGCCGCCGCACCGGTATGACCGACAAGCTCTTCCAGCGTGCTTCGAATGCCATTGGCTCGCGCGTGACCCTCCGCGCCTTCGCCGAAGGACCCTACGGTAACATCCACTCCATGGACTCTTACGGCACGGTAATGCTCTTCGCTGGTGGCGTGGGTATCACACACCACGTCCCCTTCGTTCGGCATTTGGTCGCCGGTTTCGCTGACGGCACCGTTGCAACACGCCGCCTCACCCTGGTCTGGATCATTCAGTCCCCCGAGCACCTAGAGTGGATCCGACCCTGGATGACCAGTATCCTGGCCATGGAGCGCCGCCGTGAAGTCCTCCGCATCATGCTCTTCGTCACTCGACCCCGCAACACCAAGGAGATTCAGAGTCCCTCCGCGACCGTGCAGATGTTCCCCGGTCGGCCCAACATCGACACACTCATCGGCATGGAGGCTGAGAACCAGGTTGGTGCTATGGGTGTGCTGGTTTGTGGAAACGGTGGCTTGAGTGACGACGTGCGTAAGGTGTGCCGCAGGCGACAGGCTGACTCGAACATTGACTACGTCGAGGAGAGTTTCTCCTGGTAAATCATGTTTGTTATGGCTGTCCTGTCCATGCAGGACTTTTGATATGACGTTGTTTGAGCGGGTTGTTGGTGAATGTTCTCATGTCTTGGTCGCCTCTATTTCTTTGATTTTTCTTTTCTCCACATTCCTTTCTTGGGCTGCAAAGCCTTCCCTTTTTTTATATGATATTTTTGGATATGATGTACTCTCGAGCTTGCTTATTGAGTATGTCATATCGTCTTTCTTTTTGGCTCCTTTGGGAATTGAAACTTTGACTTCCTTTTTGAACTTGGCTTTATACTTCTATCTTCGATTGCGGTTCATAACTCATGATATGTTTGAGCTGGCTTTGGAGTGTTGTACATATCTTTCTTGTTTATCACTTCGAGATGTGGAGTGCTTTCGCTGGAGAAACAAATGGTTTGTTGCAGTTGGAATAATCATTCCTTTGCTCATTGACCGTATCTGCTTCTTGTTTTCTAGAGCCTAACTTAGACAATGCCCTCCATTCATACCTTCTGATTGGCCATCCACGTCACTCTAATGTGTTGTCGATCACTTGATAGGATGGACAATCTACATCAGAATGGATCTATGAAACGTAAATCAATTCGAAAGTTACTGATTCTGATAATTTTCTTTCACATTCGGCTGGCAAGAGCATATACTTAGTTTCTTATCGAAGAGTCCATCACTTTTTTTGAGAATTGAATAATAATTCGAAGGGTTATCAGTCTAACAGCTGCATTCCGTCCGCTACGTTGAAGGTCCCAATCGCTTCGGCAATGCCCCACCATCTCCGAGCGGAACTTTTTCACCTCCAGCTCCCTCTCGACCACTAAAACACCCCTCAGTTCTCAACACCGTTGTCTCCAATCGCTGCAATTCCTACTCGCCACAATGACCGACGAATACAAGCCTCCGGCTCTACCGTCTCCCTTCACCAACACTACACCAGCCCCCACACTCCTCGTGCAAGGAGCCGAGGCCCACCTCTACAAAACCATCTCTCTCGACCCCTCCATCCCAGCCGCCCTCAAAGTCCGTCCCTCCAAGCCTTACCGCCACCCAATCCTCGACCGCCGGTTGACTCGTCAACGGATCATTCAAGAAGCTCGATGCCTCGTGAAACTGGTTCGCGAAGGGGTGAGTGTCCCCGCCGTGCTGGCGATGGACTGGGAAGGGCAGGGCGGCGAGGAGAGCGCGTGGGGAGGTGCGTGGTTGATGATGGAATGGATTGAAGGACCCGTGGTGCGGGTAGTTCTCGAGCAGTGGGAGGCTTGGATGAAGAAGAACGCTGCCTCCTTGGATCAAAGTCAGCTCCAGAAGGAAGAAGACCGGCTGCGGGGTCTGATGAAGCGCATTGGACATACACTGGGTGGTCTGCACAAGGCCGGCGTCGTGCACGGCGATTTGACAACGAGCAACTTGATGCTGCGCTCACCCGCTTTGGATACCGCCGACAGCCCGACGGGAGTCTCGATGGAGGGCGAGGTCGTCCTGATCGATTTTGGTCTCGCAGGACAAAGCACTCAGGATGAGGATCGCGCGGTGGATTTGTATGTGCTGGAGCGTGCCATTGGCAGCACGCACCCCCGATCGGAGCCTTTCTTCGAGGAAGTGCTGAATGGATATCGGGCCAGCCACAAGGGAACTGGATCTACGCTTAGGAAACTAGAGGATGTGCGGTTGAGAGGCCGCAAGCGGAGCATGATTGGATAAAGGGAACTGCCCTCGTCTTCATATACATTTGTCCGAATGGCGGATGCGAACGATTTCATCTCATCTGGACCCTCGAAAAAAGAAACGCCACGCTGAATCATGAAAAAAGAAAACCTGAACTGTTACCAGCCCTCTCCCTCCTATCTCCTCCGCCAGGCATCATGACCGGGGCTTGACGCATGTGCCCACATCTGCCAAAGCGAAATATCCCTTGTTCTCGACCACTCCACGATCCTTCACCACCGCCGTGTACTTCACCACCCACTGCGGCTCGACGTGTCCCTGAATTCCATCGTTGGCATCTGGCGCCGAAGCCAGAATGCCCGCACCACCCTTATCCGCAGGGCCCAAGAGCTCGCGTGTCGTGCCGACCGGAAGGATATCATTGCAATCGTTGTGGGTCAGGAGCTGGATCTTCTCTTGCTTGGCATAGAGAATGAGCGACTTGGGCACCACGCAACAGTCCTTTAGGTTGATCTGGTCCACGGAAGGTTTGACCGTGGTGTGAGGAAGGAACCGCGCTAGCCGCTCGCTGCCAAATTCGGCGACGCCCAACTGTGCGATCATGCCCTGCTCGTGCAGAGACTCCAGCACGTGCCATGTCTGCACCATACTGTCAAAGTCATCTTCTCCACTGGACTCGGACCCTTCCTCATCGCTGTCGTCATCCGCATCGAATAGAATCCCGGGGAAGGAAACGATTAGCAAATCGATAGACTTGACATGCAGCTCCTTCAATACCAAATCAATTGCCTCCCTGGTGTGTGCGCAGCGTCTCGAGGCCGGGATTCCCGGCAGATAGAATAATTTCACCGTGATATCGTATTGATCCCGCTCCTCGGTGAGGCCAGGCTGTGAAAAGTCCACCGCCGGGATGTAGAGAGCACTACCGCAGTCCTCCGTCCAGGTAGGATAGTCAGAACGCTTCTTCGGGTGTATTCCATTCGCCTCGCCATTGCTCCCATTCGTAGCCTGGGTACCGATGGCTTGCGAAGCCAGGAAGTTCGACCGTAGGGAAGTAATCAGCTCGACGTTTGATTTTTGCGTCAGCGGCTGGCGAATGACAGACGGACGACCGCCGTTCATGATATTCCTATTGCGCCCAGTAGATTAGCGACCATTAGCCACCTTTAGCCGGAGTGGTCGAAGATCGTCCGGCGCAGACTAGGACGGGCGGCGACTTACGAGGTAGAGAGGATCAACTTCATGATTGCGGTGACCAGCGGGACAACGGGGAGAGGTAGGTATCTATTATTGTTCTCATGCGGCTCACACGGCCGGGGGGGTTGTGAAGGAAAGTGGAAGGCGAAGATAGAGAGTGGAATAAATTCCCGCCGGAGGCGCAAACCCCGCGATGGTTCGGCTGCCCCTCCGGAGTCCCTGACAAATCCACCTTGTCCACTGGAATGTCCGGCTCCACGCGATTCGACGCTTTACTTTGACAATGCCAATTTTTTTTTTTAATTTGTCTAGGAGTAATACACCTCGATTTCCTCATGAAGCGACTATTTACCCTAATCGTCATCCACGGTGGGATCCCAGTCGGTAGGACTATACTCGCCCGTATCCAACAGCTTCATATCCTCCTCCGATAATTCAAAATCAAACACATCCGAATTCTCCTGAATGCGCAGAGGAGTCACAGATTTCGGCAATGGAACGAATCCCTAGTAGCCCCCTCCATATTAGCATCTTCGTGGTCACTTGAGACATTCAAACCCCGCCGTCGGTGGCACCTACCATCTGCAAACTCCACCGAATCATCACTTGCGCCGGCGACTTGTTATACTTGTCCCCAATAGTCCTGAGCACCGGTTCCCGGAACCGCGTCCCATGTGCCAGCGGAGAATACGCTTCGACAACGATGCCCCGACTCTGGCACCACTCTACGATATCCGAGTGATCCAGCCACGGATGTAACTCGTACTGGCCTACCGAGATCTCCCCGCCGCCTCCGCTTTGGATGTACGCTTCCAGCTCGTCCAGGTGGTGGATGCCAAAGTTGGACACGCCGATAGATCTAGTCTTGCCTGCTTTCTGGGCTTCGACGAGAGCGCGCCAGGAACCGAGGCGGGCTGCCTTGCCACCGTAGGGGGCGTGGATGAGGATGCTGAGTAGTAGTAAGCCTCTATATAATGGCGTTTCGAGTAGGGGAGGGATTTGAAAAGATGGTATGTAGACGTACAGATCGAAATACTCTTGTCCTGCAGTGCGGAGACTCGAATCAACGGCCCGCTTGGTGCCTTCGTAGCCCATTAATTCGGGGGGGATCTTGGTCGTAAAGAAGATCTCAGATCTGTCGAGTCCTGAACTCTGAATGGCTCGGCCGCAACTCTTTTCGTTGCGATACATAATGGCAGAGTCGACCTGGAATGTACGGTTAGCCCGGGATCTCAAAATAAGCTGCCGGCTCCAGGGTACGTACATGTCGGAATCCCACTTTGAGTGCTTCCAAGGTGACCTTTTCAGTCGAAGCAGGGGGTCTACCAAGCATTAGCTAGTAAACAGTCCAAAAATTGGGAACTGCGTACATCATATACACCTAATCCAACCCCGTTAGCCATCAACATTCAAGTCAGCAAAAGAACGCAAGAACGCTTACCCCATATCCCAAGACTGGAATCTCATGACCGGAGAGCAGTTTATATCTCGATTGAAGAGTCTGCTTGGACGCCATATTGGAGGTGACGACTGTCGTAAATTGATCACACGGAACGGACAGGAATTTGAGGGATTGTGAAAGGTGAAGTCGTTGGTTGGGAAAAGACCGCCGGAGCGATGAGATCATTCCAAGTGGCGGGGTGGGGGTTGTGTCTAGAGAGATCAAGGACTCAAAAGACGCACGCAGAACACTAAGCTTGTATAGATGTGTTATTTGAATTGACTAGAAAGACAAGGCCTCTCTTGAAAGGAGTCCAGTGTTATAATAAAATGGAATGAATTGGTTGTCTGGCACCAACTGAGCTACTGGCCGATTGCCGGGGCTCCTCGGCCAAGCTCAGTGTACATCATCAACGTTCCGTCATGTGTGATTCAAGAAGCTTCCTGTCCAATTCAATGGGATTCCTAATCTACTTTCAGTGATCTTTGATCCCCTATATGTCAGTAGCAGACTGGAAAGTTCCACTTGGGTTCAATGCTCTGCGGCTTCTCGGATCGATCACTTCACGTACTACAAATCGCGCGAGCAAGGCCACATGTGTTTTATTTTATCAAACTAATTCAATATGATCTCATAAACATCCATAGGTTTCGTAAAATAATACATCATATGCATGTCTGGCTCTTCTTAATCCATAGAAAATCATCATGTTTAGTTTCATCATCGATCAAAGTCGTGATCAAAAGGCCAAACGGAGTCCCAATATTCCATTTCGTCCATGGAGCCAGATCGAAAAGTTCGTAAAGATACACCTGAATCTTCACATCGAATTTTCAAGTTCTCGACGTTACGAGCAATCTCAGTTTCGGTCAACCCGTGGTGTCTAATGCAAATGGTCCCAAGTTTCGGACACACATTGGAATCCAGCAGGAGCTCATATTGCTCGAGCACCCACCCCAGTAATGCCGCATCGTGATAGAATAGGGATAATAGTTCCAACGAAGGTGGAAGTATATCGACTAGACTTTGCGTCGGCCATCCTAAATCATCCTGTTCCACAATGCCGATGCAGGGGGCATGTAGAGTCTTCAAGTTCGTAAAATCTGCAAATGACCCCATGAAGAAATTCTCATTCTCTTCGGGATCCATACCATACACGTCACTATCGATCGAAAGTGCCTGCAATGTCGCCTTGTGCAATGAAAGAGCCTCATAAAGCCTGCGCTGGTTGGATGGCTCGTATAATACCGCGGACCCGCCGTCAGAGTGACGGAATGTTTCCAACGCCTTGCAGGATCGTATCCAAGTCTGCAGTCCGTCGTTTGCACAAGACATTCTCAAATCGATATCGGTAATGTTCGAGCAACTAATCTCCACGGGAAGACCCCATGGATTGTGTTGATTCCCTTCCTCGGTCCACTCCCACCCGTCATGGAGCATGTCGCCGCCTAGCTTTCGCATCGCAGGGAATTGGAAAAATGGCAACATCAGTTCAGTCTCTGACCCGTTCTCCGTATCCCAGTGCGCTGCCCAGGCCTCTTCGAGATGTGGAAAGACCGGCGTCTCTGATTTGGCCGCATCTATCAACATGCCAGAAACATAATCCGCATCAAGACTCCAGACAAGACTGATTTTGCGCAAATTGTTCAGCCTAGGGATCATCAAGGCTAGCCAGGCATCTGTGATCCCACGTTCGAGGTCCTCGATCCATGTCTCTTGTCGGTCACTGTCACTGGTTGCTTCTCGGACTAGCCTCTCCATGATATCGCGATCAAAATCAACATGGCTAGGATAACCATAATCGTCACAGGTTGTCTTAGTCTGCCAGAAGCCCAAGTCCAGCACCTGAACTGCGCTCGCGAGTTTGGGGTTTCGGACTATCGTATAGAGAAACTGGGATACTTGGCTGATTTCCGGTATTCTGGAGGGGTCGGCGCACAGCTTGACTTTGACGAAGATAGTCCGGTGCAGTGCGGTATACAGTCGTCGGCATGAGCTTGCCAGGTGCAGGCGATCATGTTGATATTCCAACTGCGCGGAAATGAGGCAGAGTATTTCGGCTGGAAGTTGAAGAAGCATGGTGGGGGGTGTGGATAGAAGAAGTCAACTGAGTGTTAATTCGAGGGGAAGAGGACTGGTTATATCTATCGCCCGTTCAGGGTCCAGGCAGACGCTCTGGGGTGGGGCCCTTCCGTTTCAAGCCCGTCCGTGCCTTCCTCAAGACTGGGGGTCAGGTACGTTGTCAAGTTGGTAAGTCGGAATATTGCTGGTATCCGAAAATTTTAGAAGTGATTTTACAAAGGTCTTGCTAATTACACGACAAAGAGCCAGGCCCGCACGACAAACTATGCATCATCAGCATAGGCCCTACACCTTCCTCTGTCTAAATACTTCTGTATATAGTAATCTACTCCCTAACCAAACATCGGGAAAATTCAATGTTGATCGTAATTCGAAATATAGCCCAAGAGATAGTACTGAAGCTATCCAGAAAGACAGGAAGAAATTCCAAAAGAGCAGCAGTTACAGCGCATCCAGCTAGTCCGTTTTTCTGGCCGCCAGATTCAGACTGCTAAACAAAGAGGAAAGCCATGGGCCTCCCATTCCGGGTGGCCACGATGTTGGCACAGGTCAATTCAATCGGCATTAGATTCCGATACCGGTTTTGCTCAAACAAAGACGGTCTACTAAGCAGGCACAAACCCCTCTCTCGCTAGACTATTCCGAGCAATATAGCGTAAACGTCTAATGTCTAGAGGGAATCGCTCGTCTGCATCACAATTAGGTGGGACATCGTAAAGGTCGCGTCGTTGAATGTCCAGTCCCTGAAGAGGATCACCGGCGGGTATGGGGAAAATAACCTCAGCTGTCTTAGTTTCGGATCATGGTCATATCGATAGAGCTCGAGAACTCCGCTCACTCTGTTGTTTGCGTGTTTCGTCCATGTAACAAGAAGAACAACTCCGACAGCTCCATTGCCGCCATCAAGCACCTTGTGCATATCATCAAGCATGTCATTATAAGACTCGCTCCATCCAACCTCCGCAATAATTCTTGGAAAGCATTCAGATGGGGTATAGAAAAGAGCATCTGGCTCCTTTCGAAGACCCTGATATGGACCATTTATGAACGAAATTGCTCAAGCAAGATTAGCAAGTGACGCATAGAGTTAGAGATAGAAACTTACTTGTACCGGATTGTAGGCAGATAAGATCATACTCTGCTAGGCTTAGGAACCCAGCTATGCAGGCTCTACCCATTGAGTTTGTTATCCATTGGAAGATGCAGTTGTGGCAACTAGTTAGTTTCATCTTGAGCCGTAAAGTACGGCTCCTTGGATCGTAGGATTTTCGGGCCATGCGTAGAGATCTCTCGAAATCCTCGAGTTTCCAGAGGGAATCCGCCCACCCTAGTGGTACGTCGGTGATGATGAGCTCGTGGAAGTATTGCGCTTCGCGAAGTGTATCGAGAATGTCCTCTTCGAACTGGGGCTGGTCGAACTGGTCTGCAGATACTTCAGTCCTTGACGATATGGACAGGGGGGTCAGGCAAATGGCAGGCATAGCGAAGGTAAGGAAAGTAGAAGAGAACAATGCTTTAGGGGTGCGCGCGTGTTGGAAATAAAAGGAGCAGGGAGGTCGATGACGCCTAGGCAGACTAATGGAAAGCCTGAACCTCAGGCAGCCCCGGTTACGAAAAGAGGTTGTGCAGTTGTACCCAGATGTAACAATGAAGTAATAACGTAACGAAACTATGTAGCTCTCAAGCAATAGCCTCGACAGGGACTTGTATTATATATCATGCAGTTCTATGAACCAATCTTTCCCTCTAAGTATACAATACGGAAAGACATTCGACTCTTCATCTCTTCTCGTCACGTCTAAACCTTCCGCTGCTGCTCCTTCTCAGCCTCGGCCTCAGCAGCCTCCTTGGCCTTGCGTTCTGCCTCACGCTTCAGCTGATCGGGGCGGCGGATAGCGATATCCTTAGGGCGGAAGTCGCTGAACAAGTTCTTGAGCACGTTCTCGATCAGCCAGCAACCGCCGTAGTCGAAGATCATCAGCACGGTGAGTGTGATCTTGAACTCAGTGCTGAAGGGTACCAGACGCAGCTTTTCGTTGATCTCAGGCACGAACTCGGTGGCGCAGGAGAACGCAATGGCGGTGGCGCCGACCAGACCCCAGTACATAGCCCGGTTCTCACGAATAGACTCGCGGAAAGGACGGCCCTGGTAGTTGATGGAGAACGTCGAGATTTGCTGGATCAATTGGAGCAAATAGATGGCGCTGTTCAGAAGGGATGGCTCGAACTCGCCCTCGAGATCGATGTTGTCTCCTCTCCTAGAACTTGTTAGCACCCAAATATTTTTTGTGTCATCGGAGAAAGGACTTACGGCTCAATCTTGTAGACATATTGGGTCAAGTAAATCAGAGTCACAATGTGAATGGCGAACTGGCCAAGAACGGAGCCAATGATATACACATTGAAGATGTTCGGCTGGGGACGCTCCTTAGAGAGACCCTCAACGGACTAGGCAGAAAACAATCAGTATAAGCAAAAATGAGTGCCGGCGATGAAGATCGACATACCTTTGCGCGAGAAATGGATAAGAAGCAAACGCTCATCATCATACCACTGATAGTAACCTGACCGTCACCAAACTTGATACCATCAAGGTAGATGACACTCAGACTGTAGGCACTAATCAAGCAGTTCAAAGCAAGAATCTTGTACATCTGAATCGTGGCAACCAAGGTGCAACGACCCTGACGGATAATGTTCGGAATAGCAATGACGTTGGCAAGCTTGCTGGTGAAAGGCGCGGCGCAAGAGGCGTCCCCAAGCTTAATGGTAGGCGGCTCGCTCTCATCCAACTCCGCCTCCAACATAGATGAGGTAAGTCGATCAGCAAGACCGGCAGCGGCAGCCTGGGCCTGCTGCTGGCGCTGTTGCTGAGGGGAGATATTGGTATTTGCTTGCTGCAGCGCTTGAGCACCAGGCGAGGTGATAGTTGGGATCTCTTCGCCAGGCTTGGCGGCAGCGGCAGCACCCTTCTTCTGGATCTCTCTCTCAATAGCCTTCTGGTAGTGAGGGTTGGTAGGACCGGGGGGGTAAAGGTGGGCAATGTGGACGGGCACTGGAGGCGCAGGCTGGTTGAATCTCTGCATCATGCCGACCTGCTTCTCGTACAACTCCTTCATCTTGGTGGTCCGGTAGTGATCGGCGATCTTGGTCAGATCCTCGGGCGAACCATTCAGAAGAGCAACACCGACGTGGGCCTGCTTAAGGGCACCGACATCGTTGGTACCGTCACCGCACATGAGAGTGGTGTAGCCAGCATCTTTGAGACCGAGCAGAATCTCTTCCTTCTGCTTAGGGGACACACGAGCATAAACCCAGGTGTGGCGAAGCAAGTCAGGGAGAGCCTTCTGGTCTTTGAATTTGGCTAGGGCGTAACCAGTGACACAGATATCCTTGTTCTTGAGAATCTCCGGGTCCAGAGGCTGGGTCGGGTCAACGTCAGTGTTCAACTTGTCATCAATAGTACGCCAGACAAGCCTAGTTCCAGAGTTGTCATGCTCAGGTGCATCGAGAATAACAACCTCTCGATCCACAATCTCAACTTGACGAGCGACGTGGACGGCAGTCAACGGGTTATCACCAGTAATCATAACGACACGGTGGCTGCTTTCGTTCAGCATGCGGACAGACTTGATAGCATCCTCCTTGAGAGGGCATTGCAGGACCAGGAAACCGGCGAAGATTAGCTCAGACTCAATTTCCTCACGAACAAAGTTGTTCACGCGGCCTTGGGAAAGCTCAGACTCGGTAGACAGATACTTGTACGCGAGAGCGAGGACACGGGCACCGTTGCGGGTGAAGTACTTGAACGTCTCCTCGTAGTTTGGGGGAGTGTTGACAAGCATGGTCTGGATAGTCTCGGGAGCACCCTTGACACCAACAAAAGTGGACTTGCTCTTCTTGGAAGACTTGGGCTCAAAGGAGGTAACGGTGGCGATGGTACTCTGACGCTTCAGGGCCGAAGAGAACTGGAATCTTCTCTTGACGTGAACAGACTCAACGGGACGAGAACCGATGACTGGTGCGTTACCCTTGCAAGTAAGCGTGTCGTTCCTGCCCAGAGTCCAGCCAAGCCACTGCAAAGTAGCCTTCTCCATTGGGTCACCAACGACTTCGCCCTCGTCCAGCTTCACCAGAGCGTGAGCACTAGCGAGCACAAGAGTGGTGTCGACACCAATGACCGATGCCTTGGACAGCTCCGTGTGAGCACCATCGGCTTCAACGATAGCGCCGGCCTGGCCCAAAGTGAGTCCAGCAATACCATCGACAACCAGGTCTTCTCCAGTCAGAGTACCAGTCTTATCGAAGCAGGCAATATCAACGCGGCCAGCGAACGGAATGCGGAAAGGCTCAGTGCAGAAGATAGCAAACTTGCTGAGAGCGGCGAGACTGGTGTTGACAGCAAGGCTCAGCTCCATAGGAAGCTCGGGAGGAACAACGCTCGTGACGATGAGAACACAGTCCAGAAGCAACTTAGAACGCTTGCGATCCTTCTGTACACCCTCTTGCCAGACATACCACGAGGCAGCAATTGCAAAAATCAGGAGGAAGAGAATGAAAAGGAGAGCCTCGGCATTATTGGCAGAAACACGCTCAGTGGAGTAGATCATGGTCCGCACCAGGCTACCCTGGCTGGTCTCGAAGCCGGTCTTCACAACGACACCCACGGCGCCATTGTCGGGAGGGGAAGTAACACCATTGGGCAAGCTCTTAGAGATGTCTTCACCATTAGAGTTGGGGTGGGTAATCTGGAGAACCTTGGTACCTCCGTGCACGAAAGAGTTCTTGTCCAATCCTTCGGGCTCGATCAAGTCCTCGCCAGGTCGGAGCTGAACCGATTCCTTGAGAAGCGGGGTGCTCTCTCCAGAAAGCATGGCCTCGTTCACGATCACACTTCCCTCAATTAAGAGAATATCGCAAGCGACACCGCCATCTTCCTTGGTGCGGTTGACGGACATCAGATCACCGGGGAGCAGCTTGTCGCTAGTAATTTCCTGCCACTTGTTCTCGCGGTAGACCCACACATCGTAGGGCTTGATGTTCATTCCACGAAACTCGTTGAGAGTCCTCTGGCGCTGCCAAACGACAGTGCTTTCGAAGGCGACCAGCATGAAGAGCGTAAACAGCGAGTAGTACCAGTATTCGTCCAGCATCCACAATCCAACGCAGAACACCTGGAACACGAAGAATGGCGCCACGGCATGCTCCTGGAACAGCTCGACAAAGGTAGGAACGGGGATATCGAAGGTGTTGTCGCCATAGTGGTGTTGCACGCGGTCAACTTCGGCCTTGGTAGAGAGACCCTTGGTTCGCTGGAATTCCTTGAGGGCTGGCTTAGGCTCCGCATCGAGAGCATAGGACAGCGGCGCAAAGGAGCCAGTATCAGGATAGAACAGGAACCGACGCTTCTGGAACAGGAACGAGATGGTCTTCTTGCCGCCGGAGTTGTCGCGAAGGAGGGGGCAGATCTCGGCGGAGCCGGCATTGGTGATGGGGATGATCTTGATCAGCTGAGCAGTGTCCACGGACTTGGCGCGGGTAGAAGTGAACAGGGTGTTGATGTTGATGTTCCATTTGGTCATCAACCACAGGAGCGACTGGGCCGTGATGATGGACCCCGCGAAAACGAAGGTCCACTCCTGACCCTGAATATAGGTATCATAGCGATCGGGGGACAGGTAGAAAGCGAAAAAAACGGGCCAAATGATCAAGAACGGCCAGACGTAGGTATGCAGTTGGATCGGGAGAGGATTATGCAGGGACGCATGTTGGACTTGGGGGTCATCTGCTAGTTTTGCCCTGTGAACCGTCAGTCAGCATTGAACAGGCTCCTGGGGGGGGACAGGACGTGGAAAACTCACATTTTGGCAATCGGGTGACCAGATTACAAGTGGGAATGAATGTAGAAATCGAAGAGGCCACCGTTCGCCGCCCCAGGCGCTTATGTAAGGATAGACGGCCCGGGTTTTGTCGAGCAAATGAGCGTATTTTGGCGAGCAAGTGAGAGATAAACCTCTCACTTCCTCTCAGGACTCACCTTCCTCCTATGGGTATGTGAAGGTGACGGGCCTCGATCACCTCTCACACCGGAGTCAGTGTCGATCGAGTCTCGAGGTTGAAATTCAAGGCCCGAGGCTCTCCCACACCCGTCGTCAAGTCTGGCCTTCTTCTTCCCCGGCCGCCCCCCCTCTACCCTCGCTTCCGGCATACCGAAGACTGGCGGCCTGCCGGACTCTGCCATCGTGCTCACTTGAGGAGTCACGGCTGACAGGTCCGACCCGAACCAGTTCTTCGGCTCAATGCCACCCTCTCCCTTCTCCAGCTTACTAGCTGTATGCGCACTGGCCCCAGAAGACCCGGACAACGACCTCTTCTGGAATTTATTCCCAAAGCCAGGAGGGGGGTGAAACCAGAACCAACGCTAAAATCGGTCCCAGCGATCACTGATCTGACGCCAGACCCAACAAAGACTTCCACAAAACCATGCATTTCCACTTGGCCGAGCACTACTGCCCCTATCCTCTTCCAAGACAGGAGGGACTCTCTGGCCGGTGTTCCATTCATATCTACATATGTCAGTCAGTAAGATACACAGGAGCAAGGACTGTATCCGGAGAGCTTAGTAAGTAGTCTCCTTTACTTCTCTCGAAATTTCGAGAGGACAGGTTGGGATGATAATGACGGAGCGAGGGGAATCCAATCACCCTTTAAGCTCTGTCTTGACCATTCCAACGAGGCCTCTCGAGCTTTCGGGGGCAGTAAGGAAGACCAAATGACCAGGGTAGAGAGCAAAGGAACTATACCGAGCACGAATTGCAAGATAAAGCTGAAACCCCACGAGCATCAGCCCAAGATAGGCCGTAGCCCACCCAAAAACCGACCAAGAAGCGTCCCGGACGAGAGAAGAAGGAACCGAGAGAGACGGAAGACCCAAGCTCAAGCTTGAGCTATCCGTAGACTTCGTGCTGTTATTCATGGTGTATATATCGCGTGTGAAGGAACAAGGATGTGTGATGGTTGAGAGTTGTGTTGGGGATGTTTACGTCCAGCCCAATGTTTTCTATTCTACCTGTACTCGTGCCTTCCTTTCTGTCTACACCCGTGCTTACCTAGCTTCGTAGCCTTCCTCAATTGGCAGGCACGTCAGGAGTGAAAAAACGCCCGCAGGGACCGCAACTAAACACGCCTTCGAACCCGGCATCTTGTTGAGCTGTTTTCGCGCAGCTTGGTTATATCTCCATATACTTTCCATGTATGTTTGAGATCATTCCCAGGGATGAATCGGTGGCATTTGTAGGGCCACAAATTCAAGGATTGCGGAGCGCAGCGAAGCGTACTACGGTTCTGTAGTAAAGGAAGCCATTGAACTGAAGTACGCGCTTTGATTGGTTGCCGCCAATCAAACTTGTATCTACTTGTTTCCCTTGTGATTGGCAAGATTGTGTACGTTCGGACCAATCAGCGGTCGCCGTCCCGTTTATGGCTAATCAGTTCAGTTTAAGAGAATTCGTGGTTGGTTCCGCCTTTACAAACGCTAATTTCTGCCGCTTTACCCCATCAAAATTTCTACGCCGTTAGTGCCTTACTATGCCTTCGGCATAGCATTGAGGCCGTGGCCCGAACTAGCCAGCTTCCGCCTCCTGTATTGTAATTTTTTCTTCTCCTTCTCCTTCTCCTTCTCTACGAATTCCGCACGTATAGTAAGGGAGGGTCTGCTTCCGCTTCCTACCTAATTTCTGCTTTTCCTCTGAGACTTCCACCCGTACAGCAAGGCCGCGTCCCGCGCGGCCGCCGAAGCTTGTTTAGTATCATGTGAATAACGGTCAGGTGATTGTGGTTTCGATGGATCAAGGAAGGCAAATATTATTACCTGCCAATAGGTAATCAAGCAATCGCACAATAAGCATCGATCTCCTACTGGGACAAAAACGGGGCGGTAAGAACAACGACACGACCCCCAAAAAAAGAGGCGGCCCTCGTAAAACATTAGAAGTAGAATACAGTTCTAGATCACGGGGCTTGGACACTGCTAAGCTCTAATTGGGAGAGAACTAGACCTTTTAGAGAGGGTGTTGGCTCCGGCTTACACATCCTGATGCAAGTGCTCAATATTTACTTCGTCGGTTTCTGCTGGGATGTTCAGGCTTGACGCTTCATCTTACTCGTTCTACTCCAACGCAGGCCACAATGAATATGTCTTGCCAACAAATCTTACAATTTTCGAGAGTGTTAGTGGAAGGTCTACCATATATTGCATATGGGCTTTCACTCTGGGCCTTCGCAACACTAATAATCGTTGCTGTCACCACACTAGCAACCGGCCAAGATGACCCCAGACGGGCCAACAAGCTCATTATTGTGTTTGGGATAACTATGCTAGACCTAGTCGAGATAGTTGGGTTCGGTCTCATCCTGCCTTTATATCTTATACCAGTTTCATTCAGCCTGAAGCTGTTTCTCCGAGCTGTCGATGTCAGCGGTGTACTGAAAGACTGTTAAGTGAGTGATGGAAAGCCTGGTGGCCATCGCTTGAATCCCTAATATACATGGCTTTCACCGTGGCGTCTTAAGTGCTGGCCTAAGTTCTGTGATATTATGATCGAGTGTTGAAAGGTGCTACTTGGGACATGAGATTATGTCGTTGATTCAAATGTGATGGACTGGCGATTGTGACTGTTGAAACCAATAAATAAGTTCATTCTGTGGGGTATCTACTTAGGACTTTGCCTATCTTGCTATGTACTTGGGCTCTGTCTCTACAGCCAAAATTCATTTTTTTTCTCTTTTTCCTCTCCAGCCCTTTTACTCCTGTAAATCGTCCGCTGGTACGTACTATGCCAGCAATCAACAATGCGCTTCGTGAGTGTGAGTAACGAAGCACAGCGAAAACAAGACAGCCCACTGCGAAGAAATATAAGACCTTGATGCCAACGAATATAAGCAACGATTCAAAAATATGCGAACCTCCTGTGCTAGGTAGAAAACCTCGTTCAATCAAGTGAATTTACCCAGGTTGCTACTTATCTCCTCTCCTGGCAGCTGCTTCTGTAAGGACATATATTAACGTAACCTTTCCGCAGAGACGGTTCCACTCGTTTAGCTCATACTAATTAACCCCTGATCTCCTACTCATCAGGATTCGTACTATTCAATACCGTGTGCAGTACCTCTTCTCAATCCTTACCGTATCACGTGATTGTGATCGGTACTCCACTCAACATTCTCCACCCCACAACCAGGGTCATAGAGCCATAAAGCTCTTGCCTCTCCAACCAGCCCTGCCGGGCTAGCTCAATCGGTAGAGCGTGAGACTCTTAATCTCAAGGTTGCGGGTTCGACCCCCGCGTTCGGCTATTCCTAAGAAAAACCTGAGATCCTTTCTTTTTTGCTGTTTTTTATGGCTAGATACTAGACCTCAAATGGGTTGGAGTTGATTCATGTGGTCAATTGGGGGGCTAATTGAGGCATGGGGATGGTATAGTGACTTATTTCTTTTTGGAACAATGAGCCTATTGAATTTTATAAATGTTGAATTTGACATGACTAGAGATGTTGAGAGGAGTTTGAAAGAAACCAGGTCTGGATATATATCTGGGAGACATGCATATACAAACCACTAGACCAATAAGAAGATCCATCTAGCGTGAAAAATTGACCAACCAAATAAAAAGGACCCAACGGGCATCTAATGCTACCAAATTTCCGACTCACTCAGCAACCTGGCCCCTCCTCAATTCACACCATCCCCCCCCTCGGTCTTCTCAGTGAGCTTCTTCACCAACTCCGTCAACGCAGCAACCTGCTCCTTCAACTGCCGAACCTCCAGAGTACAACTGTCCACCTTGATATCCGGGGTGCTCTGCTTGACCTCCTCCTTCCAGCTATCGTCGAGATCGAAATTCACATCCTCAGCCACATGCTCCCACTCCTGCTCACAGTCATCGTCTTCTTCCCCATGTCGTCGATTCCATCTAATCCGGTTGGCCTGACGAGCCTCAATCCATGCAGTCAACACCAGCAGAGGCGAGTAAAGCACGCCCATGACAATGTCATTGAGTCTGGCATAGCGGCTTGACGAGAGCCACCACTCGAACGGTAGAACTAGGAACAGGATCTCGATGAGATTAAAAGCTGGCGAGCAGTTAGACTACTATTCCATATGCACACATGCTCGGAGGGAAACTCACGTGGAATGAAAACATTCTCATCTGGAGCCCGCACAAACTGCATGGTCTTCTGAGCGAAAATTGCCATGTACTCGTCGGTGGCATTGCCAGAGATATCCTCATACGCACTGTTGTAAAGTGCAATGAGGATATTCAGCAGCACTAAAACATGTCAGATAGAGATACTAAAAGATACCTAGGAAACCCGATAACTTACCAATCATAACAACAAAGTTAAAGACATAGTACAGGATGATGCCAAATGGGAAAGCAAAATCCTGAAAAATATCAAACTCGGGGCTCTGCATGACACTATTCGCCATACCCTGAATGATGGGTCTGGTCATATCGACATCGGAATCGACCTGGGCCATACCAATAAACGCCTGGAAGAAACCCGCAAGAACCACGAAGAGCAAAGCGAAGAATATGATACTCTCCTTCATCATGACCCGCAGAACCACGAACATGGCACCGAAGAATCGGAAGGAGTCGAGATAAAGCATCATGCGCATCCAGAACATCGGGCCCGAGAATGCAAGGAAGTTGTAGCTCAAGCCGTTATAGAGCTGCCGTTCTGCGTCGTGAGTCGACGAAGAGTGTGCCAAAGCAACGACACGCAAGACAAATGAAATGACAAGCAACGAGTAGAGGGTCGAGTTGAAGGCATTCCAGAACTCGATGTAATTGCGTCCCACCTTCCAGAACTTTGCTGCTTCGTCACAGATGAACGCGAGGGTCATTCCATAAAGGATGCACTCCGCGGTGTCCAGATCTCCAGTAGGATTGACAGTGTTGATCACGGCCGTGTATAGTACAAGGTAGATCAGCGAGAACAGAATCTGACAGATATTCTGGTACAAAGGGGTCCTCATCCGATCTGGGTGGAAATGAACCCAGTAATCAGTGCTAGACTTGTCCTTGTACTCCACAAAATTAGTTGGATTTCCTTCTTCTTGACAGATCCAGCCACGCCAGAGATACTGGATGCACTTCTGGTAGCCGGCAGAGCTAATGACCCTGAGCGCGTGGAGGTCAACGGAGCGCTCAATGACATTGGCAGGGGCAGTTTCCTCTCCCTCGGTGAAGATAGAGTAACGCTTCAGCAGGATGTTCTTGAGCAGATAGTCTTGATCCGATTCACTCTCGATGCTACAGAAGCTCAGTTAGCAATCTCGAGTCAAGGAATTCGTGGCCAATGAGAAGCCCGTACATGCGCTTAGCGATAACCTCACAAGCCACAGCTCGTCCAAGATGGAGATCAGCATCCCACAGCTCGATATTGGATTGCATTTTGAACCATCGCAAACAGACGAGCAGACAAAAGACCACGCAGCCCTTGTAGTCCTCACCACCGGCCCGTCTGGCTGTTTCGATCACATCCTGGGAAATAATGCGGCTGTTGGGGTTGGTCAGGACCTCTTCATCGACCTCGCAGGAAACAACCTGTTCAATCTGATATTTCAATCGCAGAGCGACCTTGGCAATCTCTTTGGAAGATTCCAACGCTTCACCCTCGTCGTGGGCGTGGGTAGGAAGCACTGCGATATGGTTAGTTGTGTTCACGGCCGGTGTTGTTTATGACGTACGTCGGCGACGTTCGACCGCCGCGCGATGACGCGCTTCGCGACTCAAGCCGAAGAGGTCATTCAAAACACCCATATCGAGTATTCCAAGAGCGATCCAGGAGGTTAGGTCTGAGGAACGATCAAACAATCTGCCCGGTTGACGAGGGAAGGAGTCGCGGTGAGAGCGATCGGCGGACGAAGCCACACGCGTAGATTTTCCCCGCTATCACAGCCATTCTAGGCCATTCCTGCTTTCGCCAATTAACTCCGCGTACGTCAATCTTTCTGATTTCATAAATTCCGGTCAAGGAAAAAAAAAATTACGTTATGCTGAATGATTGAATAGAAGAGCTCTAGAAGCATCACTGCATTGAACGTCTCGGTTGCATCACAACAAATATACATCAGAACCTGCACCTCGTTCCACGCAAGCCACCATCCAAGAAAAAGGGTACCAGAGTTATGAGGCCCTTATCGACTGGCACATGGCACCTGCGTCGAAAGGGACAGGATAGGATCATCCCCGGACCCGAGGTGCCGGCGAATGCCCTTGGATCAAAGGCAAGATCTGACTGCAGTCGTGCCCTGTAGCACGTAGAGACCATACAAGCCTTATTTTTTTCTTCATCTCATTGATCGCGTAAATGTGCATGGTTTTTCTCTATCCAATTCGCCCGGTCTTCCCCATCTTTCTCTCCACCTGTCCTTTGCGCGGGTCGCGAGCAGCGATGCAACGCTGGACGCCCCTTTGGTATGAAGAGTAAGCTGCAGAAGTTTACTCGGGAACACCCTCATCGCTCTCGGAATCGTCCTCGTCACCGCTGACCTGCATGTTCTCCCGCTCACGCTTGTCCATGAGCTCCTGGAGAATGGCATCGTCGTGCTCGGTGACGGCCTTGGGCGCCATCTTGACAGTGCAGTTACCACCGGCCTCCTTGATCTTGGTGGCGATGTTCTCGATGGCAGCCTCGAGCATCTGGATACCCTGGTTCTTGTCCAGAGACTGGTTGGTGAGGACGTAGAGGGGAGGAGCAACCAGCTTGACCTTGATCTGGTTCTCGGGAGTGTTGTTGGCCTCGGCGGTGCGGAGAGCCTCCTTAACGGCGTCGATACCCTCGTAGCCGAAGCAGGTCACCTCGATATCGGCACGGACCTTGGTAGGGTGGGGAGTGAGCTTCTTGCTGATGTACTGCTGCAGCTCCTTCTTCACGGGCTCGCTGGGGAACTCGATGTCGTTCCAGACGTCAGGGTTACTGAGATATATCCAACTATGGTCAGTATGTCTCCTATCAAAAGCCAAAAAGACATTGCAGCACATACGTGATAGAAATCTTGAAAGCATCGTGGGAATGGCCGTATTTCCGGTTCAAGGGCCAGGCGATCTGCTGGTAGAGAGTCTCCAGGGGAGTCTGAGTGGCCTCGGCGACGTGGCGCATAATGGAGTGCACCGCCTTGCTCTTGTTGTACCGCTCCTCACACTTGATCACATCCTCGGGGGAGACACGACGCTTGGAAAGATCGATGTAACCTGTGCAAAACCCATGAGTCAGCCATTGGGTTCTTTCTTCCATTATGATATTGTTGCTTGCGTACCCTTCTCCTTATCGACACGGAGGACAATAACAACCTCGTTCCGCCCAATGCGAATGAGCTTCTGAATACTACGGATACGTCTCCGCGACAGTTCAGAGAGTAGAATCATGCCGTCGATGTTGTCGTATTCGAGCAACTTCACGTATGCGCCCATCTCGGCAATCTACACCCATCACGCGAAACTGTCAGCTGAGAAGGTCTTGCGTGCGTTCAAAAGGAGCCAAAATAGACCGTACCTGCTTGACATTGACCATGACATAGCTGTCCACCTCCGGGTACTTGTCCTCGTAGAATCGGCAATTTGTTAACGACATTTTGGCGGGGTTGCACTCTGATTTTCAGCGAGAAATTTTCGATCAAAAAGAGGACTGGGAAGACGGCAGTCCAAGGTGTGTGATAGACTCGAGCCTTGTAAGAAAGGATCTGAGCAAAGCGAAGGGAGATAGGGTCTCGAGCGAGGGACTTGGAAGCAGAAGCACGATTGAAATCGCTCTTTGTGGCGGGCTCAAAACCCACATTGCCCGCGGTCACGGGATCTGACCGCCCAGCATCGGACGTATAATGTCACGTGACTGACTGGGTAGATGGAAAGCAGTGCGAAATGGACATTCAGGTGCACAACGAGGTACCTAACTAAGTCAATATCTCGAGTCACAGCAGATTACATGAAAGCCCAGTTCGAGAAAGATGGTGTCACTTCGTACTAAATCTAGTACCATCTCTTACACAAGATCCCCTTTCACAAGATCCATTATATGCATGTCGGGCCATATTCTGGAAAAGCATAAACATGATGATCCGGTCTGCTGAGAGGCGGAGTGACAATATCACTTCCCTTGAATAACAAAACTAATGTGATTAATTACCATCGTTCCGTACGGTTTGCTGCCTACATAGTATGAGCTGTATACTCCAATTTGGCTTGCCAAGCTTTAGGCTCACCGCCTGGAGATTGCCGAGCATCACAATCCATACGGACGAATCAAGAGAGCGGAACGAGCACATCCTGCCTCAAATGGACGCGGCCCTACTATTTGCCCGGATTCTAGTGATGCAAAGGACTGGCCCTACCACTCCTGTCCACGCCGTTTTAGCTGCGACTTGGCCCCGCTTATCACTTATCAGTACTGTAAACTAATTAATTCCTGCCACCGCCCCTGCGTAAACGCAGTTGGTCGGCAAAAACCAGTGACCTTCCTTGGTCTCAGCCGAGGCCTCGTTCTTTTCTTCTCTTTATATTTCTGTCTCCGATGAAGGATTTGGAGTCCTGGTGACCGAGTCAAGGCCAGGACTCACTTTCAACTCGGCGCAATTCATCATCATGTCGGAGTCGAGTCCCCTTCTCCGCCAGGGCTCGGAGGGACACCGCTCTCTCCAGAACCGCATCATCGACATCCTTCGCACTCCCGGCAGCCGAAGGGCTTCTCCAGGGCCCGATTCCCGTGACGGTGGACGAGGATTGGGAATCACCATGACGAGCGAGCCTGACGCAAGGGCCCGTCTGTTAGAGTCCTATCACCAGGCAGACCCGATATGCGGTGAACGGCGCTGTAGCCATGGGACCTTCTCGCCACGGCCAGAAGGAGCAGACAGACAGGACTACCCGGTGCCCTCCAGTGTTCCTTTTGGATACAATGGCGATGGAGAAACGGAGGCTACGCCTAGTCACTCTCAGGGTGGAGACGACCAGCCAGGATCACGGCCCGATTCCGAGTACACGTCGCAAATGAAGTCGTCCTTGTCCGCTCTCTCTATGAACGAAGATAAGAAATTGTATGCACCTCTCCAGTAAATTCAGAAGAACAATCGTAGGCCGAGTATCGTTGACCGAGTGCTAACGGGTTCCTGCAGGTACATATCATATTACATCCCATTCTTCAACTGGATCAGCCAATATCGATGGTCATTCCTTCGCGGGGACCTGATCGCTGCACTGACTATCTCGTCCATCTACATTCCCATGGCCTTGTCGCTCGCCTCCAATCTCGCTCATGCGCCCCCCGTCAACGGACTCTATTCTTTCGTGATTCATCCCTTCGTCTATGCGATCCTGGGAAGCTGCCCGCTACTAGTGGTCGGGCCAGAGGCGGCCGGGTCATTACTGACGGGTGCTATTGTCAAGGCCAGCTTGCCGAGCAGTAGCCCCAAAGATGATGATCTCATGGAAAGTGCCATCATCATTGGAATATCCACTGCCATGGCTGGAGCCATGATCCTGGTTGCAGGAATCACTCGACTAGGATTCCTGGATAACGTACTGAGCCGACCTTTCCTCCGAGGTTTCATTACGGCTATTGGCTTTGTCATTTTCGTGGACCAGTTGATCCCGGAGCTGGGCCTTGCAGGGCTAGCCAAGGAGGGCGGGGCCAGTCACGGCACCACTGTTGAAAAGCTGACATTCATCATTCGCAATGCCGGGAGTAGCCATGGACTCACGGCGACAGTCTCACTCGTCAGCTTTTCAATTATTATGTTCTTCCGGTGAGTTTAGAAACCTTCCGAGTAGGAGATTTCCGGTCTAACTTTCCTTCTTTCTCATAGAACGCTGAAGAAGTGGATGATGCCTCGCTTCCCTCAAGTGATATATTTCCCAGACCGTTTCATCGTCGTCGTTCTATCAGCAGTCCTAGCCTATAATTTGAGCTGGGAGGACAAGGGACTGGAATTACTCGGACACACTGAGATCAGCTCCAGCCAACTGTTTGCCTTCAATTGGCCATTCCGATTCGACCGCATGAACCATATCCGTACCGCAATGAGCAAGGCGTTTATCATCACCCTCCTGGGCTTCTTCGAGTCCTCCGTCGCAGCAAAGGGGCTAGGTGATAGCAAGCCCGATGGCATCCAGGGCATGCACATGAGTGCAAATCGGGAGATGGTAGCACTGGGCGTGGCCAATCTGCTCGGTGGTTGCTTCATGTCTCTTCCGGCATTTGGTGGATATGGTCGCAGCAAGGTCAACGCTCAAACTGGTGCACGTTCTCCAATGAGCAGTATTTTCCTTAGCCTGATCACCCTCGTCGCCATTCTGGTGCTCCTACCATACCTCTATTACCTTCCTGTGAGTCCCTCTACCGAGCCGATACCTAACCAGAAGTTAATATGAAAAAAGAAAGCCGTCCTCTCCTCCATGATCTCCGTCGTCGCCTACACCCTCGTCGAAGAATGCCCCCACGACATAATCTTCTTCCTCCGTCTCCGCGGTTGGACCGAACTAGTCCTCATGCTCCTCATCTTCACCTCCACAATTTTCTACTCTTTAGAACTCGGCATGGCTTTGGGTATCGGCCTTTCCGTGATAATCCTCATCCGCCACGCCACACAACCTCGAATCCAAATCCTCGGCAAAGTTCCCGGCACGCACACCCGGTTCGAGAATGCCGAACTCCAGCGGGAGAACGTGGAACTTATCGAGGGCGCACTTATCGTTAAGATTCCCGAGCCGCTTACCTTTGCCAATACGGGCGATCTAAAGAATCGTCTTCGGCGGTTGGAGCTTTACGGCTCGAGTCGGACGCACCCGTCTCGTCCTCGTATGCGTCCTGCGGAGCACAACAAGAACATTATATTTGATGTGCACGGCGTGACGAGCATCGATGGTTCCGGAACGCAGGTGCTTTCCGAGATCGTGCGTGCCTACGCAGAAGACGGGGTGAGAGTCTTCTTCTGCCGTGTGCCCAACTCCAACGTCTTCCGTATGTTCGAGCTAAGTGGAATTGTCGAGCAATGTGGTGGTCTGACCCATTTCGTGCCTCATGTTGATGAGGCGCTACGGTTGGCTGAAACCGAGGAACAGACTGAAATCTAGTCTGTCCTCGCATTGTATATATGACTTGTAGAGGTTGATTGTTTACTTGCCTTTTTGAATAGGCGATTTTTTACAATGTTTCTTGTACATCACGAGATCATCTTGTCATCTTTGGTTGCTGTTACTGAGCATGTTCATTTCGAGCGAACAAAACGTGATTTGATTGAGCGATTCTGTTCGGCTATTTTGCCTTTGGTATTATTCTGTTCTCAATCTGGTCCAGTTGCATGATCTGTTCGTTTTTTGGGCCATCTTGTAAACAGATCGACTCATAGCACTTATTTCGTGAGTGCTAATAGACATTGCAAGGCTTGTGTTGTGCAGCCAGACCCATTTCTCCCGTATAGTCCACTCTCGGCTGAGAGGCCTTTGGGTAGTGATAGTCCGAAAGAGTCACCTCGACTTCATGGTCTCAGTAAATCCCCACAGGTAGCTTTGAGCGTGGAGGGCTGCAGCCGTAGCAAGATATTGTCGGCGAACGCCGCGCTACCATTGGCGCGTTGTAGCATCTCATTTGACAAGGTGCGTCCAAGTTGAGTCATGTGTTGACAAGCTCGTCAAAAACTGAAATCTCATCTTCCAATCCTGACCGAAGACTCTTCATGTGGTCACTTGCTCACCAGCGAAACTTTTCCGAATAACAGCACGAAGCAATCTCTCATTTGCCCGCAAAGAAGAGATATTCTGATCTCCCCTATCCCCGTCCTCATCCGTGTTCTCACCAGCTCGCTTCGCATCCACGATGAGCTTTAAACGGCCATCGCTGGATATTACAAACGCAGCACATGCAACCTTTGACAACCGCACATGCTGCCTGGCGACGCCGTTGTGATGCGAACCATCCAGATCCAATTTCATTGCCAGGTGGGTCTCCAGGTAAGACGTGACATTCTCGACCAAAGGAATTCTTGCCTTCCCCTGTACAGCCTTTCCTTTCGAGTTTGCCGCATCCTGATCAAGAAAAGAAACCAGCGAGGCACGAGGAACACCGACATTGATATTCCGCAACGCCGGCGCGATAGACGACGAGAATGATAGCGTAAGCTGTAACTCCTTGATCACATCTTCAACTTCCGAGCCCGGCACAATACTAACGAAGTTCTCAAGCGTTTCACATAAGAACCGCGAAGAAAGGCCGAGCGTTGAACAGTACGTGTCGAAATTGGAGTACATGAAATTGATGAATGTTTGGCGCAGTGCGATGGGGAATTTAGTCAACAGTAGCGGCAGAGCCGTAACCCCTTTCCGTGGTTGAGTGGTCGAGTCGGTATCAGCCAGCAACGCGGCTTTGTATGTGGCATTCTCGTATTCGAGGGTTACCAGAATCCCCGGGAATGAGGCCTTGGGAGGTACGCCACGCTGCTGCGATGGCCCCGCCGCGAAGAACTCCCACCGGCAGTCTTTGAGTTCTCCTGATTTTGAAAGGGTGTCGCTTTCTGATGCATTGATGGTAGATTGAAAGCCTGCGAGGACATCGCCCGTGAGTTGGTCGCGTAATCGCGTAGCGTATGTTTTCAAGGCGGCTTCGTTGTTGAGGAGGGTTTCGAAGTCTTTGCCATGGTGGAGGGGGGAGACACGGTGGACTGTCCATGAGGTATTGAACAATTGCCACCGTGAAGCTTGCTCCATTGTTAAAAATGATTTGTCAAGATATTGAATCCTTGCCTTTTGAATGTCATTATCGCGGTTGATAATCGGCGACGCGCCTCCGTTGCAAACAAAGCAAACAGTCAAGTATCTAGAATTCCAGAATCTGAAGAAGTTTCCAAAACAATCAGTAAAAAAGATAGAAATGGTGTAATTAAGTTCGAATCATTCAATAACAAAGACTCCGGATATTCTAATGTATTTCCAATGTTCATCTAACGCCAGAACGCTCAAAACCCAATGCAAATGCATCCTCGTCATCATGCCCGCCAACCGGAAGTCGACCTACAATCCGGACATCCAAACAAAATCGGAATCCCATTCCAAGTCCAACCGATCTCTACATCATGCGGCATGGCCTGTCGAGCCTCCAATTCTCTCGACGCAGCATTAAACCACAAGTCTCGCACCGAACTATGCGTATTCCGCTGTGACGATCGACCAAAGATCACTGAGTTCATGCGATCTTTCTCATAGGCCGTAGTGTCACGGTAGAAATTATACATAAAGTCCTTCCGCTGCATGCGCTGGTTACCTCCATCACCGATCTCGGCGGAGAAGAACTCCACGATCCGAGTGAAGGGGGATACCGTGAGGAGGGAGCTGATCCATGAGTCGTCTATTTCTGCCTCGGGTGCCATTGTATATCGGATATATGAGACTAGCAGGTGCATGCAGTGGTGTGTCGCAACCAGCGCGGCGGTGTTATTAAACGGAGGTGCTTGCAGGATTCGAGTCTGCAGGTCGCGATACATCCGTCGGCGCGTTTCGATCGGGATCGGGACTGAGAGACGTCCGGCTTCGTGTTCACGGAGGAGCATGTTTGTCTGCTCGCGCCTGGCGGAGGCGTAGGTTTCAAGGAAGTATAACGTATAGTACCTGTGTCGTTCAGAACGAGGTCCCCAACAGTGTGTGCGCTTCAATTGCCTGAGTCGCAACTTACATGAGCGGTGCGAGGTGGAACCATATACTCGCCTTGCCTCTCTTTACCAAAGCAGTCCGCCCGGCCTTTCTTGTGGGAAACGAGGATCGGAGGAAGATGCGCTCTGTCTGTACAAAGCGCTCCATGATCCGGTCTGCAAGGTAGTAGCACAGCATTGAGCATTGCTTCTGCCTTGACCTTATGCCATGGAGATATCTGAAGGTATAGAGGTGACCTCCCCTCGCGCTTTTGGACGGTGGGAACAAGTCCGACAAGAGCACGACATCATCCTCCGGGTTCCGGGTATAGGTTCGCTCGTTGTCGATCGGAGAGGGCAGGGTACCGTGACGGCGTTGGCGGAGGTATTGGCGGACAATTTCGTGTTCGTTGGAGGACAAGAGAGCATTGAAGGCCTTGCAGACAAGCTTCAGGGTGTAATAATCGGGGCTTCCGCAGTACCCAAATATTTGAATTTGGATTTCAACTGGAAGGCCCCACGGGGACGGAGGACCAGGAGGATCAGCATTGAGACTGTCACCAGAGCGAAACGAATGAATTAGGGAGAGATTTCAAAAGTAATAGGCAACAAAAAAAAAGCCAAGGGTATCGGCATAGGCTAAAAGCAAAGATAGCGCCACTCACCCTAGTGAAGACGAGGGTCCGAATCGATCCTTGGACTCCTTCCTCCGGTTAAGCGCAGCTCGAAACTTGTGCACCGTTGGCAGTAGTTTAGAGAAGCCGGTCATGCTTGGGCTTGCGACCACATGGAATGACCAGCTCCGGCGAGGCCACGCAAGCGACGTCGAGACACGAGAAACAAGGTTACGTCAAGAAAATGTTGCGCCAGTCCCAAAAATATGAGCTCCGTTTCACATCTGACTAAGCGCTACAGAGCTGGAATTGCTTCGAGGAAGGATCCGGGGAAAGGAGTTACACTGTCTCCGAACCATTTCTTTATCTTCCGAATTGGCCCCAAGAGCGAAGAGACATTGTTTGGTTTCTGGAAATTGTTCATTTCGATGCTCCAGCCTGTTGGGCGGGGGGCTGGTTGAAGTGGAGGTTTGTCTCGGACGATCACTCTCGGATAGGTGTTTATGACAGGCTCAAGATACGAAGCTGATAGGTAGTTTACAACCAACTACTCCGGGGTTGATAGGAACGAAGAATCGGGTTAAAGTATTGAGATTTTACAGGATCTCAACACTCCTATACCTTCTTCCGACCCGACCGAGTCAACATGTGGATGTCCATCTGTAAAGTATTCGAGATCGCCCGTTGATCAAGTTAATTTGACGGGATTCTATTTTCGGAGATCGATACAGCCACAACCTAGAGCCAGTCCAATCATCGTCCGTCATTGGTCGTCCATGTCCACAGCACACACGCGTTGTCACACAAGTCCTATCGACCAGCCATATAATGAGCCATGGAAGTCTTTGAATTGAGGGAATTTTCGTATCGTCTCATCTGCCACAGTATACTTATCAATATCTGAATATCTGAATTGCTTTGTTGTCAACGAATGCGGCTTCCTGTACCATTACGTCATCGCTCTTGCGTCAGACACTCCTCCAAAGATGCAAAACCCAAGATTATGATTATACGTAACCACTTCGCTTCAATTTCAAACCCCTTCTTCAAGAACGCGAACATCAAATAGATCACATAATCTGCAAGCATGACTAGCAACATCCTCATCGTGGGAGCCACTCGAGGGCTGGGAGCTTCCCTAGCCGCACTATACTCGAAGAACCCTTCCATCCACGTATTCGGGACCTCCAGATCCTCCACGCCACCCTCAGAGCCCAAAATCACTTGGCTGACAGGAATCGACGTCTCTGAGTCTAATGTCGGAGAGAAATTAGTCTCTCAAGTCCCACCATCGACCAAATTCTCAACCGTCATCATCACCGCGGGGTACTTTGGCCTCGAGACCTTCGACACTCCCGACTGGGAGAAACAGACCAAAATGTACACCGTGTCCGCCATAAGCCCGGTTTTTATCGTGCATCATCTGGTTAAAGCAGGGCTTTTGGAGAACGGGAGCAAAGTAATCATCGTCAGCAGCGAGAGCGGTAGTATCACCCTTCGGCATGAGAAGGAGGGTGGAGGCAACTATGGCCATCATGCTAGTAAAGCAGCGTCAAATATGGTGGGGAAGCTGTTGAGCCTGGATCTCAAGCCTCATGGGATTGCGGTGGGTCTGGTTCATCCGGGGTTCATGCGTACGGAGATGACCAAAGGTGTTGGATTTGATAAGTTTTGGGATGATGGTGGAGGTCAGTCAGTCTACACTCAACATACGCACATATTTGTATGGGTTGAAAGGGTTCATACTGATGAATTTTGGGGCAGCCGTGACACCCAACGAAGCTGCCGAGTCGCTGGCTTCGTTTATCGAGACTTTTGATATTAGCAAGACCGGTCAGTACTGGGCACCAAGGGGCCCGCGGTAAGTTGCTCGCTCTTCCCCGCAGTTGGGCCATACTCATCACGTTATTTAGGGACATTGGCACGGCGGAGAGTGTCCTCGGAAAGGACTTGCCAACTCCTCTACAGTTGCCGTGGTAATGACTTGGTCTACAAAGCTGTCTTGAGAGATAATGTGAACTTCATTGCATTAATTTGCTTTGTTTTGTTTTTGTTGGGTCTCATTTATTGTGACAGCATGATCAGGACGGAAGATGTAGGGCAATTTATGCCCAAAAAGAAGATCACAACTAAGATCAAATATAAGAACCAGGTCATGGCCCATTCAATGTCTCCATCGGCGAAATCGGAGCGGTAGATGATGAAAACCGGAGAGAAGAAAGATCCAGGACTCCGAGGGGAGGTCAAGTAGCAGGCGATTGACTTTTGGCCGTATATTCGAGAAGGAGAAAGGTCCAGATTCAATATATCCATAGATGTTGATGGACGATGCCCTGATAAGAGGCAATGGTGGCGGCCCCAGATGAAGAGCTTGGAGGGTCGGTGGAGAACGGAGAGTACTCTCTAGTGGCAGAGATTCCTGCTGCCCAATGGCTGAATCAAGTCAGGGAATACTCAAGGTAAGTAAACATATCATTCGGGAACTCACGTTGTCTGAACAAACCATAAATCTCATGAATTGGAAGGGAGATGTGTGACTGTTTAGCGCTTCTTCGCCCCGATGCGCCCATTTATGTCCGATGCTTCTTCACCCTGGACTCCAACCCTGCGGCTTGTGCCTCCACACCGCTCCTCCTCCACCTTCCCAGGTTACAACAGTGAACACTTGCGGAGTGTTCGCGCGCACGACGGGGGGTTCGATCGTAGGTAGGGCCCGGTTCCTCCCACAATGCCCGGTGCTTCCTCACCCTGGGCTCCAATCCTGCGGCTTGTGCCTCCACACCGCTCCATAAATCCTCCGCCTTCCCGGGTTACAACAACGAGAATTTTGAAATTTTTTGAAAGTTTTGGATGTTTTTGACCGTATGTCCAAGGCCTCGTCCTGTGAGTGGCTGTCGTGGGGCGTTTGAGATCCAGGGGGATTTTGAATTCATTTTTGTTGGATGAAATGCAAGACTTGGGGGTAGATCAACAACTTGCTGAAGTGCACATGCCAGTATCGATTAGTGGAGCAGGTACAAGGCATGTAGGCTGTTCACATGATACCATACCAGGTTAACAATCCTGTCTCATAGGAGTGGAAATAGTCCTTACCTGGACTTGGATGCGATCTCGAGTGTCAAAATCGGGCAGTGAGTTGGCTTTTTGATGTGAAGAGAAGTGGCAGGGAGGTAGACATGGCGAGAAGTTTGATGTTGTGATGTGCCCATATCAAGTCCCTCATTAGGGATGTGGAGATGAATTGAGTCAAGACGATCATGATGGTGATTTGAGGTGGGAAGAGTCAATGTGAATATCAGAAAAGAAGAGTGTGATGTGGGAGGGGTCGAGTCAACAGATATTTGAATAATGATAGAGCTTTCATGTAGAACGAAAAAGGCGCTTCGATATGTGGTTTGGGGTAAGGTGAGACCAGGTAAGGTCATTCATATGGTGGATCTAGAATGATGTTGAATATGAGAGGCATCATATAGAGGGCTCAATGATGTAGGACTTACTTTGTCATAGGTATGGTATAGTTGTAAGCTGCCATGGAAAGGTCTGGATGAGAGAGGGCAAGAAGATGTAAACAAGTCCACGTGTTGACGTGGGTGAGGAAGGGTATGTAGGTGGACGCGTCGGTGTTGAGGTGTTACTGGGAGGATGGCACCAGTGCGATGTCACAAAGCCCAGGGAAAAGCATCATGGAGATAAATGGGAGAAGTGGTTTGAGATCAAGTGATAAAAGTCTCAAGAGCTTGATGAGGTGGAGACACAAGCAGATGAATGATGGGTTGATAGAAGAGTTGATGAAAGAGTTGATGGAGGAGTTGATGGAGGAGTTGATGGAGGAGTTGATGGAGGAGTTGATGGAGGAGTTGATGGAGGAGTTGATGGAGGAGTTGATGGAGGAGTTGGTGGAGAGGAGATGGATAAGAAGCGTGAGGAGAGGAGGGAGAGTTGGGAGAAGGAAAAGAAAAGGAGGAGAAAAGTTGAATATATAGCAAATCCAGAAAAGGCCACTATACCCAAGCGGGACGATTGCTGGATATACAGAGAGACGAACACGCATGCCCAGAGACGTGAAGAGGAATATTCCGTCCTTTGGCGTGTTCAGCGCATAACCCGCCCCCTGCGTCAGGATATCACAGTCCTGGGGAGTGCAATTTGAATGACAATGGTCTCTAAGTTGATTTATTAGAGTAGAGATCATCTATATACATATCAAAGCACCTGCATGCAAGTCTGTTATCTTCTGTCATTCCGATTCGGATACTCAAGTATTCTTCTTGTTCGGCCGAGCACACATAAAGACCAGATCCTGCCCAATATCCGGCCGACGTTCGTGTGCAATCACCTCCATACCAAAGATCTTGGTATACCAATCCTGCATTCGCTTGTCACCGGTCAAAAGCATGATACGGCGTAGATATGGCATGTTCTCAGTGGAAAAGACCTCCGAGATGCTGTTCATAAGCCATCTCCCAAGTCCGTGGCCTTGATATTCTGGAAGCACGTAGACATCTGAGAGGTATCCATACGTGATACCATCTGTAACCATCCGCGCAAGGCCGATTTGCTCTGTGTTATCTGCAGTAGGAGCGAACGGTTCACCCTCAGGCTGGGGTTGGATGTGCTTGTAAACACCGAAGCTCATGGAGCCGTGAAGCATCTGGTGCATAGCTTCCTCGGGGAAGGGTTTGCCCCAGTAGAGAAAATCTTGTCCAAAGGCATCATTGACTGCCTTGACTGATAGAAGGGATGGGTCGTTTGAGATGAAGAACTCGCTGTTCGGCCGTGTCCATGTTCGAGGGGCTGTCGTGGTTGTTGGTGGGGCAGTGGACATGATAAAAAATCTTGCAGAGCGCGGGGTGATCCAAGCTTTTGGGAGGTTTGAAGGATAGTAGTATCCCAATTTAAGGACAAGCTCTGAGCTTTTCGGTGTTTTTCTAGCTGGAAATGGCAGCTGAGTGCGCAAAGTAGTTGTATGTCGTGAGTCATCGGCAGCGAGATCGAAAGGTGGCCGAAGTACGCCGAGCCCTCTCTGTACCGCCCGCCGTCCTGCTGCAGCAACAACCAGGCATCCGAATTATATCCCAGTTAATATGAGCGTCATTCTTGGTTGACAGTAAGTAAATAAGCAGGTCCAGTCTGCGACTTGAATGACTTATTTGACAGACGAGAATCACGTTTTCCCGTGGATTTTCGTTGGGCCCGAGGGTGTGTAGCAACAGGGCAACAATCTACCAAGGGAATCTCCCATCAAATTACGATTTGATGAGAATAGAGACTGCAGTAATCCATTCTATTTGAATAATGCATAAAGATTCTCTGTCATGCCTTTCAGCAAGTGTGATATGTATAGCACCGTGATTCTCGCGGGGACTACATGATTTGTGCAGATCGTACTTTATACATCATTCAGGAATAACAAGAATAATTCACCAACAATAGCGAGTGTTTTCGTAAGGATTAGCACGTGCTATATGTCCATAAGTCTCCATCAATTGAATCGGAGTCTCTACAAGTCGGCCGAGAGACCAGGCCTAAGCCTCAACCCGACGAATCGGCCACATCACGGTATCTTATCGCGCAATCAGCCAAAAGCAGTATGAGTTGCGCCGTAGTGTCTGGGGACATGCGCACGTTGAGAAAAAAGTATGAAAGATTTATCTGTGGTCTACCCCACGATGGCGATTACAGTGGGGTTGATGGTGTTGTTAGCACAAGATACATCTCCAACTCCCTGACGCCATCGGCCTCGGCAATGGTGTTAGCAACGCCAAATCAAATGGGTTCAAATCCAGACATGGCCACGACTATCGGCATTCTTGCGAGAATTGCAAGTAATCGTCCTATTTGGTTACCTGCTTGAATTATGACTCGGGTTGCGTGTGAAATGTTTCAGATGGCGTGCAGAGTACGGCGAGGGGTCGAACCATACATTAATGCTAGCAGTCCCAAACCAAGTTACGTTTGTTCTATCTAGTGACTTTTTCCAGCTACAAGAAGCAAAATCAGTAAACCTTCTCGGAAAATCAGCATGGCACTTCTGGAGAATCCTGAAATAGCAGCTGTGCCGCAGAGTACCTACATTACACAGCCATTTAAAGGTCCCACGGTGACGGTTGAGAGCACAGTTGAGGAGACCAAATCCAATGCAGCAACTCCCAGGCCCCAGTTTGAGCTAGAAGAGCACCCTGTCGATCAAGTAAGACCCATTAAGGTGGGCATCATCGGTGCTGGTCTATCGGGAATTACTGCTGGTATACTACTTCCTGCCAAGCTGCCTGGTCTGGACCTGCGTATCTGGGATAAGAATGCGGACGTGGTATGTGTTTACATTCACTTCTCCGTTATCTTCAAAGCTAACCTGTTCATCTAGGGAGGTACTTGGTAAGCCGCCTTCGTCAGGTTTTATGTCAGCCACGGCGTTGTATTGTTTTCATCAAGTTGATTGTGCCTCTAACGAGAGAAACAGGTTCGAGAATACTTATCCTGGTGTGAGATGCGATATCCCAGCACATGCCTATCAATCAGTCTTCTCGCCCAACACACAGTGGACAGAAGAGTTTGCCCAAGGTGCAGAGATCAGGGATTACTGGCAGGGGGTAGCGAAAAAGTACAATGTACACCAGTATCTGCGCCTACAACAGCAAGTGCAGAAAACAGAGTGGCTTGCCGAAGAGGGAAAATGGAAAGTCACTATTCAGCATGTCGATGGCTCGAATAAGGTAACAACCTCTTTCGCGTCCTAAGCCAAAGCATTTGAGACTGACGACCGTCTTCAGGTCTACGAGGAAAAGCTAGACATTGTCATTAACGCTATTGGTCACTTCAACGCTTGGAAACTGCCAGACTACGAAGGAATCAAGGACTTCAAAGGTCCACTCTTCCACTCCTCTAATTGGAATCATAATGTCGACTTGAAGGGAAAACGGATTGCCCTGATCGGAAACGGTGCCTCGGGCTTGCAGGTCCTTCCATCCATTCAGCCCATCGCCAGTCACGTTGATCACTATGCCCGAAATCCCACCTGGGTTGCAGACTCCTTCAGCAGTGGAAACGGCGGTGTCCGCCGACTAGAGCCGAATCTCTTTTCCGAGGCCCAGCTCGAGTCCTTCAAGGATCCTAAGAAATATCTGGAGTACCGCACACAAGTGGAACGCGGATTCTTCCAGCGCTTTGGGGCTATCTTCAAAGACACCGCCGAAAATCAGGAATTAAAGGACAAATGGACGACGCTCATGTTGAAGCGCATCGCAGGCAAGCCAGAGCTAGCAGAGCTTATACTCCCGGATTTCCCACCCAATTGCCGCCGTCCTACTCCCGGACCGGGTTATCTCGAGGCCCTCACCAAGGATAATGTCAGCTACATCCGCCCACGCATCAAGAAGTTCACAGAAGATGGGATCATCACGGAAGACGGCATCGAGCGAAAAGTCGACGTGACAATCTGCTCAACGGGTGCAAACGTGGACCACGCCCCACCATTCTCCATCATCGCCAACGGCATCGACCTCAAATCCGCCTGGAAGAAAGACGGTCTTTTCGGATTCCCCTACTCCTACCTTGGCTTTGCGACTCCAGGCTTCCCCAACCTACTTTGGCTTGGTGGACCCTACTCCTCCGGCCACAGCGGTACTGTCCCCAACAGCGTCGAGAACCAGGTGACGTACATTGCAAAGGTTCTTCGCAAATTCCGCAGCCAGGGTATCAAGACTATCGTGCCATCGAAACAGGCTGCAGATGACTTTGTCGAGTACTGTGACTCGTTCTATCCGCGCACGGTATGGTCAGCCAACTGCAGTTCATGGTATAATGGTGGTCAACCCGGGAGCCGGATTCACGGATTGTTCCCTGGTAGTGCGGCTCATGCAAACTATATTCGTCGGGATCCTCGCTGGGAAGACTGGGAGTATAGTTATGTCAATGGTAGTGGGAATCGGTTCGCTTTCTTTGGCAATGGGTGGACTTCGAGGGAACTTGAGCCGGAGAATGCCAACTTGACGCCTCATCTAAAGTTACCAGAGCATATTGATTTGAGGTCACATTTGGAGGGATGGTGGGATGTTTAGATTTTTGTATAGAATTTGATGCAAATCTCTTGGCTGTTTAGAAGATACAAATCCGAATCTCAACGGGAGTCGCTATCACAGAACGGCTTATAACTCCAGGGTATCGATCCCCATTCCCTTGAAAGCCAGTCTATTCTGCACACCGTTAGTAGGATCGCTTCTACCCTTCAAAATCTGTCATGACCATTGCAACGAGGACTCTCAAGCTTTCGGGGAAAATAAGGAAGAGCAATTGACCAGGGAAGGCAGGAAAGAAGCATGGAACCCCTTCGTTTCTCACTAGGCTAGTTCATGGCAGGTAGTTCAAGTGTCTCACACCATATGCATGGGTAAATATGACCTCCAGATGTAAGTATATCTAGGAGATGGTTTCTTACTTGTGATTCCTTTTCTTCTATCTTTAAGTATGCTTAAATCATATCTTCCATACACTATCATGCTTTATCACACATACATCTCCATTTCATGTCGACTCCTCCAACGAGTACGGAGGCACGTCCTGGCCCTCCTTCCAGAAATACTTGGCTCCAGCATGAGCCTCGGGAAGTCTCGACGATCCCCGCTGCCCATACATATTCTCTCGCAGCGTGCCCCCCTTGACAGCATAATCCTCCCAGAACAAACCCCGGCGACGCAACTCGGGCAGCAAAAGCTCAATAATATCATCAAAGGTATCCGGCAAACTGGCATAGCTCAGGTTGAACCCATCCACATCACCAACACTCACCCACCGCTCCAACTCATCCGCAACAGTCTTGACACTGCCAATAATCTTGACGCCGTTTCCTCCGAGAACGAGGTAATCCGCAATCGTCCTCTTATCCCACTTCACGCCCTCGGTGCCGGGAACCGTACTAGCCCAGTGATTCACCATACTTCGAACGGCGGGAAGCTCAACGAAACGGAAGTCTTGATCATCCGCGTACGTGGAGAGATCGTAGCCCGTCCATCCACCGAACAGAGCCAATGCACCCTCCCGATCCCCGTATTGCTTGAACTCGTCAAACTTGGCCTGCGCAGCTTCGTCCGTCTCGGCCACAATCACCAGTGCTCCCGCAATCACCTTGATATCGCTCGGGTTCCGGCCCAGTGCCGCAGCTTGCTGACGGATACTGTCCACCGAGGGACGGACCAGCTCTGGTTTCTGCGCATGGAGGAAGACTGCCTCGGCGTGTTTAGCGGCAAATGCCTTGCCAGCCGTCGAAGTGCCAGCCTGCAACAAGAACGGGGTCCGCTGGGGACTCGGTTCACACAGATGCGGGCCGGGAACCTGGAAGTACTTGCCCTTGTGATTGATCTGGCGCACACGAGCCGGATCCGCATATTGCGTCGTCTTCTTCCTCTCGGTCAGAGAATCATCGTCGCCTTTGCCCCAAACAACGGCGTCGTCCCTCCAAGAGCCCTCCCACAGTTTATAGGTAACATCCAGATACTCGTCCGCAATGCGATACCGCTCATCATGCTCAACCTGCGTATCAAGGCCGAAATTCCTCGCCGCAGAATCCAGATAAGAAGTCACAATATTCCAGCCCACTCGTCCTCCACTCAAATGATCCACCGTCGAAAACCGTCTCGCCAATGCATACGGAGCATCGTACGTCGTCGACGCCGTCACCCCGAACCCGATACTCTCCGTCACCGCCGCCATGGCGGGGATACTGTATAGCGGGTCGTTGATAGGGAATTGCGCCGCGGCGGGGATGGTAGGATCTAGATTGCCGGGGCCCTTGTAGACATCATATCCGCCGAGCACGTCGGCAAAGAAGATTGCGTGGAATTTGGCGGCTTCGAGCTTTTTGGCGAGGTCTGTCCAGGTTTGGATGTTTTTGTACGAGGGGCCCTGATCGGTTGGGTAGCGGAATAGACCTGGGTTGAGGTGGCTCGGGGAATGCATTGCAAATGCATTAATGATGAGTTGTTTTTTATTTGTTTCCGACATGATGACGGTGATGCTGGTGATGTATGTAGAGAGAAGTATCAAGATTGAAGGAAGGAGAGAAAAAGCAATGGGAAAAGATGTCTTTTCTCGTCTTCGGAACTTTTTTTGCTTTTTTATTTACTTCCGAGGGGTAATTGTCCTAAATTTATCGTGCCTGGCCTGTCAACCCCGCGGGTCTCTCCCTGTGCAGATCTGGATGGCGTGCATGCTGGTGCAAGGCGTGCAGTTGGAGTCCGATGGCGTCAGCAAGACAGTGGTGGGGTGAATCGCTAGAGGCTGTTAGCATTGGAGAGATATTATTTGATGGATTGATAATTCCATTAGCCTACCGTGATGAATCTCACTGCTCCCGTCTTGTTGTCCCTCGGCCGATAGACGCAAAGGCTGGAGTCTGAGGATGTGAAGCTGTACTGGACCCGTTCTTGGCAAATGGGTCGGCCAGCAACCACCTTTCCATCCCCCTTCCCTCCTGTCAATGAGCGAATTTTCTATCTTTGGAGGAACAAGTTTACTGGTAAAATAGACCCTATTGTTATGAAAGCAAATTGTATTATGCTACAAGCCCGAAGCAACAAACTAATTAAGGCGCGAAATAAACAAAGGTATCACCATATGGAGCAAGGCACAGCAAAAGAAGGTGGGGGTATCGTCATGGATCCAAATCGTGTCCAGCCATAATACAAAGCGTCAAGAGATCCGGAAAAGTAGACTTGGGGGCAAAGAAATACTTCATGCCTGTCAAGCATTAACCACCCCCGGATCAAACGTGATAAATCACGAGGCGAAGATAAAGGGTCATATCGTCATGGAGTCAGAGCAAGGAAACGGCCATGAAAAACTGCACTGCAACTCAAAATTACGCAGTCGTGGTTTTTTTAAATGTCCTCAACGACACGAGCGTTGATCGCACGCTGGAAGCCATCGTCTTGGAGGTGGTTGTCCGTGGCACCATAGTTGCTGGGGCCCTCGCCAGCGTTATCAGCAGCGGCAAGCTGCTGCTGCACAGTCTGGTTCATGGCTGGCAGGAAGATAACCTTGCTGTTGGCAGTCTTAGCCATCGCCTGCATAGCCTCGAGGTAACGGATCTGCATGGCCGGAGCCGAGGACAGGATATCGGCAGCCTGGCGCATCAACTTGGCCGATTCGACTTCGGCGCGGGCGGCGATAACCTTGCTCTCACCGATCCGCTTGGACTGAGCCGCCATGGAGAGCGAATCCTGCAGGTCATTGCTGAAGATGATGTCCTTGATGAGCATGGACTCGACCTGGACACCCCAGCCAGAGGCAACCTCCTCGATAATCTCCGCCGTAGACTGAGCGATCTCCTCGCGGCGCTCGATCACGTCTTGCAGGACACGGGCACCGATGACATGGCGCAGGGTGGTCTGGGTACGCTCAATGAGGGCCTGCTTCACATTGGAAATGCCGAATGCGGCCTTGTGTGGGGAGGTGACTTGGTAGTAGATGACGGAGGTCAGGTTGAGGGTCACGTTGTCCTTGGTCATGCAGACCTGACGGGGGACTTCGACGATTTGGATCTTCACGTCCACGGTGGTCAAGTGTTCGCTCAGGGGGTTCACCTTGACCAGACCGGGATCGACCGAGCGTTCAAATCGTCCGAATTTGGATACGAGACCAACTTGGCCCTGGTCGACGGGTTTGAATGGGTTGGGGCAGCAGATGCAGCAGGGGATGGCACCGCAGAAACCGATACATTCTCCCAGGGTGTGGACTAAATGGGGAAAGGTGATTAGACTTGATCGTTTGAGAGGTTCTCAAGGTACGGGCGACCACTTACTCATTTGCGCATACCAACCGTGCGCGTCCGGGTTATCATTATCGTGCTGGAGGGTCGCCGCATAGCGAGGCTGCAGGTCACCCAAGCGGGCAGGCTGGACATTGACGAGGCCGTGGGCGTGGGTCGGGCGAGACGAAGATGGCTCGTGGAGCGAAGCCTTGCCAGTGCTAGCACCGTTGACGGACATTTTGTAGATGAGAGGAAATTCGAAAGTCGAGAGGGTCGATAGAACCGAGGGATGGTAGTTCTAGAAAAAGACGGGGATGATGAACATGGACGTGTGAGGGGTCATGCAAGGCTTAAATACACGGCAGTAACCTTGGGGGAGAAGCTAAAACTCGTACGGGTCTCCAGAGGGAACTTGGGCCTCCCTCCAGTTCAACAGCCTCGTCGGCCAAGGAGTTCACAGCTTTCTCCGCAGTGGGGCCCAGCCCTGCATAGAAAAAAGGTCCCCTTTGGTTCTCAATTTTGAATTATGATTATTATTGATCTCCTCACCAATGAGCCCCTCTCCGGCTTGGTTCTTTACCCCCCAAGTTCCGGCGATCTTCCTAAGCCTCCGTCGTGTCATGGCTGTGTCTCTCGGGCGCAAAGACCTTTGGATCCACTTCACCTCGATACGTTCAATGCTTTGGTCCCATGGGGTGCCGACTAACCGAACTATCAAGTACGGGATCATCTGCATTTATTCGCCCGCTGCTTACAGAGTTAGCGAGTACGATGGAAGAGCTGCGACGTTGCTGCGCCGGGACATGATGGGGATGCGAGATGGGATGTCCATTCTGGGTAGCCCCGGATTTGCAAGAGTGCAGAGGTATGCAACGATCATCTACGGATCATTGTGTCTGGAATCTTTCCACTCCCATTCCTGGACTCTTCTACTGTCCGTTGCCATTGCTGTGCCGGCATGGCATGCCAGGTTCCACTTTTTCCGTGTCAATACGAGTTGAAAGGATTCGATGGGCATGTCTGATTGTGACCGGGCAAATTGGCGCATCCTGGGCATACTCGGCTCTCGTCATGGCCCCGGGGTGGAAGGCCCACCGTCTTCCAGATGCCTTCTAGTGGTGGGGACCGCCCCGCGAGGCAGAACCGGGATTGGGGGCTTGGAGGTCTTGAACAAGAGGCTGAGTGTGGGCCTGTTGGGGGTCGGATTCATCGAACTCTTGGGTTATTCTTCTACGAAAAATGTCTCGTTGGCACTGAAAAGCCAAAGTTGTTAAAGTCCTAAACTCATTAGGCAAGATGAGCGATTAATTTGTCCGGATCAAATCCCCAACTCAATCGAAGGGGCTTAGATCCCGTGAGCTTGTTCCACGAGGAACGAAAACGAGGGAACGAGCTGTGACGTAGAATAACGCTAGCTGCTCAATGATTCATGGCCCCCAAATTGCCGGATCCCCTATTGGCATCCGATCGTACGGTCGGTCCATGGGTTAGTGTCGGGGGGCAGTGCCGGACCTGCTGACTGGATATCATTGAGGCTCGAGTGTCCTGGGGGGGCAAGAGTAACCTAGAGAGAGAATAGAGAGGAGTATTAGGAAAAGGGAGGATATACTTGAGATGCAGGGAAGAATGGAAAGATGGCCTTAGCATGGTTGACACTCGAATCTTGAAATATAGTGCATTTAGTTGGGGCATCTTACATCAACTGGCATCATTGGTCTAGTGGTAGAATTCGTCGTTGCCATCGACGAGGCCCGTGTTCGATTCACGGATGATGCACTCCTTTCTTTTTTTGTTTTTTCCATTCATATGCTCAACGATATGCCATATCTTTGATTTGGCTATCTTCAATGGTATCAGGCATATCATTTTCTTTTGAAGGCCACAGCGGAGGGTTATCTCAATCTTTCGTGAGAGCATATGATGTTGTGCCAATGACTGAAGATATATATTGTTCCATACTTGGGTGACCTAGTTGAAGGCATGTGCCTTCTGAACCCTAAACTCCCGCCATCATCAGTACACGTACTGTCTACACATACTGTAGATAGTGTAATATCGGGACCTGTAAATTACTAGATGCGTTAGGTTTTGCTGTTCCAGGCTTAGCGCCCCTTTACGCTATTCTATAATCTCCTCTCCCAGTCGCTCGAACATATAAGACCAGACTTCGCCGGTTCGACCTCTTCACTCCTTCCTCCCTCTCTCCGTCTCCTCTATCTTGCACTCATTGCCACTTCCTTCCTTTGTTCCCCACCCCCATCGACCACTACGCACTCGCCTTCTGCCCAACGTACTGCCCCCTTCACCTTGCCCGGCTTCTTATCGAAGCCATCTCTGTTTGATACCGACGCTGGCGACTAACATTAGACTGCATGCCAAATAGCACCGAGTGCAAGCAGCGTCAACGGGCGATGGTGCAATCCCTGGCTAGTGGCAATGATGAAGGTGGCAGGTCCTGGAATTCACATCCGACGCCCGGCCACCTCTTACCAAATCCCGCATCATATCTGGCAAAAAGCTATGTATAAAAGTCCTGATGCCATCCTGCACCAGGGCCGATCTATCACTCCTTTCTCTTTGATCCTGAAAAACATGGACACGTTGCAGTTTAGAAATCGCTTGGACAAACGGGCACGCCGAGGCGAGCGGCTGTCAGACGAAGAAATCGAGTTCATTACGAACAAAAGCGCCGAGCTGGCAGATGCGCCTACTGGTAAGCCATAGAAAACGGTGAGCAGCTGAATGGTCGTCTGACTCGCAGTGGCCTGCTTGGGCTGTAGAAGAGAATGACCGCGTTCACCCCGACCAAGTTGCCTGGGCTGTCAGGGCGCACCACGCCTTAAGCAAGCCTGCCAACGAGATCAACGAGCAGGACGCAAGCGAGGTGATGTCAAAAGAGGTAGGATCATAACTCGTCGATGCGGCTTGATGTCAAGCTCATAGTACGCACAGAGCCGAGCTTTTGACAAGCTCCCAGCAACCGGATCAGTGGCATCCCATGTGCAGTCAGCGGGGCAAAAAAATACTTCTAATACTGGTGGGGGCTAGATACGACCAAGAAATGCTATTGCACACACACACACATACACGCAAATCGTCATGTTTTGTATGCATACGGGGACAGTAATCAATAGTGCTGTCAAGAACGTGAGCTGGTGCGCGATTCTCAGTGCCCTCGAAGTGCTAATAGAAGCGGCGCTAGTATTCGTTGTACAACCAAAGCATTTTCTCTTATATGGGTTTCAATATCTAGTCGAAAAAATGCATATAGATCGCTTGATCCTCCAAAAGAAGATAGTCTATTCTATCCAGAACCCTACAGTCGCATATTGAACGATAAAATATTTGGGACGTATACTGAGCAGCAAGGCGGTGAATATACAAGTCCCGTCAGAATGCGGAGATGTTGCGGCCAACACAACAATTAGACCTGAACCCGAGACCCCGCGTTCCAGAGTACACTGACGGTCCCTCGCAATTATCTACAATCCAGTGGGAAGGCTCATATTATCAGAGCACTCACAACCACATTCAATGGTATCTCAAAGTTACAGCTCGACGGCACGAGCTGGTGGTAAACCATCCACCCAGCCCGAGACCACCCCCAACTTCGAAGACCCGAACTTTGACCCCGCCGATTTCCTCAATGAGACACTATCGCCATTGACAGTATCATCCTTTCAACCGAATGCCTCCCGGGCTCCGGGCTCCGTGCCTCTGGCGGAGCTGTCAGCCCAAGTCCAGTCATTGCTATCGCAGATCAGCGCGCAGAACGTCCGTCTATCCAGTACACTCTCCCAACTCAGCGATGAGATCCTTCGCAGCGGTGGACGTCTAGCCTACGAAGTAGAAGTACTACGGGGAGAAACGATTGGGCTATCCGAGACCCTGAACGAGGTCCTGCGTGAGGACATTACCAAGTTTGTCCCCGACGCGCCATCAGAGACAAAGACTAGCGCGGCCAATCGCAAGAAGGAGGAGTCTACACAAGAGACGACCGAAGACACCACTGCCACCCAGGAAGATGCAGAGCTCACTAAGGAGCAGGAGGAACTCCCCGTTACGAGCGACCCCGAATACATCACCAACCTCCGCACCCTCAATCAAGTTCGCTCTCGACTCGAAGACGTCGTCCAGATCTTTGGCGATGCAATGGAATGGCCTCTTCCTCCCTCCGAAATCTCCTTCTCCTCGTCCTTTATATCCGTGTCGGGTCCCGAGCTGAGCGCCGAGGGCCACAGCCAGGAAGAAAAGGGACAGGAGATTATGAAAAAGATACGAACAGAGATCATGGACCTACTGGACCGTGACGGGGGTGGGCGTGATGGATTGGAGGCCGCTACTCGCCGCATCGAGGCTTTGCGGAACCTAGCTGTCGTTTGGAAGGGCTCCGCGGAGGAAAAAGCACGGCAGCGATTTGTGGATGCATTAGCCAGGATCGTGGATGAAAGGCGCCGGACCTTGGAGCACCAGCAAGCCATGGCCGAGCAGAGTCAACGAGGGCCTCGATCACGAACGGAGCAAAGGCGCGATAGTGACAGTGGAGGACCCGGAGGCGGACTGTTCCGCAACTTGCAGCGGCTGCGGGAGGAGATCTATTTAGAGTAGAGAGTAGAGAAAGCTTAAATACTACTAGTCTCCAAGACTTTAATCCCTATATCCTCTCACCGTTGAACTAGAAACTGTCGTATAATGACTGCACTCGTCCAAATTTCTTGTTCATATTGTTTCGTCGTACAACTGGTGCCGGAAGCGGGAAAGGCGCGCCGATCACTGGTGGCTCGCTCCACGTCAAAACGTCGAATGGTCGATTGCGTACTTCCCGCGTGGCCTTCCCAGATCAAATATCTGAAACGCTCTCCCGCCCGCAACCTTGGATGCTGCGGGCTACACGCAATGTTGAATTTGTCCAACCTCACTCGCAGCCGAGTGTCTCTCCGTTAGAATGGCGTCGTCTAGCTCGTCGTTGTCGCAGTTCGACGAGCCCAAACCGTCCGCTGCGACCCTGTTATGGCAGGCCTCCCAGTATCGGCCGCGAACACGCAGGACCAAGGCAATTGCCTTTTCCATACTTTCTTTCTTGTTGCTACTATGGATGATGTCCTCGTCTCGGGTATGTGGTGATCTCTTTCCCTAAGGGGCAGTGGAATGGGCCATATCTCGATCGAGGCATGTCGCAAGTGCTAATCTGACGATGTGATATCTAGCAACAAGCCGAGCCGAACTTCTGGACCAAATTCCCATCGCGTCACCCCTTTTCTGAACGCCCCGAAGATGCGCAGGTCGCTCTTCCTCGAAAGTCAGATCTCTCCGCGAACGATACCCTCCCTCATGACCTGGGAAAGACCAACCCCCACCTCCATGTTCTCGTGCCGACCGTGAAGGGTTCCCGCGGCGCCTGTCGCACGATGACGTCTGCTATGATTCTCGGATATCCGCCTCCAACATTGATCGGTTACGGCCATGAAAAGCCCGGGGCGACCGAGCTCGAGCGTACGGTGGAGCAAATCACTCGCGTGCGGGATTATCTCCAGACTAGCCGCGTCGTCAAGGATCGGGATTTCGTGTTGATTGTCGACGCCCAGGATGTCTTCTTCCAATTACCTCCGCGGGTCCTGGTAGAGCGATTCCAGGATCTCATTCGGAAGAATAACCAGAAGCTGCAGAAGAAGTATGGCTTTGCCGTGGTAGAAAAACCCAATGGAGCTTCTCCGGATCTAGTGCAGAAGTATACCCAGCGAGTTCTGTTCGGAGCTAGCAAGCTCTGTTACAGTGCCTTGGACAGTGACCCTGGATGCGTCTCTGTCCCAGAGTCAAGTCTACCCCCAGATGTCTACGGATGGAAGACGGATGTTCATCCGGATGGACATTTGAATCGGCCTCGGTGGTTGAATCCCGGCGCAGTGATTGGCCAGGCTGCCGATCTGAGAATCATTTATGATGAGGTTCTACGTGTGATGGAGCAGCGCCACAAGAAGCATGGCGACTACCAGGCCCTGACCCAGATCTTTGGACGACAAGAAGTGGTCCGAGAACTGGAGCGGCTTCGTACCGTCAACAGGATCAAGGAATGGGTCTACGGGATGCTGGGTATATCCGATGCAATCAACATTGATGGAATCAGTGTTCGTCTCGAGACTGGCCATCGCTACGAGTACGGCATTGGTGTGGACTACGAGTCCCAGCTCTTCTTCAATCAGATCCTCTCGCGCAATGATGTCGAGTGGATCAAGTTCAATAATATCACCAAGACTTCCCTCCTCCAAGGGCAATTCGGTGTTCCACGAGAACACCGTCTTCTTCTTCCAGAAGACATTGCGGCTCTACCGAACCCCTTCAACCAAACTCGTTTCGCCAGGGAACAGACCACTCCACCAGCGTACAACGCGACCTTGGACAAGCTCCCAAACCCGAAAGACCACTCGTGGAACAACATTCCCCTCATGACAAACCCTCATTCTGCCTCCGTCCCCGTTCTGGCCCATCTTAACGGAGATCCCAAACTGCGCAATGTATGGTGGGAGAAGATGTGGTTCTTTCCATGGGCCCGTGCCTTACTCCGTCGATACGTCCGCTCCTCGCACGGGTTCGATACTGCACAGTCCGCACTTTTGGGTGGCCAGGAGTGGTGGGATATGCGTGGTGGACGTGGTGGTCTGTGGACCGATGACGAGAATTGGGTTACAGTCTCTGAAGTCTGCGAGGGCCAGGAGCGAGATCTATTTGATGATGATCTCGGTCCTTGGGCTAAGGAGAACGGCGATCCGGACGTGCCGGTCTATAATCAGTTTGGGAATCTGATCAAGGGGAAAGAGAAAGAAGAGGAAGAGTTCCTCTAGACATGTCCCAGGTCTCGGTTTGACCCTTTTCCTTTATCTTTTAAGAATATGGCATTGAAGGTGTTCCTCATAAGCCTTTTCAAGCTTTCCACTTTTGGGATCTCGAGAGTTGGATCTACCATCCCACTGCTGCAAGAATACCCAGCACTTTCTTTTTCGCTCGATACCAACGTTTATTTTTGCTAAGACCATGGCATTGTAGCCATGCTCTTAGCCACTGATCATGGAGTACCGGTTCATCGTTTGGGTTGTATCATAGATAGATGTCAAAGTCCTTATTAAAGTGGCATACATAATGAGATCAAAATTACAAGCTCCAAACTCCCGAATTCAGTAAAAGACATTCATGTAGTCTAACGGCAATGAGGCACCAAGCCTCGGGATATCAAATCAGACCTCCTAAATACACAAGCACCACGCTCCTCCCACCGGATCTCAACCCCGATAATCCTCCGCCAAAGTCTCTCGAATAATCCCCAAAATAGCAACGAAATCCTCATTCGAGATCCGATACTCCCTCTCCTCAATAACGGCATCAAAAAGCGCCAACGCACCAAAATCACCCTCCCCTTCCTCGCCTTCCTCGCCCTCCTCCCCTTCCCCATTCACAGCGGGGTCCTCGTCCAGGTCCATTACACCCTCGCCATTCGCTTCGCCCGTCTGATCCTCCGATTCACCCGCAGACAGACCAATGCCTAGGTTGATGATAGTCAGGACCTCGGCTTTTGTTAGGCCGTAGGGTCGGAGTTTAGCGATTAGATCGCGCATTGCACAGTCCATGGGGGTTAATTCGTTGTTTGTGGGTGGGTGTGGAGTGGTTGTGGTGTCTTCCGTTGTCGGTGCATTTGGGCGCATGGTGCTGGTCATTGCTGCTTGGGTTTGGGAGTGGGAGGAGTTGGGTCGGTCTGTGTAGCGGGGGTATTTGAGGAGGTGGGGAGAGATGCGGGTGACATAGTTGTGGAACTTCCGAGAAATAGATTGGTTAGTTGCAGATATACTCATTGGCTGTCTCTTTTTTTTCTTGCATGGTTTGGGGGATATGGGTATGCGATCTTCAACTTGCAATGGGCAATCTTGGACGGATATGCTGGCACAAAGAGCTCGAGGGGATTTTTGCAGGTGCATAGAGATAGATCGTGAGGACTCACCTCTTTAACGACCGTGTTGTGGTCTCTTAGATCTGGGCTTGGTACCCATTGTCGTGCATTTGGAGGCCGACTCGGAGGACGGCGGGGCGGGTTGGCCGTGAGGTAGGCCAGGACTTCAACATTGGTGAGCACTGCAGCTTGCGGGTCTAGGATCTGTTTATGTGTGTTAGTGATGATCAATCATATTGGGCCATCTCTCTTACTTTCATGGTGTTGCTTGGTTAGATTGAAGCTGTGAAGGTGGAGAGAGTGGTAATGATGGAAAAAAAGCCTATTGTGCCGGCAGAATCGGGGGGTGTATGAATGGGCGGTATAACAGGCGGTCTCTTACCTTGGCCCAACTGGATATACTCCGTACTACTACTGTATACTACATCGGACAGACAAACTACAGACTATTCAAAATTGAAGTATGAACAGATTATTCAGTTGGAGAACTGTACTGCCTTGTACCATAAAGCACCGTCTGCGCCAGAAATAAAACAAACAACAGGTAGATCAACCTTGATATGCCCCCAAACATGCGTATAGCGAGCAAGGCCGCGAAACAAAAAAAAGTGATATCATACAGATTCGCGAAAGCCATCCATCACATTGCACGAAACTTTTTGAAACAAGATATAGCCACTTACTCGCCCTTGCTCTTCTTCTTCTTCTTCTTCTCGCTGTCGTCACCGTCGTCACGCTTGCGCTTCTTGCCGTCCTCCTTGTCGGCCTTCTTCGCCTCCTTCTTGCTCTTCTTCAGATCTTTCTTGCTCACTGCCGTTGGGTTGCCGGCAGCATCGAAAGTGATCTCACCCCGCTCGAGCTTGCGCTGGTACCGCTTCACGCTGAGACCAGCCTTGGCAGCGAGTTTCTCGAGCTCGGATTCTCCAGTGCCATCGGCTTCCTCGTCAGAGTCCGCATCCTCCATCTCTTCATCCTCATCGACATCCTCGACAAGCTTCTTCTTGTCCTTCTTGGACTTCTTGGCAGATGTGGGCTCCGCGGGCTCGTCGCTGGCCAGAGCATCAGCATCGGGGTTGTACTTGCGGGCCTCCTTCAGATCGAACTTCTGAGGCTGAGCAGCGCCGTTGGGGGCAATGTTGACACCACGGGGCTTGACGGGCTTGCCCTCCATGCCAGCAAGCTTGCGCTCGAGGTTGAAGCGAGCCTCGGTACCGAGAGCAGCCTTCTCCTCCTCAGTGACATCCTCGTCCCACTCAGCAAGAGCATCGACACGGATACCAAGGGAAGCCTTGGCGGCGAGAATACGGGCCATCTTGCCCTTGTTGCGGCCGGTAGCCTGGCCGATCAGAGAGGCGTGGTAGATCAGACCGTACTTGGGAGTGTCGTGCTTAGTCTTGAGGGCACGGAAGAGGGCCTTCTCGGCACCCAGAATCTGGATGGTACTGGCGGGGCTCTTGGAAAGGCTGGTCAAGCTACCAGCGTGGGCAATGAGACGGGCACCAACGAGATCACCAACGAGAGCAGTCAAGTTGGGAGCAATGGCGTTCATACGGGAGGTCAGATAGCTAGCCAGACGCTGGCGGTACTCGGCAAACTCAACGACCTGGGTGGCAAGAGCCTGGATGTTCTCGAGATCCTCCTCGCTGATCTCAGTACCCATGGATCGATCGGCAGCAGTCTTGACGGCACCCTCAATCTCCTCGGGCAGAATCTCGGCGAGGTCAGTGGTCTCCCAGTTGGTGCGCATGCCCATCTTCAGGACAAGCTTGGAGTAGGCAATGTTGTCGTTCAGGATCTTAGCCAACTCGGGGAAGTGCCAGCCGTACCATTCCTTCACACGCATGGCATAAGTGTTGAGCTCCTTGTCAAGATCATCGAGCAGACCAATGGCCTGGACGATCATAGTATCGATCTTATCGGGAGAGAACTTGAGCTTGTGACGAGCGAGGGAGTGGGAAAGACCAAGGGACATGGCAGACATATCACTGGGGGCAAGGCCGGGAATGAGGGTGATCAGGTTTTCACGAATGGCACGGAAGGCATCGGCGGTGGAGGAGTCGGCAATGAGCTCGAGGGAGAGACCAGGAACCTTGCTAATGGCATTTCCTGAATGGCGATTGAGGTCAGCAGAATACTCGAGGACATTTCAATCAGTAGTACCTACCGAGCTTGACATCGGCAACGGCCAAAGAGGCCTTCTTCTCGTCCTTGAGGTCTTTCAGGACCTCAGTCAGAAGGGGAGTGACCTTGCCCTCAATGATAGAGGCGGCCTCCTCAACAGCTGTAGCGGCGCTGTCGAACTTCTTGAAGTTCTTCAACTTGAAGCTGTACGCGAATAAAAGTCAGAACGGCTATCAACTGTAACCCGAATTTTTTTGCGCTGGTTGCGCGGGGGTTCCTTTCTCGCCCCGAAGACGTTTTTTTTCTTCGCTAGAATGGTAATTGCACATACAGGTTAGAGATACCCTCAGCGGTGTTGGCATCCTCGGGGAGAGACTCTCGCTTGAAGAGCTTCTTGTCCTTGGACTTCAGCAGGGCGTAACCCGCGCTGGTTTCGGTAAGGATGAAAAGCGACATGGTGGGCGACCACGGCGATCGGGCTTATATGGGAACAGGGGATTCAACTGAAAGACGAGATGGCCCGGGTCGATATTAAAAAAGAAAGACGGGAGGGGGATTTGTGGACCGTGGACGCAATTCACCGTTGAGGAGAAATCTAGAAATTTTGCACGGAAGAAAAAAGTGCAAAAGCACAAGCCACACCTTGTGGCGGTGGCTTATGTAAGACCCGCTGGGCATACGGCCTCGAGGGAGCTACAGCTGTTCCTCCCCCAAGTTATCGTCCCATTTCACACACCATGGAGGGCCTCTTCTTTAATGTGAATGGCGGGTCAGTGAATCTGCAGCCACTGTGAATGTATATGGTACTGATATTTTCCCAGATTCGTCGAGGGCATTGTCCGAGGGTATCGGAACAGCCTTCTCACCGGCCAGAACTACTCCAACTTGACACAATGCGATACCATTGATGGTACATACCTTGTACTCCTCGAATATAGGCTGTAATATTTAGCTAACGATTGTCATCACAGATGTGAAGCTGCAACTTGGTCCGGCTTATGGCGACTTTCTTGCCACGCTTCCCCCGAACCCCTCCACCTCCGCCCTCGCAGGCAAGATGACCGACAAGCTGGTTTCCGAATTCCGATACCTCGTCGCACAGTCCGTCGGCTCAACTGCCAAGTTCCTTGAGTACCTGACGTATGGCTACATGATCGACAACATCGCCCTTTTGATCACCGGCACCCTGCACGAGCGAGACACGCGGGAGCTCCTGGAACGATGCCACCCGCTGGGTTGGTTCGAGACGCTCCCGGTGCTGTGTGTCGCAACTAACATCGAGGAGCTGTACAACTCGGTGCTCATCGAAACCCCTCTTGCCCCATACTTCAAGGGTAGCCTGAGCCACCAGGATCTGGATGAATTGAACATTGAGATTGTGCGCAACACCCTGTACAAGAACTACCTGGAGGACTTCTACAACTTTGTGCAAACCCACCCAGACTTCTCTGGCCCGACCCAAGAAATTATGTCAGAGATCTTGCAATTCGAGGCCGATCGCCGCGCCATCAACATCACTCTCAACTCCTTTGGCACTGAGCTTTCCAAGCAGGAGCGGAGGAAGCTGTACCCCGAATTCGGCAACCTGTACCCAGAGGGTAGCTTGATGCTCTCCCGTGCTGAGGATATCGAGGGGGTGGCCTTGGCTGTCAGTGCTGTCTCCGATTACAAGAGCTTCTTTGACGCCGTAGGCCTGAGCCAAGGCGGTGGCGGCCTCGGTGGCATGGGCGGAGGTCCTGCCGATGGGAAGAGTCTAGAGGATCTCTTCTACCAGAAGGAGATGGAGATGTCTAAGTTTGTGTTCACCCGACAGTTCACCCCGGCGGTGGTCTACGCGTGGATGAAGCTTAAGGAGCAGGTAAGGACCGGCCATCGCAACAAGATATTGCTTGGGATCGGCAAAGCTGACAATTACCAGGAAATCCGCAACGTAACCTGGATCTCGGAGTGTATTGCCCAAAACCAGAAGGAGAGAATTGGCAACTTCATTTCCGTTTTCTGAAGCCCGGACAACTCATGACCTTTGTTCTCACTGTACTTACCTTTTTCACAGAGCTGTGTATTTGCTTTTCTTTTGGCGGGCAACCGATTTTGTCGTATCGAGTACCCAAGTTTCGTTTCTTTTCTCAGTATCAAAGTCAGCGCATTACCTTCCTCGGCCAGGCCATTGGCCACATTTGGTTTCGGCCTTCTTGGCCTTTTGTGTTTCTAAGGCGTTAGGCAAGTTTCGTGTGATCTCTTTTGTGAAATAGAAGAGCATTCATCATCAACTAGATGAGCTATCTCCTGGGGTGTTTCTTCAATCACTGCTAGAGTAATCTTAAGAGTCCAACGACAAGATAGCAAATGTTCAATAAGGCTCCTCATTGGGGACGCCGAGTCCAAGATGATAGAACTATCCTCGGCAAAGTTCAAACAGTTAAGCATACACGGGAGTCCTTCTTTTTCCTCGACCGCTCTGATGCATTAAGGTTTCTGTCCTTCATGAAATGTCGACTGCTCTGCCCCTTGCTGATGTGGCGCTGCCTATTTATAAACAGCAGGCTTCTACATGCATGTTGAGGCGTCTCATGCCCGTCCCATTCCCTGTGGTAGTGTAGCCCTTCCAATTAGATTTCCTGTGGGGGAGGACGAACTGTCCGCATAGTGAAAAAAAAAACGACAGCAAATGAAAAAGCTCTGGTCAATCCTTAGCCAGGTAAAGTATGTACAAATAAAGCAGGCGGCTCTAGACAAAGCTAGTTCAAGCATGACTCGAATAAAAAAACAGCCGGCCAAGTCCCAGCGACCGGACGAGAGAGCGAGAGCAACATGAAAGCACGGTAATACAAGAACACGCTCTCAAAGCACCGAGTCTACTGGGACCAAGGTTTCTATATGGTAGGGCAAATAACAAAAGATTGTGGTTAAAAATGGAATAGAAAGATGACTCTGGGTCAATGACAACGCCCATAGATCCAAAGAAATTCATTTAGAGCATGCCAGCTTGATGAAGAAGATGAAGCCAGTAATTTTTTGTGTATTTCAGTCGGTCTGTTTCCATGTCTTCTCATGCGAAATCGTAAAAAATCAATCGTACTGGAACAGAACGCTGATACTTTCACCGTGGTGGACACGGCGGATGGCCTAGAGTTTGAGCGGTCAGCAAATGCAAGTGGCGTCATCCACAAAACTTCGATGTATCTGACTCACCTCAGCAAAAACGTGGCCGACCTCCAACACCTCGAGTTTGGGGCAGCGGCGCAGGTGCTCACTCTGGTCCACACTGTTGGTTACCACCACCTTGTCGAGAGCGCTGGCGTTGATGCGCTCAATGGCGTCGCCGCTTAGGATTCCGTGGGTGACGAGGGCGTACACCTTAGAGGCACCCTCCGTTTTGAGGAGCTTGGCCGCCCGGGTGATTGTGTTGGAGGTATCCGCCAGATCGTCAATAAGAATTGCGGTCCGGTCACGGACATCACCGACCAGCATCATGGTTGCATTCTGGCGGTCGGTAATTTTCGTAGGGCGGCGCTCCTGCAAAGATAATTAGATGAATAATCCTAAGGAGCCGGAAATACTCAATACCAATGCCATACCTTGTGAATGAGAGCAAACTCCATGCCCATGGAGTCGGCAATGGCCGTGGCGCGCTTGGCACCACCGGCATCGGGGCTGACTACGACAGCCTGCTTGTAGTCGGGAATGTTCCGCTGGATATAGCTCTTCAGCAGGGGACGTCCGTAAAGGTTGTCCACAGGGATATCAAAGTAACCCTGGTATTGCGGGTCGTGCAGATCCATGGTGATAATGTGATCCGCGCCAGCGCAAGTGAGCAGGTCTGCCACCAGGGTGCCTGCCTGTGCAACCCACTGCTTGTAGCCCGGTCGCGGCTGGAAAGAGTTGATCTTCGACGAGTTGGAAGCGTTGCTGGAGGAATCCTCGTGCACGCCGTTGGTCAAAGACTTGAAAGAGTCAGCAGTGTCACTCCGCGGAAGCCCGTTCGCGGGGCGCCGTTTTACCGGACTGCCATTGCTCTCCTCAATCTGGGCCTTGGCAAGGCTCTTTTGCAAATTTTCCATGCCGTTCATCAGGCCCAGACCCTCAGTCTTCATCCCAGGACCGGGTGTGGGGGGAGTGCTCTCAAAAGTGTAGCCATTGTTGGGACGGTCCCGCACGGAAGACTTGACGAGGGGAGCTCCGGCCTTGTCGTAGGGGATATCACTCTGGCGAGAGTAGGGGAAGAGAGGGAGAACGGCGGTGACTCGGCGGGCCGAGGCCGTTTTGCAGGCGGAGATGGTGATCAGAAGCTCCAGCAGGTGGTCGTTAACTTTACCGCCACCGGACTGAATGATATAGACGTCCTTTTCACGGACAGACTCTTGGATCTCGACTCGAGTCTCACCGACGGCAAACTTGGAGAGCAGGACGTCCGCGGGAGGAATGCCAAGCACACCACAAATGGTCTTTGTCAACTGGGGGTGGGAGTTGCCCCCGATGACAACGATATTGCGAACCATCTCGTTCGGCTTGAGTGTTTCCGACGCAATGATGGCGAACGCGGGAGCTATCAAGATCTCAAAATGGAGAGATCGAGGGGAAGCGTTGAACCGGGTGGAGGAGGGCGAGGAATCTTGCGGAGGGACGGAAAAACCGGGGCCGGAAGGATATGCTCAGTGCAAAGAAGAGCAGCTGGAGGCAGGAGAAAGGAGAACTGTGGAAGAGTGGAGAGTAAAAGCAATCACTTCATCGCGGGAGGACCCAAACAAGTCAGGGAGCTTTCGTTCGGGTAAGTGGCATTAGAGAAAAAAAAAGAAACTGCCCATGTGAGGTCCCGCGATCGAAAAAAGCCTCTTTAGAGAGTGGACCGCCGGCTCGCCCTCGGGTTGGTTGCGGGTGGGTGCCTCAGGCATTGTAAGGCAGTCCACCTGCGGCATCGGTGCAAGCGGGCTGCTTAAGGCCAGAGCCCCGCAGGAAAAAACGGCAACGGGAATGCAGCACTTGGTAAGCGAATTCTGGAGAGCCGAGAGATACCTTACGTCTCGTTACCCAGGAACCTTAATTGGTGGCAGACTCGGCTGAGTCATCATTCGTTGGAGAAGAGGTAGATGATCCGGATCTATAGGTCCATATTGTATGTCCATATGGTCGTCTGTCCACATGAATATGCAATACTCCGATCCATAGACCCATAGGCTCATAGACCAGTAGGATGCAACAAGACAAAAAGAAACGAAGAAGAGAAAAGCAAGTTGAGACAAGAGACGCAGACAAAACAAAAGCATCGTAACGCTCCTATGACCCAGATCCGTGGAATTTTGATAACGCCGAACTGTCCCGCCAAACACCCTGATTTCATATGGGCAATGGATGCCTTTCAATCTCCGGTTCCAACTTCCCTGTAAAGTAGTCAGCATCAAATGTGGTCAAGTAGAGGCTAGGGGCAAGTGCGAAGGCTCACAGGTCAAGCTGTACTCCGTTGCTCACGCCGTAGTCTTCCAACGTCAACTGGTCCTTGAAGGGGCGTTCGCCCTGGCGCTTCAGCATGATCTCGTGGGGCTCGCGACCGATCCGGGCGGCCACTTGGGCCTTGAAGAGCTCTGCAGGGAACCGTCGCATTAGTAAAATTGGCCGAGAGTGTCTCATTAAAGCTGCCCGGAGCAATACTCACTGATCGGATCCGAAGCTAAGCAGGGAATCGCAGCCTTGGTACCCAGACGGTCATTCACATGGACGACGATCATGGGCTCAGATGACTGAGGTACAACGGGCTTCTTCTCTTTCTTCTCCTTCTTTTCGACCTTTTTCTCGCGCTCTTCTCGGGGCGCGTCGCGGTCGTCACGTCGTCGAGGCTCACGCTCACGATCGCCGTCTCTGTATCGGTCTCCAGGGCGATCTCCATCGCGATCTCTCCGAGGTGATCGTGGGCGGTCGTTCCGGTCTCTGTAGCCACGGTCTAGGCGGCGGTCATCGCCGCGGGAATCGTCGTCGCGCCGTTTCTCCTTCCAGCGGAAGCCACTCGTCTTTTTCGGTCGGTCTCGGTCGCCGTTATCACGCCGGCGTGGGGACCGGCTTCGATCTCGGTCACCCATTCTGGCAAGTTTGAGAGAGGGGGGAGAAGAAGGTTTTGGTGCCCGAGAGGCCAGCCCCAGTGTCAACAGAGGCTTGCAGCTGGAGACACGTGACTGAACACTGCAGATGCCAAACCCAAAAGCCTCAAAGGGGACTAGCGTATGTTTGGTTCGGGGGGAGCTTCTTCCGCGTGTTGCGCCAACTTCTCGAGGGGGCAGTGTTCTTTTATAGAGTCCAATTGACTCGTCACAGCTTCCGGGGCTAAATTGTAAGGCCCCAGTATCCCCGCACGTCGACCATGCCGGGCCGCCTCACAGTCCAGCGGCCTACGCCGACAACCGTCAGCTTCACCGTCTCCAATGCGCCGCGGCGATCCAGTTCCCCCGCGAAGGTCCTGTTCGGCCTCCAGATCCTCCTGCGAGCTTTGCTTTTCTGCTGTGTCATAGTGGTAGGCATTACACGGCTACGAAGACATTTCTTTGAGAAAGGGAGCTTGTTCATCATATCATGGGAAGACGTATGGTCAAGTTCTCTCGGAGCGCATGTCTGCCGCCGGGTGGACTCTTACAACCCCTGGGTGACTGCTATCGTCAGCGCGGTGGTGCTATACGGAGTCTTTAGGAGGGGCTATACTGGTAAGCGGGAGCTACCTATCTATGGATGCTGCTTGTACGTGCTTTAACATTTTGGCAGAGGAATCCCTCCTGGTCATTCGAGGCTTTGGAATCCAGACATCCACATCATCCTCCACCTATCTCTCGACAGCTGCGACAAGATTTATCCCTACAACGCAGATCCAGGACATTGTGATTCATGAGGCCTTTAAAGGATTCGAGGTCCGTTTCTACCTGGCTGTCATTGTGGAGGGTGAGCCCGGTGTCTTGGTGGTCTTTCCCGTAAGTTGTACCCCCCTGGCTCACATGCATTCTATGCGAACGTGAAAATGACCAATTATAGCAAATGCTTCCCAAACGAGAGATTCTTGAGGAAGTCTGGAGAGGCTCTCGACGCTGTCTTTATGACGCGAAGTCCTGATGCGCCAAGAATCTCAATTCCTTTGCCAAAACAAGTGGAGATCTACTACAACACAGTACGGCGTAGGCTCATGAAAGTATACAATGCTCCATATGTGAGTATATACATGCATCTTTAAGCCTCATCTTTCTGCGCCGCGGCCGCCTTGATGGCGTCCTTGCGCTGTTTAGCCGCGAGCCACTTGGCGTTTCGGATATCCACTGACTCTGTTTTCGCTTTTTGCAGAACGGGAACATATCTTCCTCCAGTGCGAGCTTCGTCTCCTCCCAACCAGATCTTGGCGCCCCTGCTCTGCTTCTTGCCAGTTCCTTGCTTGCCGTCCATTTTTGTCACCATGCTGTGGTCGCCTTGACTGACGACTAAGTCGAGCAATGCTCCAGCCAAGATCTCGTCCATCTTACGCTGTCTCCAGACTGTCCACAGGCTCTCGACAGCACCATTGATGCCGTACTTGCTATCGCCCTTGGCACTGCGGCTCCTATTTAGGCGTGGATCGCCAGCATAAACCCAGTCTAGCGCATCCGCACGGCTGCCAGTGCTCTCGTCTGGGAAGATAGTGTCCCACAGAACCAGAGGCGCATCGGAGGCCATCTCGTAGGATGGCTTGCGAGGGTTCTTGGTAATATCTAACAGCTCCGGAACGATGGACGGAGACTCCAGTCCTTGACCCACCAAGAAAAGGATGGCCACCATATGGCGGACCTGGTGCCACAAGAAGGCAGATCCATACAAGTTGAAGGAGTATACCTGGGGAGTAGTAGGCTCGGGTCCTTGCGAAGCCAACATGTCCACATCTGCTTCGAAGTCCTCTGTGATCTGGAATCCAGGTTGGCCGACGTACCCCAGAGGATTTGTCTTTGAGTTGACAAGTTGAATATCAGAATGATAGATGACCCGCTCAAAGTTCTCAATCTGCTTGCTGGTATCGAGTTTGCAAAAGTTTCGGAAATCATGGCTTCCCTCAAAGTGCTTGGCGGCTTCACGCATTGCGTCGATATTCAGCCAGCCCTCACGGTACTTGGTGCGCTCACCTTGACCAGTTCCTGCGCGGTTCTCAAAGCCAAACGCGCCAGGTGTGGGGGAGAATGCTGGCTGGGTGAAGAAGTACCGATAGCGACGCTCGCGGCAGGAGAAACGGGCATCGAATCCTTCTGGAGGGTGAGGGCACCAGGCAAGGACACGAATGTCCTCTGGAAGCACCCTGTTCAGGACCTGTATATAGGCAATCTCATCCGCGATATCGTCCCAGTCCGCATCTGCAGCCGGTTCCTCGACCTGCATCGCATCACCCTCTTGTAGACCTTCCTGCTCGGTCGAGGCCTTGGGCTTACGCTGTGGTCGCGCAGAACGAACTCTGAGACCAATGACTTGGCCAAAAGCACTCACGCCGCGATCGGTCCTTCCAGCCTTCGAGTAATCACAGCCATCCCAATGGATGGAATAAGGCCGCTGCTCCCTCGGGTGAGCATCGTCCGGTTCGTCCTCCGGAGAGGAGGTCTGCGGAAGAATCAATCGTGTCCGGCGCAGCGCCTTCCACAGAGTCTCCTCGATTGTAGGCAAAGGCGTAGTGTTCCCATTTGTATGCTCCAACCCATTGTACCGCTGACCCAAGTAGGCGAATTTGAGCGCAATGAACCGCGTCTGATACTTTGACGGATCAAACCCGCGCTCCTCCTTGTGAGGACGCGACCGCCCAGGTGTATGACAGATATCGCCTTCTGGAGAGTGCACACGCTTCTTCTTTTTCGAGGAGCTGGCATATGCGTCGGCAAGAGCGATCGCAGGTTCGCTGACATCCGTAGCAATCGGTGCGCGGGGTATCGCTTCGCCGACCGTGGGGCCCGGTGCCGTGTACTGCGTAGTCTGCGAGTGCAGCTGGCGCTCGAGTTCGGTGATGCGCTCAATCAGGCTGGAGTTACTCCAGGTGCTATAGTCAGGGCTCCCCTCATCGCTGGTGCCCGCCATGATTCTTGAATCGGGTGAGCGGTGCCCACTCAGGAATCGCGTTTGTGTTTTGATGGCGTGGGATCGAAGCAAAGTCAATAAAATGGACCTTGATGGTGGTCTCCACATACCACTGCAGAGTGAATGCGAACCCTGTGCTTGGGCGAGTTAATCGGAGGAGGGCAGAAATTTGAAGTCCGCGGAGCTTTGTGTATTTGAGGTAATATACTCTGTACTGTAATGTTCTCCTTGCCGAAAGATCCTCGTATGATCATTTCAGAGCTGTAATTGACTGTATCCATGGGATCAAAGAATATCTTAAATACCGAAATGTTGAACTAGCAATATATTCTTCTATCTTCATCACTTGAATCGGGTTCTTTCTACCGATTATCTCTAGAGAGGGCAGCCATGTGGACATGTATATCTCTCCGTAGAATCCATCCAGTCAGCAGCCGGCCTTCGCGCATCGACCACCAACCTTATTTTTGCACCTGGTCACCTATGTTGCCGCCATAGACTCGGTAATGAGATCTTTCCCTCAAGACAGAGAATCAAAGACATAAATCCAGCAGTATGACTGACCCAGAGCCTCTGGAGGCCGGAACGACGGTCACAATGCTGCTCTTGGGCGATCCAGGCTGTGGAAAGTCCACCTTCTTATCGTGAGTTCCTTGCAATACCAGGTCCGATTCCGAAGCTATCATCTCTCTTAATGGACTAAAAAGCAGAAAAATAATGCTTTGGGGATAAATACTGATTGTAATGCAGGCGCCTGAAGAGTGGTAACAGGATGACGCCGTCCCAGCCCGGGACTACTCCAGATACCCATTTTGAGATCCTGCGGGACAGCGATCAACCGTTCATTTACGATATACGATTCTCAAAGAAGAAATTCACATTGGAGCTACATGACTCGTCTAATCCAAATCAGCACTGGACCAGTCTTCATCCCGATGTTGTCCTCCTGGCATTTGATATTTCAAACCGCCAGACATTAGAGGGGCTCAGAGCTGTAAGCCTTCTGTCCTATATTGCTCTTCAATTATCCCGTTCAAAGCCTTGACCAAGTTAAACAGTGGCGCAACGATATTATACGTTATTTCCAACGTGGCCATGGCGAGCGCATTCCTGTTATGATGCTGGGATTGAAACGAGACCTCAGGAAAGAAGGCGAGGATATCATTTACCCACAGGAGGTACGGACCGACAACACCGAAAGGTATTCTAGAATCCGACTGACGGTTCTACATAGACCTACCGCATTGCCCAAGAGCTCCGTTGTGACCGGTATGCCGAGTGCTCAGCAATGACAGGTGAACTACTGGCAGAGACATTCGAAGACCTGGCGAGGCTTGCCGGCATGACTACGACTGATAAAGGTGGACAAAGTGCGGGTGGCTGTACTATTCTCTGATTTTTAACCGGACAGCTGTTATTTCTGGGATAAGAGCTCTCTCGATCGCGAAAATGATATTGATCTCTCCAAGTAAACTCCTGCGCATGATAGCTATCTGAAATTGGGGATAAGAACTGGCAACTTGCAGCTATTCTGATAATGCTACTACCACCAAGGACCGAGCATGATTCAAACACGACGCGTACACAAAACTGGAACCAAGCCATACCTCGGCTTTGTCTAGTCTCCTATAGACCTCCACGACGCATCGCTCTAGGTCGAGGGGTTTCGAAAGGTGGATATCCTTCTTTGTAGCGCTACAGTTTTTGTACCCAACTATCGTGCGGCCTACCATACTCGATCAAGTACAATATCTAGTTATCGAGCTGATTATCAAAACAGTGACTACAAGGGGATTGATACTACGTGACCATAATGTAACCGAGCACAACCTTCTTTCCGATTACTAGATTAAACATACAGGGAGAAACCAAGGTAACGATTAAGTCCACCTTGTTTGATTGACAGCACAGGGCTTTCCCCCAGTTACAGAACGCAACTGGATCTCTTTCCCTCATAAGCGCCAGGTCAATGGTTGTCATCGCTATTCCTCCCCGATGCGACAAAACATGAAATCGAAATAAAGAATTGTGCTGGTAAAAAAGATTGAGGCCACTGATGCAAAAGGACTGGAAGGTTCCCGGTGAAAGCTCGTTTTTCTTCTGCTTTTTTTCAGTTTCTTGCTTTTTGAATCATTTGACAGAAACTAGGATAGACATGTCAAGGGCTTTTTTGCGGGAAAGTGGTGTGAATCCCATTGTTGCCAACGGGATCGAACGTAAAAGAACAGACAAGAGCTTTTCCCCTCGTTCCTCGTGCCCTTTTGCGGGGACATGAGTAATCGTTACAGTAATTCCAGCATGACTTTTGAAGTTGAGATCAAATATCTCCCCCTTCAACGCCTATCCTCGTCACCACCATTATGGTATTTACCACTTGGCCTCGCCGGAGGCGGGCGCAGCGGCGGGCTGAGACTCAGCGGCCCACTCACCACCCTGGGGGGCGGAGCTGGCAGCCCAGTCAGCACCATCGGCCTCCCAGGAGGTGGCACCAACAGCGGCGGAAGCGGCAGCGAAGGCAGTGCCGGGGTTGCCAGCGCCAGGAGCGGAAGCATCCCAGTTCTCACCAGCGAAGCCAGACTCGATGGCACCGGGGCCAACCTCCTCGGCGCTGGCGACCTTGGTCTCGTCAGCAATCTCCTTGTTCTCCTCGGCCTCGGGGTCGCGGTAGAAGTAGAGATCGACAACGGTGTCCCACTCGGTCTCACGGGTGGCAAGGGTGCCGCGGAGACGGAGGATCTCACGGGCGAGCATCCACCAGACGAGACCGATGGCGTGACGACCCTTGTTGTTGGTAGGGATGGCAACATCGACGAAGTCGGTGGGGGAGTCAGTGTCGCAAAGGGCAATGACGGGGATGTTGACGTAGCTGGCCTCCTTGATGGCCTGGGCATCGGTGCGAGGGTCGGTCACGATGATGAGACGGGGCTCCTTGAAAGAGCGGGTGATATAGTTGGTGAAGTTACCGGGGGTGAAGCGACCAGCAATGGCGGTGGCACCGGTGTGGGCGGCGAACTTCAGGACAGCGCGCTGGCCGTAGGGACGAGCGGAGATGACACAGACATCGGCGGGGTTGTCGATGGCGGCGATGATACGGGCGGCCAGAACGATCTTCTCCCTATTCGATCGCGCAAAGCACATTAGACTCTAGCGCACAAGGTTTCGTAGATGCGCAATCCAATTCTTCCTACGTACCAGGTCTTGCCGATGTTGAGAACGTTGACACCATCGGGACGGGTCTTCCAGAGGTAGGGCTCCATGTGCACCTGGAGGTTCTTGGAACCGAGGTGGCACTGAGCAGCAAGGAGCATCTCAATGTCCTGCGAGGTAGGGTTGAAAACCGGGGGGAGCTGGGAGGGGGCCATGGTGGGCGATTGATTGATTGATGATGCTGGAAAGATCAATCGTCTGGCTCTTGTCGTGGAGATGGAGGGAAGAGATCGAAAGCCGAACCACGAAATGTTTCACGCCGCGCTTCGGGAGAATTTCGCTTGCGGGTTGTGAGAATTAGGGCTAGGGCAGTAGGTGATTATGTAAGTATGCTCAGTTCTTGGCGCTGTCCCCTGAGCCCCTGTTGCCTGAGGCAGACTTGGTATCATCCCTAAATTGGACTAGCGTAATACCGGCCGGCCGCATGATTTCCCGACCAAAAGGTTGAATGCGAAGAACTTCAGGCTTGTCCCGGGGCCATTGAATCTTGAGAAAGGATAACAGTCCGGCCACCATGCCTCCACGTATCTCCGTGCAGCCTTCCTGGAAGGTCCTTACAGGTACTGTACTTGGAAATTCTGCTAAGATTCTTGGCTTGCGCGATCCCATGCTAATCCCAATGACTTGAGCAGGCACCTTGTATGGACAGACCTCGGGGGCCGCCGGCCTGCCACACGCGACCAATGCCTCGCTACGATCAGCATCCTCAAAGGCCAATGCTCAACCTCAGAAGCGGTCCGACTTTTTCATGATTGCACAAGCCCGTCAGCGAAAGGCTGCCAATCTCTCCAGACAAAAAGTTCTCCAGACAGAAAGGGAAGCCTCGCTCGGCCACCCCGTTCAGAGCAAGCCTACGCCTTTCATTCAAGAGATTGAAGCGATTCAGAATGGATTACAGGTCCCGTCTGCAGGCTCAGGGCTCAATTATTACCTGAAGTCGGACGAGCTCAGCAGCGCGTTGCAGTTCTCGAAGGACCTGACGGAGCCGCTCCAGAACCCGGACCGTGACACCACCGACCCCCAGTTGGAGAAGGAAGCAGCAGAGTTACATCAGAAGGAGCACCAGATCGCCGAGGACGCAATCCAGCGGATTGTCAACCTCAGCAACGGAAATACCAAGGATCGCCTACGTTTGAACGTGCAGAGGTGTATTGAGCAATTTGGGCGACACAACACCGACTCTATCCTCCCTCCAAAGCCATCTGGTGCGCCACAGGGATTTGTGTCTGCCCACCAAGAGAAAATTCCTCGTATTGGAGTGGACACCGGCTCCCCTGAAGTGCAGGCTGCCATCCTGACTGTCAAAATTATGAACCTGTCCCGACATCTACAAACCGCCAACAAGGACAAGCACAACAAGCGTAATCTCCAAGTTCTTGTTCATAAGCGCCAGAAGCTTCTTCGGTATATTCGGCAAAAGGAGCGTGGTGGCCCTCGGTGGCAGAACTTGATGGAGACATTGGGGTTGTCCGATGCGGCATGGAAGGGCGAGATTGCTCTTTAGAGCCTTTGTAACATAGCAAGATATCATTTCTTTTTTCCTCTTCTTTATTATTGTGAAGAGATACTTGTGAACTGTACCAATAGCACTTCTTTCCAATTATTGACCTTGTTCTCTGATTGTTGTAGATACCAATCGATGGATGATTACCTACATCGCATAATATCCATCCTGTGGATAGTCTTGAAAATGGTATCGATATGGATTTTGTTCCTCAAGCCGTTACACATTGGCATAGTGTATATCATAATACCTGAAGAGGCACTCTTGAGTCAAAACATCCGCACAGAAAGCTCTTCCAGTAGTTTAGTTGAGCCTACTTAGCCCTCCAGCAACCATTCAGTCTTATGCCTTATATCTCCGGCACTCATATGACTTGGGCTCACCGCCCTGCGGGCTGAAGATATTCTGCCTGTCGCGAGAATGATTTTTGGCACGTCACAGTCACGATCCCATGGTTGGCAAACAAAAGGTAGGCATCACTTCTTCTGCCCACAGTGGGAAGCAGGCAACGATCGTACCTGCCTTGTTTGCCCCAAACACGTCGCCATCACAACTGATCACCACAACACGTCGAGTTGGCAAACATAAATCTCTCATGCCTCATCCTCCTTCTCTTCTTTCTTCTCTCCTCTCTCTCTCTCCACGTCACTGATCATTCACAAGCTTCTGAGGATACCCTTCCTCCCTGCTCACCTTCAGTTACGTTTCCACAATCAAAACCTTCTTCAAACTCTCGTTCTCTGGCTTGTTGCCGAGGTGTAGTAGCTATGCCACCACGCCTCCGCTCCAAGCCTTACGGCCCCAACTCCCCGAACGCCGCGCAGGCCCTGCCTGACCCGGCTCCTCGTCGTCGCCGAGCGACGCGTTCTGCGTCTGCTCAACCGCAGGAAGATCAGCCTGCCCCGCCTGTTCGCGAGCCTAAGGCTCGCAAGACCCGTGGCAAGGCCACCTCCCGCGGCAAGAAAGTATGTTGTTGAGACACGAGCAAAAGCTCCTGACTGACTCTTTTTGTTCCAGAAGGCGACACGCCGTATCTCTTCCCCCCCTCCCCCCGAAGACCCCCAGCCGGAAGAGCTGGAGGGTGATGAAAACGCCTCGGGTGCCGTGGCCCAGGCACTCAGTGCAAAGGTGGAGTCCCCCACTGTCGAGAATGGCGCCAGCGAAGAGCACCACGAACCCCACGGGGTAAATGTCGACGAGCCCCCCGTCGACCAGATGCAGGGTGTCCAGGCGCAGGAACCGCGCACACCATCGCAAGGACCCAGCGCTGACCAGTCTGTGGCCGAGCAGAACCGCCCAGACCTTGAGACGCAGGAACGGCCTGCAACTCCGTCCGTTGAGATCCCCGTCACTGTCCTTCCGTCAATCGAGCCCAGTGACCCTGAGTTGACGACTCCGATTCTTGGAGTTCGTGAGTCTCCCGATTCCTTCTTTTCTCTCCGTGTTCCCCCTGCCTCCTTCTTCCCCGTCCGTTCGTCGCCTATCGATTCGGCCGCTTCCTTGCCGAGCGACTCATCTAGTTCGACGGCCTCCACCGCGATCACTGAGGACTCTGGCAACCGTCGCCATGGCTGGTTGATGTCCAAGTTGCGGTCCCTTTACCGCCTGTGCACCAGCAGCAATGGTGCAGCCGTTGTACCCACCCCCGCCATCACTGCTCCCGCAGCTAGATGGTCCCTGGAGATCCCCATGTTGAACCTGGACATGGGCCAGTCGACATCCGCCCTGGACAACTATGAACTAATTTCCATCCTTCGTGCAGTGCGGTCCACCGGAACAGCATCGAGCCGCCGTCACAGCCATACCCGAGGATCGCCTTCCTCGTCCTCCGAGCAGTCCCGAGTGCTACGTGCCCAAGGGGCCACGCCGATCCGCCGGTCTCGCACACCTTACGCCAATAGGTCCAATTCTCGTCGTATCGAGAGCCGTGGTAGTCTCGGTCGGACCTTGTATCGCCTTCCGCAGCTTCTGTCCTTTGGCAGCCAGTCTGAGCTCCAAGATGAGGTTGGAGAAGAGACGAATCGTGCGGACGAGCATGACTCTTTGAACAATCCTCCGGAGACTGCAGCTCCCGACACAACCCCCCCCTCGACTCCCGAGCGCGCCCCCCCTGCCACCCCCGTGGCTCCTTTGACCGCCCCTCCCGCGGGTACTGATGTTTCTCCAGGATGGAGCCGATGGATCTTCAATGGTGTCTCCAGAAGATGGACGGTTCTGAGAGGCCGTTTTGCTCATGATCATGACAATCGTAATGAGAGCCAACAAGGTTAGATTCCCCAATGCCCCCATACTAGCTAGCGCCAAGAATACTCAAGTCTTACCTTTGCATGTTAGCTATTGATACTGCTGCCGAGCCAACTGTTCCCACAGTTCCTGATTCTTCTGCCGAAGCCGTCTCAGCTGCAAATGCCACGACTTCGCAAACTACTCGAGCAATCGTTCTCGACCCATCTATTACTTCCAGCGCATCACCTGCAAAGACTAACAGACCGGACAACTCACCAATGCACAGTGGGGCCCAGAGAAAGTCGCCTCTCAATCGTCCCACCCCTCGTTTCATTTCCCGCCCTCGTGTTTCCCCCGAACCTCGTCCACGGCGTCGTAGTACCTCGTTTGTGGACACAAGAACGCTGCTTGCTGCCGGTGAGCCCAAGTCAGCCAACGATCCTTATGCCCACGAAACCCAGCGGGAATTTGTCAAGCGTCGACAAGCTGCTCGGGCAGAACACGAAAGACAAATTCGAGAGGCGAAAGCCCGTGAAGAAGAAGCAGCCAGGTATGCCGCCGCCGCGGCCGCCGAGGAAGCCCGCTGGAAGCGATATCTTCCACCTCCTACACCCGCAAAGACCCTGACCAGTGTTTCCAGAGCACGACCAGTTACCTCCAACACTGCAACCCGGGGCCCTATTTTCTTCTTACAACCCAGTCAAACAATGCCTATCACCGCTTCAATCGACCCAGCTTCGCGCGGAACAGCCTCTAAAGCGCCTGTTGCTCAGACCGTAGCAAAATCGAATGCTGATACGGAGAATCAAAATCCACGCAAGCGGAGTCGCGGTTTTGGGCTTGATGAAGATGACCTAGCTGTCCACGAGGAGGATTTTACTCCCGAGGAATGGCAAGCCCTAAAGGCACAAGTGGAGAAGGCCGAGGAAGATGCTGCCAAAGCAGCTCAAGAAAGGTTGCCCCCTTCAAAGAAGCGCCGCGTTGATCAATCCTCCAAGCAGAAGAAGCGTACTCAGCAATCAGTCCGCCGTCAGAGCACCGGGACACCCCGCCAAACCGAGCCTCCTAACCGCACCCCCGGCTGGGTTCCGAATAAACGAAGAACTCTTGCGCAGCCCGATTTGTCCCCCATCGATTCGAGCCGATTGTTGACCGATCCCGAGTCGCCTTCGAATTCTCAAAGTCCCCAGGCCGTAATGCAGCCTGTCTCGCCAAATCGCTCACAATCTCGTCGCGAAACCACGACCTCATCCCGAGGTTCCTCTAAAAAAGGTATGATCATCAACGGCGTCTTCATTTCTGAGCGTCAAATCCCAAATTGCGACCCGGAAACCCAAAAGGAATGGAGCAGAACAATGGAGATGCTTGCAAAGCTTCCGAGGTTCCCTACAACGGCGGCCGAGAGAGCTGCGAAGCGTAACAAGCCTTCTCCTATTTTAGCCTGTTTCCGATCTCTCGAAGAGAAGCGCAAAAAAGCGGAAGAGGCAGAGGCAGAGGCAAGGGCAGAAGCAGCCAAAAAAGAAGCAGCCAAGAAACAAGCAGTGAAACAAAGACCACGGGAAATGGCAGCAGTCAACAAGTCCTGGCAAGCCCGAAGTGGTGCCTCTGGTGTTCCCACGTCCCGAGCTCCTGAGAGCCCTGAGACTTCACGGTTTTCTGAGACTTCACAGTTGTTCGAGGAAACTTACCTGGGATCTTTTTTTCCTGCTGCATCTCCAACTTTGCCGACCCCACGGCGCCCCTTGATCAAGCGAAAGCGGGAACCCGAAGCACCGGATATCGACGCTGATCCTTCTTCACTGCCCCGTGTCAAGCGTGTAAAGCGTCACCGAGGATTTGAGGCTCCGGATCCATTTGCTACTTCTTCGTCACCTTCTTCTGCCTCTCCTGCTTCAAGTTCTGCTTCTCCTGCTTCGCTTCCTCCGCGATCCCCTTATGACGCAGCTTCGTATTTTGCAAGCCTGCGACCCCGGCGGCATTCGCCTCAAGAGGTTTCATCTATGACAACCATCGCTAACGCTTCCAATCCCCAAACAGCCGCGGACGAAGATCCTGAGACCGGTGACGAAACGAACGATCTCCAAGACGCCTCTCCTCTCAGCCGCGCTCGCAATAGGGCCGAGCAGTTCAAGCCAAAGACTCCGAGTCGTCTACGGGAATCTGCTCGAATCCCAAATAGCAACGCCTCGACCCCGTCCGCCCTCGGCTTCTCTTCGCCGTCCTTCCTTGGTGTGTCCATCAATACTACTCCCCTACGCTCCGATGCGATGTCCATAGATGGCTCATCGTTTGTCGCAAATCCAGATGCGACTCCAGTCGGCAACCAAGCCTTCACCACCGAGTCTGATTCTACTAATACCCACCGGGAAGATGTTGCGCCCCTGCAACAACCAGCATCCTCAACCGCAGTCGCTGCCAACACCACAGAAAGCGCTGTGCATATTTTCGCCGAAGATGTCGCCTGGCTCAATGAGACATTGCCGAATGGAAACTTCAATGAGCTACAGTGGCCGCCACGCAGAAGCCTTGTTGGAGTCTTGGATATTGACCCTGAGACTGTGGCAATTGTGGAACAAAACGGGCAGGAGAAGGGGCCCGATCTCGCGAAATACTTTGAGACCATGTTCGAGGCCCATAGAGCCGCCCCCGATGAGTTTGTTTTGGCGCTGTGACATCTCTGTGTGTGTACTTGTTGCCTCCGTTGTCTAGAGTCATTTGAGAAAGATTTCTTTATCTGAATACAGAATGGAGGTCCAGATGATTTTGTTGTACCCGAGTAGGATAATTTCCAACTTAGAACATAGGGCTCGTGCGCCGGGGTTTAATTAAGCATGGAAGTGTTGCCACAAGTTTGTTGTAATTCTCTAACATTGTCTACCGATGATGATGATTGTACCCGAAGAAGCGGGTCACATTTTCAATCGAATCCCTCAAAGTTATCGCCACTACTTGCAACAGTCGAAGCTTTCCCATCACCTGAATCCTTTGACAAAAACTGCTGCTCATTTTTGCGACGAAGTTCCTCAACCATCCGCTTCGTCTCAAGGGCTTTTTGTTTCTCTTCCTCTGGTAGCAATTCCCACTTCTCTTGGTCTTTCCGCGCTTTCTTGAGTTCCTTGCGCTGGAGCTTCTTCTCTCGGCTTTCCATGTTGTGGCTCCAGGAGGAATTCTCAGCTGCACGTCGCTTCCGCGAATCCTGCTGCTGGTTGCCGTCACCCTTTGCAGCCTCTTCCATCATCTCTTTGCGTCGTTTCTCACGCTGTTTGTCCTTGTAGGCATAGTTGTCCCATTCCATACTAACACCTAGGGTCTTATCCCCAGTGAAGGTACGGAGCTCAGGCATTTTGGGGAGTTTGAGAAGACCCCATGCTTTACCGAGCGCCTCCCAGTCCAGATCGGCCACTCGGAAGATGCTAGCTGCCTGGTGCTTGCTGTAGCTGCGAAGCCAGCTGACAAAGGCCTTCTGGCCCTTATCATGGAGAGAACGGTCTTTCGAGATGGCATTGCGTACTAGCTGGGTTGCGGAAGCAGCATCGCTCTCGCTGGTGGAATCTGGTAAATTGTAGGGCGCAACGGGTGTCTTGCGCACTTCCAAGAATGAAACGTAGTCCTCTTCGCGGCCAGGGTGGAGAAGGACGATACTGAGACCCCGACGCCCAGCACGCCCGGCACGGCCGCATCTGTGGATGAATGTCTTAGGGTCAGAGGGAGGATCGATCTGCACAACTAGATCGACGGATGGAATGTCCAGGCCTCGAGAAGCGACGTCGGTGGTGAGGAGAATAGAGGGGGTGGTAGAGGTGGTGAAGCGGGCGAAGTTCTTCTGGCGGACGTTGGCAGCATGTTTTCCGTGTAGAGGAACGAGGAGGAATTCATCCCCAAGAATTATAGGTAATATAATGGCGAGATAGTCCACACTGGAGCATGTTGAGACAAAGAAGATCGTTTTTTGAGGGGTAGGTTGAACGGTTGTCAGGATTTGTTTCAAAATGGAGAATTTATGTGCGGGAGGAGTAGTCATATAGGTCATTTGAAGACTGAGGAGGAAGTTAGTGAGAGTACACTAGGTCAATATAGAGACGATCGGAAACATACCTCGCAGGAGTACGCTTGTCCTCGCTACCAGCACCGCCCTTGACCTTGACGGCGATCTTGACGGGATTCCGAAGGCCCACTCGGACAATTTGATCCACAGCTTCACTGATACTAGCGCTGAAAAGACCCGTCCTTCGCTGCTTGGGAAGATGACGCAGAATTCTTTGCAGGTCATCCTTGAATCCGAGATCCAACAGTCGATCGGCTTCATCCAATACCAGCATCTCAAAGGATGATTGTGCACAGTGAACATGAGGCGAGGAAAGCAGTTCCAACAGTCTGCCAGGAGTGGAAACGAGCACATTCGGGGATTTCTTGAGGAAAGAGCTCAGATCCTCCGCGGGAGATGTAGTACCGCCTAGGAGGAGTTGTGGGACGACTTTCAGAACCGTGGAGGAAGACTTTGTACGCGGCGCATCGCCTTCGGGGGGATGAATCGCTGCAGCCGATGCAGGGTGAAATTCGAGCAAAGACAAAAGGACTTGATAGATTTGGGACGCCAGTTCTCTGTGCAATCAATATCAGTAGGAGACTTTGAGTAACATTCGCCTAGCGGATGACGGACCTTGTTGGGGAGATAATGATAGCTCCAATATGATGCTTTTTGATCGGATCTTCAAGGCGCAAAAGCTTTTCTACGATTGGGATCAGAAATGAAAGCGTTTTCCCACTGCCAGTGACTGCTTCCACAACCACGTCCTTATGCGTCATGAATAGAGGGATGGCCGAGGCCTGGACCGGCGTCATGCGTGTAAAACCCATCGATGCCACGGCGTCGAGAGTCCATTGCGACAATGATGGAGTGAGACCATCCCACGCCCTTGAGGACGAAGAAGCCTTAGGAGCCATGTGTGATCGAGACAAATCAAGAACGATCACAAACTGGCCTTTAGTTGATTTTCACCGTTCACTGATCGCAAAATCGCAAAGTCGCAAAGAAAAAAAATACCCGTTATCGATTAGATAAGGGGCACGTGACCGAGAGTTTGGGCGGAAACGGAGATCGCAAATCATTAGCCCCTTCCCTTTCCCTCCTTTCTCTCCGGCGGACTATCGGGGGGAGAAGGCCATAACCCTTTGTCCGCAATTTAAGAATCGGCAGAATCTCATTTTCAGGCATTCTTTTTCCCATATAATTTACGAATATCCTATATACCCTTTGTTAAGTGCGATTTCCCGCACCGAAACAATCGAACGATTCAGATTAAATGACTAATGACTTTACTGGAGCTAAAATGTAGACATAATCCGTAATCTAATGTTAAATCCTTCAGACGGTTTTTAGAGGGTTACCTAGATAATCTCGACGTTGATCTCCTAGCGATGTAGCAAGCATAGAACGTATTTAGGGTGGAAGAAAAGCGGTGAATGGTCTTGGAAGAAATCCAGGGTTATGGCCTTCTCCCCGTACTCAACGGCCCCACCCACGAGCGACTCATACGACAGCCTCAGCAGTCTGCTCCCTGGTGTCTCCGAACGCTTAAGCATGTCTCGTAACCCACAAAGTCGAGTTCGTGAGATCGAAAAGCTCGTTACCGAGGCTAAAGCCCAGGGATTCTTGGGATTTTTGTGGTTGCCGAAAACTTCCCAAGCCACGTACAACGAGCTTCAAGCCTCACGAAGCACGAGACGCCTCCGTTGTCTCTATATTTCACCTACGCAGAAGCTTCGCATCCGAATACCGCGGCTAGCTAATTCGGGGGCTATCACATGCCTGAATTCAATAATCGACCCTAAGCTGAGATTGGCTGGCGTACTTGGGATCACTTGTGCCGCGAGTAACTCGCCAGATATTACATTTGGGAGCATTACTGCCCAGCCAGATGGATGCTGGGGCCCTATGAACGTGAGAGATAAGTATCGCACAGTAATCCTTGAGGTTGGAGATTCTGAATCTGCGACCGAACTGGAAAATGACGTTCGACATTGGATCGAGCATGCGGAGTCTAATGTCCAGATTTGTCTTATCGTCAAGCTCGATAAGAATCTAAACAGCATAACGCTTCTTATCTGGCGGCGACAAGACCCAACCGGCCCAAATCTCCGTTCTCGCCCTCGCCATACCACAGCGATTTTCACAGATTCAGTCACCATTGCTCGCGGCGCACGTAACTACACAGTCCAATTTGCAAACCCTTTGTCGCTCCCACTCGCCCCAACCACAATCGTAATTCCTATCTCAGCTTTTACTGGGAGCCCGCTTACCACCGCTAATCTTATCATAACACAGCAGGATCTACTTAAGCTAGGTAGACGATTCTGGATACCTGCTTTTCAGCTCGAGTAGCTCAAGCTCAATGGATGGATGCTAGGGTCCCCAGAACTTAAGACTCAGGATCGCACAGTTGTTCTTAGGGTTGGCAATTCAGAAAATGCGACCAAACTGTATGACCTTGTAGCTTAGCTCGCTCAGTTAGCTATCCCCTCACAAATAGCGCGGTTATTTATCGCCACACAGGGGCCCACTATACAACGCGTTATAATTGGCCTATCGCGGCCTAATACAGTAAGAAGGTTCTCTCCTACAGTACGACCGTACGGAGTACAGTCATGTTCCATAAGCTTTTACAGTAACACACCCTGAACCCACCTATCTTACCGCAATCACCGCCTACTAAATTTGTATACAAGAGATACGACTTACTGAGATATCTCGCCTTATGCCATGAGTTTTGGGACAGCATAAGTTTGCTCGAAGTAGTTGAGTAAATTCTTGAAAGTCTTCAAGAATTTAATCTATGGGGGTTAAAAACTTCATTTACATTGCATCGAATTTATCTGGCAGAATATTATATAATCTCAAAAGTGGGGCCATGTGTTAAAAACTTATGGAGCATCACTGTACCTCCAAACGACCGCCCATCATTCGTTCGTTAGGAAGTCCTGCACACGACCATTGCTCGGATTCATCTGGATCCCAGTACTCCCAAAGTTGTCCATACGAGCGCCGGAAATGTCTTCCTTTACAAATGCTGTCCCGGAGACTCCTCGAGTCATATCTCCCTCGCCCTCGCTATCCGACAGATCCGAGGCACGTGATGGTTATTTTGCGCCGACGACGAGGTCTGCATCGCGTCGACAGCAGTTTTCTGAAGTCGCAGAGGAAGGTTCTGGCCCCGAGAGATCGCATAGCCCGCCTGGTTCGACACCCTCGACCTCGCGCAACCGTCGACCCAAACGGCGGTCCAACCCCAAAATTCCAGCCTCGCCCCCAGCTGCGGACGGCACATTTTCCAACGGTTTCTTGTCCCCAAAGCTTCCAGACTCTTTTCGCGACATTTCTCGCTCACCCTCGCCGCTTGGTCTGATCCCTTTACACACGCGGTATCGCAGTTTCATTCACCGCCATGAAATTCCTCGGAAGCTCCTGCACGTCTCGATCGGATTCCTGACGCTCAACCTCTACAACGGCGGTGTTCAGACATCTCAAATTACACCAGTGCTCTTTACTGTACTAGTCCCCATCGCAGCCACGGATTTCATACGCCATCGCTCGGAGAAAGTCAACAAGCTTTACATCCGGTGTATGGGTGCGCTTATGCGAGAGACCGAGGTCTCTGGATACAATGGTGTGATCTGGTATCTCCTCGGCGCGTACGTCGTCTTGAGGTTCTTCCCCAAGGACGTCGGTGTTATGGGTGTCCTGCTTTTGAGCTGGTGTGATACCGCTGCATCCACATTTGGCCGTCTCTATGGCCGCTACACACCACATCTGCGCCCTGGGAAAAGCCTGGCTGGGACCATGGCCGCTTGGGCTGTGGGTGCCGTCACGGCGGCAGCATTCTGGGGCTGGTTTGTCCCCCATGTGGGCACCTTCCCGAACGATCCTCAGGATGCGTTCATGTTCACGGGTAGCCTGAACTTACTCCCGAACTGCGTACGGGGTCTTTTAGGGTGGGAAACCGGTGTCACTTCCACCACAGTTACCGGGCCCGTGGCTCTGGGTGTGATGAGTGTTGTCTCTGGCATTGTGGCTGCCGGCAGCGAGTTTATCGACCTGTGGGGCTGGGATGATAATCTGACGATCCCTGTCCTCAGTGGACTTGGTCTCTGGGGTTTCCTCAAAGTTTTCGGCTAAATATCTCATCTTTCCTTCTCACAGCTCCCATATCATTCCCCCTACTGTCTACAGTTCTCTTTGGTTTCTTGGATTTTATGTTTAGATGACTGGATGGTCCATTTACCCTCTCCAACATGGCATTGCATCAGCCCTGATTTCTGGCTTAGATTTGGTACATGACCGAACTATCCTGCCGGTGTGGATATATTTTCTCTCTTTCTTGAGATCTTTCGGCGTTGAATCTCTTCTCTTAAACTTAATCTATTCCCGGTACCTTATGGATCTGCATGCTTCAATTTATTGCCTCATCCCCCAAGAAGGCCCATAAACGTGGGCGGCAGCCTCAGACGACACTGCGCATCTCCAAAGTATCTTCATGTCTATATTACTGCAGAATCCACAAATATCATACATTTCCTTGCTTATACAATTCGCCCAGAGGAAGTGGACCCCCGACTGTACCCCAGTATGTACTTGGATGAATTGATCAAACCGGACTCGCCAACCTTAGAATTTCCAGTGGATCTCTTGACGTATGTGGGGCGATGCCTCTTGGCTTCCTTGATAGGATTAGCGTGCTTATCCTCGGGAATATCTTCATACGATGGCATGGAATCATGTCTTCCAAACTTCTCGCAGCTCAGATGTCTTCCCTCAGGCGCTTTGTGTGCTATGGAACGATCTTCCTTGAAACAAGCTAATGACGCTTGTTGGACATGTCGCCGTCGTCGATGGAAATGCGACCGGACTCTCCCATCTTGCTGCAAATGTGCCGCTGCGGAACAACACTGCTTGGGATATGGCAAAGAGCGACCACTGAGATGGACAAACAGTGTGGCGAGCAGAGGTAAATTGATGGGCAAGACTGTGCCACGCCAAGAAAATTTCTTCTCAATCGGAAGGCTCCTTGTCGATCCTGGCCTGCAGGATTTGCCTACTGCAACTCGGGGCTACATCGCATACTGTCAGTGTAATGACTGGAATTACGCCGAAGGAGCCTGCTAACAAGAATATAAGTCGAAAGGGAATGCTGCCATGAATTTGTGTTGGATGTTACCGATCCTAACAATTCAGTAAAAGATTTGATGCGACTGATTCCCTCATCTCCTGGTTTTCGACATACGATCGTCTCGGTTGCAGCCCTACATCAAGCAAACCGGCAGTTGACGAGCTCTGCTCATGGGTATAGTACTTTTATGTCTGTATTAAACGGAGTCAACTTACCAGAGATCTCGAGACAACTTCTCCAAGTGCCAGCATACTACGATGCTCTCTATCATAAACAGATGACACTTGCTTTCCTCAGAGACCAATGCACGAGGGGTCAATTGCGAAATCCAGATGAAGTATTTGCTTCGATACTCTTGTCAATCTGGTTCGAGCTTATGGAGTCCGGAAAAGATCGCTGGAAGGATCATCTTCATGGATTACAAAAGATCATGCAGACTTTCAATTTCCCTAGGGGCTTAGCGGCGTCTATTCCGCAGTTTTCTTTCTCAATGCTTTGATACTAATTATTCCATGTACGCTATTGCTGGACCCAATTGCCTTTCCCGTTGAATTAGCTAATTCTTTATCGCAGATTTGGGATCATTGGTCCGACATTCGTCAAAACCAAACTGCCCTACCGACCAATTTTCACCACGATACCCGTTATCGACGTCTTGAAGCTTTCAGAGTCCCAAACATGGGCCGGATGCCCTGCAGAACTCCTATTTGCACTATCGCTGATCAACGCCGCTTCATCAAATCCAGAACAGACTCCCGACCTAGTATATCATATTTGCTCTCTCCTTCAAAGATTCTCCCCTATACAATGGGCTACCTCAGGAAGCAAGGCAGACAACGTCATGCCGCGATATCATTTTGCCCGGATTTGGCGAGCAGCAGTGGAGATATATGCATCGCAGGTCTTTAACGCCGTTGAAGATTTTGATATAAATATGCACTACCCCACTAGCTCGCTGGACTCGATTATCTCAAGTATTGGATCCATGGATGCATCAAATGCACACTACAGAGGTCTACTATGGCCTACATTTGTCATTGGTGCCGAGGCACAGACGCCCGCTGAGAAAAGTATCATTGTGGAATCATATGGACATTCGTGGACGATATGGCGCTGTGAGAATGTGACTAATGCCTTGAGACTGCTGCAAAAGATTTGGAAGCTAAGAGAAATGGGAGACATACCTCGGTGGTGGATTGAATATGTATATGAATCTGGAGAAGCGTGGATGTTTGTATGAAATCTTGCTGTAATGAATTGGAATGAGTCTTGAAACACGAAGACACCGGCAGGGCCAGCCAAAGGAACAATCCGCGCTACAGGACGAAGAAGGCCTTATATAGGCTCAGCGCGATGAACGCACAAAGAAGAGCCTCAGGCAAGTAGTGGAGACTATTACCTGAGAGGAGCAACTGAGAGCAAGGCATGACGGGGGGTGTGGACGAGTCAGAGGCAAAAGATAGCGATGAGGACTCCAGGAGCTGTTCTAAAAGCCGGTTGCTGATCAAAGATCTCAATTGATCGCACGAATCTTCAGCGTGGAGACTATGGAGATTTTCTTGGTATTTAGCATAAAATCTTGTATTCGAATACTTTGTGAAGTTGATTGCATCCAGTCAAAAGACAGTGTAAACGGTGTAAACGGTGTAAACGCTGATTAACAGACATCAATTCTTCAAAGAACTCTTCTCCGACTCGCTTTCTCTCCAATAATCAAAGTGCCATAGATATAGGTATGAATACGGGCACTCCCTTGGATCTCATTAATACTCGACGCTGAAGTAATGTAGTCGCAGCTTTATTGGCTTATTGTGCCTCGCGACTTGACCCCCGCGCAGAGCTCTAGTACCACACTACCGCAAGAGTTAATAAGTGAAGACTTCCGATAGAATAGCGGAGTGCATGTAAACATTGTCGACGGCGCTAGTGATATTTCTCACGTTCAAAAACAAGGCATTATCATGGTACAGCTTCTCTTAGATGCTTGTCCCAAATGGCTTGGGTACTAGCGGTCCTCCAAGCCACGTAAGGCTAATATTTTGGAATCTGACTGGCTTAGTATGCTTCTTGGCATGTATGTGATGCAGGCATACTACCATGGCTAACGCTGATATTTGCAACATGCAGAAGATATGACGAACGAGTAAATTCGCTTAAAACTGGAAGTCAACGAAGTGGCATTTAATGCTCACTTATGCCTATGGCCATCCCAGATTCGGTCCAAAATCAGCAGCAGAATAGAGCAGAAAATTGGTCAGTGGCGTCTTCGGCTAACTAAATTGGATGCTCCAAACTGGCTTAGTCTCCTTCGTTCCTGGAGCTAGCGTGAAGCCACCCGATGGTACTCCGTGTGCAGAGACGATGCTTGTGTTGGGACAGTTGCCAGTGTCGTTTTCGTAATCTTGACTTGAATACCTAGAAAGGAAGAGCACTGTAGTAAATGTATGAAGTTCACCCACCAGTCAGATCGAGGGCGTCAAGTTGATTGCACTGTAGAGATGACCAGACGTTGCCAACAGCTTAATTCCAGGGTTAATCAAAGAAGGATAGATCGCAATAGGTGATGTAGTAATCAAAGAGGTGAATAGGCACCGGATGAGAGGAGATGGCATTTGCTGAAGAATGCTAATTTGCCTGCGTTCGCCCGATGTTGGCCGAGTCTTGCGGGGTAATCTGCGTTGAAGCCTGTATGAGGTGTCACCTATCTAATGCAATTTCCTGATCTTATCTACCGGGCCGGCTCGACCGTGTGTATTATTTCTTACTAGTACCTATCAGCGACCACTGATATGTGAACATCGAAGTTTAGATTGCCTCTCGGCTAATCGTCGCCTCGGAGTCCCGACGGAGGTATCATGAACTAGCTCAACTTTGGCTTTCCCGGAGAGATATGGTACTACACGAAAGTTCCCTGAGTTTAAGACATAATTTTATGAGTTTGATGAGGTCTTCTTTGAACATTTTAATCAACGAATGTGATAATTGCAAAAGCTGTAAGCTGGCTGTAGGGGTCATATCAGGGGATCAAGAAGATCACAAAGTTGTTCAGGTGGACCGGATTGTATGCAGCTAGCTTCGCACTAGAACTATCGCGTGATAGTAGGTACTTGCTTCAACCCCAAAGGGATAATATCACAACCCCCCGCTCCGGTGATGTCTCGGCACGCAATGCTCCCCAATTTACTGGAGCATCGCGTCTTTTGTGGACCTAGAATACTACCATGAGCGTCGTGTGCAGTTGGTGGCTCAGGGGAGGGGGGGGGGGTGTTGCCTTCGTGACAATCAAGCGATCATATAAAGCGGATGGTTTGGGCCACTAGTATGAAGCTTGAAGAGAAATTTGCTAGGGTATAGCTCATAACCCCTCGATTTGCGATGTATTTTCCAATTCGCGTAGCGCTGCCTTCGCTTTTTGCTTCGGTCGCCTATGCGGCCATTGCACCGAAGCCTGTCCCCCCTCCTTCGACAGCTGCTTCAACTGCGACTTCTGGCCAGTCAACCTTTCAGCAGTTGATTGACCACAAGAATCCTAGCTTGGGCACATTTTCTCAACGTTACTGGTGGAACTCGGGGTGGTGGGAGGGTGCGGGCTCACCAGTAAAATCTCCTTTCTATATGGTGGAATTGCTCAGTATATTGACCAACAATCCGTTAGGTGGTCCTATTCACACCTGGAGAAGAGGCGGCCGATCAGTATACGGGATATCTGACCAACAAGACCATCACCGGTCTGTTCGCACAGGAAGTCAAGGGTGCAGTGGTCATGCTTGAGCGTAGGTGCCTTTCTCGCTACTTAGCCCAATAGAGCTAACTGATATTGCAAAAAAGACCGTTACTGGGGAGACTCATCCCCTTATCTGGAGCTGACTACTGAAAACCTGCAACAACTGACCTTGGAGAATTCAATTGCCGACCTCACCTACTTCGCAAAGAATGTCGAGCTTCCCTTTGATACAAACAGCAGCAGCAATGCTCAAAATGCAGTATGAAATCTCCTCAACCTATGATCAGGCCGCCTGACTGATTCAATATTCAAACGATAGCCATGGGTCTTCAGTGGAGGATCTTACAGTGGTGCCCTCGCAGCTTGGACCGAGTCTACATCGCCTGGAACATTCTGGGCGTATCATGCGTCCAGCGCCCCGGTCGAGGCTATCTCCGATTATGTCAGTACTCTTTTACTTCTTGATTCGATCAAGCAAACACACTGAACAATTGCTGAATTCTGAGTCTAGTGGCAATACTTCACTCCTGTTCAAGAAGGAATGCCCGCAAACTGCAGCAAGGACGTCAGCAGAGTTGTGAATTACATTGACAAAATCAACAAGTCTGGATCAGAGAAGCAGGTTCAGGAACTGAAAGACTTATTTGGGCTTGGTGATATCGAGCATTTCGATGACTTTGCTAGGTATCTATTCGAGGTTCAGTATGAGGTGCGGTAGAAGCTGACTTGCATTTCTCTTTAGTGCCCTCGAAAATGGACCGTGGCTATGGCAGTCCAATAGTTTCTACACAGGCTACTCCGGATTCTTTCAGTTCTGCGATTATGTTGAGGTATGTAAAAGCTGATAATTTCCTGATCTTGTGAATTGCTGGTTCTGACCTCCGGGTAGAATGTTGAGAACGGCACGAGCAAAATTCCCGGATCAGATGGCGTCGGCCTTCACAAGGCGCTCCAAGGTTATGCGAAATGGTTCAAGGATATTTACTTTCCTGGATGTAAGTTTTAACTTCCGAAGAATATCTCACAATTGCTAATGAGGGGACAAGCGTGCGCGAACTATGGTTACTGGACTGATCCATCGACTACTGCATGCTTTGACACATACAACGCGTCCAGCCCTATTTTCACGGATATTTCCGTGAACAATACCATCGACCGACAGTGGCAGTGGTTCCTTTGCAATGAACCTCTTTTCTACTGGCAAGAGTACGTCACTCTTTGTTCGAGTTGATCGGGCCTCGGTCACTAATATTTTTCTTTATCAGCGGCGCACCATCTGGTGTTCCAAGTATCGTGTCTCGCACCGTCAATGCGGAATACTGGCAGCGACAATGTTCTCTATACTTCCCCGAAGTGAATGGCTATACCTTTGGAAGCGCAAAGGGTAAATCCGAAAACGAGGTTAACTCGTGGACTAAGGGTTGGGAACTGACCGACACGACACGACTGATTTGGGCCAATGGGTATGATCATAATACCCTTCTTATAGGAATTCCCGTTGGATGAAGCTAACATGAATACAGTCAATATGATCCGTGGAGATCTGCCAGTGTTTCCTCCTCTTTCCGACCTGGAGGGCCACTTGAATCGCGGGAATCCGCCCCGTTGAATGTTATCCCAGGAGGTTTCCACTGTTCGGATCTGATTTTGAAGAATGGAGCTGCGAATGAGGGTGTCCAGAAGATCATTGATGCGGAAGTGGCACAGATCAAAACTTGGGTCGAGGAATACTATAAGAAATAAGAGGAGAGAGGAGAGAGGAGAACGCGAGCTAAGCAACTGAACTATTCGTTGTAACGAAGCAACCCATCAGGCTGAAACATGATAGCTAGGAAGACAAAGTCTCTGTCTTGGGTTATTTCTTTGCCATGCCCGAAAGTTCCTAAGAGAGAGCTCCCTGTAGCGAAGATCCCGTTCCAGTCGGTTCGGACGTCTTCTCTGGAGAATATGGAGATATGAGAGTGTACGTTTGCTGGAGACAACGAATTCCCTCTTGCGATGTTATTGACGCTTGTAAGAGGTTTGTCTAGGAAGACATGACTTTATGGTATGCAGCAAATTAATAGCAAAATGATCGCTAAATTAGAGAATAACCCCAAAACCCCCGGAGAAGAAAGATCTATGCGAATGTAGTGCTCCTATGCATTGCCCCAACTATCCCACTCAATGCCGTTTTTGAAGAGACGAAATTAAGAAATCAAAAAGGTACAAAACAAAAAAAGGGTATCTCAGTCGTATCAAATCATGTCCACAATGCTCACCCGGGCCACACGCTTCCTGCGAGAATTCCTTGCAGGTTGCGCATCGTTATGAGCATCGGTCTGAGGAGCATCTAAGTTCACCGAATTCATTTCAGTGGTAGAGGGCGTGTCAACTGTCCAGAAGCCGCCCGATATCGTGATGTTTACGATATGGCCTTTCGTTCGCGTATCGCTTGAGGTCTGCTCTTTTGTCTTCGACGAAGTGGTCCAACGGTCCTTTGACCTGCTGCGAGATTTTTTGGGCGACATCATGGTCTCTGAATGAATGGCATGCTCTTCACGTTCCTGGCTCGGCTTGGCTGAGTATTTGGGTTGGGCACTGGGCGGGTTCTTCTGCGACAAAGCCTGTTTCGATGCCTGGTCATTTCTCACAGGGCTGGTTTGAGAACGACGACGAGTGGTGCCATCGTCCACCTTTGATGTCCCAGGTTCACGCAATAAGCGGACCGGGAGATTATGTTTCTGCCCACCATGGTCCTCGGATATTGATAATGAACTGATAGAATCCTCCAAGGAATCGAGAAAGAAGGAGTTTTCAAGAGCATGTGGGCTCTCAGTGGGCTTGGAAACAGTGCTGGAAATCTTTTGCTTGAGCTTGCGTGAGGTATCCTCAAGACCTTTTTCTGCGGCCCCACCTTCATTCTTCGAGCTTCTCGATTTGACTGAATGGCTTGACGGTCTTGCTGACGAAGTCAAGGATTTTTGCACATCAACAGACTCGACAGCCGATAGCTTTGATACTTTGGAATCGAACGCACCATCTGACGGTGGTCGAACTCGGGATCGTAGAGGAAAATAGTCAATCGCTCGAGGGCCGGTCATTCTTGATGATGGTCTAGTTGTCAGCGAGGAGAACGTCTCAATTAACCCGTCCACCTCGCGCGAGGAAGTACGCGTATGACCCGAGGATTGTTGCTGGGAGTACATACTCAGCGTGAAAGAATCATCCTCGAGGTCTATAACCTGAGATGACGACAAAGCCCGAAGCACGGCCGGCTGTTGTTTTGTAGACGCACTTTCCAGCAAGTAAGACTTGCTAGACGCGTTAAGGTCGGATCTTTCCTTCGTAAGAGTTCCGTATTTCAATATGCTACCACGCTTCATTCCCGGGTCGATGACCGCCTTCTTCTTGGGGCCCGTCCGTCGGGTGCTCGACTTCTTTGGAGCAGCGGCTTTCTTAGCTTTCTCAGCTTGTTCATCCTCCCATTTTTTGACAACAACGGGAAGGCCGAGCTTGGCGACGGACTCCAACACCCACATCTTTTGAATACCATAGACATCATAGCGCTTGGTCACTCGAGTCTTAGAAGATGTTGTGGGTTGAGGCTCCTCGGGGGCAAGCTCAGCCTCGTCTTCTTCACCTCCAAACTGAGCTGTTTCCAGGGAAGGCTCTGTCTCCGAAGCTGGCTGTGGAGGATTTGGTTCTTCCTTCATGAGGTCAAGGCCAACGACATCAATTGGGAGCATATCAATCTGCAACTCGGTCATGCCATCTGTACCGAAGCTAACACGGCTTTTGTAAACCTTTTGGAGCCATGGCGTATCGCACTCGGGTGCAAGCGAGGGACCTGAAATAGCCGATACTGGTCTTTGGCGGCGCAGCCTGTATGAGACCAAAGGCTCGGCTAGATTCTTGATCACTTTTCGAGCACCGGAGCGATACTTCCAATCCAAGAACTCGGCAGCGAAGCTCCTAATCGCCAATGGGTTGATTTCGCGATCCCATTTATTTTTCAGCTGATGCCTCAGATCAGCCATTTCATCATGGTTAGAAACCTTTGGCTCAGCATAGTACTTGAGAATCGTTGGATCAGGAAAGTTTTCCGGGATTCGGACTGCTGGGTGTTTGTTGACAAAATAGCCACTTTCATTCGAATCCAACTCGTATTGAAGTCGTTCTCGCCATTCGCCGAGTTTTGAATCAAGGTCCGGCGCATGTGAGACGATTATCCCAAGAAGGTCCTCGCCAAACTTAGCCTTTGCAATTTCTGCAGCAATACCAGGACCACACTTCTCGACACCTGACGGGAGGTAATCTCCTCCACTTAGCATAGCAAAGAGAATCATCCCCGCCCTGTCCAAGGAGATATTTGACACATAGCCCTGATCACCCAAGTGATAGCAAGTGACGTGTGTCGCACCGGATGTCCCACTACCGCTTTCATTCGAGAAGTTCATCATTGTGAATGTCGACCCGAACATCAGAGTATCAACGTCATTGCTTATGACTGCATCGACGATGCCAGCCTGCTGTAGCCGTGCGCACTCAGCTTCGGCTTCCCCGGGTGCTTGATGCCATGGAAATTGAAATCGCTCGATAAGATCCTTCGAACGTCTGATGATTGGTGAATTGTCGTGGTTGCGCGATACTGCTTTGCCTCGCTTGAAAGGGGGCTTATCAGGGCCATCATATACGAAGAGTGGGTGTACAGGCAAAGCAAGTAGCTTCAGTAGTCGAAAATAAAGGGTCCGTAGTTCCGGGTTCTTGCCTCCGCGCGACGCCTGAACCTGGAAAAGCCAAATGGAGATATCAACGGCGATTCGGATGGGCCGCGCAGTTCGTTCAAGATGCAATCCGGCTACCTTGGCCAAGGACACACGCTCTCCTGCACCTATGGCGTTGATCAATCTGTTGTCAGTTAGTTGAGGCTTCTCAAGGTCGTGGATACGCCCGTTTAGGAGCCCGCCCGCAAGGGCCGTTGCTAGGCGAGTGTGTTCATGGTTGACCCCGCAGATCTGACCATGCATTCAAGCTAAGAATTGACTGAAAATACGTACCCTGGAATACCCATTAAGCCGGCCAGCAAGTCGGTAGCTTCAGAACACGAAGAACATGGCCATGCAGGGCGAAGGGTGAGGATTCCCCAGAAGAAACTGTCGAAAGTTAGGGAGTAAATAAACCGCGGCCCGAAGAAGTTCCGTTGTTCTAGCACCAGCGCGTCCAGCTCCGCGACCCCATTCACCAATCAGCCTCTAACTCACCATCTCTGCTGTCAGTGTTACCTCTTCCCGAGAGGAGATTTTCTCTGACAAAAAGAAGCGACATTTATGGCGGTTTGACACCGGTCGCCGCGCCGCTCGAAGCGATTTCTTTGTACCACGAATTTCTAAACCTCGAGGCGCACAGGAACTCCCTCACACGCATACAAGCTTGCGAATAGAGCAAAAAGCGCACAGCCATCTGGTGATCAACGCAAATCCAAGATGTCAGCGCCTTCGAATTTGCGTCATACCCAGACAGCCCGGCCCTCCTCCCCTCAGACGCCCCAGCAAGCTCCGCGCTCAGGCAATACCTCCTTTGCCAGTACGACGTCACCGGGCTCCACGTTTCGAAACGAGGACGATGCGATCATATTTGACATAGGCGCACGATGGCTCCGTGCAGGGTTTGAGGGCAATGGAACTCCCGTCTGTGTGGTGGGATTCGGCCCTGAAGAATCGAGACGAGTGGGGGACTATCGAGGATGGATTCAGGGCCCTGCGGGCCATGGACCATTGCCAAAGCCTGTCGATACGGAGGACTGGGTACGAGACTATGAGTTGTGGCGACCAAACCTTCGTCAGGTTGATCTGGGCTTGCTGGAGGATAAGATCGAGCGCCTCTTTCGCGAAACCTACAACAATTACCTCTTGACAGACGCCGGCTCCTCTCGCCTAGTCCTGGCCCTTCCCTCTCTTCTGCCGCATCCATTACTTTCGTCGCTACTCTCCACGTTATTCAGCCGCTGGCGGTTTCCTAGCATCACTCTTCTTCCGAGTGCGACCATGTCGGCAACCGCTGCGGGATTGCGCTCGGCTTTGGTGGTGGACCTCGGATGGGCGGAAACCACGGCGACCGGTCTTTACGAGTACAGGGAAATCACCACCAAGCGAAGCACAAGGTCAATGAAGTCTCTTCAGCAGGAAATGGGACGGCTGCTCTCTTCCCTGGAGTCTGGCGAAGATCACGTGGCGCAGAGCAAGGATGGGATCTCCGTTGGGTTTGCATACTGTGAGGAGGTTCTCATTCGATTCGCCTGGTGCAAGCCATTTGCAGAGGATGGAGAAGAGCCGGTTCAATCCACTCGCACCGTCTCGATACCTTCTCCCAGCAATCCAGCGCAAGAATTCATTGATGTACCGTTCTCCCGCATGGCAGAACCCGTTGAAACAGTTCTCTTTGCAACGGGCACCCCCGAAAGCGAATTAGATGACGAGGAAAAGACGATTCCTCTGCTCGTTTACAAAACTCTCCTGGCTTTACCACCCGATGCACGCGGGACGTGCATGTCACGCATTGTCTTTGTAGGTGGTGGAGCACGAATTCCTGGAATTCGAACGAGGATTCTTCAGGAAGTGTCTTCTCTGATAAAGACATACGGATGGAGTGCGGTCCGAGGCAAGGCTGTTGAACGACAACGCCAACGAATGGAGGATCTGCGAATCTCGTCTCTCTCGACTCAGAGTAATGGACAGAAGCAGAAGTCACCGACCAGTGAAAGTGGAGCGAGCCCGGCCGAGGACGAGAAAATAGATCCTTCCCAAGAAGAGCCGGAGATCGACTTTGTGGAACAGAAGCTGCGCCGACAGAACAAAGATATGCCTGTTCCTGTGCAGGGAGTCCTACGAGAAGTCGAATCTCTTGGCGCCTGGGCTGGAGCTAGTCTAGTGACTAGCTTGAAGTTACGCGGGATGGTCGAGATCGAGCGCGAGAAGTTCCTGCAGAACGGGCTTGCTGGAGCGACTCGCGACTCCGAGCCTCCTGTTCCAGATCGCCGGTCGGGGCTGAGAGCCGGCGATCGATCTAGCTGGACCCTGGCTGGGTGGGCATGATGCTGTACAGTTGACCACATTTACATAAGGAAGATGACTCAATAGATAACTCAATAGATACCCCACAATTCACCACCAATCTGGCTGTGTTGCCAATGTGCCTCGGACCGGAAAATGCGGGGAACAGACCCACGGCTTTCCTGGTCCCTTCGATGCCAACGTGAATGGGCGTCACGACTTGCATGTACGGTAGAGACCTACGATACTTATTGCGATGAGAGATTTTAGCCCGCCACCATTACGCGCACCCAAGGCGTGCGTGGCGTGTAATAAAAAGAAGGTCAGATTGTACCTCTCTCTAAGAGGCAGGGACATGACATAGCTGACCATCGTAGGTTCGGTGCATCTTTCAAGGCTCTACAAGCTCTTGCTTGAATTGCTTGCGGCACCAATGGCCCTGCTGGTTAGTGGACACGTATTCTCACAATCGAGTGACCCAGGCGAGTAACCCTTGAACAGCCAGCGAGAGCGCAAGCGCAAACGCCAGAGAGCTCGTGATGGTGAATTCGACATTGAGCCTGTCAAGGAAAGACAACATCGACGCCAATCGACTTGGAATAAAGGCGAGTCTGTGAACTTACAAACCTCAAGAAATGCCGCTCGTTCTTCAATCGAACATTCCGAGGAGGAAACTAGTGCACTAAACATCTCGGGTGACGAGGAGAGGTCGAGATTTACCGAATCCCCTCACGCGTCCAACCCATATTCATCAGCGTCTAGTCTGAGTTTTATGGCGCGTTCAAGATATTTCGAAGATACTGTGGTTATCAATGAAGACCACGCCGGGTCATATCCCTTGGGAGAGGCCGATGGCCCTTCCGATGATGAGATCCAAATACTCCGGCTGCAAGGGGCATTTGAGCTTCCCCCACGCGCAATCCGCGATGGCTTGATCAACACATTTATGGAACGGTGCTCACCATGGATGCCTATTGTTGAACGTAGCTGGCTAGAGGAAAGTGGTGCCCAGAAACCTTCAATCCTCCTTTTGCAATCAATATTCGTCGCAGCAAGCCGAGTCAGTTCTGCTCCAGCCGTCAGTGCGTATGCATCGCCTCATCAATTCTATCGCCGTGCAAAAGCCCTGTTTTGGTCCGGATATGAGAAGAATCCAGTGGCTGTCGTCGCAGCTGTATGCATCTTGCATTGGTACAATCCGGAAGGCCCTGAACATGTCTCGACTAACACCAGCGGTTTCTGGCGGTACGTTGGGGTAGGACTAGCTCACCAAATAGGTCTGCACAAGGAGCCCACGAACAAGAGAGAATCTGGACTCAGGCGTAGGCTTTGGTGGACTCTATTTGTAAGTCAAATCCCAGGAGCGATTTGTGATACAGTATCTGATATCTGATCTAATTACTGTTAGGCCAGGGACTGCTTGATTTCTGCAGGACAAGGGCGTCCACTTGCAGTCAACATAGATGATTGTGAATTAGCACCCCCGTGCCTGGAAGACTTTGATGACTCTAGCTCGGATGGTACTCTTTTTATTGCCTATGTCGAGATTGGCTCTATCCTTGGCCACCTCACCCAGTGTTATCGGCGCAAGAGTTTCACACGGCACATGCAACAGAGTATCGAAAATCGCCTCTACCGCTGGATGCAAGATCTTTCGGCTTCCCTGAGACTCTTCAATCCTCACGCGCCCCCATCTGAATGGGAGGCTTCGCAAAATTCTCTAGCTCCCTATCGCTTTGAAGCCCGCCAGCTCCACATCCCCTACTTCATCTGTCTCGCTATCATGTGCCGTCCCAGTCCGGGAAACTCACCATCTCCAGCGGTGGTGCTCGCGTCTTCCTTTGTAGCCGGCATATTCGAGGATTTCCTTGCCCGTGATGAGATTCAGTTCTTGGGCCCGATCTTCACATTCCACTTGCTGGCAGCCGGCATTGGGTTACTCTCGTGTCGCAACGTACCCGCATTATGGGTGAAGGCAGCCGCTGATCTGGAGACTATCTACTTGTCTCTGGAAGTTCTTGCCAAACGTTGGTCCTCCGCCAAAGGAAGCCTCAGGGCCTTGAGGAGTATTGCCGAGAAGCAGCAACGAACGACAAGGTCAGAGACGACCTCTCTGCAGATGCTTCCTCGAGAACACCAACCATTCTTCAAGCAATTTGGACCGGATCTTTCTTGGGCCTGGCGGTTTTTTATGGCCTCAGAATCCACCCCTACAATCCAAAATCCACTTGATGCTTCACCGATTGCCGAGGCCGGCGATTTCCCCCCTGAAGGGTTTATCAAATCCCGTCCACCGGATGTCGTGCCAGCTACGAAAGAACACCGGCCACTGAATTCGATTTTGGATCCTCATATGGGATTCGCAATGGGAAATACGCCAGGGGCAATAACCGATGAGTTCTTCTACAATGAATACCAGGGTATGGGTGATTGGCTCTTCGAAGACCTGGAATGGACTGGCGATATTCAGTGGTAGGACTACTTGCAGACTTATTAGACAATAGAAATTCAATCATAATTTTGTTCAAGGAAGGAAAAAGTTGAGAAGTAATTACAGGAAGGGTACAGACCTGTAGGGTTTACGACTGGCGCCTCGCCCTTTCCCGGCATTCGGCAATCGGTGAATTTCGCAGACTGTGGCAGACTGTGGGGTCCGAGGGATCAGCGCGTGCGGGGAAGCATTCAAGCTCGGCTCGAGGATATTCGTAGATGGGGCTAAGAAGAAACGAATTAGACTTACAAGGAAGGCTTGAACGTTTTTTACTCCCTTCGTCTACTTGCTTGAAACTGTCAAAAATCGCCTGACAACATGACTGATATCCCGACCTTTCGCAATCTCTCACTCGAGAGACATGGCAATGTCTTTGTCTTAACTATGCAAAAGCCTCCAGAGAACCGGTTGAACTCTTGGTATTGCCAGGAAATGATACGTGCTTATCGTACAGTAGAGAGACTATTAGGTCCCGACTCGGAAGGTGCTGTTATCACCAGAGGCAGCGATGCGAAGTTCTGGTGCACTGTATGAACATGTTGCTTCTTCTTATAAAGATGGAAAGCTGATCAACATCTAAAGGGCCTCGAGCTGGACGAAGCCGATACGAATCCATTTGCGAACACGGATGGCTTTTACCCGGTATGCGCTTTGAAGTCCATCAGCCAGCTGAAGCAATTCGACCCAAAGATGATGCTAATCTACCTTTAGCTCATTCATACCATCCTCGATTTCCCATTCCCGACCATCGCATTACTCACCGGCCATACGTTCGGTGGCGCCTGTCCTCTGGCTCTGGCACACGACTATCGCATCATGAACTCACGCCGAGGTTTCATTTCCATGCCCCCCGTGAACCTGGGTTTGCACTTTGATGGAATTGGCTCCTTACCGAGGCTTAAGTTGCGTCCCCAAATTGCACGCAAGATGCTTCTCGAGGCACACAAATGGACTGGGAAGGAAGCTTTAGAAGATGGAATTGTTGACGCTGTTGCTGAACCGGAGAAAATGCTTGATGCTGCACTTGAGCTTGGAAATAAGGTAGCACCAAAGGCTAAAATGGGGTGAGTTTTCAGATGAAAGCCCAAATCTAGGACCGGAGCTTCTACGGATATCGCAGGACTGTTTATGTTAACAATTCTTCCAGGGTTTATGCGCTACTACGTCAGGAGCTTTGGGGTGATGCGATCAAGAAATTCCAGCGAATTAGCTATGTTCATAGTCGTATGACTACTGCCCCTGCGAAAGCCAAGATATAATCATTCAGACAATATCGATTTAGCTGTGATTTTTAATGATGTTTTCCTCAATGAATCATGCATGCAATCACGGGCTTTATATTCTTGTATTCAGAAAGGTTTCTATCATATCAATGCGTCTTTGAGAGTATCTATAGTTTCGAACTCTTCTCTTTGCTCCATACCTGAACCTCAGGAATGTCACGATAGTTTGGTGGGAAGAACTCCGGTCCCAAGATCTTCTTTTGCACCTTGGCTGTGCCTGACTTGGGCAGCTCACCCTTGACCAGCCGCAAAATAGTTGGCATCTTATACCCGGCTAACTTGGTACGAAGATCCTCTCTCAACTCAGCCAGAGTGAGATTATTGCGGGTGGTATTCGGATCCGTCTTGAGACTGATGGTGGCTGCTACTCGCTGTCCGAATTCGTCGTCCTCAACGCCGACCACCATCACCTCGGAAACGTAATCCAGTCCCAGAATCTCTCGCTCAACATCCAGTGCCGAGATCTTATAGCCGCCCGATTTAATGATATCGATGGAGGCACGACCAAGAATGAAATAGTACTTTCCTTCCCGGCGGGCAATGTCGCCCGACTTGAAGTATCCGTCTTTATCGTGGGCTTCCATTGTCGCTTTCTCATCATGAAGATATCTGTTAAGTAGACGACATATCAGTATGGTTGAAGAAATTTGTTAGGAATGCTCGTCACTCACTTTGAAAACATGAAGGGACACTTGACAAGGAGATGACCATCGTCTTCGAGTTTTAGGGATACCGACTCGACCACTCGACCAACACTATTGCGTGGCGTACCTGTGGGATCCAAGTCTGTCTTGATCACAGCCCCAAACTCGGTAGCGCCATAGCGAGTCAGGATAGGCAGCTGCCGCAAATTCTCCCAGAATTCCTGTACAGGGCCAGGAAGCGCCGACGAGCCGCATAACATGGTGCGAATGCTACGTGCCCCAGAGATGTATTCATCACGGACCATGGGTGTTAAATTTGCAATATTTTCCTCATAATATCGCATCATACGCATATAGATGGTGGGCACACCGGAGAAAAATGTCAGTCCTCCACGACGCCAGCGCTCCCAAGTCCACGCGGTATCAAACCCACCACTCCGAAATTCGATGCATGCACCGGCTGTCAGGAAAGGAAGGAATGTAAGTCCCACACCGGAGGCGTGATGAACTGGCAATACGTGAAGCACGACGTCATTTTCAGTGATTCGATAGAAGTCTGCGTCGGTTTCGGCGTTGCCCGTCAACCAAGTACGCCGCTGAACGGCACCCTTGGGCGGGCCTGTTGTCCCTGAAGTGAAGATTACTGCACTTGCGCTGTTCATATCAAGCATCTTGTTTGACGAGATGACGACATCCTCCGCGGAAGTGGGTGTAGCGAGGAAGAACGACGCGATAGGTGAAAGACAGGGAATAGAGAAGTTTTTCTTCTCTGTCATAGATCGGACAATGGACTGGCCGAGCGCTTCGCTAGTTGAACTGGCTACCAAGGCTACACATTGAGCCTTGTGGAGGAAGTAAGACGCCTCTTCTACCGGCAATCCGGCAGCTTTTCAGTGTCAGCTATGCCGTTCATTTTTACGCACGGAATTGAACTCACCCATTGGCACCACTGCAGCGCCCATAGCAAGGATGGCTATGAACCCCACAGTATATTCATAGCCACCCGGTGCCAATAGACCAATATAGACTTCTTTATCTTCAGATAGGTCGCGAAGAGTCTTTTGACTCAGCGTCTTCTCCAATTCGACACGAAGCGCCAGAGCATCGGATAACACGTCATGGTATGTTTTCTCCAAGCCTGCATTTACGTCTCGGACAGCTGTGCGTGAAGGTTTGCGCTGAGAATATCGAAGTAGCTTGTGAAAGAAAGGAAGATTGGGAAGTACGTTTCTCCCCCGATGGGAAGGTACATAAAGAGTTCGGTCACCCATTGCTATCGAATATCCTTCGGACCCGTCCAGTTTTCCCGCTGTTGGACAAGGAGAAATGGCGAACTTTTTAAAACCCTTCCCTTCATAAGCTGAAATCTGGCCATCGGAATTTTCCCGCGTTACTTTGCTCGTTCGCGAGATCCTCAAGTCGGCTACTTCCCCACGATCTTCCCCGCAGCAGGAAGACCAGCCGGCATTCGGCACTCGGCGAATTTGGGGTAGCCTCACCACACGCCTAGGTTGAACTCGGCAAGAAGATGGACTTACAAAGATTGAACCCATATAAGCTGGCTATGGGTTGCCACAGTATTCTCAGAAGATTTTCATAGGTCGTCACAGTCAATCTCACCAATATGCCCGACTTCACTGACAAGCTCCGCCCAAGCCAACCAGATGGGCCTACAACCCTCGCTAACGAGCGAGGGCAGTCCAATATCTCGGTGGATGAGCTCAGCAACCATCTTCTTTCTGCAGATAACTTCCTGGAGAGACAAGCTCGGATACTGCCCATTGTGCAGAATGAGCCACTTTTCTCCAAGGAGAAACAACAAAACCTGTCACGAGTGGAACGATTTAAGCTCGGTCTGGCGCGTGCAAAGTTACTGCGTCGAATGACTGACCAGAATCGATGGGATTACGAGGACTATAAGATGGCCCAGTACTTGGTTGATGATGTCTCCCCCTACTTCTTGCACATGGAGATGTTTGTCACAACCATTCGTGAGCAAGCAAGCGAGGAACAACGCGCCTACTGGATGCCTTTGATTGAATCATGGAAAATTATTGGTGCTTACGCTCAAACCGAGCTTGGGCATGGTAGCAATGTTCGAGGTTTGGAGCTTGAGGCACGTTGGGATAGCGGTACCAAGGAGTTTGTACTTCATAGTCCCACACTTACGGCTAGCAAGTGGTGGAACGGAAGCTTGGGTCGCGTTGCCAACCATGCCATCGTCGTTGCTCAGCTGCTTCTTCCAAGTCCAGGGTCACCGGGAAAATACGTATCTCATGGACCTCATCCCTTTATTGTACAAGTGCGCGATATGAAGACCCATCAGCCTCTCAAAGGTGTGGTCATAGGAGATATTGGGCCCAAGTACGGATATATCACGATGGACAATGCTTACATGCTGTTTGATAACTTCCGGTAAATCAAGGAGCCTTCTTCTCAAAGCAATGGTGAGCTAATTCGACAATCAGTATCCCTCATTCTGCAATGCTATGCCGGTACTCCAGCCTTGATCCCAACTCTGGAGCGTATGCAAAGCCAGAGCAGCCAGCTGTGGTCTATGGATCTTTGACATACGTCCGCGCAAATATTGTCCAACATGCCAGATTAGTGCTTGCGAGAGCAGTGACAGTCGCAGTCCGGTACACAGCTATTCGACGGCAATTCCAAGATCGAGACGGGGACAACAATGGGCCCGAAATGTCCGTCCTTGACTATCCGAGCGTCCAAATCCGCATTCTACCCCTACTAGCAACCGCATTTGCGCTTCATTACACCGGTCTGTCTATGCAAAATGTGTATCAAGCTACGCGAAAGGACATTGAAGGAGGCGATTTCCGCTCACTGGCTCATATGCACAGTTTGTCATCAGGACTAAAGAGTCTTTGCACCATGCTTGCTGCAGATGGAATCGAAACTTGCAGACGTGCGATGGGTGGACACGGCTTCGGAGGTGGAAGCGGTCTCATTCAATTAAACAACGACTATCTTTCCAAGCCGACGGTCGAGGGAGACAATTGGATGATCACGCAACAAGTTGCCGCTTATCTGATCAAGAGGATGACTGCTGCTGTGAAATCTGTTAACACTCCTGGTACAGATGAGACAGATACTCGGTTCAAAGAGTTTATTCGAAACAAGCAAAGTGCCTGCTCCAACCAGCCAGTATATACCTCATTGTCGAGTGACCAGGATATCGTCAAGAGCTTTGAACTTCGAGCCACGGCTTTGGTATGTTGAGATATTCGGTGCACGCCAGTTCTCGCGGTCATTTGTCTGACAATATATAGGCATACGATGCATATGAGCAGCGGGTATTGAAGAAGCAAAATTGGAATAGTCTTCTCATCCAGCTTCACAAGTTGAGCAAAGGTATGACCCAATCTTCCAAAAGTCTTGGTCAACATACTCATGTTTCAAACTAGCTCAATCCCAGTCGATACTGGTCGCTACCTTCTTCGATGCATTGTCTAGTGACAAGTCTCTATCGGGCCCAGCAAAGACTGTTCTCTGGGACCTCTTCCGCCTGTTTGCCCTTTATACCATGGAGAATGAAGGATATGAATGTGAGATAATATCTTCCTCGCCACCTTGTCAACGTTGCGTTGCTAATTCAACTGTCGAATTTCAGTTTTCCGCTGCAATGCTGTGTCTCAGTCCGATCTCAACGCCCTCCCATCCCGCATCCAGGAATTGATGGCCCGAATCCGCCCACATGCTGTCAACTTGGTTGACTCGTGGAAGATTCCTGACTACCTGTTGGACAGGTAATGATTCCCTTACCATATTGATAACATAACTGAAGAAACTAAATGTTATGGTCACAGTGCGTTGGGCCGATACGACGGCCGTGTATATGAAGATCTCTACAACAGAGCCCATCGTTTGAACCCGCTCAACAGCATCACATTCAACCCAAATTACTGGGATGAGGAAATTGTTATGGGAACGGGGGAGAACGGGCGATATATTCTGTCCAAGTTGTAAAAGACATGATTGTGCTCACTGAGTCAGAAATCAAGCAAACGGAAGCTTTTCCTTTTGCTAGCCCTCATGTCCACTTGTAAGCCCACTGATTCAAACCAGATATGTATCTGATGGCTACTTCTCCGTTCGGGATGCCACACAGTCTCAACTTGTCAATTCAAGTTCACTCGCGGATAATCTGGAAGTGCCAGCCCAACTATAGCACGGTCAGACGGGGCTAGGCTATCTGGCAATGGATGTAGATGAAAACAAATCAACAGGGTCCTTCGGAGGGTTCGGAGGCCGTTTTCCAAGCGTAGAATTCACGCTAGTACCATTTCGGTTCGACCGTGACATACATCCTGGTGTGGGGTAAACAGTCATTCTGATCATTGGCTGCTCTGACTACCCGTCCCGCCTTCAATTTGTTGTGGACGGGGTGCAGCGGCGTTTCGGAACCTCACAAGGTCCCCACTTTGGGAGACCGTCATCTGGGATCGATTGGACTATTGAGCTACTGTTGATTATTTGTAGCTACAAATTCGGTTCTCCCTTGACTGTTATTTTCTAAACACAGAAGCCTGTACAACACGCGATCCGAACACTTCGTTATTGTCGCAATGGCAATCACTGCTCAGTGCCACAAGCTCCTGGAGGCCGAAATTCTTCAACGGTCCTCGCAAATCGTCTCGGTTGTTGGTGACCAAGCATACATCTTCGGAGGAGAGCTGCGGCCGCGTGAACCTCGAGATAATGACTTGCACGCCGTTTCTTTGGCCAATGGTAAGCTGCAGGCCACTACGAGACAACCCGCAACTTTCAACAATGCTAACAGATTCAATCCATAGCCACTGCCTCGATAACTTCGCAGCCCCAATCTACCCAATCCCCCTCCGCTCGTGTCGGAACAGCATCTGCCACTGTCAATGGAAAAATATATCTTTTCTCTGGCCGTGGGGGTGTCGCAATGGCCCCGATCGAAGAGCAAGGCGCGGTCTGGGAATATGACACTTCTACTTTGACCTGGAGTCTGATCGAACCATCAACAACCAAGTCGGCTGCAGTCCCAGCTGCTCGCAGCTATCATTGCATGACCAGCAACGGAAAAGACACACTCTACATTCATGCAGGATGTCCCGAATCAGGACGACTATCAGACTTGTGGGCGTTTAATGTCCCACGCAAAGAATGGACCGAACTTGCTCCAGCCTTTGATCCACCTCGTGGTGGTACATCTATTACCTTTGCGAATGGAAAACTATACCGCATGAATGGCTTCGATGGGAAGACTGAGCAGGGTGGAAACCTGGACATTTATACTCCGGAGACTAATTCTTGGGAAACCCACGTCTATACCCCCGATGGAAAGCAAGGCCCTTCGCCGCGAAGTGTGAGCGCCTTATTGGCAATTTCTGTTAATGACCGATCCTACCTGATTACCTTGTTCGGAGAGCGGGACCCCAGTTCATTGGGTCACCAGGGCGCGGGAAAGATGCTGGGTGATGCCTGGGGCTTTGATATTGAGAATAAGAAGTGGGAACAGGTAGACCTGCAGGGCAGTGAACTCCCACTGGCTAGGGGTTGGTTTGATGCCGACGTTGCTGCTTCAAATTCAATCATTGTTCATGGTGGCCTGGGAGAGTCTAATGATAGGCTTGGGGATGTCTGGAAGTTTGTGTTTGCCTAGACTTGGGCCGAGCGTACACCACAACGCACGGCAATGGTAAAGTCGATCCTGTTTACAACTCCCGTCTAGCTGATATACCCGGTGTGAATCAGATTGCCGATAAAATACAAGAGGGGATCATGTCAAAAGCAAGATTTTCAAATTGCACACTACTCCTACTCAGTTGTGAACAGATTTCTAGATACGAATGCCATTACCATAAGCTAGCGGAGTTTTCTCACGCCCTTGCCGCTTTGCCAACGAAACATGGAGGTTTTAACTAGTAATGAATAGACCAAGCCTGTTGAGACCTCCATTCCCTCCAGACGTTGCTCGACTGTATAGGCTCTGGACACCCCATAGATAACCCAGGACCATTTCTTGATGAAGAATTCAGACTCTCCCCAGCCTGAGGGCAGCCACGGGTCATCCCATATAACCATCTCAGCGTTTCCATCTGCCAGATTCATATTTCTGTACAAAGATCGCAGTCATTGAATAGATACGCGACTCGATCAAGTTGTGCCGGATTTACAGAAAGAGAAAGCAATCTAGTCAGGGATGAAAAGGGATATCAATCTGGACCGACATGTTCGAGGCAACGAGGTTGCTTTGAATTCCCTCAAAAAAGAACTAGATATCGGAAAAGGAAGATAATCTGTCCAGAGCTCGTTGTCCAGAATGAAGCAGGTGGTCATGGGCAAAACAACTCGGCAGGTGCAACAAATGCCCCCTCTGTATCCGTACGAACATTGCGTACAGAAGACCTGCAAGGGCGACAGCAATCACACTGATGAGGGCTGGATATCTAAACTGATCCGGACGCGAGAAGATCATGGTGGAGATATAGGAGCAGATCTCAAATAGGTTCTGCCACGCCGCTTCAGTCGAGGAGAAGGAGCCTCGTGCCTCTGCTTCAATGTCCTGTGGAGTTTGATAAAAGTCAGAGTCTCCTCGTCTACCAAAACATGACATCGATGACGCTCCAAGAACTCACCTCTTGAACCAAGATTTGCGCACAGAGATCAAATCCTCGCAAGCCTAACCTGCTGAGAATTACGCCGCCGACGAGACCAGATGCAGAGAGAAAAGGCTGGCTGGTGAAGCGCAAGAAGATAGCAAAGCCGCCGGTCAAACAAGTAATCTGCCAACTTGCCAACCAAAGACCGGCACGTGTGGGCCCTATCCTTTCCATCAGCCAGGGAGCGACCCAAGTGGCTAGAACCTCAAACGCGACTGCCAAAGTTCTTGCAACAGCGACTTGTGTCGAATCATAGCCTGTCGAGAGGAGCCAAGTAACCATTTGTCCCGAAAACGATAAGACTGTCAAATACAGCAGCGCGCCGGCAAAAGATGGGAGAAAAACTCGGTGTCGAAAATAGAAATCAGAGTCTTTCAGAGCCTGTCGTACACCTTGGCGCACAGATCCACCAATATTCAAAAGGAAGCCTTGCTGTACAGACTCTTCACCTCGGGCTCTGGGGGGAGATTTTTTGGCTTCCTGCAGCTCAGGCACTTCTTCGTAGACCTAAGGTAAACCGTGAGAAAGGTGCTTCAGTATGGTCGAGGGCATAGATTATGGTCTCTCTCACAATGGCGATTGAGTAATACTCCACCACAACAGAAGAGATATTCATTCCGAAGTTGACAATGATGGCAGTTTCAGAGGATATACCGTCAACGAGAGCTATGAATAGAGGTCCGAGTAGCTTGCAAGCCAAGTCAATCCGTCGCATTTGGGCGTTCATCCCTGTAGCAAATGAATTAGCTTTAGAATTCTCAATTCGTCTCGGAATTCTCACAACATACTCATTAAGCCTGCGTGGTCGGTTCCGGCAACGACTACGACCTGTAATATCATTTAGTAGGAAGTGGCGCTCATGATATTCCCGGTAGTCTTACCCAGTCTTTCTCCACGGAAACCATGTTCAAAATAGAACATAGCTTTTCAATACAGGCCAAAAAGGTTAGGGTTGCCAGCAAAAACACGTTGACTACGCGTCTCATAGGAAGACCAATCGCAAGTATATAAAAGATTACACACGATGCAGCCACGACCAGTCGTTGTAGCACTGTAAAATAGTCAGCGTTGTTGACTGGTACCTCTGCCTGTCTCTGAAAACCGGGAAACCTACCAATTGAAACTCGAACGACCTGCAAGCGGTTACCGACGTCGATATAATAGCCCACAGCCGAAGAAAAGACGATTGCCACCAATCCACGAGAAAGTGCGTATGCGGACAGGGGAAGAAGCGTCCCTGGATAGACTGTGGCCAAATACAAAACGGCTCCGAATTCGAATACGCGGGAATTCCATGTTGATAGGAAGTGGGATATGTAGAGGCGATGGGTTATTCTGGTTGATATTTGATTCTGTGGATGATCTTCATCCCTGGAGATAATTGAAGCTGCATCCTCAGCATTTTCAGGGTCGGAGATGAGACCTCTGCGTTCTTCAACCATCGATTGCGCGCTCCCGTGGGCGGCCATCATTCACACGGCTTCTGGAAAGCGTTGCGTGTGGGATGAGAGCTGATTTTGAAGGTTAGGGGCTCTACCCCGAGGATAACGTCTGGAATGATGGTATGGCATTGTGTGAGGGTCAATCTCACGATCCGGCGTGCCCAAGTTCCGAGCGCTGCTGGAAGCCGAAGAACAATGGGAAGTGGGGACCCCCAAAGCAATCGCTATTGGCAAGAACTATCCAGCGATGAACCCAAGCTCTTCATGCGCGAGGTGCTCCGTACCGTTAAGCCAATGACAAACTGGTGGATCCGGTACCCAACGTCACATGATCAACCTGCGGCCTCCGAAACCTCCGAGGGATTTGACGATCTTTCGGAGTCCGAAAGTAAACAGCCCGTGTGAATTAATGACCAGTCACCGCCAGATGCCTCCGAAGAGACCTTTACGTCAGAAAAAGGCATGCGACGTTTGTTACAGGAGAAAGGTGATTATGTTGGAATTTGAGTGAAGGATAAATTGAGGTCGCTATGCTCACACAAACTACCTCCAATCCAGGTTCAATGCTCACTTCCTACCCCGGATGGCCCTTGTGAGTGGTGTGTTCAGCGTGGCCTCGACTGCACATTCCAGAGGGAGAACCCACGGAAGAAAAGGCGTAACAGGTCTGAGTCCCCGCTAGTGTTTCATACCGCGTTTTCATAGACTCGATTCTAAAATCTTCACCCTTTCGGGTTCTAGCGATGTACAAAATTTGTTCCGACGTATTCAAGAGCTAGAGGGCGCCTTATCGCAGATTGGATCTACCCCAGAGTCGTCCGGCCAGGCTTCGGATCACCCAGAAGAATTAGCGACACCGGTGCGGTCGAGCATCGACACCACTCATGCGTCAAACGTGGCAAGTGGTAGGGAAGAGCTGACCTTCGCTGGGAGCTCTCTATCGCCAATTACCTTCGCACAGACGCCTGCTAGTTCCTTGAGCCAATTTGCCAAAGAGAGTCCTGCCCAAATCCATAGATTTGCACGTCAGTGGGGACCCAACTGGTACTTCAACGGCATACCTATCTCCTCCGAGGCAGGCCGCAAATGGGTCTCCCAAAGAACCGGCCAGCCGGTCTCATGGGCTGATTTCAGTATTCCTATCGTGCGCATTCGGGAAGCCTCTACCCTTGAGCGACCTCTCTCGCCAGCTCTATGCGAACTACCAGATAAGGAGGCGACCCGAGAAATCATGACTATGTTCTTCAAGTCCTCATTCCGACTTGCCTTCCCAGTGTTAGATGGAGTTCTGTTCCAAACAACTCTGGAGACCGCATACGAGCATGTGGAGGGGATTCCGCACTCAACGATGCAACTATCAGCCAAGGCATGTATTTTGAGCATGCTGGCTATTGCGCCTCGAATCGACATGTCGAGGCAGCTCTCCTTCCCTATAGATACGGATTTGTGCGCAAACAAAGCACGTTCTCTATTATTACCCCTCGCCGAGGTTATCAGCTTGACGACGCTACAGACTGCAATTATGTTGGTCAGTACTTGCCTCATCGTGGTAATCCAAGAATTCGAGGCTGATATTCCAATAGCAAATACAGCGTATATTTTGCACCGACTGGCAAGACGCCACCTTTTTCCAATCGATCGCATGTCGCATAGTCTGCGCTCTGAAAGGGCATATTTGGCAGCCATCGAATTCTCCTGGACTCGAGAATACGCTCTCAGATCGGGAAGCAAGCCACATCCGACAGCTTTTTTGGCTATGCTACATGCTCGACAAAGATATCTCGCTTTTCACCGGCAATCCCCCTCTGCTTAGCGAAGTCTACTGTGACCTCACTTTGCCTGACAACTACTATGACCATTACACGTACTTACCAGCCTTAAATCTCTCCACGACAGGTAACGAGGGAAGCCAAGGAGTTATCATCCCCCATCTTCCTGGGGACCCTCACCTAAGTCATCTGAAAGAGAAAGTCTACCGACAGCTGCTATCCGCTCGAGCGCTGAAAGACAATGACAACCAACTTCTCCTGAATATCCGACAACTGGATGACGAGATAGAACACTGGCGACTCTCCATCCCAGTCAATTTCCGTCCCGCGCTATTCGTCTCGAAGAATACTCTGCCAAACGCATCCGACGAAGGCATCCCGTTCGTCATTCGACGCATGTCTCTACAATTAGATTATCACCACCTAATGACCGTCATCCATACAACGGTGAGAAAATGCACCGTCGAAACCAGTGACGAGATGCCGGATCTGCATAGTGTGGTTCATTCCAGTTTCGATTTGTCTTTAGTAGCTGGCCGTTCAACGCTATGGTGTTTGAGAACGCTAGTTAGCTTGATTGCAGAAGACGCGTTTCGGTAAGTACTGGCTTTATCTTCCCTTCCCTGGGCGTGATTCTCTGGTATTACGGATGCTGACTGAGGCTGAAGGTTTGTTACGTTTTATTCCACTGCGGCCGCCTTGACACTCTTTCTCAATATCGTTATTCATCCCCTTGACGCACAGTCGCGGATTGACCTGGAGCTTCTCATATCAGCTGCCAATACGATTCGCAATATGCCGGTGCGAGCTTTGACGAAAATCGAGGTTTCTGATATTCGGGAACTTAGCAAGTTCGTTATGAGGCTGGTATGGCTTGGGACATGTGCTGTGACCAAGGCGGAGAAGGAGAACGATTAAATTACCTGCATAAGGCTAGTAGCTCCGGAGAAGCTAGTCAGCATGTACGATCTCTTCGCTTACGACCCCCCATGAAAGCTTGGTCCAGGGTGTAAGGAATGATTTAAGATATGGAGTGCAGATTACTATGAAGTGTGCTGATGCCAAGACTGGATATGTACATTATTGGGGCCAATGGCCTCCGTAGTCACCTATTGACAGTCCAAGATATAAAGGATTAAGAGGATATAACGGTTCCCAGGCACGCGGATAACGCAAGGAGAACCTCAAAATACCATGTCCTTTTTACACGGTACCAAACTGGTAAGTAGCAAAGTTGACGACGGGGCCATCGTCAGGGCCAGCAATCTGGTAAGGGCGGCGACCCCATTGAGGCTGGTTGATTCCATCAATCCAGTCCTCGGTCTCGAAGACGATGCAACCATACTTGTTGACGTAGGCAGCGCCAGAGTCGCCATCCTGGGCCTTGTTACGCTTGGCCTGCGATTCCTTGGTCGCGATGGTGCCGTTCTGGCCGTTGCAGGAGTAGACCTGGATAGCGGCCTGGTTGGTGGCAATCTCCAGGGAGATACCGGTCGTGTCGGAGGAGACGCGCACGGACGGGACAACCGCGTCGCCGGAACCGTAGGCAGCTGGGCGGTCCACCAACCAGCAGGTGTCGTAACCGGTGCAGCCGGTACCGCACAGGCCGGTAGTCTTATCAATGTCTTCGCCGACGAGCTTAGGCTCGGTGAAGTCCAGAGCACCCTCGTAGGCGGTGTCCACGTCGTCAATCTCACCAGTAGGGATAAGAATGCCATCTCCAACGATGAATCGCTCGGAGAGAGGGAGCTGCAGAGTGGTGTCGTTCAGGATGGTGGGGTTCTTGAACGCGTTCAGGTTCCAGTAGATGTGGTTGGCAAGCATGATGGGGGTCTTCTCGGTCAGAGCCAGCGACACAAGCTTGGTGGTCAATTGAGGCAGACCCTTGGGGTTCGCTGCCGACTTCTCGGTGGAGACACTGTAGGTGGCATGTGAGATCACGTCGCCGGGGAAGTTCTCGAAGCCCTGGTCCAAGAGGGTGAAGGTGATGGACGAGTCAGTGTGCGAAGTGACGGTCCAATTGTGCATATCATAACCGACAGGGCCGCCGTGGAGGGTATCCAGACCGCCGTGCTCGTTCTCCGGAATGTGGTAATCAGTGCCATCAATGGAGAAGGTTCCATTCTTAATCCGGTTCGCGTAGCGACCAACGACGGAACCGAAGAAAGTACGGTTGGTTTGACTGTCGTGAAGGTAGTATTCAGGATCATCGTAGCCAACGATGACATCCTGCTCCTGACCCTTACGGTCTGGCACCAAGAGAGAAGTCAGGCGTGCACCGTAAGGGATCAGCGTGGCAGTGATATTCTCCGCCTTGATCGTGTAGGTCTTGAAATGAGGGTCGCTCGAGCTAGCACTCGAGGAGGACGAAGCTGCAGAGGGTGCGGCCTGCGCAAGAGCCGGCAGGCCATAAATGGCCGCAGCGACGTACGACTTAAAATGCATCCTGATGCCCAAAAGTAGAGTGACGGTAAGGAACAGGGAACAGTAAACAAAGAGGAGTCGAGGTGTAAGACGCGCCGGACACAGGAATGAGCGGATGCAGCCGACGGGGAGACTGCGCATTTTATGGAATTGGAAGCTCCTTTCCGATCGTAGTAAACATCGTCATTCGTCGCTAACCTCTCTCCGCATGGTTGGACGCTAGGGGGAAGCGGGGCTAGCAGGCTTCAGGAAGCCGGGGTAAGATGCAGTTAGATGGTCCGAGGGTCCTCAAGAGATCACGAATTATCCGACAGCAGTGACGTGAAGAGATCATACACGACCATTGGGTGACTTCCCTAGGTGGAGAATGAAAGGATTGAGGGGAAATCCCGAGGCTGCGAGAAGATGAGGAGGGGAGAGTTTGGAGTACTGCTCTGGGCTGGGAATATGCAATTGTGCATGGATTGAGGCCAGGCTTAGGCTTAGGGGGGAGAAAATGTGAGGTGTGAGGCTGTGGAGGAGCGGAGAAGTGCATTGCGCTAGTCCCCCCCCGAGATTAGCCTTGTTGACCTTCGGTCGGATCCAGTTGATCCCAAGTCGAAATTCCTGCCAGTCCCACGGAAAGGTGGCTTGCTGGGCTTGGTTTAGGCCCGCCAGTGGGCCGCCAACAAGCTCTGAGAGGCGCATCTTAACGGGACGGTTAAAATGTTACATCAATCTTAGCCCCGCGAAATCCTAGCACGAGCGGCAAAACTCCGGTGGAGTATGCTGAGTGAATTCCCCAAAAGAAGATTAATCTATACGAATGTGTACTGGCCACGGACAAGTAGTACGAGTTATTCCGTTGTAAGAATGGTGCTGATACCATTCTAGTCCGAGTACAAGGAGTACACAGGATATTGGTGGAATGCCCATCCCTAGCCAAAGCGGAGCGCAAATGAAGGCAAATGCCGATCGCTAGTTGATTGGTACTTTTGCTTCTTACAAGGAAAAAAACAATAATGCAGCACATTGAATTTTAAATCTTTTTTTCCCTGGTACTTTTATCCACTGTTCGCAGTTAGCCGATCTCGTTTGTAATGAGATGCCGGTCTGACTCGCTCGCCCGGAGTATATCCATTTCGAGCACCCCGGTATCCAGGACATTTACATCGCAAATTCCCGATATTACAACATGCTCGGCTGCTCGCTTGTCACTTAGAGAGAATATGAATCAATTTAACCATCACCAACCATTGTACTGTATTTATTTAGCCAAATGGGCGAAAAGACAGCCGTGCCATCCTAAACAGTACATTCAATTCGGTGCCTCCGCTCGTGTCAAAGCCCTCAACCTGTGCCAGAACCTGCTAATAGGCGGAACTTGAATTTTCGTGACTGTTGTCACGTCCTGGATTACACTCCTGCCAGGCACAGAGCAGCAGAGAGAGCTTGAACATAAGAGAGCCCGCTAATTCAAGGCAGCGGGGTAATGCTGATCACCCTGATCTTTTTGCTTTCATAAAGGCCAAGGCGCCTTGCGTGGGATCGTGGACTCTCCCATGCACGATTAACTCAGTTTTTATGACGCGGGCTTCTTTTCCAGTTGCTCACATGGCATGAGTGATCGTCTCTACTTGTTAGGAAAGATCTGCACTGAGCTGGTTCATGCTTCCCGTGTAGGGCCCTCCTAGGCCTGACCAAGTTGAAGATGAGAAAAGCTGCCTTATAGGCTTTCGTGATACTCACTACCTAGGAGGAAGATAAAGGGTACATTACTCTATATATTCATCAAACTGCGATAGAGGGCGGGACACCATATTCCCACTGCCTCTACAAGCTTGACATCATCGCATTGAGCCGCAAGAGCGAGAGCATCAAGTTACCTAAAAGAGAGACAGAGGGCTAGAATCAGGGTCCTCCACGGAGCGAATAAGCTCGAGGATGATAGATCAAAGAGACTGTTAACCAGGGGCCATTCTAGCTATTAGGGCCGTTCCTGTTGATCATCCAGTGATTGCCTGAAGCCAAGAAACTGGCGCAGCATGTCAAGTACCGACATGCATTGAGGATGTCGGTAAAAATTAGTCGATAGAAGTAGATTGATCGGCAATGGAACCAGTCCAGGGGCTAGACTGGATACCGCGATGAGCTACTCATGGCTAGTAATTTACGACCTGATGCATGTACTATTGACATCTAGTAGATTAAGAACAGAGGAAGGTAGATTATATCGGGCATATGTCTAGTTATACAAGAAATTCAAGCACATTTACATTTGATGTTTATCACAAATTGATGGCATTCTTAATATCAGTTTGACCATGGGTTTGACCATGCTCGTGGAACCAAAATTCGTAGGTTGCAACCCTCCACATCAAGGCACTTCCAATTATGCGTCATTTGGAGTGAGCAGGCGAAAGCGAAAGCGAAACCTCCTCGACTATCTCTTCTCGTGCAATGCAGTGTCTCGAGGGTTTTCTGTGAATGTGCCTGAAATGGCTAGACAAGGCCTCCTCGTCGGCCGCGCTTCCGTAGATCCCAGTGTGACAAGCTCTTCCGCGAGATGGATGCCAAATTCGACGCTTCCAATATTCCGACCGACAAGTGGTATATTCACGAAAAAAGACCCTTCTGTTGAGAACGATGGCAGTGACGAAGCAAACCACCTTCGCAGGATATTATGGTACCAAGAAATACATGCTCAGAATACGCCGGCTCTACTCGACCTGTTAAAGAAACACCGTGATTTTGGATCTGCCGTCTGCGACATTGCTTATGAGCTGTATTTGTCTGATCGTCAAATTCTGGATGATATGGAACAGAAATAGTTGTGTTGCCTGCTGCCATGCGCCAGAATATTTTGCAGATGACATATAGGCATATTAGGGGCTGTAGAAGAGTGGGGATTTTCAAGGAGGCCTGTGAGATGCTCTGCGAATGTGTGCATTCCGTTGCTCATGGTCGTGGAACGGCGCCAGATGGGTGCGTGATATACAAAACGACGGGAATGAGGTATAAAATGTACACGATAATATCTCTCACTTTAGTCATGGATTTGTGCGATTGCGAGAACTTGGTGACATAACTTGAATCGTCTCTCATATTCGAAGCGCAATCATACTTGGACACAGAGAAAGTGTGGTAGGAATTGTGACACTGGCCGCAAGCTTGACGGATGGGACGGAGCAACGGAGGGGAAAATGCAAGCCATATCTCACAGCGAATATACCGAAAGCAGTGGCATCCAAAAACCCATATTGGAAAATCCAAAAGGCAAGAAGACTCTCTGCAAAACGCTCTGGATATTTACATGGTTTCCTAATCGGGACACGATTACATAATCTTCCTGATCGACCTCCTGGTGGACACCGACTCGTGCCGCTTCGGGAGAGTTGTTTACGCCATTGCCCCGCGGTATTTGGTCTACTCGTGTACATATCGCCTTCTCATTGTTACCGTGATCCTCGGCGCATTCCACAAGGGGCACCCTTTCCCCCTCCCTAGCGGCACGCGTGCCCAAGAGTTCATCGCTCGAGTAAGCCATGTCAATCACGTCGCGCAGCCAGAGCTCCTCCCCCGACATCTTGGGCCCCCCAGGCGATGCCGACTACCTCATCTCGTCTCCAATAAAACCTTTCACGGGTCGCCAGAGCTGGCTGTCACCTGCGGCCGTGAAACGCCAAAGGACCCCCGCGAAACGGCGGCGCGTGACGCTCAGTCCGACGAGAAGCGCGCACTCAATTCGCTTTGACGATGTCCTACTTCCCGGCTCGCCTACAATGAAACTCGATGGTCGGCAAAGGTCGCTTTCGCCGGAAAAATTTGGACAAGATGGAAACGTGAGCCCATGGCGCATTCGGGTCACGCTTGAGGCGACGCAGGACGAGGAGAACGAGGGCAACTATAGCCCGTCGCGGAAACGCTTGAGACCCTCGACCGTGACAACGAAAGTTCCCTTGAAAGACGACGGAAGTCCTTCGAAACAAAAAACACCTGCGAAACGACGCGGCCGTCCTCGGAAATCGGATATTCAGTCGCATAATGGCTCGCCATGGCCTGGGAGTCCAGGAAATACGCCAGGGCCGATGGGAACTACGCCTAAAGAGAGAGTGGGACAACTGCGCAAGAATACGCCAAGGCCTCAGCCGCAAATAATATCGATGCTACCAGACGACCCAGAGGATGAGCCTGAAGACGAACTACAAGATGAGCCTACTCCAACAGTGGAGCCGATGCAACAACAATTTAGCCCAATGGACATAACTGCCGATGGCAGCGCGAAACCCAACCACCAATGGAGTCCAATGAACCTTGCTACGGATGGAGGATACGATAGCGACTCCCTCGGCGCGGATGATTTACCCGTCGCAGACCTTCGGGCTCCAACGCCAGCGCATCCGCAGACCCAAGCAAACAATACTGCTCATGAATACGGGAGAGCTACCTACGATACCCCAACAATCGGTGCTAGCGAACACCATTTTCTCGACAATGACGAGAATATACATTCCACTCCTTCCAAGATGCCATCGCCTACGCGAGAACGACTGGGATCATCCGCAAGATCTTCTCGCCGTGTTGGCAACACCGTGTCTCCACGTACTTACCCGACTCCGACCCCTACTTCCTCGCTGGCCGATGAAGAAAATCAACCTGGAGAGCAGACCTTGGAGGTGCAAGAAGACACGCGACTGACACACAACACTTATGAGCACCAGACCGAGCCCTTGGTGGATCCCACGGACGAGCATGCTGAATTCGACTCTATCATGGAAAGCGAAGGATTTACTATGGTCTCTCTGGACACATTACCATCAGCGAAGCAGTATGGCCTCGGATCCAGTGCCAAACTCAATTCGAATGGCTCTGGAAAAGAGCGAGAAGTCGGACGCATTGGTGACCGGCTGAAGCGTAAATTGTCAGGGACAATTGACAGCTTCCGAGGCGATGCGCAAAGCTCGACAAGGCCTAGCCCAGTGATCCAAACCCACTCTCCTAAACCTCCCCTAGCACGCAGTAATCCAAAGCCACATACTGAGAACGTGCAAGCTCCTGTTCAGGTCTCCTACCCCGAGCTTCCTTTAACGCGTTCAGCGGAGAAGCTTCTAGACGACACACCGAGGAGAACTCCCATCAGCTTGGCCAGGGTAGTCCGCGTCGGTATGGCTCTCCAAGGCACCTTCAAGCCCGGTGAAAATGAAGTACCGGGAAGCAGCAATGCAGGTCGAAAGAAGCGCCTCGAGGGTGTCTTTAGCAGCTTTAGCCCTGCTACGCAACGAGAATTGCGGGCTGCTCTTGGGATTGGCCAAGAGCTCGCAATGCGCCAAGCACAGGCAGCGGAAGAGCGAGCTAGAGAAGCCGAGAAATTGGAGGATGAAACTGTCCCTGCGAACGGTCATGATGATCCGATGGGAGAGCCGCAAGAAGATGATCTGAGCGAGGAGGAAGAGGTTGTGGATGAACAGGACGAGCCTCTAGTGGTATCAGTCCAATCTCGGCAGAAAAATGCCCTGCCAGTCCACAGATACGACTTTGCACAGACGGAGCGAGAGCAAGAGTGGCAGCGGGAGCGCGAGGTTGTCAGTCGCCATGCTAGGGATCCGAAAAACTCAGAAAGACTCATTTACATTGAGAGTGATGAGGACATCCCACAAGAGAACCCCAAGTACGCCTCTGTTGGCCATTTGGAAGCTGACGTTGAGTCGGTTGTCGATGAACCGCCACTCGAAGAGGAGCCGTTTGACCAGGAAATTCCCGATGACGCTTCCTTCGATCAAGAGCCCGAGAACTTTGAGCCAGATGTTGTACCCCTTTTCCAGCCTGTCACAAGCCAAAGGTCATACGTGGAAGAAGGGCCTATTTATGAAGATGATGACGAAGGCTCTGAAGACATATGGCGGCAAGATACTTTCGATTCTGAGCCTGAGCATGCACTCGGACTGCTTCAACAAGATGATCAAAATATGGAGCCACAGGCTACGAATGAGGACGATGATGTTGATGACATATGGCAACTGGAGGCTAAGGACCAAAGCAACATCTCGCAACACTCCCAGAGCCGAACTGAGAAGGACCTCGTTCAGGCCCCTTCTAGCCCCTGGGAAAAAGTGGCGAGCCGTTTTGAAAACCAAGACCACTTGAGCTCTTCTCCCGCTTACGTGACTGTGGAACACCTAGATGGGCTACACCAGGTACCGACACATATTCGAAAGCTACGCGACCAAGATGTCGATCTGTCTGCCATTCTCGCAGAAGAAGAGACACCCAACCGTGCTCGCTACTATAACGGCACAAGCACACCTCGAGAGCTGCCTAACCACCGACTTGGAGCCCCACTTTCCTCGGCCATGAAATCTGCAACCTCCACGCGGAAGACGGGCCAACGGGTGCGCCTGCAGCCTATTTCCCAGTCCAGCCCGGGAATAGGCTCAGAGGCAGAGTTCAGCTACTCTCCTGCCTTCAAACCCACCATCTCTCACCAAGAGTCGATCGAAATTGAGGCCGACGAACCAGAGAATGCGTTTGATCGTGCTCACGAGACTGATTCAGGTTATACTGATGCAGAAACCACCACTCCGAAGCCTCCACGCCAATCAGGACGGGATGCCCCGGCATCAACCTGGTTCCAGCGAATCACCAGTCTCACGCCCAGGTGGTTGAAAGCGCCCAACAGAGATGACGATGACAGCTCCAGTTCGGCGGCAGCTTCCGAGGACGATTTTGAGGATGATGACAAGGAGAATCAGGTTGAAATTGCCAACAACGAGTCAGCCAACCATAGTCGCGAAAACTATGATCAAGCACCTCGTTCAGACCGTTCAAGCATGTCACCTTCAAGATACCTTGAAGAATCGGCTAGTCCACCGCAGTTGAATGGTCATACTTATGTGCCTTCTATTGAACAAGGCGATGAACTTTCTTCCGAGCAAGGTGACTTTGACGATGTGCAAGATGATATTTCCGAGGTCCATGCAGAAGGCAGCACTGCTCAAGATGATGCCGTGGAAGACGATGCCGTCGAGGGCGACCCTGTCGAGATGATCAACGGCGAGCATGCCGAGTCAGTATGGCCCCGACCCCTGCCAACGTTCGGCTACTTTTCGGACGATCACTACAAAGCCCTTCGGCGCATCTACCGAATGGCAAAGCGCTCCCCGGAACGATTCCCCTACTATGACGCGCCAGGGCGCGCTGAGATCATCGGTGATTGGATCTGGACCTCGGACGGCCATCATGGGGTCCCCATCACCGAAGTCCAATTTGCCATCATCGACCGCTTTGTGCATGACCTCTCACGCGCCGATGTCGCGTACGGTGGAAGCGGGCAGGTCGATTGGACCGAAGCTGACCTACATCGGAGATTGATAAGTATCATCATTGGTGAGCAGATCCGAGAGAATCAAAAGGCCAAATCGGCCCGGGGAGTGTCTGTTGATACATGGCGTTGAGTGTGTACAGCGGGATGTATACATCGGTTTGATCTGGTTTCCCATTTGTCTCTTCACTTTTTGTCTTGGGAGTCGTGCTGGGTATCTTTGTCGTATATTTTTTTTTTTTTGGTTTTTGTTCGTGTTTTATGATTCCCCCACGGTTGTTTTTGTGGACTGGATTTTACCATGGGGTTGCCCATCTTGTTTATGGATTTGACTGGTATTCAAGCACATTGTATGTAACAGGGACTACCCCCCTTTGGCCTGGACTATACAATTTGAACAATGACCATATCCCTGAGGTGGATCCTTGGGCCGCTGCGAACATCTTGTATTGAGTTTCCAATGCTGCAACTTTGTCGGAAAGACCTGGCCACGAACGCTCGGATCGTTCATCTTGCTTCCTTGTTTTCCCGATGGCCAACAAGGCCAAGTGTTAGAGTGGCAAACAAGTGAATATTTCACTATGGCCGACAAGTTGATAACCTCTGATCATATCCAGCCATACAAGCCCATCTATGCGATCTACTTCCAGAGAGGATCAACCGTTTCGAAATGCCACAACATCTTTAAGAACACAGCATCCTCCAGAACTTGAACTCATGAGAAACGTATGTACAACCGCATACATTTTCGAGATACACCCGCGCAAGGCCCAAAATGGGCACCCGTTCCAGTCTCGACCAAAGCTGCAGCCAACACCTGGGGGCCTGGGCCAACCATAGACGCCAAAACTCTCGTGTCTCTCGCGTGGACAGCCAAGCAGGAGACGTATCTAATCGAACCCCACTTTGGTGTGAATCGCCGCTGCATGTTCGTTTTCGTGTCTGGAGGTATCGGCTCTGGCTAGAACTACAAGTACAACCTTTGAGAAACGACGAGAGCATTATAAAAGAAGCAGGGGTGGAACATCTCCAGGACGAAAAATGAATCAAAGAATGCATTCTCTCCTCATCGACTTCCATTCAAAGAACTATCTTTCCTTTCTTCTTTTCTTTTTCTCCCACGCCTTCCATGTTACCCCCGCGTGCCCATGTCGGTCCTGACTATTGTACACCGCGCCTTCCCCTTTGCCCTCCCCTGGAAGCGCAGGTCATCGACCGATAAAGGGAAAGACAAAGAGATCGATTGCGAAGTATACACTTCCGACCGTGACTCACACGATCACCTCCATCTCGGCACTCTGAATGCCGATAACCCAGGCACGGTATCCCTGCAGGGTGACGTCTCGTCCACCTTGCATGTAGCGGTGAAGCCGAGCCCGGAGGATACCACGAGTCCGGAAGATTCTCCAAGCGAGTCATCTGGAACGGACTCGGAAGCTGAGTCCCAATTCGAGAATGATCACCGCCGTCCCTCGCATGGCAGTGCGTCGTCCGCGCGGGCGCGGCTTGCTCGCATGGTGAGCTGGGCGAGTATCGTGCGCAGTCAATGTCGCTGGACGAATGAACAAGAGAAGCAGCTCCTCATGGCAGAGAAGCAACTTGCCAGATGTCAAAAGGCTTGGAGCTCAGAGCAGGAACTTTGGCTTGCCTATGTACGTGCTTTATTTCTCCTTATACTATGATCTCCACCTGTTGTCCACATGGGTGGATATAGATAATTGTTTCTGCCAAGATAACCCCCCGGACCCCCATGGACCGTGAAGAAATGAATTTGATTCTAATGCGCTTGCCACTAAACCTAAGATTCAAGAATTGAGTGAGGAGAAAGCTGCCCACGAAGGCTTCATGCTGATGCGCGCCAGACAGCAAGAAGAAGAGAGATATCAGTTCCGCAAGGCCTGGAAGAGACGCCGGTCGTTGGAGAGTGCAATGGCTACTCAGGCTGAGGCTGCGATGGCGAGAAACGAAACTAATAGGTTGATCAAGATTCGTCGACTGCAGAAATATGGACACTGGGCGTCTACTTTGGTCACGACGGAGTCGACTGCTCTGACCTGTCAGGGCTGAGAGATGGAAGATGGGAAAGGGACTGCTACGCAGATAATACTCGGACTAAGAATAATGAATGAAGAAGGAATTTCAATATCGATGGAAACATTCCACTAATATTTACTCATATAATTCTTGTGGTTATCACTCTACTGAACGATAGACGTCTTGCTCCCCTTCGCCTCATCTTTCTCGGGTTGAGGCCACTTCCGAAACAAATCAGCAACCATATCAATCGGCGCCGTCAACAATCCCATCGCCGTCTCAAAGGGCGGTTTATCCGGCGCCGTCGGATGTGACCTCGACGGCACAAATAGCTTCGTCCGATCCAACGACCTGCTCAACGCCTCGCTCTCCGCCCTAGAAAGCTCCTCCTCCAACGTAACCAAGTCCTGCCCCTCCTCCTGCTCAATATGTCTCTCCAAATCCTCCAAGATCTCCTTCAACGCCGGCTTAAACTTTGGATCTGTCGCAGACAACCCCTGAAACTTCTTCAACTGCTGCTTCAAATCCTGGTGATCGGAGCGGTTCTTGTCGGCGAGGGCTTGTCCGTTTTTAACGTGCTTTGCTATCGCGGGGTAGACTACGAGTTCCTCGCCTATGGTGTGCCGGGCCAGTTCCCAGATGAATTGGTTCTGGTAGCGGGTTTGTTCGTCTGGGTCTGTGGATTGGAGGATCTTGTGGACGTGGGCTTCTAGTTCGTGGTGGTCGTGTTGTATGGCGGGGAGGATGCGGATGTGCGCTGCCGGTGCGCCGGCGGCGTCTGTGAAGGTGCGTAGAGGAGGGCCAACGTTGCCACGGAAGAATGGCTGTTGGTTTGGGCCGGAGGAGGTTGCTGTATCGCTGGACGAACGGGGCATTATAGGAGTGAGAATTGTCAGGAGAATGTAGATGCGGGTGGAAGTGTGTATGTAGGGTATTGATATATTAACAATAAGGGCGGATTGTGTTATTTGAGTCGTACGACAATGGCGAAGAAAAGAGGTTTAGATCAGGTTGCATAGCAAGACCGGACCTGTATTTCCGAGCCTTTCATCATCATGATATTGAGCCCTAGGTCGCCATCGGTTACTTTCCACGGACTGTCTCGAGAAGTGGCGATGATCAGCCACGAACCGGGTTATTTCTTCTTATTGGCCACTACAGAAGTATACAAGCTACTTTACTATTTCAATACTAGACTCCATGAAGCTTGCAATCATCAAATCAAATTATCGTTTCTCTAACATGTCATTATTTATGATATTCGTTTATCTCTTCCCCTGGAGCTAGCAGCATATTATGAATCAAGTTTAAACAATCCAACAAAACCCAAGTATAACCTCCATATCAACCAAAAACCAAAGCCCTAACCTCAATACTCTCCCTCGGCCTCGCGCCCTCAGGCGTCCTTGCATCCGTAAACGCCGTATGAGGCACCCACTGCGCAACATCGCCGTCCCTGAACCCCTTCGAATCCGAACACTTGAGCAACAACCTCTCCGACCCAGTCATCCCAGACCAATAAAACCACTTCTGACCGGGATTATACTTCACACCCATCGTCTCCCCAGTCCGATTCGGATACCGATGCTGAACAGCAACCAAATCAGCCTCCTCGACCGACTCGGCAGACGCAAACGCCAACGGCGACGATTGCACCGGTTCCGCACTAAGCGGACGCCAGACGTTGACGATGCGGTAACGACCTTCTGCTAGGGCTTTTGCTTCGGCCTCATCGGTGATGTGTAGGTTTACGCGGGCCAGGGCCGCGGCGGCGGTTTGATCGACGTGCACGCGGTTGACGGGCTGACGGGGAGAACCGGCTTTAGCGCGGCGGATTGTGTGGTCGAAGAGGATTACTTTGTGGGCATTGGGAATGTGTTGTAACAGGAGGGCTTCGACTTCTGGGTAGTAGATCTCGCGGATGGAAGTTTCCGAGTCGAAGGTTGAGTATGTTGTGGCTGAGGGGACGTCTTGGAAGGCCTGGAAGGAGTCTTTGTCTAGGTTGAAGGCGTTTTCGGTGCCACGGATGTCATTTAGGCTCACGACTTTGGTGTCGTCGCCGTAGTTGCGTTGTGGTTGGCCTGGGGGTGGTGATTCGACGTAGTTGAACGGTGCGGAGTTGTCTGCCGGAGGGGCGTAGAAGGTGAGTTCGGCGGTTGTTGGGCCCCGGGGAACATAGCTTGATGTTGTTTCTGCAGCGGTAGCAGTTATGGTGGAAGTGGTGGTCGTAGTCGACATATTGTCTATTATAGTTGTGGATATGATGTACTTGGTATGCCGAGTAGTTGAGATGGCTGGAAGGTCCAATTCAAGAAGTAAAGGTGCAGAACACCGCAGATAGATGCACTCGATGAGAACCTGTTACCTTCCACAGGGCACAGCTATCCTTTTAAATAATCTCCGTATCAATAGGATATCCTCAGGAACTGACAAAACACGAGACGATTAGTGATCAACCCCCGTCGTCGTCGCATTTGTCATCTCGGCGAGATTTGCGGAGAAGCAGCCACTCAACGGTCACCCTCGATCGCGCAACACGGCCGATGACTCCATATTCCTCCGAAATCACCTCATTCCTTCAACTGTAAACTGGCCCGATCTCCGACTCGAACCGCGTCTCTGACGCATTCAGAAAACTTGTCCATACTGTAGATTCGTAGATTTACTTGAACGATAGCGATAACGCCTTCCGGCTTATCAAGCCAATTGCGTCATACCGATGTATCCCTGATTATTCAGGTGTCGACCGCTTCTGTTCGGATTCGGTAGCCACCAGAGTGCTTTGAGTGTTTACCAAGGAGTGAACGGGTAGAGATGGAGAACTAAGAATTAACAATTCAAGCAGGACTCATACCTGCGGGGATACCACCCCCAGACAAACAAGACTAGAATGTAGTTCCCAAATATGAATATGAACAAAGAACATGAGAATCTGAAACCCACCCCCAACACCAAATACCACTCCAAACGCAGCCAACTCCCCACGAGAACTCAAAACAAAGGGAGAGAAAAGAGACGCCGAACTGAAGCAGCATGAACACCTCAAGAGACAACCCGGTCCTTACCCTAGCATACACTCATCCAACTACCACACCGTCAAACCCCCCACGAATCGCGACCCCCACTGAGGCGACCACCCTCAGTGATGGCGCGTCCGCTTACTGCTTCGCTCACGCTCCATAGCCACAGACGGGAACATCTCCGCACCAAGGTTAGGTCGTGCGGGCTGGAGTTGCATGCCGACTACCGAAGGGAAGTCGGGGTGCAGCGAGGTGAAGTGGTCGGGGTTGGGCGGGTGCCCGTTGACAGGCTCGGATGGCAACGGCGCCACGACCAGATCGATAAGGGAGGAGTCAATCCATCCCACCGGCTTGCTGCTATGTAGCCGGTCCACTCTCGACAGGTCGTCGTCGACCTCCTCGTTCAGGAGAGAGGTCAACGGAGGCGCGTTGCCATTCGGCCGGGCGTGATAGTTGGAGAGCACGTGGTAGGGCAGGGCGGGGCGCGTCGCGGTTTTATCGACGAGATCGGCCAGAGCGCTGAGAGCACTGTGAGCGGCCGTGCCCCGGGTCGACCGGGTAACGTGGAAATTTTGGCTTGCAGTGCGCATCATATCGGCAGCACTGGGGGTCCCGTTGTCCTCGTGGCCGGTGCCATCGGGTGTCTCCTCGGTTTCGGTGTTGTTGCCGTTGGTCACGGCGCCAGCGCCCTGCTCGGCCCGCTTCGATGTAGAGAAGAAGTGGACGGTCGCGACGTGGGCCTGGTTGGAGTGTGCGCTGAGCTCCTTGTCGGTGAAGAGAGATTGGATGGAGTAAGTCGGCGCCGACTGCTTCTCCAGGTATGCCTTAGAGCGCTCGGCCGGTGTGGTGCCGCCGGCTTCCCGTACTGGCGATCCAGTCTCTTCCTCCGGTGCCTTGCGCTTGCGCTTGTTCAACTCAGAGACGATGCCGTTACCCAGCTCGTCTAGGTCAACCCGGTGACGGGTGTGACGAGTCTTGCGATTCCCGTGGATACCGCCAGGGCTGGCAGGGTTGGTGATGCTGAATTGATTGGGATGGAGGAGGAGGGCGTTGGTATCGGCGATATCGAGTTGCTCCTTCTCGCGCATCAGGCGAGACCGCTTGCTAGAAATGCTTTGCATAAGGCGCTCGCGTAATGTGCCAGAAAGATGGTTGAATTCTTCCTTGGCAAAGTGGACTCGGAAATCGTACTCGCGACGGTGTCGTTCGAGGCTGTTCTGGTGTCGGTTCTGCGCAAGACAATTCCATGATCAGTAAAGGCAAGTAAAAGAAAGGACGAAAGGAATGTAATCAAATGCAGCATCCGTGCGTCATATGAGATAAACAATACAAGAGAGAACATACCATGATCTGTGTCAGGTCTGAATCCTTTTGCTCCTTGACGTTATTAATCTCTTGAACGAACTTGGAGTACCAAGTGCCGGAGAGGCTAGCCATCTCCTTGGCGAATTTCCCCCCACCAACGGTCTCCTCAATCAGATTTGCAATGTCCTCAGAAGAGTCTAGCAGCGGGCCAGCCTGATACGGATCAGCATTGTTGATGAGGGTCATATCGCACTGGAGGGAGTGGAGTTGCTGTCGGAACTGGGCGTCGCGGTTTTGGGAGAAAGTAGCCGTCAAATCGTGGAGTCGTTCCTGCAGGGCAGTTCGACGTTTATCTCTCTTGGAGAGAGTCCCAGATGCACCGGGAGGACTGGCCGAGCGAGTGCGTGAGGTCAGATTGCCATGGTAGGCAGGCCCGCCGCCGGGGGATTGAGGCCCTGGGGAGTAGGCCATTGAGTTGAGTGAAGAAACACGATGTAGATACGGGAGGAGATCCGGTGAAAATATTGATAAACGCAGCCACGAGTGACTCGAAGGAATGGTGTGTCTGAGTAGCGCAGACGACGTGGAGGAAAGAATTTAGGAGGGGAAAGAAGAGAAGTGGTTCTCGTCGTCAGAGCAGCAGACGACGCTGAAGCATGGGCTACTTTCCCGCGCTGGCGGTAGATTGTCGGATCAAAGTTTGACCGGAACGAAGCATAAAAGTGTGGAGTCTAGGTGGACGGTTTGGGAAGTGGAGAGGAGGAAAGCAGGATGCTTAAATAGAGGGATGGGATGGAAAAGAAATAGCAAATATTCGAAGGTGAAGTATTTGTGATTTTATGTTTTGATTGTTGTTCTACTCTAATTATTGTTATTGTTTCGAGGCGCGTGGTGGAGGAGCGTTCGATTAACCGCGCATGAGCAGGCATCATGCAAACCGCCAGTGCCTTCCCCATTGGAAGAAAATACAGCCTTATGTCGCCTGCTCACTATTGCCTGCGGACCTAGTAATACTGACGTTGAATAACAAAAGGGCAAAGCCGGTCAAAGAGGCCGCAGACGCTGCCAATATTGGGCTGCCTCTTCGTCAGACCAGTTCCCGCGAATTCATCTTCGTACGATATTTACGAATGCTATTTTGGATGTCCTTCGATTCACATATACTCAATTTCATCATGTATTTTTTGTCGCTATATCCATTACCAGGGATCCAACAACCGAAACCTTCATCTCCATCTGCCACAGAAAAGAAAACAAGGACCAACATCATGGGTATTCACGTTCGCTTCAATCCAACCAGGGGAAAATGCAAGAGGAAGGGGGGAAAGCACCAAAAACTCGAGCCCGGGAAAATAAGGCAACGAGATAAGAAAAGACAGACATCCAACTCCAAGAACCACTCGCCAGGGTCCAGTATGACATTCGTTGCAGCCTCGCACCGAGGCCGCCGGGGAAAGAAAGAAAGAAAGAAACATTTTGGTTGCGCTTTAAAAAATTGATATGTGTATAAGAAAGGGTAGGAGTAGGAGAGATGAATATATCGGGAAAGCGGTGATAGGTATTGAGGGTAGAAAAGGAGGTTCATGAGTGGGTGCGTCGGATCACGAAGACACCCAGCTCAACACCACCCTGAGGCTCATTGTCCTCGCCATAGTGGCGCTTGCGAATGCCGTCGAAGATCTCACTGAGAAGCATGGAAGAGGTAACCTCTTTGTCAGGCATGAGACCGCCGGAGCCACTGTTAGCCAGGGCCTTGTTGACCGGTGGACGGCGGCCATTCTGGCAGTACAGGCTCAGTACCTCCTTCATCCGGGCCTTCTCTTGATGGATATACCATTCCACCCAGAGATCACGGTCCAGATGAACGCTGGCCTTGCCGGCGTCCGCAACGTGGAACTGCGAGGATGAAGAACTCAGATCCTCACAGAGGGCAACAATGTTGGCCTTCATCGTGGCAAAGTCGTCCATCATAGAGACAGTGGAGAGTTTACCCAGATAGCGGCCCACATCGGCAGACAGACCATTGACTACGACCAGCTGGCGCAGAAGGGGGTCAAGAAGTGGACCCAAGTATTGGGACTTGAAAGTCGAGGCACCCTTCTTGGTGGGATAGACAAAGAGAAGAGAGCCACCGTCTGGGGAGAGCTCACAAAGACGATCCACCAGGAAGGATGGTCGAGTAGCGCAAAAGACATCACGGTACTCTTGAGCAGATGGTGGAGGAAGGTACCGCTCAAGAACGGAAATATGAACACTGTGGGGTGGGACAATGGGCATCGGAGCATGTGCAATCTGCCGTTGGATGGGCCCACGATAGTCATGGTAGGCACCTACAACGGCAGCGCTGGAGAAGACGGATGCGTTGAAGTACGCATCGGCAGCCGTGGGAGAGCGAGGGGTACTGGGAGGAGAGTGGGGGAGGTTGGAGAGGCTGAATTGCTCGGGGACGGCGTGTGTGACATTAATATATGGGGAGTGGCCCGGTTGCAGGTGGTTGTGCACAGCTCGGACAATGGAGTAGAAGATGCTGTCGTTCCTTGGAACAGAAATCGACTGGTCGGAAGGTCGTGGGTATGGAAGTGTTTGCGAGACAATCTTGACAGCTTCGCCTCGCGGGTTAGACATCCCCAATGAAGATACTATCAAAGTCGTCAGCAAGAGCCCAAGTCCTCAAGAAAAGAACCCGAGGGCGATTCAAGAAATAGAATCATGGGAGCTTCCTTACCAGTCGCATTGATACCATGGTCCAGCCACGATCCTACATCCTGTTGCAAATCCATTTCGTCCTGAGGACCCGGGCTACCGCCAGAGCTCAAAGATCCACGAGTAGACCCGTCAGACGGACTGCTCAAAGTGTCAGAACGACCCGTTGACGAAGTGCCTATCCCGGAACCCTCATCCATCAGGGCCGAAGAGCCGGCCTCCCGGTGCGGTTGATCATCAAACAGTAGCATCTCCGACTGGGGATTCCACGCGATGTGGCTATCGTCCTCCGGCGGCGTAGGCGGCAAAGTAGACGGGTAATCCGACGGAAAAGAAGAGGGGGGAGAATTCCAGGGCGATGAAGATACTGAAGGAGAACGGGTATGAGCCGTCAACGGTTTCGGCCCACGAGATACGGTGGTGGACAAGCGCAGTCGGGAATCAGCCGAGCGATTTCGCGATGACAGGACCGGAGAGGAACTGCGTTGGTCCCAGGAAGGAAAGTGGACGGCCACGCTGCTTTTGGATAGAAAGCGGGATACGGGTGATGGCTTGGTGCGCAGGGATCCTTGGGATGCTCGTCGGCGGAGCTTGGCTGGACTGGGGCCCTCGTTGGTTAAGTCGGGCACGGTGTGGTGGGAGAATCGACGGTCGGTATCAATTTTCAAGGCTGCGCGGGAGGTATGCATATTCCGATCATCTAGGAGGGCAGTTGCAAGCCCACGCCGTCCATTGCACTGCTGTGAATGCATCCAGTGAATCCAGTCGTTCCGGTCGGGAGGGCGGAGAGCGACAGCGGACGGCATATGAAGAGTTCCGAGCTAACTAGAGTGGGGAGCAGACGGAGGGAGGAGAGGGTGGGAAGGGAGCAGCGGAGGAAGGAGAGCGATGATGGTCGGTGGAGGATGACGATGAAGGATTGAATGAAGCGCAAGAAGGATCGAAGGAGGACTGTGTTGATGAGGAGGGAGTCGACGAGTTGAAGAATGAGAGTAAGGGGAGGACGAGAAAATGGGGGCGGACGTAGCGGGTACTCGGCCAGAGTATGGCGGGCACAGCTAGAGGAAAGGTACTGAGTACTTGGAGAGTCCAGACTCGGGCAGATGGGGCAGGTTCTAGACCTTCAGTCATCGAGTCATCGGATCCAAGTTTCGTCGCGGTTCCCGATGGGTATTATCGAATAATTATAATAGAATACACCATATCACTACTCGATTCGATCTTGTTGTTCATTGCCTTTCACGCTTTACGCCGTCTTTTCTCCCCTACATATTCCCAACTCTCAGGGACCAGGTCTAGTACATCAAACTAGTACGCCCAGTTCTGCACGGTATGTCCAGAGAACGGAGGCTACGGCAGAAAAAAAAAGCGGCCCGGAGTCTAGACACTGGCCCTAGGCGGGTGGGCCCCGTGACTGGACCCGTGATTGGCCGGTCAGGTGCCCCGTCTGGCCCCGTTGGGCGGTGGCTTCCTGGTCCAAAGCCTGGCCAAGTCCCACTCGGGGGCGATCATCCTCTTTTGTGTACACTTGCCCACTGTACAACGGAGTATTATACTTCCTTCGTTGCGACTTGATAAACTTGGGTCGGATCATTAAGCTGAGGCAAGATGGCCCCCTCGAAATCTCCCCGACCCAGGCGGGGTGTTTATGAAACTCTGCTTGGTTATATGAATATCTGCCTTTCCCTCCCCACGATCTCCTGTCATTACCTGAACCAAGGGCCATCTAAATTGGAGTACAAATCTGGTTCCCGATTAATCCGAGAAAGAATCGCAAAAAGCAGTACCAGAGAATGATGTCTTTCCTTCTTCGCCCACGAATGACGTGCAATACTTACATGGCTTTCTGTGCCTACCCGATCTTCGATATGTCTTTCTAAACCAAAGAATCAAGTATTATGTACAATATGTACTTACAAGTAAATATCTTCGATGCCGTCCCCCCCGGTCTACCCGATCTTCCCACCATATTCCTGGTTCTTCTTAGACGTTTCCGGCCAGATCGGGCGACCTCGCCACTGAGGGGTTAGGCCTTCCTTTGGGTTTCCCGCATTTTCTTTTCTTTTTGGCTTCGCAGGGAGGTGGCCAGGTAACGGAGGGCTAAGAGTTAATACTTGTATCTCCGAGGTTTACAAAATCTTACATTGTGCAACTGTCCCCTAATCCAGTTGCCTGCATGTATCTTCTCTGACCGGTTCGTACTTCGTATCCTGATCGCCATCAGTATGGAGTTCTGAGTACAGCAGTTATTGTGGGCATCCCCCGGTTAGCCATCGCTACTACGTGGACAATGTTAGTGTTTAATATACTTGACTGGTCTTCATTCAATTAATAAATTCACTCAATCACGTGGTGAAAGAATTAGCTACAGTACTCACTCGTCTAGATTGCTTTGCGAGAAGCTTCAATTCTAAATAGATGGTTATCTCCGTACTCGGTCCTTTATACCCTCGTCAGTTTCCTCCTAGTTCTCGCCTTCTGCGCAGTACATACCTATATGCATTTCTCTTCATCAGCTTCCCTAGAGCCTTTTTCTATAGACCCTTGCCCCTCCATCAACGACCGGATCAGTCCGACCGAGTGGACACTAAGGCACAATGACAGGGCCCCTCCCTAGTCTTTGCCCGTCTGGAGCTTAGTCCAAGTCCACTCCTCAATCTGCATGTATTAAATTAGATTAAATTCGTCCACGCTAATAACCTGTCAACTCCTCAGTATAATTTCACGATCCCAATTAATCCAGCAGCCTACAGTGCGTACAACCACTATCGCCCGGCCCGCGCTTCAAGGTTTCAACGGTTTTAATTTCCACCGTCAGCCTGGATCTGGTTCGCCGGGCGGGGTTATCTCCCCGGCTCCATCGGGTCTCGAATAGAGTACGGTCTTGCCACTTTGGCGGCACGGAAAACGTGTCAGCTGTTACGGGGAGAAAGCTTGAGACACGAGGCGAGATACCGAGGGATGGAGTTGATGACGAGTGCTAAGTATTGTTTTGGTTTTGTCTGGAAATATCAACTATCGAATTGATCCAATTTACGCAATGGTTCTGCAATGAGTGTATCCCTAGTTTCTTTTAATTCCCGACAGCACTCCAATCTACACACGGGAAGAGGTGGAAAAGAATGGCGGAGTTATACGGTGTAGCGGGGGAGAAATAGGGCGCTCTACGGGCGTACAGCATTCAATTCAAGGTGGTTTACATGGACAGGATGAGATAGCAAGGTTTTTTTGATTATCATTATAATTAGTTTTATAATAAGCTGGTCTGGAGCCATTGTCACCATCAAATCGAGCACAATTCCAAAACGCTTGGCAGCAAATGGTGAAGGATAGCTGAGGTGGCAGATAGCAGATTGTTGATGGTTGGCGCTTGGCAGATCGCACAAGACGACCTCCATTTGCGGTCCGACGAGTCTGGCCCGCCGCTGTGCAACCAAGATAGCACACGCTGCCCGACATGCTCCATAGTCGATACATGTTTTCCCGCCCAGTTTCGGGTGATGGTCGCATGTCCATCACTATCATGGAGGGGGGGGGGTACGGGTGCAGCTGTCGCTGTCCGTTGATCCTTGCATCGCGAGAACCCTCGCGGTCGCAAATCGGTAAGGAGGGAGGCCGGGTGCGGGGATGACGCCATGAGGCTGCGGCTTGGAGAAAGTCGGTTTGTACAGCTAGGAGACATCCACGCAGTACTGGGACTTCGTGCCACGGGAAGATGTGACCAAGTGTCGTTCCCAATGGTCGTGGCGATGCGGCAGTGTCTGATTTCGCGGTAAGGAGGTAGGTGTCAAGATGAGTTGCACCAACGGAGTGTTCGTATTAAATGGAAAATGGGCATGTAAGACCATGCCCACCATTCTCTGCCGACCCATTCATGAAGTCATAGAACGGCGGCGAGACTGGTTAGGGGCACTGCCACCTAGCGGCTGACGCATCTCCCGAGAACAGTTCCACGAGTTCCAGACGAGGGACGACCGATAACGCTGCTCCTCGCGACTGAGACGGACTTGTTTCCGAGCGAAACTAGAGGGTTTCAAGGGAATTGTGCAAGTCGACGTTGAACGTTCGCAGACGGTGGTAGAAGTCTTGGCGAGTGCGGGAGTCGACAGGGTTGGGCTGTCCAGTGTGGTACGGAGCTCGTGGCACTGGCGGACCAGCTGCTGGACACCGTCGGCCAGACGGGCAGCGCGGTCCTCGATTTCGGGCCAGAATGCATCGCCCCAGAATGGATCCTCGCGCACGGCGGTCTCCAGGGCGGCCAGCCAGCAGTCGAAGCCGGAGCGGGGGCCGGCCAGCAGGGCCGCTACGGTGACGAAACGAATAGTGGGTTCGGAGTGGAGGACATGCAGGACGATACAGGCCGGGCACCGCGCGGTCAGGTACCAATCGTGCTCTTCAGTCAGAATACATGAGAGCCAGGCAAAGGCACTGCGGGCCTCGCCCCTGAAAGCGCGCTCGGGCTCCGCACCCTTCTTACTGGGCAGTGCGCGGGCAGCGACTCGCTCGGCTTGGTGGTTGATCAGGAAGAGGGGGACCAGGAGGGTATGAATGATGTCGCGATGGAGGCGGAAGGACTCCTGATCGGCGGAGCTGCACGAGTGGCGGTGGGTAGCGCAGAAGCTGGGTCCTTCCATACCGCAATCTTGGCGGCGTAGTTGCTCCCGCATGGCGCGAAAGGCCTCGTTGCGTTCCAACTGGAGGAGATCGTGAGTCGAGACCCGAAAAGGGGAAGTAGCTTCGTAGCTCGACATTTTCGGCGAGGTCGTGTGGTAGCAACTAATGTACTCTTCTTTGTTTTTCTTGGCTCCTTTGGCTCCTGTTCGTAAGGGTTATAGCGACGTGATTGATAATGAGGTCAGCCAATTTAAAGGATCATGTCGATAATATGCGATCATAGGAAAGATTGGACCCTTATCGGTAGGAACAGGGGGGATGAGGAAAGGAAGTAAAAAAAAAGGGAGACCGTGTGGGGGAGGTTTAGGGTCGCCGGATGCGGGCAGGACTTTATTATAGTCATGAAACTGGACTGGTGAGCTTAAACGGTCTTGGACAAGGAAAGGGGGCCCCCTATGCGGAAACGTCATGAGGGCGAGTACAGAATAGACGGGAATTGCTGATCAAAGCGCAAGTTGCCTCTGGAACGGGCGCCAGGCCAAGCTGGTGCAGGGTCAAGTCCAGGGTCGACGCAGTCGATCGTAATGGACTCGGGCCCACTGCTGACGAACACAGAGTGCATTGCTTGGTATCATTGGTCGAGACGATCTGAATGGGTGGGGCCCAGTGGAGAGACTTCCAGAGTCTGGCCGGTCTGGACGAAGTCTCTTGGAGAGTCTTTTGGGGTTCCTTCGAAGTCTCTTTGGGTGGGATGGTGGTGGTGGTGTGCTGGTGCGTCGTGGTGGTGAAAGAGGAGTTCAAGTTACTCGGGGCTCGTGGCTGTGGCCCTTAACCGGGCCTGCTACCGTGCCTTCGTGCCTTTCTGAGACCTTTCTTCTATACTTAGAGATAGCAGTCCTCTTCCCCCTGTCCACTCAGCGTGTCGGATTTGCCCTATCTACAGTATCAAGACCCTCTCCAAGACTTGCTGATGTCTTTGATTACGGGTAATCTCCATCTCCGTGCCACCAGCTGTAACGATGCACCCTCCGGACATGGATGCCCAGCGCCAGCGTGGCCAGGGTCCGATCCTCGCTACATGTTCTTTGATTCAATGATGAGAGGGGATCTTCTTGAATTTGATAGGCAGATTTGATGATCTTGATACGGGCGGAGGCAGGCCTAACAGCTCCTCCTCCCGATCGGCAAGCCCATCGCGGCCCAAGACCCCCTCCATACCCAATAACATCGGGGTCTGCCGGGCGGCCTTAGTGTCCCCGATGGTCACGATATCTCGGTCGCGGGTGAACGCTATCTGACCGCTAATCAAAGAGGGGATCCGAAGATTCCAGACTCTAGAAGCCTTCAAGGCTCCCGGTCCAAATTCGCTGAAGGGGGGTCGATCCCTCCTGACTCCAGATAGTGGATCACAAAGAACTCCATCGGGCCATGCTAAACAAGTTCAAGATTGGCAGGGTTCCTTTTCGCAGCCCCGATTGGGACGTAGTAAGTGGAAACACACACAAATCTTTCCCTTCGTCCTTCATTGTGCGAAGTAGATTGTGTGTGTTGTCGCCGTGAGGTTTGCTTCCCCCTTGGTGCGACCATGTGGTGATCCTTCATTCCGATGGGTGGTGGAATGGACGAGATTCGTCAGATATCCCACTTTTTATTTATAGTCATGATGCAGGTCGTGGCCTGGAGAAGAGGGGAAATGAGGAGCAGCGGGAGAAATCCAACATCACATTGAAATCAAGTGGAACTCGGCAGACTCCGAGCTGGTCAAGAAACGGGTTTGAAGGCCTGTTTGATATTCGCCTAGAAGAATCAAAATTCTACTACATTGAATAGCCTATAAGCCTGGTCGGCCACGTTTCCCATGCTTATCGAAGAGAAGCTTCATATCTCTGTGTGACTAGACTTCCTCTCATCCTCGGACCGGGGTGCTTAATGACTATCGTTTCTCCTTCTCTCGATATCGTTTCAAGAGAATATGGAATTTCTCCACATAGTCTACTCTGTCCACTTTCCGTCGTGGTCGTCATGATAGCACGACATATGATGGCATACATACTCCGTCCGGAGCGCATGCGGACTCCACGCGGCCGCACGAGAGCATGCGGGCCACTTGGATATCCGCATTGATCCCAGATTGGGACTAGGGCTAGGGCAAGTCTGGAGCCGATAGTGGCGAGGCAATGGATCTCAGATAAATGTAGACGACATATCTTATTTTCATGTTGAAATTGGACTTCAAATAAAATTTAAATAAAAATGAAAAAAGCCGACTATTTGATGATTCACTAGCCAATCAGATGATGGTACTCCATCACGTCACAGTCAATCTCATGAGAAACTGTGGGTTGCGTGTGGCTACGGTGCATGAGATGGTAGATGATTATCCTTTGAAATCTATGCCGATACATAGATATATCGAAGAACATAGGTTCAAAGTCTCGGAGGGAGTTGATATCAACCTACACGGAAAATGACCAAATGCTACTAAGATAAACTCGATGGATCTCACACCTTGTCCATGCAATCTTGGCAGTGCGGGATAGCAATGGCAGAACTGGCCAATCACCAATGTGAAAGGTCTGGGCGGTCAAAACCAGGCACAAGCATTTCGGAGCTTCCCGTCCGCTACCAAACGATTCAAAACGGTCCGAACGGTTTCAATGGCCTCGAACACTCGACAATGGCTGGTCTTGTTATATTTTGTATTCCGTAGTCCATTCGATATGCTATATGCTGTGTGACCCGTCCTTACCGCTGACCTACGCCAATATTCTGTCTCGTCTCTACGCGGCCCCCCCTGGCATGTCGCGGACTAGTGCCGGAATGAAGGCCTTCGGGACGCTAGTTGGGCAGTGGCTGCCACTGCAATCTGCGAACACCGGTTTCCAAGGTCTCTGATCCAAGTATTCGCACTAGTCCTGCCAACTTCTGTTGCCATTGGTATTTTTTCACTCTTTTTTCTTGGTCCACGGTCTGCTTTGATCTGTTCTCGATCCCCAGGTGGTTCTTTCCTGCAAACTCGACCAGAAACTGCCCGCGACTCCCTCGTTGTCCAGCGCAGAACTTCATTCGTTTTCTTTTTGCATTTCCTATCATATTCGCAGATTTCCCAGCATTACGCATCTTGACAAATACCCAATCGCGACTCATCTTACCATTGATCATTGATCATGCTGTCCTCCCTCGCGCTCTCCGCAGTCCCATTGCTGCTGGCCGGCCTGCAGGCTGTGACGGTGGGCGCGGTTCCAACCATTTCGGCGGTCGGATCCAAGTTCTTCTTTGAGAATGGCACACAGTACTACCTCAAAGGTATGTTTGGGAACCTCTCGCATCGCATTGCCCCGGAAAATCCGTGTGGCTAACTCGTCGGGGCAGGTGTCGCCTATCAGTTGACTCCCAGCGATCCGCTTATCGATACCGCCCAGTGCAAGCGCGATATCGTGCGCATGTCCGAGTTGGGTGCCAACGCCATCCGAGTGTACCACGTTGATCCCACTGCCGACCACGAGGGCTGCATGACGGCCTTTGCAGATGCTGGCATCTACCTATTCGTCGATCTCGATACCTTTACCACCCAAATTGAGCAGGTATGGACCACGGGGTCTCTGGTTGCCCGTGAAACGAGTCGATACTAATCTCTCGACAATCGCATATAGACATCCCCTCACTGGAACGAGACCCAATTCGACCGTTTCAAGGAAGTTCTCGATGAGTTCCAGCAGTTCAAAAACACCGCCGGTGTCTTTGTTGGCAATGAAGTCCTGACCACGGCCAATGGCTCCCACGCTGCCCCCTACGTTCTGGCTGCTGCCCGTGATATCAAGGCCTACCGTGACCAGAAGGGTTACCGGGACATCCCTGTTGGCTATTCCGCGGCCGATATCGCTGATCTGCGCCCCATGCTCCAGAACTACCTTGCATGCTCCAAGAACGAATCGGAGCGCCTGGACTTCTATTCGCTGAATGCCTATGAGTGGTGCGGCGAGTCTAGCTACAGCGTTTCGGGATACGACATGCTGCAGAAGAATGCCACGGACTACCCCATTCCCATCTTCTTCTCCGAGACGGGTTGCAACACCCCCGCACCTCGTACCTTTGATGACCAGGCCTCCATCTTTGGCTCGAAGATGTCCGGCACTTGGTCCGGTGCGATCATCTATGAGTGGATTGAGGAGACCAACAACTACGGCTTGATCAGCTACGGCCCCTCGGTTAGCGCTGCGACCAACACCATCGTCGAAGATGGCTACACCCGCCAGGGCACACCAACCCCGGTGTCCCCTGACTTTTCCAACCTCAAGTCCCACTGGGCGACCCTAAGCCCCACTGGAGTTGTCCTTTCCAACTATAAGAAGGAGACTGCCAGCATTTCGGCCGCCGAGTGTCCCGCTTACACCTCTGGCGGCTGGGCGGTCGACCCGAGCTCCTCTCTTCCCACTCTGGGACAGACCTACAGCGAGAACGAGTCTGGAAGTACTGCCACTGCTTCGGGCAAAGGCTCGACTGCCTCTGGAACGAGCGCCAGCTCCACCAAGAACGCCGCCAGCACCGTTGGCGCTCACGGCTCCTCGGCTCCCGCTCACCTGCTGACTATTTCTGTTCTGCTCTCCGCTGGCGTGGGAGCAGTTGCCTTCTGGCTGTGAGGGGATCGAGTCGACGTACACTGTGTACCTCTTGGTGCTGACAGTGATTTGAATTCCACAATTGTATCAATACGCATTCTTTCAATTACAGGATAGAGAGGAGATTTCTGTGAGAGTCACACTGTACACCAGGAGTCTCGAACAAATTAAATGATATCCATAATGACCTACCTTTTGAGCCTATGATGATAAGTGCACAATGTCTAAGTTATCGACATATTCATTATTATAGGTTCTCCTCGAGCTGCCACTTGGTTTCGGGTAATCTTGATGTTCCACAATCTAGACAAATGGAACCGTCTAGAATTCCATAAATATAGTGGTACGTCGAGTAGGAAATTAGTATATATCTCATCCAGTCGTTCGTTCATACAATAGTTTCCAACAGGTATACAAGTACAATGCACCAATCCACCCCATGCTAGCGACAAGAGAACCCTCTATCAAACTCGAACTAGCCAGAATCAGTCCAGAGGACATTTATCTCCCGTCAACCACTGCGGAAAGTCAATCCCTCTATGCCGCGGATATTCACATCGAGATTAGGCAGTGATAACTTCGGAGACACTCGGTTGACCCGGACAGGGACATCGTCTTCCTCCAAAATTGACCGATCAACCACATCCTCCAGATCCTCTCGATCTTCATTAGTCTCACTATCACTGCCCGCATCCGTGAACCCGAAATCAAATTCAGACACGGACGAGGAATCCAGGAAAGTGTCTTCCTTCGCCGCATCCTCCGCTTCCTTTGCCCTATTCTCTTTCATCTCTGTTTCCTCTTTCATCTTTCGCTCCTTCTGAGCAGCCATCTCTGCTTCCACTTTCCGCCTCCTCCTCCTTTCTTCTTTATCAGCCTCCGAACAATGCAACGTCATCCCCTCCCCACCCTTAGAAGAGACCTCCCGAATGGCCGAGGCAAACGACTTCTTCACTCGTTTCGCGGCAGGTCTCTTCTCTGGCTCGACAGCCAGCATCGCCCTCAACACGATCAACATCCTCGGCACGGCGTGATACGCCCGATCACTTCCCCTGTCTCGCCGACATCGTTTCAACGCATCGCCTTCTAACAGGGCAATCCAGGATTGAACCTGGACTGCGTTCCGGTCGAGATGGAACGATGCATCGGCCATACCGCCGCCACGACCGGCGGAGCGGTTCCGCGCAGAACGGTGTGATGTGAAAGAGGAGAGGGTTCGTTTGCAGAGGTGTGTCAGGATGTCGAGGGTGACTGCTGCGAGGGAGAAGAGGTCTGCAGCCGCGGGGTTTGTTTGCGTTGAGTGCCAAGTGTGGAGGGAGGGTTGGGCAGGGTTGATGGCGGGGAGGTTTGTGGATACTGGTGTTGGGCGGGTTGGGGATGGGGTTACTAGGGAGGTTGTTGATACTGATGAGGAAGATGAGGAATTGGAGGATGTTATTGAGGGTGTTGAGAGGAGGGCTTTGGGTCTGCTCCAGATTGCGCTGCGGTGGTGTTTGAGAGTTGTACCTCGGGAGCTGTCTGTGTATCCTGAGGTTGATGCTGCAGAGGAAGAGGATGAGGAGGAGGAGAAGGTGAACGAGAAGCGGGATGGTGACCCTGGTAGGCCGATGCGGATGACCGTACCCTTTGATGCGGCCGAATCCGGGCGTGGGAAGTCTGGGGATGTTGGGGGGCTTTCTTTGAGAGCTGATAGGGCTAGTCGGGGTGGTTTCTTGCGTCGTCCTGTGCGGCCGCCGGATGGGAGGATTGTTTTGCTAGGAACTGTGGGTTGGATGGTCGGTGCTGCGGTGCGGACCCAGCGTTCTGGTGCTGAGTACTGGTATGCCTCTAGGTCGTTGACTCGGGGTGGTGCTAGGAGCGAGTCCAGAGCCTGGAATTGGCCCAGATAGATGTGGTAATTGGGATCGATGAGGATGTTGGATGGCCGGATAGCGGCGTGCGCATGGCCACGGGCATGGAGCCATGCCACGGCCGATGCGAGACAATGCGGCCAGGTGATCAACGTCTGCCGACGGAATTCCTTGGACTGTCGCTTGAAAGCTGGCGGTTCATCCGTCAAGAAGCTGTGTAGAGTGCGGTCGGTCTCCGCGCCGGTGAACAGGGCACAGACCGTGTCGTCGACGAAATACGATGCATATATCGAGATGACATGTTGATGGGCTAACTTGCGCAGACCTCGAATCTCTTCGAGCACCTCTGCTGCGGAAAAGAAATGTGGCGCACCGCCAACTTGGATCTGCGTGCGCAAGTAGGCGCGGCATACCGCGCCGGCGAGAACGACCTTATCGGCGGTGTCGTCGCGGCCCTGCACGCCGCTACCCGTAGTGGTGCGAATAACTTCCACGGGCACGCCTTCATTCTGGGTATAGGTGACATGTTCTCCTTCTTCAATGCCGCGGACTAGATACCGCCATTGAGCATGGAAGAATTTGGTATCAAGGGCGAGATCTTTCCCCACCGGCGAGAGACGCAGTCGATCCACGTTCTGTTCGGCAATCGGGAGATCATCGTCATCGCACGACTCGTCGACGAGTGCAAAGATACGGTCGGGAATTCCAATGGTATCGAGAATCAAGAATAGACGGCCCGCTTTGAGCAGAATCCATTCCATGTACGTCTCGCTGGTTAAACCCTCGCCCCAGCGTGGTAGGTCGAATAATCGCGGGACGTTTTCGGGTCGGAGGCGGCTCAAGACATATTTGGTGTCGAGAGTGGCCTTGATTCGGTCCTCGGGCCACCAGACGGAGGTGTGATCTTGTGATTGGGGCTGTGCCATGATGGTTGAAGCATGGTTCATGGGAAAGAATTCGGGAAAGTAGAGAATGCTAAGCAACTGGACTGGACGGGCCAGTAGAGAAAACAATCGAGTGCGGGAGTGTATAGATGGGGGCGATGTTCCCTTGATGAGAAGACCAGAAGACGGAGCGATGGGGGTTCACTATAAGACCCAAATCCACAGACCCATACTTTCGATCACAAGTGAATGACAATGCACCAGGTTCGAGCGCGTGTACAATTTTCAAGTTGATTAATTGGCGTCAGCTACCCCCGGTCCAACGGTCAACTTTGTTCTAGTTGTTCCTCGAAAGATTGTGCTGAACGCCTACTGGCCAAGGGCGATGCTTATCTCGACCTCCGCAAGGGGAGCTCCGGATAGCAAGTCGATAGTTCTAGGAAAAGCATGGTCGAGCAGTAGTTATTGATGCCAGCGCTTGTGAATCTAATTAGCTCGGGAACATTCTGGGTCCAATCGTCCAGAGGATCAATGGCCAATGTTGATTGTATAGTGCATGCGCAGAAGTACCCTTTGTTCCTTTCCAATGTTACTCTGTCTCCCCTGGATGGAGCGGGATGCGGCGAAAGCCAAAATATGATGGGTCGCGTGGGAAATGGATGACCACAGCATCATCGCCCGTCCGCTAGCCTATCGTAAGTCGCGAGCTTATCAGTACATGTTCGTTGGTCCACTAGGATAACCAAGGGCCACTAGCGCGCTAGGGTGCCCCTACATACAACTACGCACAGTGACAGCGAACATTGAACGATTTCTATGGGGGTTTTCAACGGAGAGCCGAGATAAGCGGGTTGATCCTCCGCCTGACAGCCTTCTTTTCTTTTCTTTTCTTTTGACTTTTCTGACACCCCCGTCGTCATTCCTCTTGCAAGGAGGCAAATTCGATAATTGAACGCCATCCAGATGCTTGAAATGGATGCTCCACGGAGAAATCAGTGTATGCATGCAGGACATGCAGACTAATTGGTGATCATAATTGCCCTAGTCAAAGAGTGCAAAGTACAATACAAGATTCTAAAGTGCTCTGTCCTCCGCCCCATTCTACCGTTCGTCCGGTCATATTCCGTGTTTAGGGTGCACTGGGAGAGGGGCGCTGACGACGCCACAAAGCTGAAAGAAAACAATGAAATGTAAACAGAGAGATAAAGCGATTGTTGACTGTCTGCAATCAAAACTACTTTAGTACAACACTATCAGAACTTTTAATAATCCACGGATCTATTCAGCCGTGCCCTGTTTCATAACTAGTATACTCTCCAACCCCCTCCACATTATCCGCCTGGTCGGCTGGACCCCCCGCTTTTGGGCTATGCCCGTGCCTTTGCGCTTCTGGACCATCAATGGCTTGGCTTCATACTCGAATCATCACAGTAGTCAAGGCTTTTTTCGTTGACTCAAAGACGCCCCTCGTGGGGTTGCCGGTGTCGTGTGCGGAATGAAGCGTTGCAATCGTGGCTTGTCCCCAAATTTTGAGCATTTTGCTTTTTTCGAGTATTGCCCGCCCCTGTCAGCATGTGCAAGACGGAAATCACAAGACGGAGGACTCCGTAGATACCGAGGAGATATCAAGGGAGAATCAATGACTAGGATACCGAGATAGACGTTGAAGTGTCCCTTTGGTGGATATGTTTCTGGTACATGCATCGTGTCAGACCCTTATCTACTGTAGAAACTCGGGGATCCTCTCGGCGACAAATTCTTTCATTGGTCTCGACGCGCAGGATCTGGATTGCCCCTTTGAACCCCCCCCCCCCTGGATGGTACATCTTTGAACGCACGACCATTTATTGATATTAAACTCGAGGTTCGATCCCCTAAAGCAAAACTAGCGAATCATATGCTCCTTGTCAAGCATGCTGTACACTCAAAGTAGCCATATCCTGGCCCTATCATCCTCGATATCAATGTCCCAAAAGCAAAATCTCCTAACTGCAAATCACCTTTCAATAGTCCTTCTACGATGCAAGCCAGTTTGCTCCATGTATCTGCATACAGCACCAAACGGTGAAGAATAGGGCATGGCGAGCCGGTAGTTTTCCAAGGATCCTCTGTACTCTTGAATAGTGGGGCTGATCATCCCGAACTATTGCCTCTACTTCGCCTGAATAACGGCGTTTATAAACTATATTACACTGACCATATGTTCGTGTTGTATCCACAATCGTTTCTTTTTGTAGATCACGGCGATCTCTGATATGGAGGCGTTCTCTGTGAGAGGGATCTTCATGGGGCCCTTAAAGTATGTGTCTGGGCGTCAGTGCTCCACCCACGGGATCCATTCCAGAGTCAGTTTTTGGGGATTGCTCCTTTTTGTTATCCCTGTGCCTTGGATGAGGTTGGACAGTTCATAAACCGATGCTACGTTTCCCTTCCAACCGATAAGGTAGATAGCTCTTCATGGCTTTAGCAAAGCTCTGTTACCTCTTTTACTTCTCTGGCATAAATTGATTAACCGAATATCAGTAGTAGACCGTGTGTATAGTTGTGAAAAGCCTCTCCTGCCAAGATCATGAGCCCAAGCCCACTAACAAGGCGAGATCTCTCCCTTCTGAGAAAGCATCTATATCCTCCTTCCAGTTTCCTGCTCCTCGTCTGACGTCCTCAAGGAAGCCAAAGATCCCAGTAACCGGTTGAAGTGCAATGTCCATAGCGAGAGTATGCCAACCGTAATGCTGAAGTTGATCCAACCTAACGGAGCCATTAAGAGTCTGACGGCTTTGTCCTTCATGAAATTAGGAGAGATAAAAGAACAGCTAATTCTCGATGTTTTCCTTTGCAAAGTCGGTTTGTGCGCCAAAGACCGGCATCATATGTATATTATATATCCAGTCCTCTGCGGTAACGCTCCAAAATAGATAGCATCGTGCTCGAGTTTGAACTATGGGCCGAAAATACCATATACATTTTTTTCAAGTTCCGAGGACAATCATGGAAAGATATGTCTCTACCATCCTTCTGAAAGAAAAAAAAATGAACCTGAATTTTGACCTGGATGTTCCATCACCCGATCACGAGGGACAATCGCAAAGACTCAGAATTGGCACCAAATCACAGTTTCCTTCCCATCTACATCATCGACAACACTTTGTTCTTCTTCCCTAATTAAAATCTCTTCGCTAAAGTCTGGCCAAGATGTTGACCTCCGGGCTTCCTATGTGTCTGTTGGCCCTGGCATTTATGCGAAAATTTGTCTCTAACAACAAGGATGACACCTCGGACTGACCTCTGTTTAACACCGTCAATGTCGTCAGAACGAAATCCTTATTCTGGTCGCTATCAGTGGATGGGGCGATACGCAAGGGTTTTCCAAGGCGGGCTTTGATAGACGAGAGCTGCAGGCTGTTCGCGCATAAAATCAGAAGAACTTAAAGACACTACCTTAGATGGTAATCTCTACACATTAGAATACGTGTTCGCATCCAAAAGCTACTCCTGCCAGCTTGAAGCAATATTTGAGAGACCAGCGAGAGAGTCAAAGGGACAATTGAGGCCAGGGATAATAGAATGAAGTATGAATGTCTGATGGGAAGGTTTTCAGGAAGATATTTGCTATCGTGGTTCTTTCAGTTTCGTATGATATGACGAGAGAGCAACTGGGAACAAAAAAATGGTTCTGGCACATTCTTATCTCATTAAGCTTCGATCAGTACTACTACTGTTTTATGTCGGTTGATTCTCGGAACAGATCCCGCTTCAGAGCGGGGAAATCGTTATCCGACCATCCGACACTGTTCAACCTGAGCCCCTACTCCACCTTCTCAGCAACTTTCGTCACGCTCGTTAGTGGGATGGGACTTCTGCGGCATCATGTATGAGCGGCAGCGGGTTTGGCGGGCTTGTCAAGCATGTCGAAGGAAGAAAGTCAAATGTGACGGCGAGCATCCTTGTCAAAGTTGTACACGTAACAAGGCGGAGTGTCTCTTCGCTGAACCTCCGGGCAACTCGAGGCTGGTGGATCCCCAGTGAGTGCTTCTCCGTGTTCTCTACGGGTCTATGTATAATCCCGAATTCTGAATACTTGGCTAACTCTAGCTAAGATATGTGTTGAAGCTCGAGAGCCGCATATCGCTCATGGAGCAGAGACTCCGGCAACAATCACTTGCACTGGAGGCCAGAGAGGAGTCCCTACCACTGGATGCCTCTGCTGCGGTCGCCAGTAGCGATCATAATGACACTGACCATCATTTCCACGTCGAAAGCGAGTCGGTCACTGCCGTGGCCACTGCAGCCGACAAGAGTGCACTTTCCGACCCGCCAGGGGGATTCCGAGGATCCTCGGTGGATGCGGCGGTCCAGACATCACAACGACCTTCAAGAACTCATCTGCCCAAGGAGATTTGCGGCGATGACCGGATGGTTGACAATTTGGCCTTTGATCGCTATGATACGAGAAATGTCCCGACGGACGTAACGCAACTTGAAAAGCCACTTTTGCAAGCGTTAATCGACTTCTTTTATCAGTCGATCTACCCCGTCTTCCCAATCATTCATCGTCGCAGATTCCAACAACAATTTGATTCTTGGTCTTCTAATGGCAAAGAAAACGGTCTTAATGCAGCTGACCATGATTTTCAACCTCTTCTGTATGCACTTCTGGCGGTCGCTGCCTCGATAATACCTGAAAATCCTACGATCTTTGACCACTCAAGCTTTGAAATCTACAAATGGATAGATCTTGGGGATCTGTTTTACCAGCATGCTTTTTCGCTAAGTGCTGGCAGATCTTGCCAAGAAAGTCCTTCGTCGGCTATAAATCCTATTGCTGCACAGGGACTTCTTAGTCTCTACCTGATCGAGCGAGGCAAAGTGAATGATGCGTGGGTCACTGCAGGACATGCAATTCGTCTATATCAGGGCTTTGATCTTGATGATAACGTCGGTATTGCTAGCGAGGCAAATGATCTACGTCTCGCGCATAGGAATCTCTGGTGGTGTCTCTACATCTTAGATCGCTCATTGTCCACGGTTCTCCTGAAGCCATTGGCTATCGACGATGCCGAGAGCGATATTGAATCCTGTGATGGCGAAGAATACCTCGCATCATCGACCGTGGGACAAACGGATCCCTGGTTCTCGGTCGTCGCCGATTTTCATATCACGATGGGCCGCATTTACCGATCAGTGAGGTTAATTCGAAAAGCCGAATCTTCCCAGAATGCAGATCTCAAGGATACAGTTAGGTCATACGTGAGGCGACATGACGCAGAGCTCGAGAAGTACTATAAAAACCAAGTCCTGCCGAAAATAGAGACCCCCAACTCACAGGTGGGTCCTCTTGCACTGCAAACGATTGCTGTGTCATCATACTACATCGGGCTTGTCCTCCTTTATCGCACATTTATCGAACGCTTCAACATTACGGAGCCTGAAGCCCTTTTGCGATGCGCTGAGGCTGCGTCTAATTGCATCAAGGTCACCCCACAAGTCATTGCCCATGTGCCGGCAAGCCACTTCGTGATCCAACAAAGTCGAGCCATCTTTGCCAGTGCAAAGGTGCTCCTGCACTGTATGCGATTGGCTCGCAACCCGGGCTTTACCAGGAAGGCCATGTCGGATGTTGAGAGCGGCTTGAATATGCTGCAAGAGGTGAAGATTCAGTGGCCTGAGATTAAGAAGTACCAACGTCTGACTGAAGAGGATATGCGCCAGACGCAGACTGAGCTTCAAAAGCATGATCTCTATTACAAGACCTTCGAGTCTTTTGGGCAGATGGTTGCTACAAGCGAGACCGATGCTCGGGAAATACCACCTTCCAACAGAACATATTCAAGTCAACTCCCCAAGAACTGCCTTGATTTGCAGGGCCTCGATATTCTACCATGGGTGCTTCCGAATGGCCGGACAAATGGCTTACTCGCAACCGAGTGCTCCCAAATTACAACTTCGTCAAAACACAGCCAGCCTGACGAGTCTTCTCGACAACAATCCAAGCGGAGAAAATTGCATCAATCTCCGTCGCAATCACCATCACTTGCCCATGATACACTCGCTTTGGATTTGCTCCCAATACTGAGAGATTCAACCGATTGTCCTATAATGGACCACATGATTACCACTGGGGATATGCTACTTCCTGATATATCCCCTCGGCCAACTAGTTCGGAGGAACTATCCACCTCTTTCTTCAGCGATGCATTGTTGATGAACTCGATCGATCAATTCTTTTCCCAATGAGAAGCCTGATAACATCAGTCATGATAAATTGAATATAAGAGCTGGACCTGGCATTCTTTCATGCGTCTTAAAGTTCATAATTTGAATATTTTTGATCCTTATCCCCCCAAGGGAAAATGTTATTATCGTATACAAAAAGACTCTACCAAAGCGACGATCTTACAAACTGCTAGAACTAAGATCAATGGGTAGGAGCGATCTCTCCACAGCTGCCACATCTCCGGCTATCCCCGTCCTCCATCCAGTTATCAATAACCTCTTTGAGCTGTGTTTCAATATCTGCACAGTAGAACGACTCCTCTCTGATGATTGTGGGGACTGTGCCATGGGCCGCTTTATTATCACAATACCACCGGATCCGGTCGATCATATGTGGCGGACGAGCTCGTTCCATTACTAGGCCGATCGTGTCCTTTGATCTTCTCGGAGAGTGAGGCGTGTTTCCTGTGAAGTATGCAGGTATAAGTGATATGCCCTCACACGGTTATCAAAGTTATGGAGCACAGCGAGATGAAACAGTCAAATACCGCCATACCTGGTAGAAGAAATGATTCGCCTTCGTGAATTATAATGTCACGGAAATCATCGTTCTCAACGATCTTCAGTAGCATGTCTCCCTTTATCTGATAGAACCATTCCTAAATCCCGAGGATGTTAGATACTCTTATTTGAACTCGATTACAGCATAGTCACCTCTGTCTCATTAACTTCAACCAGCCTCGATTAGCCTTGATTTTGGGGCCCCTTAACGGAATTTTCACCACTAACTCACTATGATAATCATTCCTCGTGTTTGGTCCTCCAACAGCCATCAAAATGAAGTCTTTTCCTGAGTGTAAGCACATGTTATTCACCGGTGGCTTCAAGTTTCCTGCGTTGGTCGCAAGCCAAGAAGAGAGGCCCATTGGGCCTGGAATAGATGGCATGTTTGGTGATTGTGATCCCATGATAGTTTCCTGTCAAGACCGGAGGCGAAGAATGGCAATAGCTTCTGGTATATCGCGAATAGATATGACACAAGTATACAGTGCGACTTAATCAACATGATAGTCTGTATTCCAGGCATTCTCTGCATGCTTTATCCTGTCGTTGTGACCCCCCTCCCCAGACACAGTCTTGGCATGGACGTAGCCGACCCGCAACGGCATCCGATTGAACAACCGGATAGATCCGAGTCTAATTCTGTTGATCCTGCGCAACCGACAAAAGCTGATGATGCATTAGGTCACCCGACGCTATCATTGAATTTTAAATCAGATTTTGTTGAGTGGCTACTAGGCCATAAGAGCGTGATTGGTGAAAGGCACCTCCACCCGTTCAACAAGCAACGGCAACTTGCCCCGATCTATATAATTTACGACTTGTCTTTAACTTCACCGTGTTTGAGTATTTGAAAGCAATCAACGCGATGACTATCAATCCGAGCTGTTGCTCTTGCAACTCCAGCCAGCAACGATGGGCAAAATCTAACGGGCCTGGCAGCGCCACTGGCCCTTTCCGAATTGATATGCACACGCATATTATGCCTCCAAATTTGCCCGACTTCTCCAAGTTGTATGGTTCACCAGAAGAGAATGGAGCAGACTGGATGACGCTTCGGTCACATTTTGTCTCTAGTGATGGCGTCTCTGATTCGACGGGCCCAAAGTCAAACAAAGTCGACATGTACGTCGGAGAGAGGTTCTTTAGAACGGTGGAACCAAATTGTTTTGATCCTGTCGTGCGCATGAAAGAAATGGATGCCACGGGGGTAGATGTCCAGGTCATCAGTACTGTACCTATTCTGTTCTCATACGACAAACCGATTGAGCCTGCTGCGGCATTAGCCCGTTACTTGAATGATCACATCGCGTCGGTCTGCCGAGACAACCCACGACGATTTGTTGGACTTGCTACAGTTCCACTTCAAGATGTCTCCAGTTCCGTGGCTGAACTTGGACGAGCAAAGTCTGAGCTAGGGCTGAAGGGGGTTGAGATCGGGACCGAGATCAATGGTTGCGCTCTCGATGACCCTAAATTCGATCTCTTTTGGGCAGCATGTGAAGATCTGGATATGCCAATCTTTGTACATCCTCTGGGTTATGATTTGGAACGAGAGAACAAGAGCCGATGGGGTAATTACTGGTCTGCATGGTTAATCGGAATGTGAGCAACGTACCGAAATGCACGCAAAAAATACAAAACAATCTAACGTGGGAGATTTTATTAGGCCAAGTGAGACTGCACTCTCAATCCACGCCATTCTTTCATCCGGAATTTTGGTGCGACACCCAAAACTACGCTTCTGCTTCGCACACGCTGGTGGTGCATACTTGCCGCTTCTCGGGCGAATCCAACACGGCTACGATTGTCGACCAGACCTGGTAGCCCATCGTTCTGAGGGAGTCTCACCTCAGGAATATCTTGAGTCACACCAGCACAATATTTGGATTGATAGTCTGGTACATGATCCAGATCTACTGCAGCTTATCTGCAAGAAAATTGGTCCGGACAGGATTGTCATGGGAAGTGACTACCCTTTTCCGCTTGGTGAGATGCCTAACCCAGGTGAGATGTTAAGCTGCGATGCGAAAGTGGGCGAGTTATTTTCCAGTGAGACGAGGGCACGCATGCTTGCTGGCAACGCGATCGAATTTCTAGGATTGGGCGATATGTACCAGGAGCATGAGATTTAGGGCATCTAGTTATTATTTAAATTAATCTTTATTAATACTGGAACAGTCGTAATTCAATTATTTGTTTATCTCAGAATATATTGAATGAAGCATAATTTGAATACGACTTTGACCTCGCCGCTGGTGGGTCAAAAACACACGCAATCGTCAAATCGGATGCCGCTCCGGAGGCGGATGAGGAGTCGTGGGTCGGAACGATCACTATACATTATCTTGTACAATATAACGGGAGCTTTAGCCCATATTCGAGCTATGGCATGATATAGTGAGTAGTAGGGTAAGGCAGTCTTCAATTCTCAATTTGCATCATACATCCATCAAAAGATGGATCTCATTTCTTCGCTTTGGGAACTCGACACTGCGGAACGAGCCGACGCATACCTAGCCAGCCTCGCCAACCCAATCCGCCTCCAAAACTTCATTGAAAATGATTATTCAGAGCATTCGGAGCCCAGTAACTGGGTCGACTCATTCAACCCTCGAACTGGGGAGGTATTGGTACAGGTTCCTCGCAGTGCGCTACCTGACGTCGATCGTGCCGTGGATGCTGCCTCACGAGCGTTCCCGACGTGGTCGCGAACCTCGCGACAAGAGCGTTCGGAAGTTCTCCTTCGAATCACCGCTATCTTGAGTGAGAAAAAGGAATTATTCGCTTTCTGGGAGAGCTTGGATCAGGGGAAGACACTCAGTCGTGCTCGTGTGGAGGTCGACCGCGCGATTTCTAATTTCCGGTACGCAAGTTGCTACCAAGATGAAATCCGAAATACTGATAGACTTTCAGATACTTTGCAACCTACATTCTCCATGAAGAAGGTGCCGTTCGCTATGTTGATGGTCCAAGGTCCACGATGACTTATGAGCATCGGTCGCCGGCGGGTGTTTTCGCTTTAATCTCGCCTTGGAACATGCCCCTCTATCTCCTGACTTGGAAGATTGCTCCTTGCATTGCATTCGGATGTACTGGGGTGGCAAAGCCTAGTGAAGTGACTAGCATGACGGCATTCTGTGAGATACTTCTCTGATTAACACCTCTCCGATCGACGACTAATTGGCAAGCAAGTGCTTGGAGAGGTCTTCCGACAGGCAAAACTCCCGCCTGGCGTGATGAATATTATCTTTGGAGACGGACCCGGTGCGGGCTCAGCTCTCGTCAAGTCTGATCGTGTTCGAGGAGTCTCATTCACTGGTGGTACGGCTACGGGAATCCGCATTAGACAGGATACGGTGGCCGACATTGGCAAGCACCTGTCACTGGAACTGGGTGGGAAAAATCCAACATTGATTTTTGATGATGTTGATCTAGCCGAGGCTGTTCCACTTGCTGCACAGGCTGCATTTGAAAATAGCGGACAGATTTGCCTCTGTGGTTCTCGGATATACGTCCACCGCGTGATCTACGAAAATTTCCTGTCGACGTTTGTAGATTATGTCCAGAAGAACTACCGCTGTGGAGAGACTATTGGGCCGGTGGTCTCGAGGGAGCATTATACCAAGATCTCATCCTATCTCAAACAAGCCAAGGAGGAAAGAGCAGAGTTTCTCACCGGTGATGTTCCATCAGAAGTGGCCCAGCAGGGCTTCTGGGTTACTCCAACCGTGTTAAGTCGCGTACGACCCGACAGTCGCATTATGCGGGAAGAGATATTTGGACCGGTCGTTACAGTCTCTCCTTTCGACACGGAGGAAGAGGCTATTGAGCTGGCAAATGATAATCCAAACGGGTTAGCCAGCATTCTCATGACCAAGGACCTCTCCCGGATGCGCCGAGTCGGAGAGCGGATTGATGCCGGATTGGTATGGGTCAATTGTTGGCTGGTACGAGAACTTGGCACGGCATTTGGGGGCATGAAAGCATCCGGTATTGGTCGTGAGGGAGGTGCTCAAAGCCGTGATGTGTTTACCAATTTGCGAACTCTTCATGTCCGATAAGTAGCACTTTCTCGGACGACGGGACGGATCGGATGTCGGGTACAACAGACAAGAGGAGGGAGAAGACTTGGAGACCATTCACCGATTATTTTCCAACCTTAGTTTCATGCTTACTAAATCATAAGAAGTTTAACGCAGAGATTAACTAGGAAACTGTCTAAGAAACGCTCTAGAAAACGCTCTAGAGAACGCCCTAAGAAACCGTCTAGAACACTACTTGGGAAACCGGCTGGAAAAAGCTCTAGAAAACCGTCTAGAAAACCGTCTAGAAAACCGTCTAGGAAACCGTCTAGGAAACCGTCTAGGAAGTCCCTAATTTCTATAGAGAAGACTACTTAAAATGGGGAGGCTACCCCTAGTCTTTTAGTAAAGGCCCGTAGAATAATTCCTGGACCCTATAAGATAGGGAGATAAACCCCCTAGTTTTAGCTAATGGAAATCTTAATAATTCCTAGATTTCTATAGAGAAGCCCCTTTGAGATAGGGAGGCCATCATCCGGATTATATCCGAGGTAGAGCCTACTGAAATCTAGATAAGGAAGATTCATAGACTACTGAGTACTTCACAGCCGAGGAGGAATCTAAACCCCCGGAAAGTAGAGAGAGAGATCTCCCGTTGATATGGTGGAAAAAAGCCCAAAAATTAATTGATGCTTGGCCCGAGAAGTTTGATTTTTTTTTAATTATAGGTCGCAAAATTCCTCTAAACCAGAAATAGGGAGGGTACCAAGGTGGAGGCAGTTGCCTAGGCACCTTTTCGATGCGGCTTGGGCATGTCATCGTATGAATCATGCGATGACGCGGAGTTGTCGCAGTCGTCATAAGAAGCGCACCAATAAGATCATCGTCCGAGATCTCATCAAACAGCTCTAATCCTGATGCTGATATCCTAGGACCGACATGAGATATTCGTGACCCTTGCCTCATATTCCGCGGAATACGTGCTTTTCTTAAAAGGCACTGGAGCGCAACATGAAGATTTCCTGACCCTCCAAGAATATGGTCCCTGGAACATTCTTTCGCGCAGCGATATGTGGAATTTTGCGCACATTATGTGGCATTCTGTATTGCAGTCTTGGAAGAGGACAGGCAGATCGCGAGATCGATGCCCCGATGGAGAATGCATCCTAGGGCACCGCATCCTGCTCGATATTGGTGCCCTCAGAATTGGTCTGATCCCGCTCGACACTAGCGCCCTCTGCGTTGGTCTGCTCACTTAGCGGAGCCTCTCTTTCGGCAGGATCGTTGGCGTAGCCAGGGATGAACGCCTGGTACTTCGGCTCGATAAACGGCGCGCCAGGATGAAAACTCTCCAGGTGATATAGGTAGGAAGGATAGCACTTGAAGATCCAACCGCAATCATTCTTCGGGCATATGAATTTGGAGTAAGGGGGGAGGGGATAGTGGTAGAGAGGTCTGAATAGCTTCATGGCGGGCAAGCCTGATAAATGGAATTAGTGCGTGGGTTATATGATGCTCAGAGGGTAGGCAAAAAGGATGCATGTATATAAGGAGGAAGGGGGTGGTTTGAAATTGTAATTAACAGCCGTGACAGACTTGGTAGAAATCAGGCAGGAACTCGGTGATTCAGGCGCCAGGTAGTGCCAACAGCGTCACCCTAAGCTAACGGTCTCCTGGACGATTTCCTGGACGGTTTCTGGAGCGTTTTCTGGACGGGCCCGTACGCCATCATCGGATGAAGTCTGGGGTATATCCTCCTCACTTTTGGCTGTGTTCCCTATAGAAATCCGGAAGCCTGTAGACCACCATTGAGATGTAAACTGGGAGGTAGATTCCTGAATTTTCCTAGCCTCCCTTGTAGGAATTAGGGAATTGTTAGCCCCTTATAGAGTGACCGGGGGCTTAACATGTCGAGGGAGAGTTCGGCGGTATTTGAGGATGGTAATCTTGGGAGTTTTCTTCCCAGATTTAGAGTCCTTTCCGCCTGGGATTTGGGAATCCCTAACTCCTTCTTGGGAGACCGAGGAAAATTCCGCAGGGGAGGTAAAGAAGGAAGAAATGAAAAGGGGGAAGGAAACTAGAAATAAAGAGGGAAAGCAAGAGTTTATATGGACCTCTCTGAACAAAAACTCTTAACATATGCAAATTATTACCCTTTTGGGAAATAACTGCGTTTCGCCCACGAAACGTCCCTAAAACAACAAACAAACAACTACAAACCTTATATATGAACTGAAAAAGCAGTATAAACAGCATGAACCTGGGGTAAAGTCACTTTGGGCACTAAGTACTATACAGTTCTATTCCTACACTGCCGTTTCGATCGCTCTTATAGTATAAAACCAGCATCGCCATACTGTAGGCGAGAAAGCTGAGTTATGGCGGCACCACTACGATTTGCCATAAGAGCATTGGTTAAACGCTCATTAGAAATCTTGCAATACGTGAAACCGTCTAGGAAACCGTCCAGAAAACGCTCTAACAAACGCCCCAGAAAACACTCCAGGAAATTATCTAGGAAAGCGTCTAGGAAAGCGTCTAGGAAATCCCTAATTCCTATAGAGAAGACTGCTAAAGATCGGGAGGCTGCCCCCTAGTCTTTCCTTAAGAGATGGCGAAAGGATTGCCGATTTCCATTATGGGGAATTGTGAAGATTGGGAGGCTACCCTTCAGACCCTACAAGATAGGGAGGTGATAGGGAGGTGATAGGGAGGTAAGCCCCAGGTTTTGGCTGAGGTAGGGCTTACTGGAATCCATACAGATAAAGAAGATTCACAAACTACTGAGTACCTCATAGCCGAGGAGGAATTCAAAACTCTAGAAAGAGCCTTCGGAATCGTCTGTGGACGCGAACTACCGACGTCACATCTCGCACTGGACGACCTTGAAGAAGTGGCCCGTCCATGATTGCTCAAAACGGAGCTCGCGATCCGGGCGGATGGAATTGCGCTCGCGCGTACTAAGCTGTCTGTATTGTCTGCCAGCTTGAGAAAGCGCTTTCCGTCGGTTCGCTGCCTCGTTCAAGAACCGAGCGATTGCATTCGTTGCCCGGTCTAGGCGGAGAGGCGCATCGGGATCCCGCCAATGTCTAATGAGTGTGCATTGAATTTGATGTGCACGAATTGGTCAACACGCGGGAGATACTGCCGATTCTTGAATTGCGGACAAAAGGTCATGGCCTTCTCCACCCTGTAGTCCGCGGTTGTCGGGCCGGTCGGATAGATCCGAGGGGGACATCCGTGAACCGCGTAAGACTACTCATATGAAAGAAAACTAATCCATAGCAGAGGACAATTTTCCATCAGTCTTCTTATCTAACTTGATCACTTCTCATTCAAACTTTACCCAGCAATTGCTATTGATAATCCCGAATCCACCATTATGTCCCAAAGCGCACCCTACTTCCGCCCTGCAACACACGCCCAGGGACTTGCCAATTACCCCCACGCCCGGACAGTAACATCGCCCGATGGCAAAGGGTCATATATCTACGTCTCTGGGACTTCATCCCGCCGCGGTGATGGGACCTTCGTCGGAGCTACACGCTCAGAAGACGGCACAATTACCCTCGACATCCGCCAACAAACTGCGGCCGTGTTATCTAATATCGACGCAATCATTCAAGGTGCTTCGGAGGGCAAAGCGAGTATCCATGATGTGGTCGATGCAACTGTGTTTTTGACCAATACGAAGGATGACTACAAGGGGATGAATGAGGAGTGGAATCGTATTTGGCCGGATCGAAATACTGCGCCGGCGCGAACGACGGTGGAAGTAAGGGCCTTGCCGCGGGAGGAGATTCTGGTGGAGATTAAATGCACTGTGTACTACGTGTGATGGGAGCATACAGAAGTAAATGGATGATGAATTTCCGCGGGTCTACATGAAGCCTTAGTCACTCGAAATGATTCACGAGGTCTATTGTATGCAATTAGGGAGTGAATATTAGAATACAAAATGAAATTCCCTCGTGATGGGCATTCAAATCAATCAGTCTGTCCACGGCTTTTGTCGCGTACTCGGCTCAACCATCAGTGATGCGAGCGTCAACAAGACATCAAAGTCATAAACGCTGAGAAAGGATCAGAAAGGAAAATTGCAGGTGCCGAACTGCACGGTGATATGTAAAACACAAAGATTGGATTTCAGAAAACACATGTAAAAAAGAAGATGAAATGTCACATGGGGCATACAATGCCCAGCAAAGAGATTACTTAGAGAATTCAATGGTAGAGCATAGCACGTTTAGAGCATCAGACCAAGGAAGGCAGCCACGGAACCCAGAAGGAGGCTGGTAGCGATCGACACGGTCGAGGCCGAGTTGAAGGCAGTGGGCGACGCAGTGGCAGTGGCCTTAGCGCTGACATAGGGGGTAGAGCTCACGGCAGCGGTGACCCAAGTGGACGAGGCAGCAACCGGGGAGGGGACCTTGCCAGTGTTGGCAGGAGAGGCACCGCTGGGAGTAGCAGGAACCAGACCCACAGTGGTAGCGGAGCCCGAGGCAGTCGAAGTGACGAAGCTAACCTGGGGAACGGTGACAGTGTAGGTCGAGTAGGTGATGGTTGTGCAAGGGGCTTCCGGGGCAGAGCTGACCGCAGGGGAGCTAATACCGGCGCTGGCACTGGCACCGCTGGCACCGCTGGGAACAACGGTGGGGACCAAAGTAATGGTGGAAGGAATAGCAGTCACGATACCAGGGTTGGTGGGAACCCAAGCAGCGCAAATACCGGTGAAGTAAGACAGAGCATTCTGGATCTCCTCCTTGGAGGCACCCCATGCCTGGACACAAGAGATGACCTTGTCAGTGAAATCGCTGTTAGGGCAGAAGCACTTGGCATCACTGTTAGAGGTACACTTGGGAACGAGGCTGAGCCAGGTGTTAATGCACTGAGGCACAACGTTGGGGCAAGAGGAGGTCGGCACCGGGCTGGAGACGGGAGAAGTCTCCGTAGCACCGGCACCAACGGGGGTGGTGCCAGAGCCAGCCGAAGCCGTGGCGGTCGCGCTAGCAGTGCACTTGGTGCAGACGGTGTGAGTAGAAGTCAAAGTGATAGTGGACTCGGTGCTAGTCGTGATCACAGTCGTGGAAGAGCCAGCGCTGACAGTGCTGGTAACGGGGCAGGTGGTGACAGTCTCATAGGTGGTGATGTAGGTAGTAGTATCCTCAGAGGGCACAGAGGTAGAACCAGCGCTAGCACCGGTAGGAATGGAGCTAGCAGGGACGGTGCTAGAGGGAGCAGGGCTAGACTCGCTGGAGCCAGGGGCGGTCTCGGTAGGGCTAACACCAGTAGGAGCCGACTCTGATGGGCTGGTGGCGCTAGGACCGGCGGAAGTAGTCTGACCACCGCTGGGGACAGTGGTGAAGCTAGCAGTGCACTTGGTGCAGACAGTCGAGGTCGAGGTCACAGTGACGGTGGAGATGGTGTTAGTGGTGATCACGGTAGTGGAAGAGCCAGAGCTGATAGTGCTGGTAACCGGGCACTCCGTGGTAGTAGTGTAGGTCACGAGAGTTACGGTCGAGTCCCCGGGAACGGACGACGAGCCAGAGCCAGCAGGAACAGTTTCGGAAGGCGAGCTGGGAGAGGAGCTGACACCAGGAGCAGGCGTGGTAACAGGAGAGCTACCGCTAGGACCAGCGGGGGTGGACTCAGTTGGAGTAGATCCAGCAGGGGCAGTCTCAGTGGGAGTAGATCCAACAGGAGTAGACTCGCCAGCGGCGGGAGTAGTTTCGGTCACAGGGCACACAGTGGTCGAAATAGCAATGGTTGAGGTGACGACAGTGGTGGAATCAGCCGGGCAGTTGGTGACAGTAGGGGCACAGCTAGTGATAGTGATCTCGCTGGTGGTGTAAACAGTGGAAGTGGTCAACTTCTGAGTGCTAGCACCGGGAGTGATACCGGCAGCTGGGGAGGTCGCAGCAGGCGAAGTCCCAGCGGGCACAGAGGGAGAAGGCACACCAGGCACGGACGACTGAACCGGGCTAGAAGCAGTAGGCACGGAGGCAGTGGGCACTGAGGGAACCGAAGACGAAGAGCTACCAATGGAGGGGGTGGGAGTAGGCAGAGACGAGGTAGTACCGGGACTGCAGTCAAAGCCAACGCTGTAGATGCCAAAGTCGCAACTATCGTGGTCACTGTGATCAGGCAGCTCGAAGGAGACAGAGGTGGCACCACCGCACTGGTCGTTGGTCACAGTAGTTCCGGCAGACGAGCAAGAAGCGGTGTTGCGGCACGAAGAACCATCGGGCATGCTGTAAACAATGTTCATATCGGTATCCTTATCGGTGGAAATGTGGAAGTGAGTGATGGAGAAGCCACTGTCGTCGGAGCCGCAAGAGAACGAAGGAGCAGAGGAGCCGCTGCTGCTAGAGCCGGAGCTAGAGCCAGAGCTAGAGCTTCCACTGTCCGAGCCACTGCTGTGGGAGCTGCTGCCCGAGGAGGAGGAAGAGCTGCCACCCTTGGAAGCAGTACCAGTAATGCATTTCTCCTATTAGACCTCAAGTTAGTACATCCAAGTCCAAACGGAATGGGAGGAGATGTAACATACACCACGCTTGGAGTGGCTGGCACCACCGAAGCTGTTGCTGCAGGAGAAACCGGAGAAGTCGAAACCGCCGTAGGATGAGAACGAGCCAGTAGAGAGATCTGACCAGTCGAATCCCTTCTCCTGCTGGTCGTTACACTGGTTGGAAGAGCGGCTTGGGCTAGAGTAGCACTTCTCAGAGCCCCAGTACTACATCCCATGGAATATGTTAGCATCACGAGCTCCATTATCACACATCCGCACATTCCAAGTCGCGTTTCCATACCTCATAAGTAGCCTGAGCCGAAGCCAGGAGCGACAGGAAGGCAATTGAAGTAGCGGCCTTCATGATGAAGTTGGATTGTCAACGAGGGACTTAATTGGATGAAGAGAAAGAATCGGCAAAAGAGGGCCGAAAGTGAGCAGAAAGCCTGTTCTTATGGCAGATTGCAGACCAGCAACAATCAGAACGAGTGGTTGTGGGAAGGCGAATCCCAGATCGAGGTTGATACTGAAGATACAGCGAGTGGGTTAAGGAATGGTAGTCCCTGAGCGAGTGTGGAGAGAGATAAAGGAATATATAAGAGGAGGCCGAAAAGGAAAAGAAGAAAAATCACAACAAAGACGAAACAATGGAGTAGCAAGCTTCCTACTTGCAGTGCCTGGGGGGGAAGTTGCTGCCTTTTAAGACGTTGAGGCAACGAGTTCCCTCCATTCTTCCATCAAACTGCAACCTTCTCCAACCGCCACACTCCACCCACAAACAACAGTCCACAGACCACACCAAGGAGACCCTAGTGGCTTGCATTGCTTGATGCGGTAGTACTTGCTGCCTCTACGGAGTTCCTTGGAGGGTGCTGGAGACATAGAATGGATGGGATGGACAAATGGTAAGACATCCCGTCACAGAAGGCGTTTTTAGTCTGCCAATCGGCTCAACGCGAGAGGTGCAGATGAAACGGAGTCCCTCCCCAAAGCAGCCCAGGGTCTGGCTTCAGCGCGAACCGGACATGCTTCTAATGCAGGAACTGGCTGGAGCAAGCTGCAACGGGGTCTAGCGCCGGCATCAGAATGGCTCCAACAAGGCCCAGTCAACTTGCTCAGACGGACCCCCGGTGCCATCCGTCAAGCGGCGACGTCCCCTATGGACTTAGTCCCTGAACCAATGGGCAAGATCCGGGGATTGGGTTAAAAATAGCGCCCCATTCACACCAGTCCCTGAGTCCCTGCAGACCTTGAATGAGTGAAAGATGGGCTTTTCACCCTTACGCTTTTCTGTTCTTTCGGCTGTCCGTCAGGCCCAATATGACTGACGAACGAAAGGCTGGCGCTAGATCGACATGGACTTGCATGCAGACACAACGCCGACCGAAGAACAATGGAGTAACCCGAAACTTTCAATGCGATCGACACTCTTGATGTCCAGCCCGCCCTACAGAAAGTCCTCAGTGCCGATGCTTGGTCTCCATCGCTTTTCTTCCCAAGGTGCATCGTCCGTCTCTTTCATGTCTCCACTGGCGGGGCTACCCTCCTCGATCCCGCTTTACCGAAGAGGCTGCCAGGTTGCGAGCCAGGATCAAGCCCACGTCGACTTTCCTTTCCATTGATTAATTTCCAGGTACTCAGTAGGGCAAGACCATGCAGGATTCCTCCACTGTACAGACCGAGTACCTCAGTCCACTTGTGCATTACTGCTACCCTACATTCTGCAATCCACTTCGTCGGAGAGCGAACGATCAGAAAGCCCAGCGTCCTGAAGGCTCCGCATCTGCAGGGTGGAACAGCCATTTTGCCGCCGGCGTCTCGCTCTGAAACTCCTCGCCAAAGAGAGTGGTCTAGGCTGGTCCTCTCCTGCCCCACGCCTGATCGTCTGACTGCACACATTACTGACATACTGTAAGTGACATGGACATGTTTCCTTTCCGTGCCCTTGGTGTGATTGCCGGTCGCCCCGTGCTTTTTATGGTAATGAATGTTTAAATCACTGATCATCATGCTGAATTATGTCAGTGGAGTACACAATACACTCGTAGCGCCGGGCGGCTCTACGACTACCCAACCAGCAGTCGCCCTGCCCTAATGCTTACTTTTTGAGCCCAAAGTAACACTGACAAAGGCAGCGCCAAATCTCAAGTTTTGTTGCTGAAAACACGGAAGCAAGAACAACTCGGCTACGGCCTCTGCACTCTAGTGCTGTACTTCAAACTTTTTTCTTTCCCCAGCCAGGGGTAAACAAACCCAGACCCGGTCGGATGGCAACCAGGGGCCGTGTGGCGTCGAGGGAAACGGAACGGAGCAATGAGGGACGAGTCTACCAGTCTTGATTCATGCCAAGCAGGGGTCGATGACCTGACAGCTTCTAAAAAGCCTGCTCACTACACATTATTATTACATACTACTAACTGGCAAAGTACATGCAACTGACTAGCAGGCTAATCAGCCCACTAAACACTTCTAAGCCCCATCCTGAAGGAACCCTTTACACACTCTTCCTCGGTGGGGAGAGTGGTCCCCGGCGCCGCGCCCTGACTGGTTAAGTCATCTTGGCCCCGGCGTTAGCGACGGGTCCAGTCTTTGTTCCTACATCCCTCGTGTGTAACCGACGCCAAAGATGGACCTCTCCACCTTCAAGTCCCGATCGATTGCTCCACTGGAACCAGCATCTGCTATGCTGGATGCGAGAGAGGTCGCGCGTCGGTAAAGGTACTCGATGACATTCCACATTTTCATCGGATTTTATCAGACACCGACGGAGTTCCACCAGATGTGATGCGTTTAGCCTGAATTGCTCGCTCTCGTTTCACGAAACGGATATCAATGTTCGTGGCCGAGGCCAAGGTTTGCCGCCCCTGAGGATGTCGCACGATTGCTTTGTTCTCAGGCTAAGGCGCCCTCTAAAAATACCGGCGAATGGCGCCCGCTATAAGCATCACTTGGCGCCCTAAAGCAAGTATTGGGGAAAACCCTAAGAACGTCTCCATGAACCTATCCATGATTCTTCAAACCAGTGGTTCGTTCTCGGGTTGTAGCTCCAGATAGGACCCTAAATGTAGGCTCCCACTGGTATCGCGAGGAAAGTTTCTTTTAAGCAACGTTGCATCATTTTTCGACACTCCTGCAGGGTGGCTTTTTTTTGCTGTTTATCTGCAGAATCGCACGCGTTTCATAGATTTTCTACTGGGAAACTTTCCCGTTCATGGATTCTTGCCCTTGACTAACCCTAATCCAGTGGTTCACCCCAAGGATGTTCCTTAGCGGGGAGGCTTGTCGCTACAGCTGAGAACCTCTCTAGTCCACTACTACTCCAGACTAAATCCTGCTAGTCCATGAACCGGCCGTCTGAGACCATTAGTGCCACACGATACTTTAGACTTTCGGATCGAGCTACCCCAGCTCGCGTGGGAAATTCTCCGTAGTGGATATGTTTCGGGCGGGATTTTATTGACAGATACAAGGCAGAGACCCTGGATGCCCGTGCAGACATACCATCTGGTAATAGGTCTACTTTTTGAAACTCAGTGATCCCTGAGTCTTGCGACCTGCAGGGTGCTTAATCGCAAATCTGAGAAAACCGCTATATGTCAGACGTCAGGAGGGCATGAGATAGGTCCCGAGCGGGATATTGGCAATGAAGCATATCGTGCTATATCTGACTAGGATAGTTTCTTGGCAACTGGGAGCTTAAGCATGTTACGGCCGAGACGGCGAACCTGTGCTAGAAAATCAGAGGGATAGGATAGACCATCCTAATCAAGTCTTTTATCCGACACTTGCAATCGATAGTTTACTCAATACGTCTTTCTCTAGTACTGTACGTAGTAGCTGGACAAAGAAGAACCGGCCACTCGAGTCCATCTCGATTGTAGTCTTTGAAGTCTATTGGGTCCTCATTGATGGCCTCGAACGTCATGTGAGGTTTTCCGTTAGAACGAGTAGTACGCCCTACCAAACAGAATTCAAGCCATTAGTAGTATCGGGTCAAGGTTCCTTTTTTGTGCGACCCCCGTCAATTATTGACTTTGCCAATTACGAGCCAGTGCACCTCACCACAAACGGATGCTTCTTACAATCGTTGGAACTGGGATCGTTCACGTTTGTTTCAAATCCCAGTGATCCCAATGAGATTTCATTGGGGCAACGTTGTCGGCTGTACTCTAAGCGCATTCTGGAAGAGATAGGCGTAGCCCCCTATTTTACCTTTAGTCTCTCGATCAATACCCTAGCAGATCTGGGTATAGTAGGTGACTGAGATAATGTATAGCTTCGGTTGGTGATTCGATGTCACGGATGTAAGGCTATCTACAATCTGCAATTTACAGTCCTCCGCGGTAGACATCAACGATAGGAGCATGTTCCCGAATTATTTAACGTTATATTGGATGAAATTCTCACGCCCGGTGAATCTTGGCCATCTGATCACCTTTATATATATGTGCTGGGATGTGACTGGAACGTCTAAGATTTACTCAACTACAGCAATACTTTTTAAACATAACTTGTAAAAAGCTTGATTCGAAAGTGATGTATCATTGTCTTGATTGTCAGCCTTGCTACATATTCAGTCGATTTCTCTCGTTCCATCATATTCAAAGATTTCGAATACTTGTCTTATAAGCCACCAGAAACGCACACCCGGAACCCCGGCCCAAAGGAACGGCCCTACTACAAAGGCTCGATAAAAAAAAAGGGGGGCCTCATACTCACCGTTCATGGAATCAAAAGAAGGTTTAGAATGGGGGGAAACTCACCGACCGTCCAGAAAAGATTAAGCCAATCCGAGACCACTAGAATCGCCTGAGAGATAAGGTAATGCCTATCTTGGCCATCTGCATCCATAGGAGTGTTGCAATTGATTTTGATAGGAATAGCACCTCCTGCTAGGGGCATTGGACCGTCACCCTGGACAGTTGTTATGTCTGTGTTGCTTGTGGTTAGAGATTCTCGGACTGTCATGAGGACTGATTCGCAATCCTGGAAGGCGTTGTAGTGCTGGATGGTATTGGTGTCCAAAGGGACGATGATGAAGTAGGTCCACATATTTCTCAGGAAGGGTTTATGAATGGAGTTGGCTATAGTAATTTGAAATGCCGGGTTACTGAGAATTATTCCGCTCGTGTCTCTTTGGAGAGTCTTGTGGGTATGTAAGGATCTTGAGGGACCTCTAGGGATTGATGATGATTTAATACTTTGAGGACGAGGAGGTTTATATAGTCAAGATTAGACGTACTAGTTATAGCTACAGAGATATAGAACAATAGTAAGTCGCTTTTAGAGGTTCTTTTCTAATTCCGACTGCGCGATACAAAGGTGTTGTCGCCCATTTTTCTTTGTTCACAATTTTGTTTACATTCAATTTTATAATCCTATTTAAAGTCTTGGTTATAATATTTTTTAAATTTGGTTCAAGATTTTCACAATCTTGCTTAAAATCTGATACGCTGTGTTTCATTTCGAAGAAAGATTCTTGTCTCAATGTCTAACCCATTGAATCATGGTGCTTTATGCTTATTTCGAGGAATAATGTCTCTTGTCTTCGAGTGAAAGACTGATAAAAGTTTTAGATCTCAACACATGCAAAGCCGCTCTAAGGAATGAGGTGATGATTTCCTTTAGAAACAGAGTAGTTATCCTCCAGAATACGATATGGAGAAATGCAAACGCCAAATTATGAGATCGTCTCGACTGGTCTTACAGCAAATGTCCTTGCATATATATCCAGAAAGACAAATACTAAAAAGAACTTTATGTCGTGATGCCTGGCACCTATAAGCGCACACCTACAACATTCGAGTGACACAGAAATAAGGGAATGACACTATAAATAAGGCTGGTAACAACATCGACACAGTTCTCGGCTGTTCTACTCTACATTTTCAATCAACTAGCGACGACTCATAATAACAATTCAAAACGATGTATAGAAACAACTGACCAACGATAATCAATCTGATAGGCTTAGCAAAAAATCTCTCAGAAACTCCCTATCACATCTAGGAAATCCCACAAGATCACACAACCTAGAAAGCTAAACGGCCCTTCATTAGCAAGAACCACCCTCGAACAGACTTACCAACAATCTCTTCCTCCAGGGGAGAATTCAATTTAAAAAAACCCCTCAATCTCCTCCAAAAAGATCTTCATCTCAGACGAAATCGTGCCAAAAGTCCTATATCGAAACATCCACTCCGCAACCCTACTAACCGCCTGCCTAATCAACCGGTTCCTGCTCTCCTCATCATGGATATCAAACTCACCGTCGGGATCAGTGCTATCCTCATCGATGAGATCAACTCTAATTGGTACGAAATGACCCTCTGCGAGGGGTCCGTCTCCGACGACGATCTTCAGGTCCCTGTTGTTTGGAACGAGGAGTGCGTGGGTTGCGGTAAGGAGGATTTTCAGGTCGTGGCCTGGTGAGGCATTGTAGGCGCGGATTGTTCTGTTGTCGAGGGGGACGCAGATGAAGATGGTTGTTCTAGGGTTGGGGGGTTGGGGTGGGAAGGGCAATTGGGATTGGGATTGGGTGTAATTAGAAGGTGGTCGCATCTTTGCGGGTATGATGCTTTGATAAGAGGTTTAGTGAGATTTTTATGGAAAAGATTTGGTGATGATGGTAGATATGGAAGAATTGAGGAGTTAGTGCTTGGTTTCGTGGACGGAGGACGAGGATGTTAAATGCCTGGTCTTCATGGAGATATATCTTGTAGAGACGGAATATCATTGGATTATTTCTAGAAGTCCTTTATCTCGATGTGATACAAACACATTGTCGACTTTGTTTGAATCTCGATGCGATATTTTTCATGTCAAACAACGTAAACAAAGGGCCATTGTGTTCTATTTCGAAGACCAATTTTGTCTTCCAGTCTGCCCGTTTCTACAATGCTTCATTGTGGCTGTTTTGAGGGCCAATGCCCCTTGTCCTCAAGTCAAAGGCGGGTTGTGCCTTTTCAAGGTATGTATAGAATGGGCTGAAATGATAATCTTAGGTTGGGAATGGACAAGAGTCGAGCCTGGAATAGAAATCTAACTTAGGCAAAGCGTAGCGAAGGACCCTTTCCATAACACATGGCTCTACACAGATCCCGTATGTACACTACTAATTCAATCTACCGGCAACGACTCATTGGTTTTAAATTTTGATTGAAAGATATGAACCTCACTTAAACTCCATAAGATCTCCAAAAGGTATCACCATACCCCGCACACAGCGAGGAAGTACATGGCTAGGGAAAAATAATAATAGGAAAGGCAAAGAAGAGGAGAAAAGGAGGGAAAGAATGGCGAAAAGCAACTTCACTCAATGCGAAAACACAAGAATCGATCAACTTTTGAGCTCGTGAGCCATCTTCCATCGATCTTCTTTTGGGTAAACAACAGTGAATGTGGGGAAAGGGAGGCGCAATGAATCTGCCTTCAGTTGATTCTTCGAGTTGAAAAACAAGAAGGGCAAGATTGATCTTGTCTATGGACCGAAGGCGTCAATTGGACGCCATCTCGGTGTGAAAAGAAAGACCTCTTCTGCGTGTCCGGATAACTAGACACGAAGAAAACATCGATTGTCGCCTTGAGCCAAGTCTGCCAGCGACTCGAAACATATTTAACAGTGTCCGTGTGTATCATGCGATCTTGGGAGGAACAAAAATCCAAACTTCGTCGAAATCGTAAAGGGAGGAGCTGGAGGGGTTAGCCAGCAAGGGGCGTTTGTACAGGTCTGAACAAGCGGGGAGGTTTGTCAGGAGTGCTCAGAATGGGACCTGGGTGCGGCGGTGGGCATCCATAAGCTTGCGCCGCACGGCCTCACCACCTGCATAGCCACTGGCCTTGCGCTTCCGGACTGGAGTGCGCATGTCTTGATTCTTGGCATGTCGGAAGACACTGGCGGGACGCGAGGGGGAGTTGGCGGGCATGAACTCGCGGTGTTGAGGAAGGCGCAGAAGTGCCTGGTACCGATTGTGGTTACGACGGAAAGCCGTGACAATACCCTTGTCAAGATGGTTCAGGAAACGCTCTGCGTTGTTATCCTGCTGGGACACCGAGTTGCGAGCCGGTGTAGGAGTACCCATGGGCTGCATAGAGGAGGTGGCCATGGGAGAAATGAGCGCCTCATCATCGAAACCATTGAAATTGTCGTTGTCCTGGTCATTGTCTTCTTCGTCGGAAGATCCATTTCCGAAGTCGATAAAGTCATCCACGTTGAGAGCAGCCTCGGGATCGTCTTCATCATCATCCTCGAAAGAACTATCAATGGTGAAGTCTTGAGAGGGGTAGAATGCCTCGGGTGGACCCATAACCTGGCCACCCGGCGTCAAATCGTTGCCGAGGGCGGTCATCATCAGATTGGCACTCGAGGCCAGCATTGGACTGAAATCAATTTGGTTGGGGGATGCAAGGGCATCGGTATCGCTCTCGTCAATCAATTGCAGGGTGGTCTGACGAGGACTATTATTGGCGGTTCCGGGCATGCTGTTGGCAGCCGAGTCCAACCAGTCATGACGAGAGGAGGCATATGCGGGAATTATGACGAGGTGCTTGCCAGTACAGTCAACCAATGCAACGGGCTTGTTTGGATCGGCCACGAAAGTTCCCATGATGGGGCCTCGGCGGCGGGGGACAATGTCCGCCTTGTCTTCGCCGGGGGCGACCAGGGAGTCGGTGGAGTCGCGGCGAAGAAGAGAACGCGGGTGGGTAATAGTAGCAGGGGGAGGCAGGTCTTCATCTGTGGTATCACCATCATCGGCTTAAAAGGTTCGTCAGCAAATAAGGACACTACAAAACTGTGAATGGACAGCCAGCATACTCTCATAACCGCTGAGGCTGCCCTCGGAAGTTCCTTCGGATTCAACGTGGTAAATGTTTCCGTGGCCGTAGTCAGCATCGCCATACATCTCCTCAGATTTTTGGCGGTGGCTGCGGTAGTAATCGTTGTTGTTGTCGTTTTCGATCATGCGACGCAGTTGTGGGTCCAGGGCGTCTTGCTGGAGGAAATCGCCAGGAATCTCATCATCCGAGTGAGAATCACTATCGGAAGATGAGTCCGACCGCTCCTCAAAGTGGACCCGACGAGCCACGGGAGTTTCCACGGCCTCACTGGCCACATCGGTCTCACCAAAAGCCTCCATAGCGCTGTAGAGCTGCTCCTCATCGAAGAAAGATGCAGCAGGTAGAAGCATAGAGTCGCCAAACATCTCAGTGCCAACCCATTGGCTCTCCGAGATCTCCGAGGAGGGCAACACCCGGTGCTTGTTCTCAGATTCCATGATCATGAGCTCCTCTAGCTTTTCCACATCGCCCTCCTCATCATCTCCATCAGTAATGTAGTCTACTGCGGCATAAACATCATCCGAGCTCTCCTCGGAATCGCTAGGATCGCTAATAAAGTGACTGTCCGAGTCCTCGTCGTCAGAGACCCGTCTTCGTTTGCTTTTGGCAGGCTGGCGCCCCGTCTTCCGGGAAGTGGATTGACGACGACCGTACGACGGGGCGACGGCTCGTGGGCGGTCTTCTTCGTCATCCGCATCATCTTCCGAATCGTCCAGATCGTCACTAAGGCCGCCCTCGAGTTCGAGATCGTCAATGGATGAAACGGATGAGACACTGGAGACGGAAGACGTTGATGCCCGTCGTTTCCGGCCAGACGAATTCTGTCCGCCCATTCGCCCGTGACTCTGCTTTTTGTTCTGGTTCGCCGTCTGAGGGGACAAGTCGAGTTGCCGCAGGATATTGGCATCCGGGGTCGAGGGACGGACGGTTTTGGAGGAACCCTTAGGGGCCTTCTTAGAGGCATAGGGGTTTGATTGAGGCATTGTGATAGAAATTTTGTAGGTTGTTTAGAAGAGATTGAGAGGTTTTTTGTATTGAAGGTGATGAAATGATATCAAATCGTTTTGGAGGTCGAGTCCGAATTTGAGAGAAGAGTCGGGGTTATTTTCGCAATGTTCCACAAGAATATGCAGGAGGTGTCGAGAAACTCTGAGGAAGATAGGAAGAGTATTCGTTGGTTGGAGGATGGATGGATGAGAGGTATCAAAAGAGGTCGAGGGAGGTCGGAAGAGAGAGGGGGGGGGATGAGCGCTCAAGACTTGGATTATCGTAAACACGCAAGCACCTGCAGTCCGTGCCGGACGCTGAAAGTGCTCCTTCTAGGACTGTACTGGGGGGCAATTCCGACGCTTCACGGCGGGCGTCGAAAGAGGTAAACAAATATCGTCGAGTGGGAATTGAGGATCGGAGCTGCTGGACTGGGGAGCCGGCGAGAACAGGCTCCCCAGCGGGGCGATTTACAGCTCAGCGAAAGCCATTTGGCAGGAATTCTCGACGATATGTTGTAGGTGACAGTTGTAAAGGGATGGTGGGTGAATGGGATAAGAAGCCGAAGAGCGAAGTAGATGGTGGTGGGGGGAAAAGAAGGAGAGGGGGGAAGAGAAGAAGGGTGAGGATTCGAGGCCAAAAAGTAACGTCGATTTTTCCCGCAAGTGGAACCGGGAGGACGGCCGAGGCTCCGCTTGATTGGGCGGGGAGGGCGCTGCTGGGCGATTCCTCCAACTTGCCATTCGCTGGCGTCACTTCACCGCATCTTTCGCGCCAATCGTAGCGCGGCAACTACAGTCGGTTCTCTCCAGATGATACCGCTGCTCATGATGGCTCCATTCTACGGGGGGCAAGGAATGAAGGAGGAATAGCTGGTGACTCAACAAAATCCATGCTCATCTACGTATTCGGATTCGATCAATGACTGAAAAGGACGAAGGATCTTGAATGGTTCATTTATGGGCAGAAAAAAAAGTTTCAAAATAAAAAAAATTCAAAACGTGATGACGGAGTTGACGAAGGAGGGGAAGGGGGCAGAAAAAAAAATAGTGATCAGCTCCCCAAAGGCCACAAGCGCAGCGCTTCGGCCGGGTATATTCCAGCGGGTCTATTGTGCCGGAAGAAGGAACCATTTACACTCGTATATTACACGGATGACTCGAATAGAACGGATTATTGTTTTGATCCTTCCTCTCCAAGCCTGGACGAGGCCCAAAAACAGGGCTGACTACTCTTTCCACTTATACATAGCGCTAATGCAAACGCTAACTAACTGTCCATGACGGAGTAGATACGGGACGTTCAGCCCCCCTCCCGCTAGGTGCAGAAACTGACCCGTGCAGACCTATGATTCATTTGCCCGATCAGAACTGATTTGATGCGGAAACTCAGCGATGAATCATATTGTTGGATGACTCGACCGCTCTCCGAGAGCGAGAACACGGTTCGACGTGGTCGAATATGATTAAGCTAGCTATTCGGTTCCTCCCCATTGGTTGGCTCCATTCATCGTGTTGGTTTTTCACTCGGTGGCAACTCGGGGGGGGGTTCTCCATTCCGGCCCAATTTGGCGGGTCCTTGGTGGAACTTGGAAAAGCTCTGCAGTAATACTGTAGTTTTGCGCAATCTTAGGAGTACTTGATACTATCTACTACTCGAAAGAAGAGGCGGTAGGAGGTGGACAACATGGCTGGCGCGGCCACCTGCATGAGATAGATCGCCCGTAGTCGCTTCCTGTCGCATATTGGGCCGCTGGACATCTGGACATCACTGATCCCCATAATCGTGATAGCAACGCGGGAATGGGCTCCCAACCGTACGCAAGGGGCAAGAGTGTACTGTAGATGTATCACCCCGTACGGGTCCACAGGAAGTGCCACTTCTGCTTTTCCCATCCTTCCATCTCGTGGTCTCCTGCAAGATCATCTTCGCCCCGCAGTGGCTGGGGTGGGTATGAAAATTCTCCCAGGCACCCAATAATCAAGCTCCACTAGGAGAAAATCCTCACGGCGCTAGCCTATTTTTAAGTCGGCGGTTCGGAGAACGGCCTTGCCCGTTGTCACTGGCAAGTGATACGGCGTGGTTTCTTTTCGTCGTTCTTCTTTTATGGAAGCGCCACCGTGTTCATTCCCTGTCGAGCCGGAAGTTGTTCTGTTCGGAGTCAATCATTCTGAATACGGTAAAGCTCAGGGATCCATCCCATCACCAGCCGAGGTTTCGAGAAAAAATCCTTTTCGATGGAGCTGCCGGCGGAAGAGATGAAAACGCCACCTAGCAGACCAGAACATTTTGTTTACTCTTCTCCACCATGACCATCTCCGCTGGTGGGTAGTTTTGAAAACGTGGCATTCATTACTCCTGGACAAATGGGTTCGAGAATGTCGACTCTTACCATCAAGTATGCATTTACGTGCTAGGTTCTACAGTCCGGGGCCATACAATCAAGAAGGCTCGTACAGTAAAATGCACAACATAGTGGAGATGGGAGGAGTCCACTATAGTGGGGACTTATTGGACAAACGAGTGCATCAACATTACAATCTTCATAAACATGAAATTACTTTGAGTATCTTTGACATTAAATAACAGAATGATAATGGACCATGAATCGTCATCAACACCGTGCCCAGCCATGTACTTCGTATATTTCCCGTCTTCTCTTGAAGCTTTTCCATCCATTCTAAAAGCTCCCAACGCGGACAACGGACCCGAGGAAGCTGCTGGATCTACCTTTCCGGTTCTAGGTCCCGGGATATGGCGAAATATTGCTTGGAGTCGGTTCGGGCTTGGATCGAGTCCATATATTGAGACGCGACTTTGACCGTGTTGGTACCGCAGCTGGGCGAGGGACTTCGTCGTTTTCCCTGGGAGTCTCTCGCTCGGGCTCTGAGGCAGCGGCAACGTCAAGTGCCGAAGCCCTGGCCTCCTCCACTCTCTTCACGCCCTCGCGGACTTCCTCGGCCGAAGCACCTTGAGGTGCTGTGGTCGTCAACGTCTCAGTAGGGCGAATCTGCCCATCGGGGTTTTCCTCGTTCAACTTCTTAATTTCTTCCTCTGTAACCAGACGCTCGTTCTCGAGGCGGACTTCACGACCACGTTTGTGGCAGTACCAAAGGACGAAAAGCAGAACTAAATATTGATCAGCCTCAATGTTCGAATGTGAATATCGTTTTGCCCATGACTACTTACTGAATAATGCCAGCGACCAGAGGACATTCATGCCCAGGACGGCCGGGAAACGAGCCCGAAGGAATTGCATAATGGACCGCAACATGCCAACGATCGCGGCGGGCTTGGACACAAGCTCCTTGAGACTTGGAACGTTGAGACCCGCCTTTTCGGCAACCGCAGCTGCTTTGCCCATGTTCTCCATGTTAATTCCACTCCGGCTGGCCCGCTCGCTAGCAACGGCGAGCATCTCCGGAGCCAGTGTTTCGGTCCATTTTTCAGGAAGTTTCTCAATGAGTTTTTGCATAAAACCGGGTAGCTTCGTGTACGTATCTTGTAGTTGCCGGTTACCATTTGTCAACAACATTTCCAGATCATGATAAGCTGTTGGGACGCCGTTGATCAGATCTTTGAAGATCAACTTGAACTTGCGGAGTAGCTCCTGCGTTTCCTCGCTGACCGAGAAGACCCGGTTGTTATCCGCAGCTAGATTCAAGCGTTCCAGTATATCAGTCATATCTTCCTGTTCCTTTCGCGCTTCGTCTCCGTTGTCCGTTGCAGCTGTTGTCGTGGAGGGGGAACCCGATGCTTCGACCTTGGATTTATCTGTAGACTCTGACTCCTTGTTCTATAGAGAGAACGGGGTATCAGTACCCAGGGGCGTTGCAAGCTGGAACGAGCGTCTTCGAGGCGTGGGACACATACCTTCTTTGTATCGGCAGATTTCTTCCAGAACATCGTGCTCCATCTTATCTTCTTTTCTGGTACCGAGGCATCTTGTGGCCTAGCCGGCTCGGATTTGGTCCTAACATCTTCGGGCTGCTCTCGTGCCTTTCTTTCTTCCTCGCCAAGCTCCCTCCCAAACTCCTCCACTGGCGAGGAAGGCAATGGAACGTCTAAGGCACCATCATCGACAACGGGCTTCTGAGAGCTCTCTGTCAGCCCTTCTAAGGTCGTAGTCTCATTCTGGGTGGTAAAATCTGGTCTGTCCTCTGGATCGGACGTGACCTTTTGTAAGAAAGCTTCGTCCTCCTCAGTTAAGACCGGCTTTGGAGGGTTCACAATATGCGACGACCGTCGCCGGTTTTTGATCTGATTGAAGTATTGCATCGCCATCAAAAAGTTTGTGTTTATGACGTTCTGGCAACTCGGAAGGAAGAGGGAGGTTGGAAGAAGGAGCAAATTGTTGCAACGCAAGAGCGCGTAGAGGCAGGGGTGGGGTTTGCACGGGCACCTGATTGACAGATCACCTGGTGTGGCGGCTAAAGATGCAGACGAGTCATGTCCAAACTCCAGACTATTGACGGTGGCGCCTCGATCGATCAGAAATCCTGTATGTAAGAAAGGTTGTTGGGTGTCTCTAGGCTCAACCGTGTTCCTGGAAGGCGATGATATCACCGGTGGCTGGCGTGCGGGACAAACCCCACAGCCTCCCCATTGCTCCGCCACAGGCTTGTGTTGCACCGCCACGTGAGGGTCCAAATAAGCTTTTTCCATGTGTCTGTGTCAATAAAAGGGTAGGTACTGTCTCCAGTGTGAAGACGGTTAAGAGATGACTATTGGGTTGAGACAAAGGTAAAGTATCTTAATACCTATTGTTACCATTTTGCCCTTCTTGTTAGAGAGGGGATATTCTGGATATTTAGGCTGGTCTCATGATATATCGGTATACACACACGACTACATGCTCCCCCTGTGCCACAATGCTTCATTCGAAGTATTCGTATGGCCGGAGGAGCTTACTAACTATATGGATACAGAGGGAATAAAATCACATCACATCTATTAACAAATCAAGTTTTAAGGTACTGGATGCTACTGTAATATGAGAATATGACCAGCGGGCGCCGTGTGGATGATGTATTTCACATTCAATACAACGCCCAATTACACAATAATATAGGAGTAATTTACTAGATGAAGATGAAATTTCTCAGTATACCAAGTTCCTTGAAGAGACTCTTTTCTATTTATGGGTGGGGAAATCATAAACTATGGATCAAGCACACCTTGCCGATGTAAGATATTACGTTTCGGAGCAGCGTCTGTTGACAAAGAGTCGGGACGTAGCTAGGTTTCAACCTCGGTCTCAAATGCCGACACTCATGTGCCGACTTGGCATTATCCTCTTTCGGCCCTGTGAGCTTTGAATGAATACCCATGCACTCGGGAATTTACTTGGACCCCACGATCCATCTGATCAAACATATACAACTTGCAGATACGAGTTTCACTAGTATCATGCGCAAAGCCTAGTGACCTCGCTCAATGGTATCAGTCTCCGATACTAGCAGGGTTCATCAAATCTTTGATGATGGCGCCAGAGAAGACTAGCATCGAGACAGGGCACAGAGGGTCGATCGTCTCCGAGCTATTTTCGTGAAGCGGGGTTCCGAAATGCGATACGACCTTGTACCTAGGTATGCTCAAATCAAGGTGACAAGCCATGTCAATCCCAATACTAAGTACAAGAATCAATATCTCGGCACTTCTCTAGACGAAAGGGAATTTTATCGGTATATCCTCGCGCAGCGTTGACCAGGAAACCTTCAGCTATGAGATTCATCAAGTCTGAGCCACTAGTTGGCACTTGTAGAGCGCAAGCAAATCCCCGGTGAAAATTTCAAAAACAATACATTTAGCCATCGCTCTAGGGCTTAGAATCACAGGTTTTGTGGCCTGGAAGATCTTGATATACTAGAACCGGCGTGAAACTACAGCCGTGCCTGCCACAGTACGCCTCGGACTGATTCATCCACGACCCTGGTTTTTAAGTTCCTTAGTCCTATGCGCTACAATCGTAAAGGAAATTTGCACTAGCCTTATCAGGCTATGATTCGAACCACCAAGTCCTTCGTTATTTTGATCAGGGCCGAGGATCCATTCTCCATTTCCATTCCCTGGCTACATACGGTCCTTCTCCAAAGTTTTATGGCGAGACGATCACGATACGCCAATCAAGTTGCGACTTGAGATTAGCCTAAGTAGGGCATGATGCAAATAAGATGCTCAAAGTCAATTTTACTTCCTCGGCTTGTTGGACCCTCTCCAATGCTGCATCGGGTGATTGGGTCTAGTTTGTCTTCCCCGCCTTTGAGAATCCGGGGGACCCCAGGTTGGAGGTAACTCCGAAAGTCTATATGCATCCAATCGCTTCACCCCGGTAAACTTCATTCTTTCTCTCACACTAATGGCGCCGACATAATTTGGTGCCTGGGCGCTGGGATGTACTCTCAGCTCAATACTTGGCATATGGGTACCCTTCAATGGAGAAGTCCCCGAACGAAAAGTATATAAACGAGGGGCTCTCCATCTTGCTGTCTATCAGTACAGGAATCAATATCAGCATCTGCTTCCCGGATTTGAAATATATTCTCAATTAAAAAGGTCTCTTCTTTTTCCTCTGTTCAACATGTTTTCAAACGGCCTCTCTTTCTTCGCCATTTTTGCATTGGGCTCCCAGGTTATTGCAGCCCCGACAGTTGAGAAGCGAGCTACATCCGGTCCGTGAATATGACTCGAATGATAGTAACAATAAAACCTTACACCAATATTGCAGATCCTTCCGCATTTACCTCCCTTCAGCGTGCTGCTAAGCTGTCTTCTGCCGCATACACCGGTTGTCTGGGAACTGCCTTCGATGTGACCATTACTAAGCAGATCTACAACGCTCTTACTGATACACAGGTGATTAATCCTCTTAAGTCCACAGAATGCACCCTATTAACCAATGCAGGGCTATGTCGGATACTCATCGACGCAAAAGAAGATCTCTGTCGTCATGAGAGGCTCAACTACGCGTGAGTAATGGGATGTTGGCTCTATTTTGATATTGCTAAATGCTAAGAAAGCTCAGCCTCCGATATCCTCAACGATGTTGATACTACCTTAGTCACTCCCTCTCTGTCGGGAGTGATTTTCCCATCTGGAGTTCAGATCATGAATGGTGTCTATAGGCCCTGGGCTTCTGTACACGATGACGTGATCACAGAAGTGAAATCTCTCGTGGCGAAGTATCCGGACTACACACTAGAATCGACCGGCCATTCGCTTGGTGGTGCACTTACTTACGTTTCTTATGTGGCTCTCGCCCAGAACTTCCCTGGAATTTCAATCACCAGCAATGCCTTGGCGGCATTTCCAATCGGAAACGCTGCTTGGGCAAGCTTTGGTAGTGCTCAGCACGGCACCTTGAACCGAGGCAACAACGTTGCCGATGGAGTTCCAGTAAGTTCAGGCTCAGGTTTGGTTGACCTGATCCTATTATCTGACAAAACCTCTCTAGAACATGTATATCCAGTCGCCCTATAACTTCCAACACTATGGAGTTGTAAGTAGCTTGCATTGCTCGATCTACGCCGTCGTTAGTGAACACTGCTGATGCCTTCTCTTTCATGACCTAGGAGTATTACAGCTCAGGTACCGCAGCGACATGTGTAAGGTGTTCTGGTGAGCGCGACACTGCCTGCTCTGCTGGAAATGGTCAATACGGCGTTACCATTGGCCACTTCCAAAGCTTTGGAATTACCATGGGCTCCGCCGGATGTTGACTCTAACGTGGACCTGGATGATGAAGCACCTTTGTTTGACTGAGAGAGTCGGTATTGGGCTCGGAGTCGATATTAAGCCAGAGTGCTTTTCTCGCAGGCGAGGAAGTACTATGCTAGGTACTCGCCAGCTTGAGATTGGAGGCTTGGCCATTCAACATGACCTACGGCCTATGTTCATGTATTGATTTTACACACTGTTTACTCGGTGAAGCGTTATTGAAATGTCGACATTGAGCAAGCCTTCTATAGTGAATCCGTAACCTAGGCAGTCACAACCAAATATGTAATTCTGTGTCAGCTAGTTAGAGACGTACTTCTTAGATAAGACTAGGCGACCGTGCATATATCCACGCCGATCGCCGACTCATCCAGCCAATACAATGCCGGCCTTTAGCGCCACCATCCGAACACCAGTCACCAACGAGGCTAGGCAAATCCCAGTCATCAGGCCTGGTCTGTATCTGGCGGCCTACAGTGGCTTGTACCAGCCTGCGCCCGGGTGATGAGGGCACCTGTAGTTGATATCACCTGACCCCGTGTCGTAAATAGCGCCGTGAACCCCTCCTCTTTCCGTTCTTCTTCTTACGCCTGCCAGAGTCGACAAATCCGCGCCGTGAGTCCTCAAGTGACTCTCGAAAGCTAAGCCATCATTCCTGATCTCTTTCAACCCGTCTCTTGATGACACGGGTCGATTGTTTCGGACGAAGGCTTCCAGACTCCGACCATCACATGCTCGTGTGATCTGCAGCGTCAACTATTCCTTCTTTTTGACCAACTCCTATCGCTCCTTCTGACCGTTCAGGATTCCTCCGACACTTCGTAGTTATTCGAATCGAACACGTACCGTTGTATCCACGATGTTCAAACGTTCCTTTTCGTCGAAGAACCGGGCAGGGAAGACCGTCAAGCCTTCCAAGAAGAAATACGACGAGCAAGCGAAAGACAAGATGCAGCAGAGTATGGAAAAAGGCGAAACCTCATCCGCGGGAAGGTGGTAAATCTCGAGTAATAGAGTGCTGTATCAAGTCAAGACTAATAAACCCTTCGTTGTAGCCCTCTTACCAGCCCCATCATCACCATGGTGGTAGGCCACGAGGAGCGTCTTTTTGCCGCCCACGAGGATGTCTTATCCGTCTCGCCGTACTTTCGCTCGGCTTTGAAGGAAAGATCCTTGGAAGACGGTTCAAAGCAACTTGCTTTACCTGACGAGTGAGTGCCGATCTTGATGTAGCGACATGAACCAAGCTTATGAACTGAATAGGGAGCCTGAGATCCTGTCTTGCGTTCTAGAGTTTCTGTACAAGGGCGACTACTACCCACGCCTGCTGCATAGCAAGCGTCGAGACTCTTGGCACCTCGAGAATGCACAGGATACCAGCAACAACGGAGGCCGCGGGTCGAGCGAGGCAACGTTCTTCCACCCTGGCGTAGGAGACGTTGTGCTTCGGGACACGGTCGTCTACTGCGTTGCCGAGAAGTACAGCCTGGAAGGCCTGAAGCGCCTTGCTCTTAGAAAGCAGGGCCTTCAGATGGGTATTCCAGCCGACGTGATCTTGCGATCTGCTCGGTATGCGTATGACAATACACCGGACTCGGAGTCTCGACTGCGCGCTCACTACTTGGCTCTCATCATCCGTACTCGCAGGACTTTTAAGAGAAGTGGAACTATGCAGATGGAAATGGAGATGGGTGGCAAGATGTTTTTTGATCTGTTCGTGGCAATGTGCAACCACATGGACGACCTCGTGGAGATCCGGTAGGATCCTTCTGTTCCCACTTCCTCGATTTTGCCTTTGGGTCTCTTCGTCTTTTGGTCATTTTATCCCCATCACCATCTGCGAACTTGGCTCATGGATGCTGACCATTGTCGTTCTTTAGGCCCAAGCGGAGTCGTGGGTTGTTCTAGTCGGTCGTCTCATCGCCTGTATTTTTGTCTCAGTTCAAGAGACTTCGATTTTGAAATTGATTGTGGGCGGCATGCTGATTTCAACCGGAATGGCTTTTATCTGACCGCGATTTTTGTTATTTGAATCAGTTTATGATTCTGCTTTGACAGCAAAATCGACTTCTTCGCTTCTATCGAGGTTGGCCGCCATTTGATGGTTTGAATGAACCACCCCCTAATCATTTTTAATTGATGCTCCCCGGTGCATGGCGACTTGTATTGATTGATTCGCTCATCCGTTGATTTGATTCTTCGAGTCCCAACAGCATATTCACTGACTAGCTGCATGTGTTTTGCGTCTGCGTTCTGCGCTCTTTCTAATTTGTCGACGTTCTGTCTCCACTCCTTGACTGCACGGTGACCGGTCACCGTGTGTTGCTTTTTGGCTACACGCCCTAACGATGACTGAGAAATAGGAAAATGAGAAATACGGCCACCTCAAATTTCTGCTTTGTAGTACTTGTAGAAGCCCTCAATGCTCGCATCTCATCGCGTAAACCAGATGGCTGAGACTTTTGGTAACACAAGATCCTTAGACCAGGGTCATATGTCCTTGAGTTCTCTTAACGTGCTACAGAGAGAAAGATAACTAAAGAGTTTCGACTTAAATGATCCGTAGATTTGGGTGCATATGCGTTAGGAATTGCACATTCCCCGATGTTTCACGAACTAGATGCAAGAATCCCCTTGAGTCCAAAAGGCGTGAAGGAAGTATCCTGACCTTGGACCTGCTCTCTTAACCTTGCTGTCCCTAGTAATCCCCTATAGTAATCTAGTAACCATTCTTGTCTAGATGCCTATTTTTAGAGAGGGAATTATCACCTTGCTCAGTCCTACCATCATCTGATGATCAAACCTCAACATATGCTACTCCTCTAAGACCCAAATAGTACGAACATTGTAATCACTCTTCCATGATCAACTTCCAGTTCAGCTCGAAGTCTTGTATTTCAATGTAACTATCCCAGCCAGATTACATATTTGATATATGTGATTTCCATTTGTCTCTGCTCACTGTTTATGCGTCTTATGCTGCTTCCCTACAGGCAGATCCTCAATTGAACCAAAGCATTTGGTAGTCGGGGCTCTCCGAATGTGTACGCAATTTGTCCTGACATGGTTATTTCAGCATGATTATGAGCTCCGTCTAGTTCTTTCATACTACACCTATCTCATCCATCTCCCTCTGTCGAATTGTGTTTCCGCCAACATTACACTTTTCATCCTCTCTGAGTAGCTGGCATTAATTCCAGCTGTTTCTCTTGCCGATATCTCAGTAGGTCTACACCCAGGTCCTTTCTAGTGCCCTTCTCATGTCAAGAATCTATTAACGCTTACATCACCAGGTGCCTCATCACTAGCCTATCTGGCTCGCCTCAGTCATTGATGCCTCTCCCTGAACCGAGCTCTCTCTCATCTATCTGATCGAACTATCATTTCTCTTAACCTACACACAAATTTCTCTCTTGCCAATCTCTGTTTCCTCCCCGTCCCGACAACTTTTTCTGAGCAGTATTCAGAACGTTCAGAATCACGAGTTGAAAAACGTCTGTTGACTCAGGAAGACGTTGCGTGAAGGTCCTCTTTCCGCATTCTTCCTTACCTCCTCCCAGCAGAAGCTCCACCCCACAACGAAAAGCCCCAGGGAGGCATCTTCTGCGAGCATATGCGAGCCTCATTTCTCCATTTCTTCACCACATACACAATTCTACATTCCGAACTAGACGTTACCTTCTCTCGGGTGAATACTTCGGTACATTTCGTCTTGACTAAGGTGAGTCCCCCTCCTCTGATTGGGCAAGGCTTCATAGGGTGAGGGTGTGACGAAAGACTATGTGACTTGCATTGAATATGCTTGGTTTTACTTCAAGATCTAACCCGTTTCAACACTACAGGTCAAGTATCGTGCACGCAAAGTTCGACATCTACCCTCCTGAAACCCCCTCTTCATACTACCAATCCAACGTCACATTCGCCTTACAAGATGAATAACTACGCCCCTCTGATAACGGGACTGAAACATGTCTCACCTCTGAAAGAGCTCAATCCCGGCGATACGTTCGTTGTCCAGAGAGCGCAACTACAACACGGATATCTGGATTGCAGTATTGCTTCCGGACGACTTTAAAGTTGCGTTTGGTCTCCATAGGCCCCCGAAAGGTACGAAACCAGCATCGGGTGATTGGACTACAGATCTCGATAAGCGTGTATACCCGACCTATCTTCCCGGAAGAAATCTATAGTAAGTCGGATCTTCTTATCTTGCGCCTCCTTCGATAAATCGTCCTTTATATCTTCTTGTGAGGCGTCTTTTAATACATCTTTTGGAATGGTTTTCTAAGCTGATTTGAACACTTGGGGCATCTCTCAAGTCTGCTCATCTTGAGATCCCTAACGACGTGATTAGGTTCAAGGCCTCTAAGCTAACTACTTTCATAGTCGCTGGGTCCCAGTTACGGACTTGTTTGTACTCACAAATAAGCTTCCTCACGTTTTCATCCAAAAGATCCCCGGTCGTTATCGCGAAAAAGATGCGAAGCTGTACGGCATACTACTCGAAATTATCGCCAAGGAACCCGGTCTAGACTTCTGGCAAAGTATGTCCAGAAAGGAGTCAATGATAAAGGGCACGCGTGGCAAAACGCTTGATCTTGTACTCCCGGATGGCTTCGAGGGCATACTGGAAGGAATCTCCCTTCCAGGCGATGACGATTCCGAGGATAATGGCAGCGATTCTAGTGATACGGACGATCAACCAGAGCTAGCGGAGGCCGACGAAGAGCCGCCGCGTAAGATGCCGGCAGTGACCAACTCACTCTCGTCATCGAAGACCCTGGTTGGCCCCTCTCGCCAACGTGAGAAGAGTGCAAGACCTCTCACTTTTCCCGGAGAGAAAACCCCATTCCCCAGCTTCCATGTTGGAAGGTCCGAACTAGCTGGGAGCTCTGAGGTTGAGCAGAGCACCTCGCTGTCAGCGAAAGCAAAGACACAGGTCGGAGGGAAGGGTACGCAGCCCAAGATGGAGGAAGAACCCATCGAGGGTGTCACCACTGCTCTGTCCAAGCGGCAAAAGTTGCTCTTTGAAATGCCCTGGACTCTTGCGGCCATGATTGAGCATGTTCTCTTAGAAAAGGAGAACTCACAGGGACTGCTGGCCGTATTTCGTGACGTTTCTACCGTGAAAGAGCCCGAGTTAGGAAAGCTGATTTCCTTCCTCAAGACTCAAGAATTCACCCCGCATCTTCTAAAGACACCCCTCATCCGACAAGGCAACCCTGAGGAAGTCGAGGATTGCGAAATTGGTGACTGTATCGGAATACACCGTCAATTCCAGCTTCACGGCGTCACAAACTCGGCGGATCTTCACAAGCAGATCGTTCAGCTAGGAAAACTGTATTCCTATGCCCGTCGTCTGAATATGGTTGACCTTGTGGAAAAGATTACGTTCAAGCTGCAGGTCGCCTGGAATTCCTATCCGGGCTTGTCACAGCTGGAACCACTTCTAGACGTGACCGCGATCGCGTTTAAGGATTCCACCAGCACTACTCGCCTCCAGGATTGGGTGGTCAATTTCATTGCCGATACCCTGAATTTGATCTACTACCAGTGCCCCAATCGGTACTGGGCGCTCATGAGGGATCTACCTGACCTTTATAACTCTGTCACACGGATGCGCTCCGAGCTCAACCGCAAAAGCCCAGAGAGGTATGCGAATCCTCGGGATCAAATTCGTCAACGCGGCATCAATGATTTCTGACTGAAAACACGCTGATGAAGTTTTCTGAAATTTCCTCCTTCCTTTAATAACGCTGGGTAATGATCGACTGGGACATCGTGAAGACTACGTGCCTTCTGCAGTCAACTTGAGTCATATCTTTAGTTCAGCGTGGCTTACTACTGGTTCCAGCAGACTCACTGGACTGCTTCCGCCGACAAGAAATGGAGCTTTTAAGAGCAGATCAACGCAACATGAATTCGAACTTATAGGCTTCGCAGCTGTTGAAATTGACAACATCTTTCCATGATTTCTTTTGACCGAGGTTTCGTATCATAGAATTTTTTCAGCTTCGTCTCATCCCTTAGAGAGCAGCTCCTCCAATCGGCAGCATTCTCACTTTTCCAATCATGCGACCATAGCAGTAGTTGAACCTCTTGTTACAACCAAATAGCCGACTGCTAGTAGAATAAGGCTCTCTCGCTTGTCCATTACCACTCCTGGGTTAGAGATCAACATCCGGCCATTTTTCCCGTTCTGGTACAATTTGACGCCGATCGATCTGCGGCTGCGTATTCGGATTTCCGAATACGCAGCCTTGAATAGCGATTTTGGGGATTCACATGTAAACCTGATCTATGATCGACATCCGCTAGCGCCCCCACGGGGAATTGTGACCCTTGCTGATTGCAAATTCAAATAGCTGTAGTTCGCCCCAGAATCACGACCGGTCCAGTTGGGGGCTTTCCTCTCCTCCTCCGCGCAATTCAGACGTTTCACGTATTACAATGGGAAAGGGTGTCTTGTTAGAAAAGAGGAGCCAATCTACCAAAGACCAAATATCCGCGTTGGAAAGATGTCTAAATCCGACCTCGAAGATAGCTCTGGCTCTGATACGAATTGCGCGACCGGGGCACTACCCAAGAAGCCAACAATATGGCAACGATTCAAGACACATATGAAGAAATGGTGGTGGGTGTATTTGATAGCGTTCTGCTGCATTGTTCTTGTAACTTTGCTTCCTCTGTAAGTTCCACATCCCCTGCGAGTTCGCAGTACCATGGCTAATGCCGATAAGTTTCTACGTGGGCATCCCTCATTTTGCCAACGACTATATCAACAAGTACCAATTCGACTACGATGGAATCGCGATTACCAACCCACGACCAACTTCATTTCGCGTCAGCATGTCGAAGAAGATCAGTATGGGAGGTGGGTTCAGTGGCAGCGGCCACTTGACGGCATTCAATGCAAGCATTCGAGTCCCATCCAGCAACGAGGAATTTGCCGTCTTCCCGGTGCCCCAGATTGAATTCAAGAATGGTGCAGACATCACTCTTGATCAAGATCTTGACTTGTCGTGCGTGAATTGCCTCTCCAAGTTGGCCATTGCTGCGGCTACGAACGAGAGTTTTGGTGTGTTGGTTACAGGCGATCCGGACTTGAAGGTCGGCGCACTTCCGACTGCTCACTTGAATATTCATAAGACGATGAATATGAACGGTAAGCGTTGACCCTTATTATGTTCATCACCTCGATCGTTGATGCTGATACTTCACAGGTTACAATGTTACCGGTACCTGCTGATACCCTTCTGAGCATCACGATCGTGTCCTAACCCTCGCCCCAGACTTCGTCAACTCACAAGGCGCATTCAATATCACAAGCTTGGAGCTCTTGAATCCATCAGTCAACGGATTCAACTTCAACGCCACGCTCGCCATCAGAAATCCGACCCCGTTTATCGTCGAAATGGTACGTAATTGAACTCTGAGCATAACACACAAGAAGATATCAAGCTTGACTAACTTGCCAAGGGCCATGTTACCTTCAACCTAAGCTTGGGCGGCTCAAATCTGGGGTACGTGGATATACCAAATTTGATGCTCCAACAGGAGAACACCACAGCCGTCGTCCTCGGAAGTGTCGACGAGTCCATGCTCATTCGAGAAGTTGTTTGGGGTGATGGAGATAGCGGCGATGTCACCATTGGTGTCAAGGGACACAGTTGCGACTATAAGGGGGTGGAAATCCCATACTTTGCTGCAGCCATTAAGGCTGTTGACGCCTCGGCTACCGTCGATCTGCTCAAATACGTGAAACTACTTAGATAGATTGGACGCGGAACGAGAGGCTCGACATAGCTTGATTAATATACATGTGGGCTACACAAAGTATACTCATCAATTCCTGTCGAGTTGGCGAAATCGTGCGATCGTATAGCTGGCTTATATTGTCGAACGAAGAAAGTGGGTCACATGCTCTTTCAGACTCAAGCCCATGAATGGGAACACTTGAGAGAGTCTACATGTGAATCCTGGGGACCAATCGACAAAGATTTCCTAGGACCAAACGACAGCCTGCTTTCCGGTTACAAAGCATGACTTCAACCGGATGTCAATCGCACGTCCTCTCTCCATTGTCAAGGGTTGAGAATGATCGTACCCAATGAGAGCAAGCTTCATTAATCATTATGAGCACAAAGGCTGAAGAGGAGATCCGACCGGGTGGGAAATGTTCAGATTAAAATTGCAGTCCTCGGACGCGATATGACAGACTTTGAAATATTCATACAAAGATGACCATGGCATCAATTCTCATCAGCCATGGACTAAACGCGAAGAATCCACCCTTAAGACTTAAAGAAACAAATAACCGTCGAGGCGCTTCATAAGATCACGACCACAAAGGAGTTTCATCCAATGTGCATGAGAAATGAAGAACAGGTTTCATCATCCACTGTCGAAAACGTAGCATGGTTCCATGATCAACCCCGGGGGCATAGGTACAAGCTTGGATCGATAGGGCTGATGACTGGTAGAATCTCGCAGATCTCTACTCCTTGGTGGCCTTCTTGCGGCCACGCTTAGGCTTCTCAGAAATAGGATCCTGCTTCTCAGTCTCAGCAGCAGCTTGCTTGCGGCCACGCTTGGGCTTCACGGAGGCAGCTTCCTGCTCCTCAATCTCCTCTTCAACTGCCGCAGCCTTCTTGCGACCACGCTTGGGCTTCGCAGCAGTCTCATCCTGCTCATCATCAACGGGGGCCTTGCGCTTCGTTCCCTTTGCAGCAGGCTTGGTCGATTCCTCAGCGGCACCGGCGGACTTGGGGGGACGACCGCGGCGCTTGGCAGGCTGAGTCTCAGCATCCCCATCCTCCTTGGGAGCAGCCTTAGCACGTGGAGTTCGCTTGGCCTTGGCGTTGGCCTTTCCAGCAGAGTCAGGAATCTCTTTCTCGGCGGACTTGTTGGTCTTGATCTTCTTGGCACGAGTGCTTCTCTTGGCCTTGACGGGCTTCTCCTCCTCATCACCCTGCTCGGTGTCGGACTTCTCGCCATTAGTCTCCTCCTCGTGGGCTTTTCCATTATCAGCCTTCTCGTCATCAGTGGGCTTCTTGTTCTTGGCGCTGGAAGCCTTCTTCACCTCCTTGGCAAGCATGATATCTTCGCCATTAGCAGCGCCATCCTTCTTGGGCTCGTCCTTGACGTCCTTTGAGGTTTCAGGCTTGGTTTCCTCGCCCTCGCCATCGGCATCCTGTAGGTATGTCAGTTCAAGCCTTAGCAAATGACAAGTCATTGTGGATAACGAACAGCCTTCTGGGCGGCGGCCTTCTTCTTCCCGGCGAGACGGAAGCCTCGCTTACCAGGTCGGTTGCATTCGGGATCCTAATATTGGCTGTCAGTGGGATTGAATCATAGCAGACGTGCACTGTCGGAGGACTCTGGGTAGAGTCAATTGAATTGCAGGAACTTACACCCTTCCAGTCATCATCGGCGACATGTCCCTCAATCAGAGCGTTGCGGACCGTCTCCTGGTAAACCTCAGGCAGGTCCTCCCAGCCATCGATGAGCTGGAAGTTCTCATCGCCAGTTACCTTGTCCTTCTCGAAAACACCCTTGGCGATGTTAGAGAGAATAGCTGGAGTAGTACAGCCCCTTGGAGTCATCAGCTCTCTGCAATGATTCGTATTGAAATCATGTGGAATATTTACCAGTGGCGCCAGGACCAGCTTTGGAAGTTCTCGGTTTCGACCCAGGTCCCGACACGAATTTCACCCTTGGTGATCTTGATCTTCTGATCCTTGCATTCCTTGTTCGAACAACCAGCACGGTTGTTCGGAGAGGCCTCTGTAGGAATGGTCAGATTTTGGTCATGATCATAAAAGTATCAAACGGTGGTATTGAGCATCGAGGACAAGGACATGTTCGTGGGGCACGGGCCAACTGATGGACAGCTTGAGCATCACGACTCCACATCGCGTGCATCCACGCGTCAAGAGCTGTGATAATGTAGCTGCACATCAAGCAGTAAATGTAAACGCCCATAATTCCCCGATAGAAACATTCAAGGGCTCTTGGTGCTTTTTCATGAGGGAAAGGGGAGAATCTTACCGATACGATACGGCATGGTGAGCGGGGGTTGTGGTCAGAGGTGTCTGGAAAGCAGGAGTTCGAAAGGGGAAAAAGGGGGTACAGAGAGCACCAGATTGATCGAGTTAATTGTAGTTTACAATGGTAAGAGCTTGGTCTTGAGGGAAAATGCTGGGTGGGAAAGGAAAAGAGCTGAGTGGGAGGAAGAGAAGACGCGGAGAGAGGTGGCGTCGCGGTAGGAATACAAAGGGCAGAGTTGGCAGGGAAGCCCAAGGCAGCACAACCCAGAATCGGGACCTAGGATTTCATTTAAAGTAGACTTCAAAACAAGCAGAAGAGCTTCAGCCTGGTTTTTTGAGAATCTTAAGACTTCCTGCGCAATTTTGCGGCACCCCTTTGGAACTACTAGCTATATTCTAGGCCGCAATGCTCCATGAACTCAGGCGGCCCAGCAGTTTCTTTATGGAGAAGACGGCTCACAATGAAAGAGCATTTAGATTGGAGACTGTCTCCTTTAGATTACTGATATACTTTTTGTCTTATCGAATGATATATCTGTAGATAATCGCAATGCCAGTACCAGTGCCATCATTACACCCACCAAACTGCTCATCGCGACCATGGGATACTGTATCAGAGCACCTTGAACACCGACTCTATATAGTGTGGCCAATGAACACTACTACCCAATCCAAATAACAAGCCAACTAAAACTTTTTGTGAGCCATTTATGATTTTCTCATTTTCCTCCAAGTTCCTGTCTTGATCGTTCTGGACAGTTGATGCTAGGCAGGGACAGTATACAGACTGCAAAGGGCTACAAGTTCTTTGCTCCCGTTTTCTGACCCCTCTAGTTTGGCAGACACAATACATAATACTGAAATACAGACCCTTATCATAATGTTTCTGTATCAAGTTTTTCTTAGGTAGATACTTCCTATAAACCAGTCTTGAAATCCCTCCACTCTTACATCATTTGTTTCATATCTTCTACGGGTGTCTTTGAATCCCTCTTTTAAAACCTCTTTCACTATATATTCTTCATTACTTAGAGTCAATAGCTTTGACTCGGTCATATAACTTTAATATGCCTACATTCTCGAAACTTATCCTCTTCTTCAGTTAGAAATAGACACGAACGGTGGAAAAGAATTCCTCGTGAGTACTTCTACTTTTAGTAGGAGCCTACCCAAAAACGGTTAGCGTGTCGCAATTCCACCCCAAGCTCGCCGCGGTCTCTTTCTTTCCCACCTTGCCACAATCGCAACTTCTTTCTAGATTTTGTTCTACAAGGACATCCTTGGGACATATATTCCTTTCAGATACCAGCCACTCTGGTCTGAAACCCACGACGTCTCCCAACGCAAAGTCGTATCAATCGCAACACGACAACACCGGGTGTAACAGCCATCCCGATTAGTCCTGTGTCCTGAACAGCTTCTCCCAGCCCATCTCCTACCAAACCATCGTCATGTCCGAACCAGGCCCCGAGTCCGTCCCTACAAGCGCCGATCCACGCAGCAAACGGCCCACCAAACGCCGCGCCATAACCCCCGTCTCCGAACAAGCCAACCAAATCGAAACCCTCTTCAAAGACCCCTCCAAGGAGCTCCGACTCCCCGGAGCCCCCAAAGAACGCACCTCATCCTCACTCGCACCGCCACCAGAAATCGTTGCCAATGTCCAGGGTTCATCGGCCGGTGCGGGCTCCGGCGAGTTCCACGTCTACAAGGCGAGTCGGCGGCGCGAGTACGAGCGTCTGCGACTGATGCAGTCCGAGGTGGACCGGGAGAAGGGGGATGCAGAGTGGGAGAAGCAGCGGGAGGAGACTAAGCGCAAGGATGAGGAGAAGACGGAGAAGAATCGGCGGAGGAGGGAGAAGAAGAAGGCGGCAAGGAGTGGGAATAAGAAGGAGGGTGGTGGGAATGGGGCTCTGGATGTGGATAAGCCGTCGAGGAAGGGACCTCTGCCGCCGAGTCGGGATATGGATCAGGCTGCGGATGGGGTTGAGGGCCATCCATCGGCGGAGGTGCCTGGTGTCATTATCCATGATGAAGATTGAAGAATTTGCCCTGGTGTGCAGAGCCATTGTGGCTGTTACTTGTACAATATTATACGAAGATACCCATATGACAGTTCATTTTGGTCTAGGATATTCATACAGAAAAGAAACACCCCAGAGGCAGTCGTGTAGCATTATATGTACGGACCTCAGGTCCATGGATCATTGTCTCCTGTTCTTTTTCTTTTGAGTCTTGCTCGTCTATTACTCCTCGCCACCGCCAATGTTGCCAGCCTGTTGCGCCGACTTGCCGCTGCAAATGTCGTCGACACGGAGGAGCAGGCATGCAGACTATAAGCAGTTAGTACGACGTGATTATAGCATGAGATTGGTGGATAGCTTACCTCGACTGCGGTCTTGATGCTCTGGAGCTTGACAGCCTCCGGCTCCCAAACACCGTACTCCTTCATGTCAACCGGGTTGCCGGTCTCGCCGTCCAGACCCCAGGTGGTGTGACCCTCGACGTGCTTAGCACGGAGGCGGGTCAGCACGCGGATGGGGCTGGCACCAGCGTTCTGGGCCAATGTCCGTGGGATGACCTCCATGGCATCAGCAACGGCCTTGTACGGCCACTGCTGCACACCCTCGACAGAACGAGCCAGCTGTCCAAGCTTAACAGAGACGGCCATCTCGATCGCACCACCACCGGGTGACAGGCGAGGGTGGAAGATGACGTTGCGGGCGACGGCCATGGCGTCCTGGAGGTTGCGCTCAATCTCGTTCAGGATATCCTTAGACGGGCCGCGCAGGAGGATAGTGCAGGCCTTCGGGGCCGTGCACTTGCGCATGAATGTGAAATACTCGTCACCAATCTTCTCAATCTCGAACAGACCGCAGCGGGTACCAATATCGGACTCCTGGATGTCGTCGACACGGTTGACGATGGTGGCACCGGTAGCACGCGCGATACGGTTGTTGTCGGTCTTTCGCACACGACGGAGGGCGGTAATGTTTCCCTTCATCAGGAAGTGCTGTGCAAGATCTAAGTGTAAACCAAATGTTAGAATGGAAGCACAGTGTCCGCCTTCACGGATCTGACTTACCAGAGACACCCTTCTCGGTGATGACAACGTCGGGCTTGAAGGCCAGGATGGCCTCGCACATGTGCTTCACCTGCTCCTCCTCAATCTGCAGAATACGGTTCCAGTCGTCCTCCTTCGAGACCTCGATGTTGGTCTGAGACTCGCCCTTCTTGTACTCCAAGGGGCAATCGAGCAGGAGAATGCGGGGGTTCTCAATTCTCCTCCGCATCTTGGGGTGAGTGATATCCTTGTTGACCATGACTCCATCGATGACCTCGGAATCCTCAATCTGACCGCCGGGGACCTTCTCGATACGGGCGTACCGCTTAATATCCACCTCCTGCTTGCCACCACCCACATCGAAGGAGACCGTTCGCACTGCGCGGAGTGCCAAGCTGCACATCAGGTCGGACCACCGAGAGACGAACTTAGTTCCGATGGAGGACTGGATAAGACTGTACATGGCCTTGTCATCGTGGATATCGACGGGTACGGAAACCTCCTCGATAATCTGAAGAGCGTCGGCCAGGGCGCGCTTGAAGGCGGAGATGATGACGACGGGATGGATGTTACGTTCGAGCTGGGGGAGGGCCTGGGCGAGCATTTCACCGGCTAGGAAAATATCAGCAAGTGTCCATCAAGCATTTCCCCTCCAAGTGGGATGAGAACCGTACCCAAGATAATGACAGTTGTGGTTCCATCTCCAACCTCCTCATCCTGGGTCCGGCTGAGCTCGATCATGCTCTTCGCAGCGGGGTGCGAAACTTCGATCTCACGAAGGATGGCGTGGCCATCGTTGGTCAGAACAATGCCGCCCATGGGGTCGAGCAGCATCTTCAGCATAGCCTTGGGACCGAGACATGACCGAATGATGTCGGCGACACTGTGGGATGTATTAGCACTGGAGGTGATGGTGAGGCTGTGGAATTGATCATGGGAATTGCGTACGTCTTCGCAGCGGTAATGTTGGAAAGCTGCGCGCGGCGGCCGACCTGACGGTCACCGGCATTGGTGTCTGTTTGGCGGGTTAGCATCAGCCGGGGGGACGATAAACGGGAATGAGGGGCATCGTACTCATCACCACCACTGGAGCCTGCATTTTGGCGGAGGGTCTAGTGTGGGATCGGAGGAATGTAAAAGGTGAACTTGAGACAGATGGAACAAGAACACTCCCGATGGACACAGAAAAGGAGCCAACTCGGATCCACGTCGAAGGTCGCCCGCATCCCAAATTTCCAAAGTGGGAGCTCCCTGACACTAAACCCAAACGGGCATGACAAACCAGGCAAACAGATCTACTCCGACCAGTTGAGTATTCCCCGCTACGAACCACTTGCGATTGTGATTTCTTCATTATTTTATTACCAAGTTGAGATTATTATGGAAGTAAATCAAGACTGGCTGCAATTTGGTATAGCTTCATATCATGTTAAATCACAAATCATGGTCGATTGTCATTCACAAATGGCTATTCACCGCGTACGTGCTTCAACTATCGTATGGTACATGATTTTCTATCAAACATCCAGTGTCATCAAGTCAAAACTCTCGGCTCTCCCCAATATCACAAACGTCGAATACACCCTTCTCTGGCAGGCCAAATTTCTTGAGTGCAATCTTGAGTTTCTCGGGTGGCTCAAGCACGTCTTCCTCGGTGAGCACCCAGGTACCCCAATGCATACCCAGTGCCTTCTTGCACTTGGTGTCCTGGAAAATATGCACCGCATCATGGGGATCCCCGTGCACAGAACTGAACATATGGCGAGGGGCGTATGCACCGATGGGGATCAGTCCCAAGTCAAACGGTCCACGGAACTCACCAACCTGCTTGAAAGCAGGGCAGATGGGGAAATCGTACTTGGGATCGTGATCGTCTTCTCCCTCGGGCAGTTCGGGTACGGCGCGGTATCCAGTATCGCTATAATTCGGGTCAGTCAATCTCCCTATAGGGCAAAAGTTCATCGGTCAGACAGACCCTGTGAAGTAAAGGTGCTTGCCCCCAGACTCAATGGCCCAAGAGCCCCAGAGAGTTTGGAGCCGATCGAATGCGGTACGAGCGGTAGCATGCTGACAGGGTAGGAAACCAATCCGCGCCTTGATCTCTGCTGCAGTGGAAGCACTATCTCCAGCTCCTTCAACCTTAGCC